CTTATCTTAGCTGCCAAATTTTTTTATCTTTTTTTAATTATTTTTTAAATGTCTATGCATTTTTTTTTTTTTTTGCTTTTCAATAGATATATATATATATTGAAAAAATTCAAACTGATTTTATATTCAGCATATTCAATATAGTATATATCTCTAAGGGAGTAATGTTCTTAATTCCCGCTAGCAAACAAACAATTTGATTGAACAACTATTATTTTCCGGCTATTTTCCTGGAGGTTGCACGCGTGTAGAGTCAAAGCATTGACGGCCGACAGCTACAACAAGTATTGCTCTCATTTGTGTTGTTTATGCATCCGCTTTGGTGAACTTTTTATTTATTATTTATTAATTATTTTTATTTTTTATTAATTCTTATGTGGCGCAATTGATTTTTTCTATTTCTTTCTCATTTTTATTTAAATAAATGACTAAACCATTATTCTCATGATATTGTGAACTTAGGATGACAAGGCTTACAGGTCTTATTCAATTTAACTAGTAGGTTATTAGATACCATGGGACCATGTTAACCGGTACGCCCACATTTTAAGTTATTCATTCAAAAGGCTTGCAACAAAAATTTGGATCATGTTTGAAAACTTCAGTTCTTATTTTTTTTTTTTTTTTGACCTAATCCACCCATTGATTTTCAATCTCAGTTAAGTTCTTATTCATAAATTTCTAGATATTATCTTTTTTTTCATTCTTCTTTGGTTTGCTCATTTAAAAAGTTGAAATATCATTTTTTTTTTCTCTTTAAATTAAATTCATTTAATAATATATATTTTTTTTCTTTTAGCTTGGACCAAGATGCATTTTATACATTGTTTTTGTATATATCACCAAGTGCACTTCTTTTTATTGGTATTTTAAGTACTGACCCCATTATTTTAACAATATTTCGGATATATCTATAAGCTGCATGATGGTTTCTCTTTCTTTCTTTTTTTTTTTTAACTTCATTGCCAAAAAAAAATATAAATATCAATATATAATAATAATAATAATAAAATTAGTATTTAGAGGATTATCATAAGCTATAATAGCTTAGTCAATAATATTGTCTCAGAGCTTTGTGTCTCATTACTGAATCATGATTTTTGTGACTAGATGCTTGAACTATGTGTATCAATCCTTTTTTTTTTTTTTTTTTTTATTATTCCTGTAATTGAAAAATTATGCTTCAGTTTCACTCATTATATTTAAATTTGGGACTTAAGCAATTTTAAGTTTTTTTAAAAGGATATGAAATCCATTTTATCTATCGTTCAATGATTTTGAGAAAATTGTGGAAAATTGAATAAAAAAAGAAATGATTCACAAAAACGTATACGCGCTAGACTCACTAAAAAATTAGACTTATTTACTCTGCATTTAGTTAGCTCAAATTTATTTATTTTATATTTTGTTTTGATAAAAGACTAGTGAGTTTGAACCGAATTTAATGGAACAAGAAAAAGAAAAGAAAAGAAAAATAATAAATTCACCATTTTTTTTGAATATTCCTATTGTTATCAATTACGCATTTGCATTTGCATTTGCATTTGCTCAAGTTGGTTTCTTATTTTTTTATTTTATTTTAAAAGAGAGAAGTTTTATTTAATTATGATTTTGTCTTGTTAAAATTCAACAGCAATTCTTGGAATTGATATAACAATGAAGTTCGTCATCCAAGGGTCCCAAGGCGTGCTCTTAAAAAAATTTTGTGGCACATTTGCCACATTGTATTTCTTCACTCCCTCACCCTCATGTCCTACCCATTTTCACTCAAGCATACCCTCCCTTGCTTTAAAAACAAAAATCAGGCAGATTAATTGCATAAAAGTTGAGATAACTTCATTTATCTACAAAATAGTAATCATTGTGAAATAATATATATTTATATACTTAAATTAAAGCTAAATTTTTCTTGTATTACAAGTAATGATGATGATGGTGATACAAATCTCTTACGATTCTTGTAAAAGTTAATTATTCGCTAATGCCATTTAAAACATTCTCCATTGTGATATCTCTAAATATATCCAACATTGGCACTCTGAAGGTGGTGCAATAAGTTCGGGAACAAAAGAAATAATAGATAACTGCTTTAATTTGTCTAATGTTGCAGACGCCCAGAGTTTACCCCGCTCTTCGTTTTCTTGATACTCAAAGTCGATTTTAAAAATCAAAAAAAAAAAAAATAAAAACCAAAAATTTCTAGGCAACAACACCTTATCAATAGTGTTCAACTTAGCCAGATAAAAAAAAACAGATTTCTTGATTTATATTCAATATATAAATATCTATTATTTAGGGTAGAAAGGAGTTGTTATGATGACCCTATTTTTTTTTTTTTTAATTTATTTTTTTTTGTAAAAATAAGATCCAAATTTTTTTTTTTTTTTTTTTTTTTAATGAGACTCGAGCTAGTGAGATTTTGATTTATGATACTAGTAATTGCATAAACGGTAAAAATAACTTTAAATTATAGCAAGCTTCTCAAACGCCTGGTGTTTGGACTTTGGTTTTTCTGTTAGCCAGAAAAGAAAAAAAACAAAACAAAAACAGGACAGGCTACATATGAAAAATAAAAAAAAATAAAAAAAAAAACGAGGCCAAAGATATATTTAGCAGAAAGTAGTGAAGCGAAGTGTCGAATGAATGTATTATAATACATTAATTTCAATAGATATAATAATGAAGTAAACTTTAAAATGATAGTTTGAAAAAAAAATAAAAAAAAATAAAAAGATTGCCGTGAAGCTAACAAAAAGTAAAGAAAAAAAAATATTGTTTAGGGTTATTAAGATTTTGAATCACCAGTGCAACTGAATGTTAATAATAATTTTGGCCCAGTATTTCCCTTGTGCAATCCGAGGCTTTGGTTTCAATATCATTTTTGATAGCATCGGCCGAAACTCTTTTCTTACTATTACATACCAAAACTATGATAAATATTTCTACTTACTAGTGGATGAGCACACACAAAAAGTATCCACTTAAAATACGAAAAAATCAAACTTTTTCTACCCATATATATATAGATATATTTGGCTTCAGAATGAACATTTTGAAAATCTTATAAGGGATAAGCCAACTGAACAAAAAATTTTCAACATAAAAAAAAAAATGTCATTTGAATCGCTAAACATATGCCTATAACACAAAATGAGGTAGAAATTATCAACTCTAAAGACCTACTTTGTATTTTTATGGAAAGAGAAAGAGAAACAAAAAAATACTATGGCGAGAGAAATTCAGGCAAAATACTAATCGGTATCTCTTACTTTATGCTCTTTTTTTTTCTTTTTTTTTTTTATCTGAAAAAATGGAAATTCTTAATTCGGAAAAACGTGTTTTCATTATCTGTGGGGGCATATCTTTTTGAAAATTATTTTCTATTTTCTATTTTTATTTTTATTTTTATTTTTATTTTTTATTTTTTATTTTTTATTTTTTATTTTTTATTTTTTATTTTTTTATTTTTTATTTTCTATTTTCAATTTTTTACTTTTTACTTTTTTATTTTATTTCTCTCTCACTCTTTTATTCTCCATGTAACATTTCTTGTTTTGAAACAATCATGGAGCTGCACACAACCCTAATTGGCGCAGGATATAAGAGGACGCGCATATGCAAAATCCAAGAGACCCTGGTTAGTATCAAACAGCCTCAAGACGTCACTGGATACAATACTGGATAAAATCAAAAAATTAGCGACAAATTCCATTATTAAGTTAAGAGCTTTTAAACTTATTTTTTTTATAAAAAAATAAATAAAAAAATGTGGGTGTTCTCCATATAGAGACACTACAAAAAAAAAACACTACTATAAAAAACTTTTCATTTATGATAGTTTGAAAGATGAACTAATGTAGAATATATTTGTGTGATAGTGCAGCTTTAAATACGGTGTGTTGATCTATGGGGGATTTTGTTTGCAGCCGCCATTTCCTATCCAAAAATTAATACTTGTTACTGAATACTCGTAAACTGAGTCACTTTCAAGAGTCTGGGCATCAGATTTATTTTATTGATAATTTTAACGACTCCCCAGATTACCCAAATGATATAGTTACAATTGAAGATATAACTGAGATAGAAAAAATAATTTTAACTGTCAAAGCTTCATACATTTTTCAATTATTATTAATAGTAAATTTACAATAATTACAACAAAAGTCATACAAATAAAAACATCCGAGAACAGAAAAAAAAAATAATAATAATAAAGCATACTAAACTCACCCCGCCTCCATAAGCAGATTGCAGGACAGGGTATTTTTTAACGAGCCTCAATTGATAAATGTATCGGGGATATTCGGATTAGTAAAAAAAAATCTAGCGTAAAAAAGTAGTACTGTTTTTATCACTGGTTCAAGGGATGTTATGAAGAGCGGCCCAGGGCTTTAAAAAATAAATTCCTAGGCTTAAAACCCAGGCTCAACAATACTAAACCACACTGCAACTCTACCCCTCCTTTCCTCACCATCCCGGCTAATCGGTGAAATATTCTTGTTTTTAATGATAATATATTTCAATTATTGATTAACTATTAAACTATTAAACTATTCAACATTTATTATCTTTTTTCTAGTTATCACCAAAATAACAGAACTTATTATGAGGAAGTACTTGTACATGCAAGCTTCTTGGCTATCTTTATTTGAACAATTAGATAGAAACAACATATAGTTCAAATAATATAATCAAAACATTGGATAATCTTCTTTTATGAAAACAGTGTAATAAAGCACTAGAAACATTCACAGGGTATTAAATTCAATAAGGAACACGTATATAAATCTTTAATAAACCAGAATACATAAAATCATAAACTTATTTATCCATATATTCTTTACACACTTAATATTTTTAATACTCCTTGACATATAAATAGTTGAAATCCTGCCCTTAAACCGTCTTTTTTTTAAATATATATATATTTACTCATTTCTTAATCAGTTTTTCTATTTTTTTCTCTTTTCTCCTCTTTCTTTTTTTTTTTTAAAAAAAAAATGACATTTTCTCAAGATTTTCTAAACACTTGTCAAAATACTACTTCCTCATTAAATAAACAAAATATTTTTCTTTCAAAAAACTGTCCTTCTGTTTCACAACCTCAACTGGCTAAAGATTCTCCACCTTTCTCTATAACTTCCCAAGACTCTTCTTGCTCATCTCGAAATAGACTCGGAAGTCAAAGTAGTATCACTAGCATTGAAAGCAATAGCAGTAGTGATACATCTGTCAGCAGCTACTTTTCTGAATCGTTATCACCAAAATCGCTGTCATCCTCCTCTTCCTCACTGTCCTCTTTAAACTCTAAACCTAATTTGCACTCAACGTCTTTTTCAGACACAGAGTTCAACGAAGCTTCGAGTCGCATGAAAAATTTTGATTTTATTTCCGCTCAGGGCTATTCTTCCGAAGTTCCTTCCAAAATGCATGGGCTTGTTGCAAATAATAATAATACTAATAATAACACTCAACTCCAAATGAGTGGCACCGAAAATCATCATAATGCTATCTCTTCTTCTGATCATTATACTGTCCCCTCCGCATACGCCCCCCACTCTCAGCCGTCCAATTACCCTTTTGTTACATTATCTTCAAACTGTCAACCACAATATTCCCCACCCTCACTTGAACTCAAACCTACTGTATCCTCATCTCATCACTCATCTCGAGAACATCGTAGCAACAGTACCTCAAACACTGGATCTTCAGGAAGTAAAAGACATGGTCGCCATTCTCATTCAGCCCCCAGCTCCGGATCTTCTTCCTCTTCCTTATCTTCCTCAATTTCTGTAACATCAATTGCAGCTTTGGTTTCTTCACCTATCCCAACTCCTGTTTCTGTTTCTGTTCCCGCTCCTAGTCCAATTCCCGCCCCATCCCCATCCCCAACACCAACAACGGTATATAGAGATAATGAGGGAGTGGATTGGATTACATTTACTTACTCAAAAGATCGTATCCCCAAGGAACACCGCATTCGATGTGACATTGAAAGTGTTGACATTAACAATCTAACTGAAGAATTTAAAAAGGATAATTGTATCTATCCACGCGCTTGTGTTGTGATCCACGAATACAGAGGGAATCGTTGGGAATATGAGACTCAATGCAACGCTATTGGCTGGTGTCTTACTTGGATAAACCCATCAATCCGTAAAAGACGTGGTCTGATTCAAAGAGCGGTAGACAATTGGCGCAATACCAATGCAGATCCTTCTTTGCGATCACGACGAGTTAGACGGATGTCGCGCAAAAATGACAAGATGAAGTGTTCAACCTTGGCAGCAGCAGCTGCAAATGTAATCCCAAGTCCGGGACCTCATTTAGGTTCTATACGCAGAACCTCAGCATCACCTTCATCAATCATTTATCAGCAATCACCATATACACCCGAAACTCCAACAGCTCCATACTACTACTATACCAATTCGGACTCTACTGTACCACAAATTCACCAACAACAGCAACCACTTGCTAATGCTGCTCCCACTCCTTTATCACAGCAATATCAATCTGTGGTTATGTATGAGCAAAACCCTATGCAAGTGTACCCGAACCAATTTATGGTATCAGCTCCTAATCCTCCACCGTATCATGTCAATGGTCAGTTGGTTGCCCCATCAAATCATTCAACCATAGGGCATCATGCCAATTATCGTTAAAAAATATTTTTTGTTTTAAGGTTATCTATCTATCTATCTATCTATTTATCTTTTTTTTTTTTTATTTATTTGGTCGAGTTTATTTGTTTAAGAAAAAATTCAATGAAAATTTTTTTATTAATTAAATGATGAGTGGATCGGCAAATGCATTTTAGGCACTAAGAAATAATATGTCATTGAAGAAAAATAATAAGTGGGCTTTGTACAAACATGTGATTTATAGAGGCTTACTAGCTACATGAAGAGAATAAAGACCATGCACTGTTCTTTTAAACACGAACTCTGAATGGGTTTAGTTGATAATTAAGCTGATAACAGCCTGAACACCATTAAAGTCAAGTTTAAACAAGGTTTATTGAATCTATCCTGGAGTAGTCTGCGCTTTGACGATAGTCAAATTAGACTAAAATAGAAAAAAATTCATTTTTACTTTCAAAAAAAAACAAAAACAAAAACAATGCAAAGCTAAAATATCACGAGTAACGAAAGTAGCTTTAACATTTAACATAAAGGTATCCTGCTATATTATTAAATGAAAATATTGCACCTTAATTGATAAAATACATTGAAATAATTCATTAAAGTTTATTAAGATTTATTAAGATTTATTAAGATTTATTAAGATTTATTAAGATTTATTAAGATTTATTAAGATTTATTAAAATTTATTTATATTTATTAAGATTTATTAAAATTTATTTATATTTTTAATTGAGTTTTGAAAAAAAAAAAAAAAAACACGTGAAATTTAAATTTTTAAAAACGGAGGCTTAAAATAAGAAAAAATTCCCAATCTAGGTATAAGTCCCTATTGTAAATATGCGGCTCATTGAAGACATTGAACTTATTGAACTTAATAAGAACGAACCTATCCACAGAAAAATAAATTTGTTACAGTTATTCAAGTATACATTGGTAATTGTAACAAACAAATCAGGGTGCAGTCTTTTGTTTACATTTTTCTTCTCTCTCTCCCCCCCCTCCTCATTTTCTACCATCCCCTGTTATTTATTAGTTGACCTAAACAAAAAACACTCACTATTTTATCAAATTCAATCATCATAACAAGCCCTTAATTCCCATTCACCATGTCTAGTTCAGTTTCTCCGACAAAGACTACGAGTGGGCCTGGTGCAGCCAGCATTTCTGGCTCTGCAACCCCAACCTCATCAGTTTCTGGAGTCGGTTCTGGTTCTATTTCTGCTGTTGCATCAGGGACCACTGCCGGCATTGCTACCAGTGCTATCCCCCCTGTCACATCCGATTCTACATCATCTGTTGCATCAACTGCTGTTGAATCACCATCAGATGGCCGTCGTCGTCAGGCATACCGTGACGAAGCTATTCGACGTAAAATCAATACAAGTCTCTCTAAACGGGGTGGTGGTAGCAGCTCCACAGGTGGATTTCCTTCTGGATCTTCAAAACAACGACGGCCGCCACCTGGGACTGTTCTTTCTTTGCGCCCTTCTCCTCCACTTACAATGAAATACTCTGCTACTGTTTTTGAGGCAGCCCGTCTTATGGCTGCCAAGCGTGAAAACTGTGTCTTGGTTGTGGATGAAGATGATACAGTTTGCGGTATCTTTACAGCCAAAGATTTGGCTTTCCGTGTTGTTGGAGCCAACTTGGATTCTAAATCAGTGGCCATTGAACAAATTATGACTCGCAATCCCATGTGTGCACGCACAGACACCTCTGCCACAGAAGCCCTGAACCTTATGGTTAACGAAGGCTTCCGCCATTTGCCAATTATGGACGATAACCAGGACATTGCTGGTGTTCTTGATATTACAAAGTGTTTCCATGAAGCCATGGAAAAGCTTGAGCGTGCTTACAACTCTTCTCGAAAACTCTATGATGCACTTGAAGGTGTGCAGATGGAGGGAGGTCTTGCTGGAAACTCCCATCGTGCTGCGCAAATCATTTCTTATGTCGAAGCCTTGAAGCGCCAAATGGAGGGCCCTGATCTTACAACTGTTCTTGACGACACAACTGTTCCTGTTTTTGTTAATTCAAAAACTAATGCCGCAGAAGCTGCTCGTCTTATGAAGGAGCGAAATACCACTGCAGTTTTAGTAACTGATAATAACCATATTACAGGCATTGTTACTTCGAAAGACATTGTTCTTCGTGTGATTGCCGCCGGATTTAATCCCAATATTTGTTCTCTTGTTCGCGTTATGACACCTCAGCCCGACTTTGCTCCTCAGTCTTTGACTATTCAATCTGCATTACGCCAAATGTATGATGGAAACTACCTTAATCTTCCTGTTATGGGTGATAATAATGAAATTGTTGGAATTGTTGATGTTCTTACCCTGACCTATGCAACTCTTCAACAAATAAATTCAATTAGCACATCTGATTCTGAGGGCCCTGCTTGGAATCGCTTTTGGACCTCATTTGATGATCACGATACCCACTCTACACACTCGGATGGGTCCGGATATAACCAACTTGGTGGAAGCAATAGCATTATTAATCAACAACAGCAGCAGCACCTTCGCGCAAGTACACCTGGCGGAATGGGATCTGGAAGCGTTGTTTCTACACGTGCACGCGATATGGCTTCTCCCGGAATCACTTCATCTGAGTTGGCTCAGTTCAATATTGTTGAATCAGGGTATGAAATTGGACCCAGTGATTCAATTTCACATGCAGGTATCACCACAGATAGTGTGCTTCTTCCTAGTGTTGGTCTTGGATCACTTGTAGGCTCTACTGCTCGAGGGTCTGTTGCTGTTTCTACTGGACCTACAGGTGGATCTATTTCATCAGAAACTATTCCATTCCCATTTAAATTTAAGACACCTTCTGGACGGGTTCATCGTGTTACCATTGCCCCAGTCGACGGACTAGAATTTTTCCGTAATGAAATTCTTCAAAAAATGAAACCAGATGAAATTTCTAAGCTGGGTGGTGCGGATGTTGAAGTAGATGAGGAAACTGGTACTTTGCTTCAACCAGGATTTGCCATTTCATATATTGATGATGAAGGTGATGTGATTGCAATTACTTCTTCTAAAGATCTTTCTGAAGCCATTGCTATAAACCGTTCGCTCGGTAAGGCTAAGGCTGAGCTTTATATCCATCATCCCGATGAAGAAATTTCTCCTCCGGCTCCGGCATCTATAGCCACAGGAATTGGCAGTGTTGCACCTTCAACATCTTCAATCCAAAACAGATCAGCACTCACTTTATATCGTCGTGATGATAATAATAATGATGATGAAGATGATGAAGATGATGATGACGGAATTTCCTACCGCAAAAGTGCTCGTAATGCACGAAGACGTAGGGGTCCACGCGGGGGAACTAGTCCAGCAGATGAAATGCTGATACCTGGTGTTCCCAATGAATTACTTCTTCCTGGTGCGCTTGTTACACTGGCTGCGTCAATATTGGCTGTATTTGCATTGAACCGCCATCATTAATTTATCGATACAAGTTGCATTTTTTTTATATATATATACAATAGTTAGAGACAAGATAAAAGAATATATTGGTTATTTACAAAAAAAGGAAAGAGAATAATATAAGGGTAATGCATTTCTAAGAAAATTAATTCATGGCGGAATCCATTTGTTCTTTGACCTCGACATCGCGAGCCTTGCGAGCCTGGGCAACCAAACGGCCCCATTTCTTCTTTTGCTCGCCCTTAGACAAGGGCTTGGGAAGAATGGTGATGTTGGTACCTTCGTAATCCTTAGGATCGAGATAAATGGCATCTGGTTCCTTAGGGTTGAAATGAACTCCAGCAACAAATGTTTCAAAATAGTTGTAAAGATCATGTGCGTCCACAATTTCAGCTAAGCGCGAATCTGGAATGGCAACTCCGAGTTCACGAGCTACGCGTTTGGTAAAATCCAATCGTGTTCCAAAGTCCAATAGGCTTACACTTTTCATCCATTCTATACTGTCGTTGTTAGTATCTGTGTTGATGCCAGCAGCAACGCGGATGGCAGTGGCCACCTGTGCCAGGTCGAGAGTTGGGGCCACAGTATTGATGGGGAAAGCTTCAGCGAGAGAAAAGCCATTGTTTTCAAAGGACCAAGATTCATCTGTATTGGGGAGACCGATAACCTCAAGTTTTGGTGCCTGACGTTGAGTAACATCGCTAGCTGAGCCGCTCTCAATCTCTGACAGTAATTCCTTGGTTTTCTTAGGCTTGGGGACTTCCACAGGCTTAAGAGCAGGGGAAGCTTGTTTTGATCGGAAAAAGGAAAATAGATCCAATGCCCGTGGAGTTGTGGTGTGAAGCATTCGGCGTGTTTGCACCATAGTAGCGGCGCGTCGCACGATATTTGCCGTAACAGTTGTAGTCATTATATATATATATATATATATCAAAGGTTCAGTCCAGGATTTAGTACTGGGGTTTATGTTGTTGATCCTGTGTTATGGTAATGTGTGTGTGTGTATGAAAAATTTTTTTTTTTTTTTTGGTGGTAAATAATTCTTGATAGAATATATATATATTTTTTATTGTCAAATTGCAACCAAATGGGTTAGGGTTTATTTTAATGATTGGCTAAATTAAAAATGTTACATGTGTGATATAATATTTAGACTTTATACCATATAACTTTAGGTTTAATTAACTAAATATGTCTTGTCTAAACTCAGGACAAAATGATTGCAAAAGCAATTTTTCTTTTTTTTTTTAACAAAATTAAATTTAAATAGGATTATTTTGAAAGGTATTTAAGAGATTAATTTATTATTATGACTATTAGTTCAACGAATAAAAATATCTTGAGCCAAAAATAGGTAAAATTTTTTTAAAAAAAAAAACAATTTATAAAAAAAAAAAGAAATAAAAATTAACTGGATAACATTATTCTTAGTTTAATTATATTTAAATTATATTTAAATTATATTTAAAATGTTTGATGATTTTCTTAAATAATGATATTTTTAAAACCAATTTACAAATCTCTTGGATAATTTAACTCATTTTATAAACAACGTACGATTGAAAAATGGAATATATAATATATTTTTTTTCATCACTCTTTATTATCCGGTTATGATTATTATTTAATTTTTTTTTTGATGAAACAAGAATTTATTTATAATTTTTTTCAATACCTGGCGTTGATATCCATTTTTTATTTTGATTATTACTAAATACAATTTTTTTTTTATTCAAGTACAAGTACAAGTACTTTTTATGAAATAAAATAAAAAAATATATATATTTAATAAATTGTATTTAGTTAAAATTTAAATATTAACTTAAATTATATTGAGACAAAAGTTATTCTTATTTAAATAAAAATATAACCACAATGTTACATCTTGCAAATATGAATCAAAGGAGAGAGTTCTTAACCAAATAATACTATGGATTAGAGTTTATATAAACATTCCAAGATGAAGTCGTTTATATTAATAGTTTCTTAAATATTTTAAGGTTATATATATAGTCTTGATCAATAATAGTATTATTCTCTACGTATAAATAAAAACTTGTATAAACTTATTTTACATTATAATAATAATAATAAATAATAATAATGGTATAAAACAATTTCATTCCAATGGGTTGTAAATTTACATACATATTTCTTTAAAAGAAATTTCCAATATAATTATATTTTATTTTTCATTTTAAATATGAAATAAAAAATGGTGGATAAAGCCTTCCAAGGTATTTGTTTAATTATTTAACCTACCAAATAATGTTTTTAATTTTCACCTTTTTTTTTTTTATTTTGATAAAAATATATTTAAAAACTTTCTTCTTTTTTAATTTTTAATTTTTAATTTTTAATATATATATATATATATAAAAGAAAAGAGTTAATTTAATGTGCTTATCTGATTTATATGTGTGAGATATTTAAAAAAAAAAAATCATTATTTTTAAGGGTCATCCGATAGTTCGAGGTTGTCGATAGTTATTGTCACTCACGTGAGAATTAAAGTTCCGTTCAAACCGCGGAAAAAAAAAATAAATATTTCTGGCCTGTTTTTTTTTTTTTTTTTATTTTTTTTTTTCTTTCCTTCTTCAATCACAAAAAATTTAAACCTACATTTTATTTTTATATATACCTTTAAAAAAAGAAAAAAAAAAGATCAAATTTCAAATAACAATATTTTTTAAATTATAATTCATTATTTAAAAAAAAAAAAACATTGATAATAAATTAACCATAATTATCAATAAATTCTATTTATAAAGATGCATTGGGAGGTTTGATGAAACGTGATTTTAAAGGACTGGTGATTTATATGGTTGTTGTTGATGTTGAATTTTCTGTGTACCTTGAAAAAAAAAAAAAAAAAAAAAAAAAAAAAAAAAAAAAAAAATTTTGTTTGTTTACCAGACCACAACCACCACTTTTTTTTAAATTCATCATCAAAAAAAAAACAAAAAGCTACATTTATTTTGATTTTGATTTTGATTATTTTTTTGAAAAAAAAAAAAAAAAACAATGATTTATTAAATACAAAATCAATTCTTTTATTGGTATTTATACTTACTCAAAGTATATTTATATAAAAGAAATCATTCAAGTACTGATACTGCAGCAATCTTTCTAATTTTTTCTAAATTTCTAAGAAGCAAAAAAATAAAAATAAAAAAAACCCCGCCCGCAGGATTCTCTTTCTGGAACACAAAAAAAAAAAAAAAAAAAAGAAATCATAAAGGAAGACAGAAAAAAATAAATTATACGGAACAAAAAGTCCATACAATTTTTATTTTTATTCTTATTTTTTATTTTTATTTCTCTTTTAAAAATACATTAAAATTGGACTGTTTTCTTGTATTTTTTAATTTTTTTTTTTATTATCTTATTATCTTAAAAAAAAAATGCTATTCAAATTTTAACTTTTTCTTTTATTTATTTATATATTTTATCTCAGCAATCCTTACGCCTTCTACAATCAATTACTTTGTAAAAAGTTCAATACTTTATCAACACTCTTATTTCCTAATCGCATTAAAAAAAATTAAGAGAACAAAATGAGCAACAACAATACTAAAATTCCCCAGTCCATCTCGAAAAAAAATGAATCTGAAAAAATACATCGATTTGTAATTGCAGGTGGATCTTATGCTGCTATTTCTGCAATAAAAGTATTAGGAAATGATATTCTTCCTCGTATGATTGCAGACAAATCAAGTAACTTTAAAATAGCAATCACCGTCATTGCTCCAAATCGCGAAGCATATTGGAATGTTGCAGCAGTGCGAATAATTTCAGAAGTTGATCTTTTAGAAACAAATACAAAACAACTTTTTTATCCTTTAGTCGATACTTTTAAACAATATTTCCCCCCAGAATACCTCCACGGATTAAATATTATTCAAGGGAAAGTAATTTCAGTAGATCCTGAAACTAACACTGTTTCCTATATCCGTCTTGACGATAATGGCCCAGCTAATGATGACTTCAATTTTTTGGGCCAAGAACTCTTCTACGACAGTTTAATTTTAGCTACAGGTGCATCTTCTTCTTCAGCTGCCTTTAAATTAAATGGAACGTCAGAAGAAAGCAAATCCGCTTTAAGGGAACTTCATAACTCTGCACATGCTGCTCAATCCATTGCTATAATTGGCGGTGGTGGTGTAGGTGTAGAACTGGCAGGTGAACTTGGCTACAAGTACGGGAAAACTAAAAAAATCACTCTTTTTACTGAATTAGGAAGGGCATTGCAATACCTTAAGCCCAAAATATCGGAAAAGGCCATCAAAAGACTTGAAGAATTAGGTGTGGAAACCGTTGTTAATCACAGAGCAGTTTCAATTGTTCGCGATGACGATTCATATGAAATACAATCCCCAAATACTGAAGAGGAACATCCACACGAATACAATAACGACATTACTGCATCAAAAACTCATAAAAGTACATCAAACGAGTTAAAACCTCTCACATCTACATCAACTAATGGTAGACTTCATAAATTAATACATTTACATCATGGCAATACTCATGGAGATAATGGAACTTTCAATGAGTCTTCAAGCGATAATTCTTCTCAAGGAAGTTTAGATACAGAAAGTTCAACATTAGATAATTCAACGCACAATTATAACCATGACTTGTCAAAGTTCCCAACATATCATAAAAAACCATCCCGGACAACAATAACTTTCCAAGATGGGAGTAAAGCAACATATGATTGCTGTATTCCTGCAACAGGAAATACACCAAATACTCAATACCTTCCTGACGGAACGTTAGATTCTGAAGGTTATGTCCTTGCAGATTCTTATCTTCGCATGTTGAATGATAATCCCAATAAAAATATTTATGTAATAGGTGATCTTCTGTCTGGAGGAAGAGAAACTATGGCAGATATTTCAAATTCTCAGATATTATCCTTAAAGGCTACATTGATTCATGATGTTGTTGATTCCTCATATCCATTAAAAAAATACGTAATATCACCACCATCATACTTAGTCCCTATTTCTAAAAAGGGTGGTGTTGGTACAATGAATGGCTTTACTGTTCCAAGCGTCGTTGTTACAATGATGAAAGGAAGAGATTTTAGAATGGAAGAGTCTCATAAGTATCTTGAATAATTAATTTAACCGTTTGAAAAGATATTTAGAAGAATAAAAAAAAAATTGTGCTACTACTATTTGTATATGAAGATTAAATTATTAATCTAGCATAAATCATTCATAGACAATGCCTAACTTTTTGATACTAAGTTAATCTTAAGTCGACTTTGATTGTTATAACCCTGGCATTTTTTATTCGATTTTAAAATCATTTACATGTTTTAATCGTGAAATGATGAGTTACATAATAAATTACATAAACAATTTTATTTTACGTAATCACTTTTTTTTTACAAGTAAAAATTTTCAAGTTTTTTTTTTTCATGATTTTTCAACATATTATATTTGTTTCTTAATTTTATTTTTTCAGATAAACACAAGAAACAAAAAAAAAAAAAATAATCATGGATCTTTTTGATGTTTTTGATGAAGATCCTTCAGTTTCTGTCCCTGAAGATACTCAAAAAGAAGAAGTCGTAGTTGGAGAAAAACGCACAAATTCAGTTGCGTTAGACAACGTCTCCGACTCTCAAGAAAATGAAAACGAAAATGAAAACGAAAACGAAGCAAATAAAACTACAGATGATTCAGTTAAGGAAAAATCAACAAATAGGAAAATAAAAAAAAATAAAACTTCAGATGAAGTGAAAACCGTGGTCACTGATTCTTTTGAAACCGAGGCATCGCGTGAAGTTACCGCGTCTGCTGGTCTCATGGCTCAAGAAGTTGTTCAAAATGGAGATGAACAAAATGTTGTTTTATCTCATCAAGTCAGACATCAAGTCGCACTTCCTCCAGATTACGAGTATATTCCCATTTCCCAGCATAAAATAGAACACCCTGCTAGAACATACCCATTCACCCTGGATCCCTTTCAAAAAGTATCTATCAACTCAATTGATCGTAATGAATCAGTTCTTGTTTCAGCACATACATCAGCAGGAAAAACAGTTGTTGCAGAATATGCTATTGCTCAAAGTTTACGCGATAAACAGCGTGTTATTTATACATCCCCAATTAAAGCTCTTAGTAACCAGAAATATCGTGAACTTCTTGAGCGATTTCAAGATGTTGGCTTAATGACTGGTGATGTTACTATTAATCCTGATGCATCATGCCTTGTCATGACTACAGAAATTCTTAGATCAATGCTTTATAAGGGATCCGAAGTTATGCGTGAAGTTGCATGGGTTGTTTTTGACGAAATTCATTACATGAGAGATCCTGAACGTGGTGTAGTTTGGGAGGAAACAATTATTTTACTTCCTGATAAGGTTCATTATGTTTTCTTATCTGCGACTATTCCTAACGCTATGCAATTTGCTGAATGGGTTTGCAAAACTCATAACCAGCCATGTCACGTTGTTTACACTAACTTTCGACCTACCCCCCTTCAACATTATCTTTTCCCTGCAGGTGGCAGTGGCATCCATCTTGTCGTCGATGAGAAGGGCAATTTTAGAGAAGAAAATTTCCAAAAGGCCATGGGAAGCTTGGGTGAAAAGATGGGTGAAGATCCAGCTTCTATTGATGCTAAACATAAAAAAGGAAAAATTTCCAAAGGTGGAAAACAAGGTAAGATTTTGAAATGAAGAGAGAAACAAAAAAAAAAAAACTGTTAAACTGTTTATTGACTAACAATTGATATTTTTTAGACCTGGGTGATATTTACAAAATTGTTCGCATGATTATGCAAAAGAATTTTAATCCTGTCATTGTTTTCAGTTTTTCTAAACGTGAATGCGAATCACATGCATTGAAACTTTCCAAGCTAAATTTCAACTCAAGTGATGAAGTTGAAATGATTGATAAAATTTTTACTAATGCAATGAGCTCTTTGTCTGAAGATGATCGGAAATTGCCCCAAATTTCACATATTTTACCCCTTTTAAGAAGAGGTATTGGTATTCATCATTCTGGTCTCCTTCCCATTCTTAAAGAAGTCATTGAAATTCTTTTTCAAGAAGGTTACATTAAGGTTCTTTTCGCTACAGAAACATTTTCTATCGGTCTTAATATGCCTGCTAAAACCGTTGTTTTTACCAATGTTAGAAAATTTGATGGTAAAAATTTCAGATGGGTTTCTGGTGGAGAATATATTCAAATGAGTGGACGTGCAGGAAGAAGAGGTCTTGATGATCGTGGTATTGTTATTTTGATGATTGACGAACAAATGGAACCTGCTGTTGCAAAAGGAATGGTTAAAGGTGAGGCTGACAGATTAGATTCTTCATTCCATCTTAGTTATAATATGATTCTTAATCTTCTTCGAGTCGAAGGAATTTCTCCAGAGTTTATGCTTCAACGATGTTTTTATCAATTCCAAAATCATGAACATATACCCGAGTATAAAAAGATGTTTACCGAAGTGGAGGAAAAACTTGCTGCTATTCATATTGAAAATGAAGAGGCAATTCGGGAATATTATGATTTACGTGAACAAATTAAACTTTTTTCCGATGATGTTCGCACAGTTATTACCCTTCCAACTCATATTATTCCTTATTTACAACCTGGGCGTCTGTTAAAAGTTAAAATAAATGGAACAGATTTTGGATGGGGTGCTGTTGTTTCTTTTGATCGCAGAAACCCACCAAAGAATAAGAAAATAGAACTATCCCCTCACGAGTCAATCATTGTTGAAGTTCTGCTTTGGGTCACAAAGGCTTCTCCCACAAATCTTCAGCGCAAAAAGAGCCCATTTTTACACCCAGGAATAACCCATTCTTTGGATCCAAATGAAGGGAAAATGGAATCACTTTGGATTACTTTAGACTCAATTCAAAAACTGAGTAATCTTAAGATTCGTGTACCTAAAGATCTTTCATCTCCTAACCAACGGAAGTCTATCAAACGTAACATTGACGAAGTTTCTCGACGTTTCCCCGATGGTATTCCCAGCCCAGATCCTGTTGAAAACATGAAGATTGTTGACGATTCCTTTCTTAAACTGATAAGAAAAATTGAGGTTTTGGAAACTAAACTACATGCAAATCCTCTTCACAATTCTCCAGATCTTGAGGAACAATTCAACAAATATTCTGAAAAGGTCGCTCTCATTCAAGAGCGTAAGAAAATCAAATCTAAATTATCTGATGCTTACTCGATATTGCAACTAGATGAACTTCGGTGCCGCAAACACGTTTTACGACAATTGGAGTTTACAACACAGGACGATATTGTCGAACTTAAGGGAAGAGTTGCATGTGAAATTTCCAGTGGTGATGAACTTGTTATTACAGAAATGATTTTCAACGGTAGTTTCAGCAATTTAACTCCTGAGCAATGCGCTTCATTACTCAGCTGTTTTGTTTTTGATGAAAAAACGCGCGAAGCACCTGTACTTTCTCCTGAACTTAAAATACCTTATGATTCACTTTGTGAGATTACAAAAAGAGTTGCTCAAGTTTCGAAACAATGCAAAATTAACATTAATGTCGATGATTACCAAGCAAAGTTTAAAATGGAATTGATGGATGTCGTATACCATTGGTGCCAAGGTGCGACTTTTGCTCAGATATGTCGTATGACTGACGTTTATGAGGGCAGTTTGGTTCGTTTATTCCGTCGTCTTGAAGAACTGATTTTGCAGGTTGGAGAGGCGGCAAAAATTATGGGAAATACAGATATTCAAGATAAAATGAACAAGGCATTAACTTTGATCAAGAGAGATATGATTTCTGCTTCATCTCTTTATCTTTAATAGTCGATAGAATTATTTGCTTTCAAAAAAAAAAAAGTACGTTTATGACATTAATTGAATAAAAACATCACTACTATTATAATTTAATTATACAATATTGTAATAAATTTCTACCTTATAATCTTAAAAATAACTGATCTTAGATATGTTAGTCAGTTTGGATCTTGTTATTGAACTAAATGGATGGATTCTTATCACAACAGGGATTTTCAGAAATAAAATTTTTTTGGGATCATACAATATTATTACATAATAATTTGAGATAGGTTACTAATGTTTTATTGATTGAATAACTTCCTATTATGTAACATAAATAAATAAATAAATAAATAAATAAATAAATAAATAAATAAATAAATAAATAAATAAATAAATAAATAAATAAATAAATAAATAAATAAATAAATAAATAAATAAATAAATAAATAAATAAATAAATAAATAAATAAATAAATAAATAAATAAATAAATAAATAAATAAATAAATAAATAAATAAATAAATAAATAAATAAATAAATAAATAAATAAATAAATAAATAAATAAATAAATAAATAAATAAATAAATAAATAAATAAATAAATAAATAAATAAATAAATAAATAAATAAATAAATAAATAAATAAATAAATAAATAAATAAATAAATAAATAAATAAATAAATAAATAAATAAATAAATAAATAAATAAATAAATAAATAAATAAATAAATAAATAAATAAATAAATAAATAAATAAATAAATAAATAAATAAATAAATAAATAAAGTAAACAAATAAACAAATAAACAGACAAACCTCACTTCCCTTTCTCTCTTCCTAAAAAAAAAAAAAACAAAAAACGCAGAAAAAAAATTTTTTTTTTTTAATGCTTGTTTCATCAAGTTCTTCTTTTTTTTTTTTTTTTTTCCCCAATTCCTTTCAATATAACAATACACTTAAGAATATTTCATTTTTACCAAAGAAAAAAAAAATTGCATAAATGGTGGAAAAAACTTTAGAGACACCTAACGGTGATTTCGATCAAACTCGACAGTCCCGCCCTCGTACTTATGGTAAAAAATTAAATACCCTTCAAAAAACCAGTAACTCAAAGGAGTTTTCCGAATCCTCATCCTCATCCTCAAATGTTCCAACTCATGAATTTACACAGAAAGAAAGTTCGCGTGATATAATGTCATTTCTTTCATCTACTCAGGCTTTGGTCAATTATTCAAAGGAAGTTTCTTTAGATTCTGAACCCGATGAATCCGATGAACTCGATAATACTACTAAAAAAAACTTGGAAGCACATTCCTCAGATACTGAAAACACAAAAACTAATTTGAACGACGAGGAGCTTCTTAATAAAATTAGATCTTTGAAGCAAACAAATACGCATGCAAAAGTTTCTAATTTAATCGCCAAATCATCCATTACTTCAGACGAACAATCTTCCATCCAAACACATGATACCAACTCTGATCTTAATAAATTACCAGTTGGTGTAATTGACACTATTGAAAAAATGCATACTGATACTGATCAAAACGTCAATCAAAAGGATACGAGCAGTGACGATATAAATAACCATTTATTTAATGAAGATAATGAACAACCGGCAACATCAGATATTGAAACTGAACAAAACTTAGTCACTAATAGGAAAAGTGATTTTGTTGATACTGAAAATAATGTTTCCGTTTCTATTGAAAGTGCTTCCAAAAATATATCGAATATTGAAGAGATAATTTATACAGCGTCTGATGATGAGAATTTTCTTAAAAGACGCGTTAAAAAGGTATGGTTTATATACAATAAACTTTTAACAAGTTTCTAACAAGCTGAAAAAGCCTTCTAAAAAGGAGACTGAAGAAACTTATCGCAATACTGCACGTATTAAACGTGACCGAAATCTTGGGCCTGCTCCTACAAATAAAAAAGCTCCTCTTGATGGGTTTTTAAAACTGTTTAGAGAAAAAAAAACTTTCCCTATCTTTGACGCAAAACTTGAGAGAGTTTCTGAAAAAAAATCTTTGAAAGAAGTCAGTGAAGAAGAAAGTGTATTTTCTGATCAAATGTATGTTTTTTCCCCCCCTAATTATTATAGGCATTAAGGTTAGAATTAACAATTAATTTTAGATTAAGCCCGGAACCAGTTCATTCTTCGATACCTTCATCACCTATTACAAAAGATGCAGATGATTTTTCTTCTAGGAGGTCTAAAGAACTGGAAACTGATACTAATCTTAAAGCCTCAAAGAAATTTCAATTAAAAAGTATTAAATCTTATACGAAAGATGTTGATATTGATATTGATATTGATTTTGATTTTGAGATAACGAAACCCATAAGGCCTTCTTTAATTTCAAATTCAAATGGGGGTTTAAATAAAAAATCATCTCAATCTCAACTTATTAAAAAACAATTATCTTCAAACTCTATTCAAAATAGACTTGCTAAGTTTGGAATAAAATCGAAATTATCAAACTCCTCGAATACCAAAGATATTAATAACACAGATACACCTAAAGCTATTATTTTTCATCAGCGCAGCCAAATTCGAAAAGAACGGGAAAGTAAATTTGAGAAAATGAAAACTATTATGCAGCATCCCGCAACAGCCAATGACAAAAACTTAAGAAAAGAAGTTGATGATGAAATAGAACGAGAAATCCTTTTACAAAAGGCCAGAAAAAGTGCAATGCTCATTCGGAAAAGAGAAAAAGAGCTTGAAGAAAGTAATAGATCTAAGGAACTTTCATTAAACAATGAATGTGATGAAGAAGGTGAAATTGCCCATGTTTTTAGCAGTGAAGAGGAACAGGAAGAATCAAATTATGAATTTATAGATCACTCCACAGATACCGAAGAGGAAGAAGAAAACCTTGAAGAAGATGAAAGTCAACATAGTTTCAACAACGAAAACTCTTTATCACAAGAGGATAAGGATGATGGAGATTGTGAAGAAATTATACTTCCTAAGAATAGAAAAAGTCGAAATATTATTTTTGAAGATGATAATAATGACCAAGAAGTTAATAAAAAAGCTTTGTCAACTCAGATTATATTGTCTAATACTATACAAAATACTGTGGCTGTTACTCAAACCCAACAAATTTCGCAGTATTCCGTTCAAAGTGACAAATCATCTGATTTAGCTTTAGATTTATCTACCCAGGTCATTTCTTGTGCTGAAACTCAACAAATTATAAATAAAACAACCGATACACAGGATATTTCTGAATGTTCATCCATTTCACTGGCAACCATTGGAGCTGAAAAAAAAAGAGATGATCAGTTTGATGTACTTGGAAAATATCCTGGCTTCACACCTTCTCAGTCAAATAAAGCTATTCTACCATTTGGGAAGAGCAAAAAAAATGTTATTTTGGATGAAACTGGAGATTTTCCTGATCCCACACCTATATCTCAAATCCCTCCAGCAACGCCTCTTTCCCCTCCACGAAAGCTGAAAAGTACAACATTTTTGGAAAATTCCAAAAACACTGATTTGAATGAAGCTTCTGAAGATGAGCATAGTAAAAAGGGGATTTCGATTTCTGGCCCATTTTTACGAAGACTTCGCCAGAAAAATAATTTTAATGATGAAGAGTTAATTGATGTGGAAGAACCAACCCAAGTTACAGATAACGTTCCGTCTTTGCGTGACTTTAATCATAAACACAAGCTGACTGAAAAGAAATCTTCTTTTGTTAATGAAATTCTTGATGAAGAAGCAGTTGAATCGGAAGATGAATGGGCAGGACTTGGAGGTGCTAGTGATGATGATGAAAGAGTTGCAAATGAAGAAGAAGAGGAAGCGGAACTCAAAAAAGTGCTAATTAATGATAATGATGAAATGGTTTTGAAAGGTAACGCTGAAATGGAGGCCAGTAATTTAGCTTTACTTGCTAAAAAATTAAGAGCTACCGACGAAGAAGTCACTAAAGAACTTCTCGAAATGACTACTGGTGAATGGCGTAAGAAGGGAGGGCGCAATGGCTTATTTGATGAACTCTCTGATGACGATTATGATGAGTTTTTTGATGAAGATAGCCATCGTCTTTTGTTGTTAAAGCATAAAAAGGAAAGACAAGAGGCCCTTAAACTCGAAATTATGGCTAATAAAGATTTGTCATATTTAATATCTGAGCCCAAGGCCAGTGCGTTTCTTCGTCAATTAGTTGAAGTTGGTCCTGCTGCTCATATTGATGCTGAAACAAAAGCAATTTTTGGTGATGAGGATTGTGAAAAATCCATTGATGTTGATGTTTCTAGACCAGAAGAGACTTTATCAATTCTAGAAAATACTGAAATTAATGATGACAACAACTCTTCATTAAAAAAGAGAACCAATTCTGAAATTGAAATCAAAGAAGATGATCAATGGGCAATCATGCAACGAGCTAATGCACAAAGCCAAAAACGTCGCAAAGTGAATTTGGAAAACATTCATTACCAGCTTTCATTTTTGAATAAATTAAAAGACAAAAACGATGCAGATGCAGATGCAGATGCAGATGCAGATGCAAATGATGTTCTTGAACAGGACGGAAGTTCAAATATCCATTTAGAAAAGCCACATACATTATTTGACAACCTCGATTCTGATGTGGAGGATATATTAGAAGATAATGATTTCCCAATAACTGGACTTGATTTTAATGACGAAAAAGCAGGTTCAAAAATGATTTCTTCCATTTCGACATTGACTAGCGTTTCTGAAATAAAAAAAAAGTCACGGTTATCAATAAGTTTGCAACGAAAATCAGGTCACTGCAACTCAAGAATAGAATCTGATAGTTTACTTTTTGGTTATTTGGCTTCTCGAAACAACACAATTTCCAAACTTCGATCGAATAAGCCTGGGTCAATTGTTAATCGCTCTAGCATATTACTCAATGATGAAAATGAAATTACAGAAGAATCTCCAAATAATTCAAGTTCAACTCAACGGCAAGAAGTTACTGTTACAGTCGGACTGCCAGTGGAAGCATCGGAATCATCAATGACGGCTTCTATTAATTATCAAAAGAAGGGAAGTGTTACCAAAATATCTAATACTGCTCTTTCATCCAAGTCACTAGGCCGTCACAATAAAAAGCCATTCAAGAATGCAGTAGTCAAAAATGGGTCTGCAATTAAACGAGTTGATCCCATAAAATCAGCAAAAGCTGAAATTGACCGAAAAATATTAAAACGATTGAAATCTTCAAAGTTTCCTTCGTTGGAAGGCTCTTGGTCTTGAGTGTTTTAGTTTATATTTATCAAAGTATTCTAATAAGTTCATTAGGCTACTCTGGTATTGATTTTTTTTGTCTACATACCCTCTTCATTTAATCCTTTTGTACTATTATAAACCGGTGTAAAAATTCAAAATTTAGCGTATTAGGTTTCCAAATCTCTGGCTAATACTTTCTTTATTAGAAATCAATTAAAACGAATCCAAAACAGTCAATTTTTTTTTGTTAACCTTTCATAAGTTTTTTGAAATCAAAAACAATGTTTTGACTTGAGCTTTAACTTTGACCTTTCTTTTGAGTTCTGATTTTTACTTTATAAAGCAATGATTAATTCATGCTAAATGTACATTTAATACATGTATTATTTTTTTATTATTATTATTATATAAAGTACAGAATGATACAGTTTGTTGCTTACTAACTTTTTCCCTCCTACCTATACACCACACCATGATTTCAGACGACGTATTAATTTCGCGAATTCCGAAGCAAGTTCAAGAAAAAGATGATCCCAATGTTCTTGAGTATGAATAAAATGAAAAAGAAAATATATTGTTCTTTTAATATATTAATTTCTGGTTTTTATTAGGTTTCAACTGCCGAGTGTTGCCTTGTGTCTAGATTGGTTTAATGAAAATTTAGTCTATGGCCATGATCTTGGAATAACTGTTTTATCTAGATCTCCAAACACTCAAGCTAATAGTTATTCAACAGAAATACAGAAGAAATGGGAATTTAAAAAAAATTATTTTCATTTGGGAAAGTCTGTAGAGCTTGTTAGATACCGTGATAAATATGTCGCTGCAGTCCACCCTACCTTTGATATCACTTTAGTAGATACCCAATCTGGAAAATTAACATTGCTCGGTGGCTCGAGTGGTCATTCTTCTTATATTAATTCTGTTGATATATCTATTAATGGCTTAGTAGCTTCTACAGGCGATGATCGTGCATTATTAATATGGGATGATGGAACGCCCTTTGACTTTCCACTAGGCGGTGTAGGAAAAATTGTCAAATTTTGGAACTCTGCAGATAGCAACATTGTTGTCGTTCTTGAAGCTGGAAATAAAATTAGAGTACTAAATTATCAAACAAAAGAGTGGATGCTAACTATTTATCCAGGTCAAGCTGGGTGCTGTGGTCCTTCAACAGGTTCTGTAAAGGATATTATGATAACTGATAAATTCCTTTATGCAATTGGACTTGGGTGGTGGAAAAAATATGATTTGGAAAACATTTATGGTGGATGCGGATTTACCACTCCTGTTGCAGAGCAAACATTTTTTCAAAAGCCTCTTTCTTCTCATTTAGTTATTTCGAACTCGAGATTTATAGGTCTTGCTACAGCTAAGCTTCAATTGATTTATGATACCAACAAAAATAAATTATACTCGTTGGATTTCAACCTTCCTGATGATGAAATTACTGGATTAACTATTTCATCAACTGGTGAAGCTTTTATCATTGCTACTGGAAATATTTTAACATTAATTAGCCTAATATAAATTAGTACAATATTTATATTTGTTTTATCCGAAATCTAGGAAAAAAATCTAATCAAGATTTTAATGATAGTACAGCAACACTTTCAACATGATGCGTTTGTGGAAAAAAATCAAATCCTCTAATACTTTCAATTTTGTAAACCTTTCCTTTCTCTGAGTTCAAAATATATCCTATATCCCGAGCTTGAGAATGAACGTTACAGCTGACATAAACAATTTTAGCAGGTCTGAAATCTAGCAATTGGTCTAAAAATTGAACATCACATCCTTTTCTAGGAGGATCAATAATTATTGAAGTCTGATTGGGATCTGTTGTTACACCATCAAAAATTTTTTCTGCTTGACCCACGATAAATTCGGCTTTAACATTATTAAGCTCAGCATTTTTTCTCGCGTACTTAACGCTATCTTGAGAGATTTCAACCCCAATAACTTTTTCAGCTTTGCCACAGCAAGTGATGGCAAATAGACCACAACCACAATATGTATCTACCAAAAAAGTTGGCGGCTGACCTGTCTGTGGAAGCTTGATATTATCGCGCACATAATTTGTTACCAATGTCAAAATAGAATTATTGTTTTGAAAAAATGAAGATGCTGGATATGTAAATATGTAATCGCCAACATATTCCGTGATAATATCCTTGGTGCTAGTAGAGCAAACCTTTTCTTTTTCCCCCTTGCTCAAGTTTATTTCCTGAAGCTTATTTTCAGTATCCTGAAGTTGCTCAGCGTTTTGTTTCAAAATTGTATTCTCTCGAAGAAGAAAAGTAGCTCCACGTTTATATTGCTTGAAATTTTCTTGAAACCACGATCTTTGTTTCTTCAAACCACCATTAACAACAGACGTGCCGATAGAACACTCCTCAATATCAAGAATTGTTTTTCTTCCGGGTTGTCCAAAACCCACAGGTGGAGCAGTTTCAGGTGTTTTTCTTGGAATGTCAAAATGAGGTGTTAGCTTTGTTCTGTAGTTATATTTTAATGGTGAGCCAACTGTTTCCTCAATATGAGGAACATTAATTGGATCTAAATTGGAGTTGTGTTTGTATGCATTGACAATCACGTTTCGCTTGATCTCTAGTTGGTCTTTATAATCCAGCATCTGATATTGACAACCAGAACATTTCCCAAAATATTGACAGTTAATTAAAGAGTCATCTCGTTTAGGTGATGGTACCATAACCTTTATTAAATCAGCTTTGAAGTAAAGTTTTTGAGTGTTATAAATTTTAGCTTCTACTTCATCTCCAACTACAGTGAAAGGAACGACAACAACCTGATATTTAGGTTGCAAGGTAATACCCTGAGTATTTGAATCATCTTCAGATATTTTTACCAAGCCGATACCTTCACCAATACTGGAAATCGCTTCAATCTTTACCAAAACATTTTTATGCTCGGGGTGAGACGTTCCTTTAGGACGAGAAAAAAATTCCTTTAAATCATTCGTTACATCCTCGACAGAAACTTCTTTGGTCTTCAAAAAACTTTTGATATCTGTTATGAGAACACCCTCATGTGAAATTGGATCGGCAAGAGGGGGTTCTTTAAACCGTTTGCCTTTTGCCTTTCCTTTTTTAAACGTATTTTCTTGATCTCTGCTTCTTTTGTTTTCATTAATTGGTACACTTGAGACCTCGGAAGATTTAATCATTGATTCCTCCATTCCATTAATGGAATTAGTAGTATTAGTAGTATTAGTAGTATTAGTAGTATTAGTAGTATTAGTAGTAGTAGTATTATTGACAGACATGATGGGTAGGCTTGAAAACGCTTTTTTCTGGTAGTATAGATATGATGATCCAAGTCTTCTATTTGAATAATATATGCCACGATGGTTTTGAAAAGTCTGAACAATTAAATTAGTATTATACTTTAAACATATTTTTTTCATAGGATTTGTTTTTGAAAATCGTCACTGAAGAAAAGAACAAGGATGATAGAAACCTTCTCGTTATTTTATCAAGTGATAGATGAAAAATCTTCAATAAGAGATCACAGAAAAAAAAATCTTCGTAGAAATTGATCATGTAATATCTATCAAATCAAACTAATTTGTTTAATAAGCTTTGAAAAAATAAATATCTTAACTAATACATTATATAATAATAATGTGATATTTATTCTAAGTCATAAGTAAATAAGTATAGGTTTTAAGTTTTAAGTTTTATTTTATATCATAAAATAAAATAACCATAATTATGGTTATTTTAATTATAATTAATTAGCGATCCCAACAGAATAATACTTAGATTTTTTTTTAGTTGCATATCTTATTTTTTTATTAAGTAGAACTTAGTATTCTAGGAATCCCAGTGTTATTGTTTTTGGCAATTTAATTTAATGTTTTTCATAAATCTCCAGTCGCTACGCTAATTACGTTGTTAAAAGCTAAGTTTGGGATTTCTGATAAGCTAATAACTAATGTAAATACAATGGTATTGATGGAGATGGTGAAAAAGATGTAGGTAGATATTATTAGTATTGTTATTGTTGAATATGTAATTCTCAGCTTAATGTCTGTCATATTTTTCTAAAACAAAAATTATGGTTGGCTTTGCTAAAATCTAGAACTTCAAGACTGACAATTTTTCTTACGCCTAATGTAGAGACGTCTACACCATAGATTAACCATTAAAGATAATGATTTTTTCTTTTAAAGTTCGCTAATCAGATACAATAACATCAAGAAGCTTTCCGCATTCATAACTATCACCTGTTATTAAGTCAACGATTGTTAAGCCTTCTAAAGTAAATTGACCTGGTGCTAAAGCCATCATTTGGATCTGTGTTTCATAACAAGCCTGGGCTGCAAGTGGACCAATTCTAACATCATTCATTAAGCTGACAATGCCGACACCTGACAATCCGTTAAGAGCTCTGTCGCCATAAAGTTTTCTTAAAGATACTTGATCTAAAACTGGAACATATGAAGAAATTATTTTTTCATTTGTTTTTAACTTTTCCTCTCGTTCCTTCGGCTGTATGTATAGTGTTAAATGTCGATTAGTAAATGATTTATTAATAGCAAATACTCTCCAACTGAAAACCTCCCCTACTTTTACCGCACTTGGTGCAGAGAAACTAATTACCAATCCACTTAAAAGAGAAGTCGACCTGTTATTTATTGAAGATCCATTGCTTACAGCGATTGTGCGCATAGCTGTGTTGGAACTTCCTGGTGAGCTTTGCTGACTTTTTATTGAACTAAAATTGGCTGTTTCATTGCCACGAAGAAGTTTTTTAACACCACCTGAAGCGCTTGCAAATGAAACAGGTGCTGTGATCTTAGAATTTCCATGTGAAGGGGGAGCAACTACTCCAAAATCGACTATAGTATCCCATTTTGTAACTATCTCAGGACCAATATTGTTGACATTTAATGATTGAATTAATTTAGATTTTTGTTCACTTTCTTTAAATTGAACTGAACAATTTAAAACTGGTATTGCATTCAAAATTATTGTTATAGGTTTCACTCTCGTTTGGGGTAATCCAGCATCAGGGTGGCTTAAATGATAAGCTATAGAACATGATTCACCAGGTGATAACCATAATGGGAATGATGTGTTTCCAAATTCAACAGCAGATCCAGCAGTAAAATCAAGCGTTGCAGATTTTATAACAACATTAAATGGTGCGTTTTCATTATTATCTATTTCCAATATGGAAACAATACTATCTTGCATACCAGTGGCTTTTGTGCATCGAAGACGAAGATTGACAGCAGGAAATACCTGAAATGAAACAGAACAAGAAATTGTTGAAATAGGTAAATTTGCTGTGGAATTTGAAACATTTGATAATTGAGAAGTTGAAATAGCGCTCTTACTATTTCTGTTTGAACAGCTTTCTATGCTGTCATTTTCTAAATGGTATTGTGCTTGAGTATTATCCTTTCTTATGGTGGGGGTTTTAGAAAAATCACTAATTAATCGATTAATAGCAAGTCGAGATCGAATTGACTTTATGCTTTGGTCGCTATGTAATGGAGCAAATAAATTGGTGTCTTCTACGGGCTCAAATTCCTCTAAAAATTTTGTAGATTTATCGTCTTGGTTTTTATCGTGAATAGCATTGACAGTTGAGGCCCTATGAATTAGTTTCAGGGTTGAACCATCCATAAAACCTTGGTTGTTCTCTTCATGAGTTACCCTTGCTAAATTCGCCATTGAGACAGTATGTACTAGTTTAGCGTTAGAAACATTTTCAGCATCGTCGGTAGAAACGTTTTCAGAAGCATTAACACTAATTATTACTTCCGGTTTAAACAATCGAGCACGGGGATGGGAAATTACAGTAGAAACTTTCCATACTGCAACCCAGGTAGCACATTTGTGCTCGTCTTTCAGTGAAGATTTACCAGAATAAACGAGTTCCGAACTATCCAAAGCAGAAGTGAAAAGTTCATATGCCTGTAACTGAAAATTTTGTTTCTGTTTTTCATTTAAAGAATCGGGTACTGCAATATTACTGACACCAGAAATCTTGACATCCACGACAATTTTCAGCGTGCTAATAAATCGTTTAAAATCGTCACCAGATAGATCCGAAATGCAAGAAATGGAAGTATCAACGTCTTGATTTTTTTCATTTTTGGAACTTATGTTCAATTGGCTTTCATTAATTTTAAGCTGTATATAATATACTAACTTCTCATCGTAAAAAACAGCAGTTCTGGCCGGGGAGGATTGATTTTTAGAGTTCGATAGAATAGAAATAGGATTGGTATTTGACGAATCATCATCAACGGTTATAGAGGGGACATGAAGAGAAAGTGCACCATTACTAATTAGAAATCTTTCACTCATATTTTATGTTTGGAACTATTTTATGGATTTTTTTTACTGTAATTAAAATAATATAATTAATTAAAATAATAATATCTATAAAACGACATAGAATAGAATATTAGAGACTTGGGCAGATTACATTCCCAAATTAATTCAGCAACGTAAACTGTGACACAGGTCACGAGATACTAATAATAATGCGTCATTGTGACTAAAAAATGTTACAAGTTATGCAAAAAGTAATCACTTAACCTTCCATGACTTTCTATTTTCCAACACCTTTACTTCACCTTTACAGTATTTAACAGTTTTTGTTCCCACCCTTTTTTTCTTCCTCTTTTTCTTTTGAACCCATTCAAATCCATCGAATTTAAATTTATTTTTCTAAACTATCTCGATTTTACTTCACTTTTAACAAAAATGTCTAATGCAAGCTGGGATGATGTCACCGTTATCGGTAAGCACAAACAGGGTGGTGCAAAAGCTACCGTCGCCAGATCACAAGCACAAATCAATGCTGCTGCCCGAACCGGTGGTATTCTCGCTGTTGAAAAGAAGTGGGCCGGTGGCAGCAACAAGACTGGTGACCCTGAAGGTCAAAGATTAGCTAAAATTGATAGAGATAATGAAGTTGCACCTCCTGCTAAAGTTGACGTTAGCGTCGGAAGAGCTATGGCTAAAGGGAGACAGGAAAAGAACCTCACACAAAAAGAACTAGCACAACGTGTAAATGAGAAGCCAAATGTTATTAATGATTATGAAGCTGGAAGAGCTGTTCCAAATCAGCAACTTCTTGGTAAGATCGAACGAGCACTTGGCGTTAAACTCCGGGGTAAAGATATTGGAAGCCCTCTTGGTGGTCCCAAAAAGAAATAATTAGAAATAAAATATAATGAATTCTTGTATTTTCTTGGCTACATTAACACACATAATATTTAATTAACTTGTAGGAAATAAAAAAAAAAGAATAAAGAATAAATTGTAATTAAATTCACTATATAGTCATAATTTAAAATATTTTCTCCTAAGCATAAAGATCGCTTACAAAATCATTGTACTGGATGCCAGGCTTCACAAGAACGCTTTCTTCAATCAAGAATTCGTGGGCCATTGGAACAATATGTCCCTTAACCTTGGCCAATTGGCTACGAATTCCAAATGAATCGTTTGCATACTTTTGAGAAACATGACAGGGACTGGTCACTTCAGATGTCCAGGAAACATACTGGTTCCAGTTATGAGCATTGTTTGTGGGGTAAGTATGAAAAACATCCTCAAAAACACCCTGATTAGTTCGAGCAATATCCAGAGTGTAATTCCAAAGATTCTCATCTAATGGATCTGCAACGATACTATCTTCTTCAGAGCCAAAATCATAATTGTTGCATTGGGGCAGCGGGGACATATCACTAGTAAAGGTTTCACCGGCTATACCAGCCACTAAGGACTGGGGTTGAACTAGGCCCAAATGCTTGCGCATTAATTGACGTCTCAAACTGGTTGCAAATCTAGACACAAGAGTTGGAGAGCCTCCAACATTAATTTCAAAATCTTGAGGCTCTTCTATCACCATCGCAATTTCACTATCATGATCTCCCGCCATACTGCGATCATTAATATTAGAACTGCCGCAAACAACCACTCGATCATCAACAATCAAAAGTTTAGAGTGAATATAAAGCTGTTCCGAAACAAAATGTTCAGCTTCATTAACCCCAGGGAAGGCCCAGCCTTCATCCATGACGCTAGGAGTTGATTGAAAAGCGCAATATGAAATGCTACTTTTAGCACCTTTTTGCTCAGCCAACTGTTCATAGTTTAAGTAATTTTGGGAAAGTTGTTTCATGTACTCTGATGTTTGCTGATATTTTGATACAGTGTTGGGTTGCAGGTCGCAAAACGATTCAGTAGGAAGTATTCTATCAAAACTTCTTAAGTGATAAAATTGAATATAATCACCAGGGTTAAAGCCAGCTTGAGAAATTCTCTCCAAAATGCTATTACCACCCCTGTTAATAGATTTATATTGAAAGTTCATGATTGCGCGAATACCCACTGCATCATCACTTTTGATATCACCTGCAAACCCTGGAATTGCTGGTATGACAATTGTCATCTTGAAAGGTTCATTGTTTCTAGCAGCTTGTAAGATGCGATCAACTATAGCGTCGCCAATTTCGTTGTGAAATCGATCTGCCGTGGAAAAAGAGCCTCCAGCAATAAAAAATTGATTTTCAATGTAGACAGAAAATCGGGCATCTCTTATAAGTGATATATAAGCGTTTTGAATAGATCTTTCAGTTAAATAGCCATGACTCCAATCTGAGATGCTTCGACATAGTTGAGTGGTAACATTCCCACAAAATGAATCCGGGCTTTCAGGATGAGGTAAATATATTTTCCTAGGTTCTTCCTCATTGATATTATACTCCATTCGTGCATCTGGATTCAAAATAGGGTCCTCGTAAGGGGCAAGTTTTGGAGCTTCGTCGTTTTCTTTTGAATTATCATTTTTTCCAGAAAGATTCAAAGAACCGATTTTATCTCCAAGATTCTTTACCGCATCAAGTTTCGATTTAGATGCAGGGATATGTTCAATGACACCAATTTCCATAGGGATATACTTGGGCCTGTTAAGATATTTAAAAACACGTAAAAACTCCCAACGTTCAATAAAGTGGCGTTCTAATGATACACAGCCGGGACCATTTATTTGGAAAGAGACATCTTGCCATCCCATTCTAGGGATTACCCTTCTATCAACTGAATCAATTTCTGGGCTGGAAACATTATCAAAATCATGAATTCTGGCATTGTTGTACTCTTGTCCATTATAAATAGTAGCTTCAGAAAAACCAGGGTGCAAATCGGCAATTGGATGATAATTTAAATCCCATCGTCCATAACAAAGATCAATGCCACCCATAAAACCCACACGACGATCAATTAACATCATTTTTTCATGATGTGCCCAAAATAAAGTGACGTTTCTACCTTCGAGAGCAGTGTGATCAGGGTGACGCATTACTTTTATGTTAGGGTGAAGTTTTTCCAATGCTAAGTACGTTAGCAAACATCTTTGTTAAACCATTTTCTTTACTAAACTTACCATGTTTTGTGTGAACCGATTGAAGTGTTAAAGCTGATTCCACTTCCTTATAGCAAAGAATTCTAACATCTACTCCTCTTTCAGCAGCACGGGCAAGGGTCCGGTCGAGTCTCCATTTTTCATTTAAAGCAGGTGGTCGAACAAGAAACTATACCAAAATAAGGTTTGAAATAAGGTTAGGAAGGCGTAGCAAAGTATATCAGCATCAAACGCAGAATTCAAAGTTTAGATTTCAAAAAAAAAAAAAGAGTATAGAAATACACTTACAAGTTCAGGTGAAAGCCACCAATCCATGATAAGAATTTCGTACTGAGCACTTTCAATAGCTTGAGCAATTGCTGCCATATAATCATGACCTAACTTAATTAGAACTGCCAAAAACATTTTGCATTAAGATCACAAAACTTACCACCAACAAACCATTTCACCTCATTGCGAAATGAAGAAGAAGAAAAGCTCCTATAGGAATTTCAATATATTAGTCTTATTGTTTATATTTTATAGATAATTATAATACTTACTTAAATCTATTATTTGCTTTTTCTTTTTCTCGTTCTTCGTCAGCAGCAATCTCATGCTCTTCATCATGTCGGTGATTATTGTTTGTTATACGATCTCCAAAATTGCCAAAAGATTGAGCAACATCTTTAAGAAAACCAGTAGAGTTAACGTTATCGGAAGAGATGTTGTCTTTGTAAGCCTTTTTAAGGCCATACTTTAAAGTATGGAAGGACATATAGTTAAATAATAAATAATAATATGATATGCCTTATAGAAATAAAATGAACAGAAACAGATCAATGATAAGTAAAAGGTATTAATATAATTGACCTAATTCAAATTCAAATTATATGTATGATATGTTTATTTGCAAAAAAAAATATATATATGTTAATCAAGATAAGTTTACAGAAATATATAAATGTAAAAGTAAAAGTAAAAGTAAAAGTAAAAGTGAAAGTGAAAGTAAAACAACGTGGTTAATATATCTGTACTGATAATTTCTAATATATTATCTAATAATATTTATTACATAATATTTAAATAGGAATATTTACTGAGTGGTATATCTAAGTAAGCTTATGATTATGCTTAGATTTCTAAATCGAATTTGGCAGGGATAGAGGGGTTACGTTTTCCAATTGATAAACTTTGGTCAGGAAATTTTTTAAGAAAAAAAAAATCCTTTCTAAAATAGCCACTGGATTGATTATGAAAAAAGATTGTTGAAAGATCTTGAGTGCCATTATTCAATTTCGCATGAGTCATGGAGACTTTGGTGCCTGATGTCAAAATCTCGGTATTGAGACGGAGAGCTACAACTGTAAGTGTATCGAGCTGGGAACAATAATGTCCATTTTAGTTCAGCATCCTTTAGAAGAAAAAGAAATAAATGTATTAAATCCGGTGTTTTTTCTCTTGAGATAGAGATTTGACTCTCTGAAACAGTATAAGCAAGAAATTGTAAGCTATATATATCTGCTGACCTTGTTCTTCGTAAGTTATCATCATCAATACATATTTTCGGGCTATTGAAGATTTAAACGTTGAAATTAAATTAAATGTTCATTGCAAAAACGAAAAAAGTGGTAAAAACCGAATGAATAATATTATTCATTAATTTCGATGCTGATGTTTTTATTATCTTTGAATAAAAAAAATTAAAGAAAAAAACTCAAGTCAACCCTGATTTTAATTGCATTTAAACGAGTGGTTATCTAGAAAAGTACAAAACATTTATATATTGCAATTCAATGAGGTTTCAGTCTAGTTGCTTTGAAACGATAGATTTTAAAAATACATATATGACAATTTTGAAACCTTTAAACAGATAAAAAAAAATCGGAGAATTTATTAATGCTTATTCTTATCTAAATCTACTTAAAATAAAAAAAAATATATTAAAATAATTTTTTGAAATCATAAAATATTTGCTTGTCTTAGAATAGACACAATAAGGTTTAGCTGCACAATAGCGAAAAGTCGTTTTTGTTGACGGTGTTTATAAAATTTACAAATTAGGAAAATTTTTGCGACATACCCCTCTTTTTTTTTTTTTTTTTTTTTTTTTTTTTTTTTTTTTTTTTTTTTTTTTTTTTTTGTTTTTTTTGTTGTTTTTGTTGTTTTTTTTTTTTCTTGTAAACTTTTATTATAAAATAAAATGCGTTCATTTTATAGTTTTGTAAACCTTTATTAGAAAATGTATTCATTAGTCTGATCCTAATACTAACCAATTCTTTTATTTTAATTTTTTGCGGAAAATAGCTATTTGAATATGCTGAATATTGTCAAATTTGACTCAGAGAGTTCCAAAACCGATGAAAAAGCTTTTGTGAAAATTAAGACATCGGAACAAACTTCATTCCCGTTGGTTTCTTCGAAGTCACAATCCAATCTTTCCTCTCTCAAAATCGAATTACCGGCTCCATTCCAATCATCCTTAAAACAACATGATAACGATCATCCCTTAAACTCCTTGCAATCTTGTCTTAAAAGTTCTAGAAAAAAATCTGAATCTGAGTCTCCTTGCCATTTTGCATCTCAATCTGAGCCTTTGGTGGAAAAAACAAACGGTGAATTGGCGTCGGCCGAATTCCAAATTCTCACGCCTGCATTGCAACAAAAACATCACCTTTCCAAATTTAGACCAAACAATTCTTGTTTTTCTACATTTACGTCTACCTCCACATCTAGTAAATCTATCATCATCACCACCACTCCATCAAGTCCTGTTAAAAAAATTTCACCCTTTTTAACATCCACAAAGCAATTAGAAACAGTGAAATCACTAAATTTTTCTCCATCTTCTGACTCTAAGCCGAATTCGACAGACATTTCTTCTCACTTTAAGCCTTCTCCTTTGACAGTAGTTTCGAGAGCTACTAGTCTTTCTCAAATGACGGCAGGTAAACAACAAGCTTCTTTGTCGTCTTCGTCATCTGCACCCAATACACCACCCGCTATATCTTCTTCTTCTTCGGTCTCTTCCATCTCGACGAGCAGACCTCCAATTCAATTTCAGCATCAATTTCAACATCAATTTCAACATCCATCGGCATTTTCTCATAGACTTGAATCTTCTCAACATCAAAATCAACCTCAAAATTTAAATCACAGCCAAAGTCAAAGTCAAGGTCAAAGTCAAGGTCAAAGTCAAGGTCAAAGTCAAAGTCAAAACCAAAACCAAAACCAAAATCAAATTCAAATTCAAAATCAAAATCAAAAACATCAACAACACCAATATCAACATCAACAACAGCAACAGCAACAGCAACATCAACAGCATCAGCAACAGCAACAGCAACAGCAACAGCATCAGCATCAGCATCAGCATCAGCATCAGCATCAGCAACAGCAACAGCATCAGCAACAGCAACAGCATCAACATCAGCAACAGCATCAACATCAGCACTTACAACCTGCACAACCACAACCACAACCACCTCCACCTCCACCTCCGTCTTCACCACCATATTTATCTCAACCACACATACAACCTCAATCACGGTCTCAATCACAAAATCATCAACAAAAGCAACAAAAGCAACAAAAGCAACCAAATCCAAATTTATCACAATCATCTCAGTCACATCAAAGTTCTCCTTTTTTAGATAATAATTCTTTACAGCAGACTTCACCTACTTTGCCTCAGTCTCGAAGAGAACCTTCATCACTATATCCCCCTGTTCCAGCGAATGAAGACTTTTTTCAGTCTTTATTAGGCCCTGGAATATCTTCATGGAACTTATCAGATGAAACATTACGCGCTGCTTTGCAGTTGAGAACAGAACAAGAGCGAACCAAACAAGAATATTATAAAGTAGAATTGAGAAAAAAAAGTGCAGACTTATTATCAGAGGCAGTTCGTCACAATATTCCATCTAATATAATGCCATTGTTATTTTCAACTCCTAATGAAAATATATCTAATTTGGATTTGACGCAACAGAAATATATATTTAATAACCAAAATAATCAGCTAATTTCATCTCAGTATTCTGCTCAACATCTGCAGCAACAATCACAGTATGCGTATACATCATCTCAAAGCTCATCTCAAATGAACAACACATCTGTTGACATCATACCCCCTGATAGAGAAAACTTTTCACAGCACCAGCGTAATACATCGTTATCCCAACCCGCAGTAACTAATTCCTCTGAATATCAACAAAAGCATCCTACAACTGCACAATTACAAATTCAGTCCAATCAATCTGCTCAGGGATCATCATCTACTACAACTCCTAATTTTAGACCTCGTCATGGCCAGCATTCCTCGTTATCATCAATCCCTTCTTCCCATTATTCTCCTACCCGCAATGCATTATCATCGCAATCAGTTTTTCATTCGCCTTCCAGAAATTCCTGGCAAGGAGCTAGCCCAAGTCCATACTTTCCGCCTCCTCAAAACGCATATACTTCCAATAACAGCCCTGCCTCTCCTTCAACATCTGTACATCAAATTATTCAATTCCATCATTGGCAACCTAATCAACAAAAATCTACAACCTCCCCTAAAAAGGACGGTTCTATTAACGTATTAGCTGAAGAACCTTCTTCTATTAAAAGACGAAAATCTGTTACTGTTTCTAGCGATAGAACAATTTCACCAAGTCCAACAAAATCTATTAGTACAACCACCCCTTCAGCTTCAGGTGCAATGGTATCTGCTTCCGCATACTCCAGAAGACGAGGAATGCATTCACGTAATAAATCTGAAACATCAGTTTTACGAGGAGACTCTCTTTCGCGAATGTCATTATATTCGAGCCCCAGTGCTAGTGCTTCTTCTGTCTCTATTTCTTCATTATCTCGGAAAGTAGCTGAAGAGGAAAATGGTGATACTTCTCAATCATCCAGCTTAACTCAAGGCACGAATCAGCAACCGCAATCCCAAAACTCACAAGTTATTGGACCTCACTCTTCTTCTTTGCATCCTGCTAAATCGGATTTGTACAGCCATATCACTTCTGAAAGTTCTAAGGCTTTAATTAATGCTACCGGTACTAGATCCCCCATTAAAACAAACTCTAATGTCGATGACCCCCAAAAGGAGTTTACCAAAGAGGATTCTAGAACATCATTAGAAACTTCGGTAACCTCTCCAATTTTAGTCGCACCTAGACCCAGACTGGCAGGCAAAGGAGTATCAGGAATCTCATCCGATTCCATTGGTTTAAAATCAAGTTCTTCTGTTAACAGTGAAGAATTTATCTCTTCAAATGCTAATTTTAGATCTTATAGTACACATTCCGAGTTCGTTTCTACCCCTGTTTCAAAGAATAGCTCTAGAATTTCTAACGCTTCTGGCTTTAATTTTCTTGCCTCTGTAGCTGCAGATTCACAGCGGTTAGAGCCTTTATCACAAAAATCGGAACAGAAACTCCTTCCTAGATTTCAAGAACCCCATGATGGTATAAAAGGAAGCTCTCTTTTAAACAGATTATCTAAGGATGAACTGAACTCGGAGTTTACTTATCCCGTTAGAAAGGCTGAAAAATCTCCCGTTCCTTCAAAGAAATCGTTCTCGACGTCTACTAACTCACAAGTTGATAATCTGCAGTCTACCTTAAAAAATTCACAAGATAATAAAAAAGAAAATGATATCTCCTCGGTCGATGAGCCTAAAGATAATAATGGCACTTCCATGACCTACAAAGAATCTAAAGAGCCTAAACCGTTAATATCGACTGGAGAAGAAAATTCTGATGATAAAAGTGATGACGGCGAAGAATTATCAAAGTCAAAACAGTCTAAAAAGCATGGTGTTGGATTTATAATTGATGATTAAAAGAAATATTCAGTTTAGTTATATATAAATTGCCATCAGATCAGAAACAATGTGGCATGTTTAATTATGTCTGGTTAAAAAAATGATAGAATGTGGGAAAAACAATAAATGATTTTTTTTTGAAAAAGCAACGAATAAAGTTTTTTACAAAATTTGTCGATATTACATAATAATTAAAGAGTTGATTTTAAAAAAATAAAAACATGTTGAAACGTTGAAAAGGGGTAATAAGGCTAATAATGATTTATCAATATTATATCTTGCAAGGTGAAAATTTTAAAATATCAAAATATTATTATGCTTGCTAACTTATATTATGTTCATTTTCTTGAAGCGTTTCTTTAGCTGCTTCTTCCAATTCTGTTAATTCTAACCCTACCAATGACTTGATTTCATCATCTTCTAATGATTGCTGAGTGCCCCATTTTAATTTGCGAAGTTCATGAGCCATGGCCCTAATTACGCTATCAGATGCGTTAAGTTGAATCCATGCTATATAATCATCGACCCATATCTTCGAGTATACAAAATAATTGCCACCTCCCCCAGAAGATTCCAAAATTTCTTTGAGTTTAAGTAAAATGTGTAGTATTCGACGTTTGCCTAAACGTAACACATGGTACACATCTTTTTGAAAAACAGTAGAAGCAACAAGTTTCCAATTTCTTATAAGAGGAAAGCATAAAGCACGGCGGATACATGCAATGACAGCAGATAACAAAGTATCAAATTGGTCATCTAAAGCTGAAAATAATGGACATAATTTTGAAATAGTCCATGGGGATTCAACAGTGGGCTCACCCATTGTAGTTCGTTCGTCGTAGCACACTGAAAATATAATACAAACAAGCCCAATGTATATTTTTTTGGGGTTAGAAATATTTTCATAAATTGATTGGCCAGGATTCTCTGAAATTCCCTTTTCTCGAGCTATTCTCTGCATGTAATCAATTTCTTTTGTTGAGAAAGTAATATTTTCTTCTGTTTCTAATGCCGCTGCATTAGAAACATCAGAAAGATTATTGAAAGATATATTGGCGGGGGATTCCCATTTTAATATTAAATCTAGTTCAGGAGGCTCATCAAACATATCAGATAAATAATAGTCAGAATCAAAGGATAATGCTTCTAGTTCAAATCTTGACTGATGGCGAGATTCTGATGTAGAAGTTTCTGGATCAATAACATCATTAACATCATTTGACCCATCAGCAATAGAAACTCCTATAATATCAGAATATCGAGAATTAAACCCATATTTTCCAATTTGATTTTCTAACCCAGACTTATGGAATGTGCTTTCATCTACCCTTCCAGAATCTGTTTGTTCCACTTCCCAGTTAAAAGTTTCCGCTTCAGTTGAAAGCTTAGAAAAATGATCATTGATGTCCTGAGATGTAAGATTTTCTTTTAAGTCTATTTCTTGTATCAATGGTGTAGAAATAGATTTAATTTGATTCTCTATTTTTTCGCGTCGGGTTTTATCATCTATATCCTCTTCAGCATTATTGGGTCCCGTAATGTTAACTGTTCTTGCTAGAAGTTTTGTTACTAAATCCAAATCTTCAAAATAAGCTCCTTTTAGGGCCTTAGAAATAGATATCTCTATTATCGATTCGTTTGTCTTATAATGGATTGTTGATTTTAGTTTTTCATCATTAATAACTTTTTCGTCGTCATCGCTGAGAAGTTGTCCTGGAAATCGTAGGCGCAAATAATAGGGGCTCAAGGCAAATATAAACAAATCACCCTCAACAATAAATTCTATAGATTTACTTTCAGTGCGAATATTAATAATTCTGATATCAATATAAATTCGATCATCGTCTTGGCGGACAGAGAATTTTGGAGTTATCATTGTTAGTCAGTCATATACAACAAAAAGCCAGCGCAGGCAGGGTTTTTTTTGTTTTGCACTGGGTCTATTTTTTTTTTTTAATTTTGTTAAATAAATTATTAGTCATTGATTAACAAACAAATTTGTTTGTTTCTTTTATTTGTTTAGACAAAAACAAATAAATTTATTTACTTTTACAAGTAAAAATAATAAAATAATAAAATTTTAGGATAATGATCGTACTCTGTTTGAAATGCCTCCTACTGAACTGAAAGCTTTGAGGTCAAAAACTCTTCGGCGCATGTGGTTTTGGGAAATGAACTGTCATTTTTTGATTATCTATTTTGTATTCTCCTGAACTTCATCCATGGTATTCTTAACAAGTCTGTTAAAATCGGCCGAGTTATCAAGGCAAATATGATAGATGGATGGCCCACTTTTTCCACGATATGAAAAGGTGGTATAGCAGAAATTCAGTGAGAACAGCGGATATCGGTCCTGCAAACAATAAACACTTGTGTTCAGAAGTCATTTGACAATGTAGCTATCTGTATTTTTTTTAATTGGCTGTAACGATTTATTGTATTTTTACAAGGCCATAAAGTGAAAGAAAAGAATAGCTTCCAGTGGAGCTAGTGGGTATGTAGTGTTAAAATTTAAACATCGTGTAAACACATTTCCTTTTTTGTCGAAATAAACCGTAAATAAGCCAATTATATCTTTTTGTTTTAATTTCAGGCAATTATCGCTAAAATATCCGGATATGTCTATTATTATAGTCTGATACGACTATGTAACAAAACTTCGAATAAAAGTTAACTGATATACAACGAAGTTTACCAAGCATTGTCAGAATAAACTAATATTTTACTGATTGAATTATTGTTTTAAAATTAAATAAAGATCTAAATATTTATGGTTTTATTTAAGCTGTTAAAATATGTTGTGGTATACAAAGAGTAGACCTCACCTTATCAGAAACTTTACACATAAGATAAGCCAACAGGGTGGCGTTTTATTTAAGCGTTACTCACCCAATATTTTTTTGTGTATTTTGGCAACTCAAAAGGTAAAGGCATTCTATTCTAAACCTGTTTCAATTTATCACCCACACAAAGTCTTTCACAATTGTAATTTTAGTTCTAAAATGTCTACAACTATTTTCGACATTAAAAGACCTATTGAATCTCCAGAGAGAGATCCTTCTACTTTATCAAATTATTATGCTTTTAACGTCAATCTCACCGATATAGAATACCATGTTGATTGGGAGAAAAAAATTTTAGTTGGCAAAGTTATATACGACCTTTCTATTAAAGAATCCTCACAACCTTCTAGTATTATTTTAGACACCTCATACTTGAATGTTTTTAAAGCATCAATTAACGATGAGGAAACACCGTTTGTACTTGATGAAAAACGACTGGAGCCATTGGGGACTAAACTTTCTATACCCTTGCATAAATGGAGAACTAAAACTTCTAGTACTAAAGCTCAACTTAAGCTTTCCTTAGAGTTTTCTACAACGGAAAAAGTTACTGCTGTTCAATGGTTAGAACCTGAACAAACTGCGGGAAAAACAGCACCTTATCTCTTCTCTCAGTGTGAAGCAATCCACGCTCGTTCTATGTACCCTTGCTTTGACACGCCTTCTGTTAAATCTCCAATGAATATTTCAATTTATTCTATTTATCCAACTGTTTCAAGTGGTAATGTAGTATCGAAGCCTTCAAAGCCAGGTAGTGAAATCGAACCATATGTTTTTAAGCAAGAATTACCTATTCCTTCATACTTGTTTGCCATTGCATCTGGTGATATCTCTAATGCACCGATTGGACCTCGTTCTTTAATTTACAGTGAACCATCTTTTTTGCAAGCATGTCAATATGAGTTCGAAGCAGATACAGAGAAATTCATTGAAGTCGCTGAAAAAATTGTGTTTCCTTATGAGTGGAAAACCTACAATGTTTTGATTTTGCCACCTTCATTTCCATATGGTGGAATGGAAAATCCGAATATCACATTTGCAACACCAACACTCATTTCAGGTGATAGACAAAATGTCGACGTAATTGCTCATGAGTTAGCACATTCTTGGAGTGGAAATCTCGTTACTAATTGTTCATGGGAGCATTTTTGGTTAAATGAAGGTTGGACGATGTATCTTGAGCGTCGTATAGTTGGCTCAATTCATGGCGAGGCTTATCGTCACTTTTCTGCTATCATTGGCTGGAAAGATTTGCAAGATGATATTGATTCTATGAGTCCTGCAACCAGAGAAAAATACTCTCCTTTGGTTGTTGATTTATCTAATTTGGCCGATCCTGATGATGCATTTTCAACTGTTCCATATGAAAAGGGCTTCAATTTATTGTTTTTAATTGAGCAGAAGCTTGGCGGCTTTAAAGAGTTCGATCCTTTTATTCCCTTTTACTTTACTAAGTTTCGAACCCAATCATTGGATACCTATCAATTTAAAGATACTCTCTATGAGTTTTTCAAACATAAAAAAGATATTTTAGATGAAATCGATTGGGATACATGGTTCTATTCACCTGGAATGCCACCGGTCAAGCCAGACTTTGATACCAGTTTAGCTGATGCTTGTTATGCTCTTAGTGCCAAATGGGTTGATGCCGCTCTAAATGCGCCTAAAAATGCTACTATTTCATATTTTAAAGAAAAGTTTTCAGTTGAAAATTTAAAAGGATGGAATTCTCAACAATATCTCGTTTTTTTGGATAGCGTGACTGATAGCCCAAAAATTAGATGGAGCGATGCGGCTCCCAGTAATGCAGTCAAAGCATTGGGGGAAATTTACAAGTTTGAATCATCATCTAACCCGGAAGTAATTTCCAGATGGTTTAAAATTGCAGTTAAAGCACGTTTAGGCCATGAATCAACCTATAACCCATTAGCAAATTGGCTAGGGACCGTTGGAAGAATGAAGTTTGTTCGTCCCGGTTTCCGTGAGCTAGCTAAGGTTGATAAACCGCTCGCTATTAGTACTTTTAAAAAAAATGAGTTGTTTTATCATCCTATTTGCAGAAACATGGTATCGAGAGACCTTGGACTTTAAGCATATGGTTATTTCTATTTTAAGTAGACATCTAGGGTGTTTTTTGTAAAACCATATCTCACCAATAATTTAAAATATGACAGATAAATACATTTTGGTACTGAAATTTTGAATAAGTCATACTTTTTGAGTATTAATAAGTTTTCCCGAACAAAAGATTATTATTCGATCTTAAAATTTAGCATACTTAGTTTTTTGATGTTGTCTTCTAAAAGATCCTTAAATCATCATGCTGTTTCTGGAAATTTCAGATTTTTAATTTTTAATGTGTTGCATAGAGTATGCAATGAATAGATATAATTACATAATACCCCAGTTGACGTAAAAAAAAAATAAGCAAAACCACCATTAGTAGTAAGCGTGCAAAAAAATTTTCAATCCCCAATTTTTGATAGCTCAGTCATCATATATATATTTGCCACTTCTAATTATTATATCTATTTTTACAAGTTTTTTCTTTATTATTCATTTTTAAGCTATTTCTTATTATTTATTTTTCATTTTTCATTTTTCATTTTTCAACTTAGATTTTTGTGTGGGTGTGTGGGTGTGTGTTTTTCCGTCTATTATTCTGTCTTGTCATTTTTGCAATTTTATAAAATAAATAAGGCATAAACTATTGGATTTGTTTTTATAGAATCTTTTCCAATATCGTGATATAATTATTACCGCTATTTTTTTTTCTTGATCCATAACTAGTGTGGGTGTGGTGTACATTATTAGAGATTTTTCAGTTCCAAGTTCAGCTTTTTGTTTGATTTGATTAAGCGGCTTGATTCGATTCCTTATACGTCTAATTTCAGAAAACCAACTTGCTAATCTATAATAAACAAGTTAATTCAATTAATAACTAAATTTATTAACCAACTATCTTAAAATTTGACATGTCAACCACTACAGCTAGTTCCTCCTCGCTCTCTACAAATCATTCATCTTCAACACCTTCTGCTTCGACTACCGCCACTACGGCACTTTCTTCTTCTGAAGTATCTATTGTCGACAGTACGTCGCAAAATTCTACTCAGTCTTTGTTTCAAAATACACAAGACTTAGACGATGGGTTGTCTGAAGAGGTACCTTTGCACCAGATAATCTGGGAAATAGTTGAGAGGTACTACACCACATTTTACCTAGAACCCAATCAACTACATCGCTTTTATAAAAAAGAATCAACTGCCCTTCATGGATTTGAAGGGGTTAATAGCGAAGTTTATGAAGGTCAAGCCGGTATCCGACAACTTATTTCTAATCATAATTTCAAAAATAGTAAAGTTATGATTTCCAATATTGATTTTCAAAAAATTGGTGATGTTGATATACTAGTTCAGATAATTGGTGAATTTGCCAAGGCTAATGAGCCATCTCAAAAGTTTGTTCAGTCTTTTGTTTTATCATCATATGAGTCTCAAAATAGCAGTTATTTTATCCGAAACGATGTTCTCCGGTTTCTTAGAGAAGATCTCCCTTCTGAGATTGGTGATTACGATGAGTCTCCTGCATCAACTGTTGTTGATTCAGAAGCCGTTCAATTAAAGGTCCCTGAACCAAGCTCTACTTCGAATTCTATTGAAACCTCAAAGGCTTTTGAATCACCAAATGGTCCAATTTCTGCAGAATTTTCTTCGGATAATGATTTGAAGCAGATCTCTCATACTGTTGATTCCTCAGTGACTACTTTGATTGCATCCAAAAGCGAACTTTTAAATGAGTCTCAAGAAGTTAACTTGGACGAAACTACTCAAGAAACCGCTGAAACTTTTGAGCACCCCTCTTCTTCAGAGTCATTTGTAGAGCTTATCGATGATACTGAAAAACTATCTTCTGAAAAGTCTGTTGATAAAAGTGGTAATGAATCTACGGTAATATCTGCTGTTGCGCCTTTGGTAGATGTTGGAAACGAAGTTAACTCAGACTCTGTTGTCTCTGAATCTCATATTAATCCTGATTCCATTGCGGCATTTGAGCCTCCTTTATCTATTCCCACAGGTCCTGCTTCTACATCATCGTCTCAAGAGCCAATCTCTACCTTTGAAAACATGGAATTAAAAGAAGACTCAGATGAAAGAGTTTCTCTTAGTGCATCTTCTATACCCGCTACTTGGGCTTCAGTTGCTCGCACTCATATTGGAAACGGCACCCCTGCTCCTTCTATTGTTTCTCAAAAAGCACCTCTTATTTCACGGCCCCAACCAAAACCACAGCCAACAATCTCGCCACGAGCTACTAACGGTAATGTCATTGGACCCAAGGAATTCTTTTCTGTGTACATTAAAATGACTGAAAATATGGATTTGACTGGTCTTCGAAATGCCCTCGAACGATTTGGTCAAGTCACTCATTTTGATCCTCAGAGAACTCGTGGTGCTGTGTTTGTGGACTTCAAGACTGAGGAGGATATGCTAAGAGCTCTTGATGCAAAGGAAGTTGTGGTGAGCGGTCAAACAATTGCTATTCAAGAACGCCAGCGAAAAAAAAACTATACAAATAGAAATAATAATGCGGGTGGAAATAATGGCAGTAAGCCTAACATGTCTGGTAGTGGCTATTATAGCAATGGACATAACACTAACAACAGCAACAGCAACAACAATAACAACAACAACAACAACAACAACAACAACAACAGCAGCAGCAGCAGCAGCAACAGCAACAGCAGCAACAGCAACAGTAATAATAATAATAATAATAAGCCAGCAAATAAAAATAATAATCGACGAGGTCCTAGCAGCAACAATCTTCAAAAGAAACCGAATACCCCATTTACTCGGCCTTCTTTTAAAAATTGAAATATAAATTTAAGTAAATAAATTGCAAAAAATAAATTTGGCTAATCAAGTAATATTTATGATCATAATCATCATAATCAATGTATTTAATTTAGAAAATAAACCACTTGTACATTTGAAATTAGATTTACTGAATGTTTAGATAGACTAATGGCAAAACGTAATAAACCGTTTTATACAACATATAATATAAGGGAGAAAAAAAATTTTGTGTGTATGATGTTCCCACATAATGGTACAAAACCTGGCCAATACTTGTACCCATTATGAAGAGAAAATTTGGAAAGTAAGAAACGCATCATTACAGAATAATATACTACAATTTCATGAGACGATATTTTATTCAAGGGCCAGTCTGTCAATTTTGACAAATATGCTCTTAAACGCCCCATCTTAATACTTTAAATTTTAGTTCGTGAAAAAAATTTTGAGATTAAAGTTAATAATAATTACATGCATTTTATTTTACTCTCCCAGAGCTTCCAAATCAATAGGTTCTTCTTCTTTTCTGAAGAAAAATGGAGCAGCCACTTTTTCAAAATATGGCGCCATGGCATTGTAATTTGGATTTTGACGGACTACCTTCTCAAAATAGTGCTTATAGACATTTCCATCAAAGCTTCCAATAGGTGAGTTCAAAAAGTAGTCACTATAGTTAAAAGCATCTGTTAATGGAATAGCCTGTTCACGAACCTTAAGGTTGTATTCATCAACAAGGGAAGTAACAGTGTCGACATCTTTGTCGGTAAGGAACTTGGATCTCAAGAAAAGGCCAGTATCCTGCTCAATAGACCACAGTGCAAAAAGAATAGCAACCTTGACCAAAATATCTGTGACATTTGCAGGAACAGAATTCTTGGAGTTTTCAATCCGATTGAAAAAGGCTTTGATAATATACAAGCGAGTGTGTACTCTAGCCGTCTCAAATCTAGCCTGGGAAATCTTCTCCATTGCTGCAGCAACGTTGCCATTAAATTTTACCAGTTCCTTCTCATAAGCATCGGCGGCATTCATTAGCAACAATGAGCTAGCGCTTTCCCAAGCCTCGATAAGGACAGCAGGGTCCTCAAGTGACCGTTCACCAAGTCGGGAACTGGCTAAAACAGCATGACGGCTAAGGTATTCAGACGCACCGCCAACAGACGTACCCTTTCGGACTGCAATAGCAGTTTGAATAAGAGAGCGTCCCATTGAAAGTGTCAAAATATTATTATCGCCCTCCCAAGTACAGTTAACAACCCAATCGGCGTAGCCCTGACCAAAGCCGTTGTATCCAGAATAACCATGACCACCACAAGCCTGGCGACACTCATCAATAATGTCGGAAGTAGCCCAAGTGCAGAAAGACTTCACACCAGCTGAAACAGCAAAAAGCTCCTTAATATCATTAACCGCAGTGACAAGAGCATTCTTGTCAGTGACATCCACAGTCTCAAGTTGAGAAGAAGCAACATCATAAAGATGGTAAAGTTCAGCAGCAGCTGCATTCATTGCGTAAGTATAAGCCAATCGAGGTAAAAGACGTCTTTGGTGTAAAGGGTAATCAAGAATTGCAGTTTCTTGTTGACCTGGTGATGAACTAAACTGTCGTCGGACTGCAGCATAACGAATAGCAATGGTGAGAAATTTAGAAGCGGCATAAAAAGAATCTGCAGCCATAGAAACTCTACCAGTGATAAGAGCACCATAAGCCAGTTGGGCAAGAGGAGGCTCAGTAACATTTCCCTCGCGGTCAACTTTAGAAAACCGCATCAGCATAAACTGTCTGGGAATACGAACGTTGGTAAACTGAATCCAACCATTATCAATACCGTCGCGGCCCATCTTCTTTCCGATATCACCAATAGCGATACCAGGCTTAAGAGACCAGTTATCGGTGTTTCTAAGAGGCACAACAAAGGATTTGACGCCATGATCCTTACCATTAACAATGAGTCGAGCAAAGCAGACAGTATGTGTTGCAGTATGTGCGGCACCACCAATCCACCATTTTGTTGCCGCGAGATTGGGTGTGTTAATAATAAACTCATCAGTATCAGAATCAAATGTTGCAGTGGTTTCAAGACCAGCAACGTTGGATCCGTGGCCTAACTCAGTCATGGAAAAGCAACCAAAAAATCGCTTAAGCTCGACAGCACCCTTGTTAACCCAATAAGAAAATTGCTCGGCAGTACCAGAGCCGCGAACTGAGCCTAGAAAAAGGCCGTAGTGCACGCCTGTGCGTGTACCAGTACCTGGATCAGCAATGGCTGTGATAGCAAACCGTTTATGAAGAATTTGAGGAGAAGAAGAAACATGGGTGGCAAGAGCAGCCACGCGCTGGACAGTGAGTTCACGAAGCTGGTCCTTGGTTAAATCATAGTACTTTTCATTATTAAAAAGAGGATCACGTTCAATGGAACGCATAATTGCCTCAACATCTTCTGTTTGACTCTTGCCGCCATCAAGGTAGTATGTGAGTTCTCGCGGATTAAATGAAGCCTTAGCACGTTCTTGTGTCATAAGAATTGGAGGCTCAGTTTCTGTGTTAAGAGGAAGTCCGTTAGGTCCTTTAGTGGGAAGATTGGCAGAACAAGTTGCCGAGGCAATAGCCTGAAGTCTGTCAGTAGAGGGCATTGCACAATTTTTTTAGAAATGTTTTAACTGAAATAAATATAAGATAAAAAAAAAATCTTATAGAAAAAGTTGTTTAAATCAGATGTAAAATGAAAATCTTGGGAAAATATGATGTTTTATAAATTTAATTAATATAGATTCAAAATAAAATAGAAAAAAAGAAAGAAAGAAAGAAAGTTAGAGGTCACAAGAAAATTCGATGGAAAAACTGGGGAATTTATATAAATTTTTTCTCAGTTCATATTCAAAAGCCACAACTGCCGAGGTTCATAAATCTTTTTAGTTACCTGCAACCCCAGGTTTTTCTTAGTTTTTGCTGCCCCTCCCCAGAATCCGCAGGGTTGTCGGCCGAAACCAGGCAACTAATGTAATTGTGCCATCACATGTAAAGAGCTCTTACCAGATTTCTGACTAATAAAAATCATTGCAACAAACTTAATAAAAAAAAAATTTGAGATTTTTTTTTATGTGACTACGAAGACTCAAACTTGGAACACAAATCTAAGCTCTAGAAAAGTTGGAGCGCGCAATTCTTATTCATGAATGAAATATGTGGTAAGTTTATTATTCATTCTAAAGAGAAAAACAAATACTATTGTTAATTTCTACACAAGCTCGACTTTTTTTTTTCTTTCTTTCTTTCAAAATCATTAGTATTTTGTGGTTAAGCTATCAAAAATCATCACTTCTGTAAAAGTTTCTCGGTCTGAAGATAAAGATCAATGTATGGAGCATATAAGTCTTGATCCTCGGTGGTTCTTTCGTAGCTGACTTTGTGGTCTGATGATCTTAGATTCTTGTCTTCCTGTAGTCGTTCCACCGCTCCCGGATACTGTTTTATAAAATCATTATAGCTCATGCTACTCTCATCGCTCTTATGCATTGGTGGTCTGTGGACCATTTCATGTTTTCCTTTATTACTAAAGATGTGGGGTTGAGTGGTATTTTTTTCATTGCCAAAGTCGCCTGACTTTTCCCCAAGATTTATTAACTGTGCTGCTCCCACGGCTGAAACCCCCGCTTTAGCCGATCCAGCCGATACCTCCGACCCCAACCCACATGGTGTATTTGTCGGCCTCTCGGCGTAGTAAATAGCCTTGAGTGCAGCTCCGTAAGCACATGCGTCCCGTGTGCGCTCTCCAGTAAGCCGAAACATTCCCTCGAGAGGATTTAGAACCCGGCCCAGTGCCAAACAAATACCTGTGTTAGCACTGGTCCCGCCAACAAAGTACACACGGCGTGGCTGATCTCGAGATCCCTCTAGGCTTTCTTTTGATGAAAGCATTGTACTGAGTCGTTCACGAATGCTTAACCCTTGAGATTCAATGATACCAAGAACATCATCTTCAGGATGATGCCATTCCTCATCTATGTCACCTCTATCTTTACCCTCATGAGTATAACCAGACAAATGCCATTCCTTTTTACTATTAGAGTAGCTTTGCCTCCAGCTATAATAATTCGTTTGTGCCTTGACAGGTGGTACTATTTCTGCCATTGGAAAGTAAATTCCAACTTTTGCTTGATTAAGATGGTTTTTACCGTAACCCATAACAATACCGTCTTTCATTCTAGCCTGAAGAATATCATCAAATTTAAACCAGCCGTTGGTAAAATATTTTAAATTTAAAGCGTCGCGAATTTTTTCTCGTGCAAGCGACCCATTGCTATAGCATACCATTCCCATATACGAATCTTGATCAATTGGATGATTAAAAATATGATATTGGGAACTGGGTGCATATGTTTTACTGACAACTAGAACTGTAGTGGATGTTCCTAATGATATAATAACATCACCATGGCCTAAAGCTTGTGCAAGAACTGTGGCTGGATTATCTCCTGTAAAGGGCGTTACAACTTGGCAAGATGACTTCAGTCCGTACTTTTCTGCAAAGTAAACTGCAATCGGTTCCGCTGATTGTGTCTCTTTTACTCTTCCAAGTTTTGCTATAATACCACCATCTGAATTTAAACAGTCCTTATCGAACAATTCAGTAATTTCTTTACACCACTCTTTTTTTTGAATGTCCCACATGTTCATTCCACATGCATCGGATCGATCAAGCTCTTGAATTTTTCCATTTCCAGTTAATACGGTTGCAAGAAATGAAGATACAAGGCTTATTCTGCTGGTGGATTCATAAATGCTAGGGTTGTTTTGCTTAAGTTTTAAAATCTGAGGACCAGTAAACCTATGATGTGCTTTACTTCCTGTAATCTGAGCCAACCCCTCTGCTCCACCTTCAACAGCGTTTTCAAATGCTTCACATTGAGATTGGGTGCTCCTATCTTGCCAATTTGGGCTTTTATTCCAAGAAAAAGCATCATGAAGTAACTCAAGTAGGTTCATTTCAGTTTTAGAAGAAAGCTTCCTTAAATGTTGTGTGGCTTCACTGTTCCAAAAAACACTACCATGTTGTTGGCAAGCCCCCGAAATAAATTTAATTCGTGTGACAAGAGGTTCATTATTTTCATCTTTAAGGCAGCTTAGCCTAAGAAAAAATAAGTCAATTGCTTCCAGCCACATATCCACAGGAGCATGTACCTCCATAGATTTCTGGTCAACATAAACACCTTTTGTCGTTTTATATTTTGGAAAATCATGGTCAAAATCTACTATTATCTTTGAAATAGTTACAAGTGAAACACTTTCAACAATAACACCTTTGAGCTGCTGAGTAGATAAATCAAGACCCTAAGTTTTGTTATGTCAGTTTTATTTCACTTTATTAAATTAAATTAAATTAAATTAAATTAAATTAAATTAATAAATATATAATTTAATCTTTTGAAGTATGCTAGAGAAACTCACAAGAAATAAGCTAGAATTCGACATTGGAATGAATGAAATGATTCTAAAAGTTATGTTTGTGTGAATTCAAAATAATATTAAGAGTTTTAAATTTATAACCACTATAATTAATGGCTTAAGTACTGTTAGTAATTTTTTTTTTAATTAGCTTGTTTGGAAACCCCGATTCATAATAATAATTGAAAGTTTTTTATTTTTTGAACAATAAGCTGTGCTTCCTGACTTCAAATGAAACGAAGACAAAATAAATAATCGAAATAAATCTTTAATTAAATTTTCAAGTCTGCTTAATACGATGGTGGTATTTTTATTCAAAATCATTAATTTCAACTAGTGAAACATAAAACCATCTCCTAATTAAACAATGTGGTTACGTTTGATAGAAATTTTCAGAAGGTAAACTTATTAGGCCTATGAAAAAAATAAGCTGCCCCAGTATCCTATATGTGAGCGAAGTGAGCCATAGCTATGACTATAGTCTTCAAGAAACAATATGATACGAGGTCGATAATGGCAATAACAATTACGCCAATATCAACTGATATATCTACATCATGAGCACATTAGTTGTATACCTCATCTCTTAATATTATCCTTTATATAGTGACTGGTGATTAATGAACACTATTGAATTGTCAAAAACACTAACATATGATTTTTAATAATACATATCATACATGTGTATGTGACAAAATTTTCTTGATATATTTGTAGCACTAATATAAATAAATCTTGTTTTTTTTTCATATGTATATTTTCATCACAGGCTGAGATTTAGTTGATTAGTCAGTGATAAGTCAGAAGGTGTATGTTATTAATTATTTAAAGATCTTAAAAATTAAGTAAGAAAAATAGATTATCTATATTAAATATATATGGCATTAAAATTTAAGGATGTGAGTGGGTACTTTATTTTTGTTCAACTTCTTCTTTTTCCACATATGTTTATAACTATCAATTTTAATTTATTTATTTAATTTTTTTTAATTTTTTTTAATTTTTTTTTACAAATCAAGTCTCTGTTAATCATAATCATTTATTTAAATTCATACTACGCCGACTTTGACTTATATAAACATGGAAGTTATTAGAGAATTTGTTGATGGAATTATTGTATGAGAATAAAATAGTTTAATAGGTACAATTTTAACATCTTTATAAGGATTTTGAAGGCCAAAAACTGGCAGACACCGTTAATTTATTTACGATCTGGGTTGGTGCACTTTTTTCCATTTTGTTCGGATTTTTGACTCAGAATATTTTGGTTACTCTTTACATCTCTTTATTTTCATTATTAGTCGATTTACTTTTAATAGTTCCAGCCTGGCCATTTTACAACAAAAAACAAATTCAATGGCTTACTCCTCCCGGGTTTTTGGCTAATTCAACAGCTGAATTAAACTCTAAAGAAACCATAAGCAATATCATGGAGAAAGAACCAAGCAATAATGACATAGTGCACGTTGATATATAGACTTTAAAGAAATGTCGGGAGTATATAACAACATATTAATATGAAGATCAAATATTATAAATTATCAGAGATTGATTACAAATGTAGAGAACTCATAGAGGAACATGCACTTAAAGATATCTTAATAATTTGTCTTGGTGGTCAAGTCGCCAGGTTATGACGAATTGCTTTTTTGTATTTTAATAACGAGGTGTTAGTTAACTAAGTTAGTCAGGGCTTTTTTTTTCAAACATCAGCATTTATGTTTTTCTCACAAAGGGTGCCAGTCTGACTTTTGATCATGTGACGTGTCAACCACTCTAGTTTTTGAGCTGCTGGGTGTTACTGTAATTATAATAACCTGGGAGATTATCATTTTTTTTATTTATTATTATATTTTAAATCCCATATGACAACAAATATAGTATAAAGATTGTTCCTTAAATGTTTGAGCGTGTAAATTTAATATTATTTAGAAAATGTCAAATAATACCTTCAATGAGGACGAGTTCTACAAATTTTTTAAACAATCTAAAGATGGTAAGAAAAACAAGACATCAAATCTAATCTTTATTAAGACTTTTTAGAAATTTCAAATGACTTAAAAAACCTGTCAGTAGGGAATCCTGAACTTTTAACTATAATTGATAAAGTGAATATGCTTTCCAACTTGACCAAAGAAAAAACTATTTTTTTGAAGCCGCACGATAAGCAAATATACTCTAATGAATTGGAAGATCTGTACAGACGTATTAATCAGTTGAAATCAAACATATATTTGCAGAACCAGAGTTCGCATGTAACCCCAAAACGTTTTCGATTTAACAAAGGTACACTACAAAAAAAAAAGACATTATCAAATGAAAATCTAGTTTCTGTTTCTGAAAAAATAGAATGCAAAAACTTAAAGTCGTATGAAGAAAACAAACGACAGCAAAAACAGAAGATCAACAATCAACAATCTGATGATTTCACACAACTTCAGGATATTTGTAATATAAATGCTAAAGATTTTTCAAATAAACGCTTACTTATAAGTGATTTAGAATCAACAAAAGCTAAAAACCTATTAATTGATAATGCTAATAATTGCATTATCCAGATATCTCATGTTGGCTTAAAATTTGACTATCTTACTGCTAAATTGAACAACTTATGTAATAGTTTTGTTCATATTAAAGATAGAATAAATGGCCCTATATATATTACCAATATTTTGAACTGTATAATTGTGATACAAAAATGTCAGCAATTGCGTATACATGACTCAAAAGATTGCTTGATAGTAGTGAGCTGCGAATCTAAACGACCTATAATAGAAAACTGTCGGGATATGGTATTTGGACAAGTTGACGAACTTGTTGAAAATACGGAAGCAGATGGTAAACAAAGATGGACTACAGTTGATGATTTTAACTGGCTTGATACCGACAAAAATAGTATTCACTGGAGGTCCGTCGAAGATGAAAAATCTAAAAAAGACATACGAACTGAGTTGACACACTTCAATAATTTTTCAGTCAATGGAATTGATGACATGATGCATCTAAAAGCTATTTTGAAAAAGTTAAAGTTAAATTTGAATATGAAGAAATAAATTCAATTACATATTGGCGAAGATATTTGTTTAATGCGAACTTAAATGAAAACGAAAATGAAAAAGAAGAATATAAGGTACAGAAATAGCTTATTGATCTACAGTATCAAGAAAACTGGTAAAATTTTGAAAGAAAATTTTAACAAAATTTGATTATCATTGTTTTAAGATAGTGATTTTAAACAAGCCAAGAAGTTTTTTTTGTCATCAAGGTAATCAAGAGGCTTCTGTTAATATTAACAGATATATTTTAGTAAACTAGGTGACGTGTTTCATTATTGGAAGGCCTGCCCATTTTTGCAGATGCCATCTATAATTTAATAAAGAATCAAAGTCAAACTTTATTTCAGAGAAAAATAATTAGATTTTTTATCAAAAAACTACAACATAAAAGTAAACTAAGTGAAATGAAGAGGAAATCTAAATATTAAAAAAAAACAAACATTGTGAAAAAAGTTTTATACTCTTAGAAGTAAATAAAAACAAAAATAATTGTGTTGATGAATACACCATAATTCTTCAATAAGAGCAAACAAAATAACAAAATTGACCTATAAAAACATGGCCAAGATGTATAAAATAGTAAACATGAGTTATAAAGGTAAAAATGCGTTGATTTTTTAAATGTGCTGTAGTAAAATTGTTATTCATTTGGCCAGATAAACAGATAATATTTAATTGATAATGTAAAAAAAGTTTAGGACCTAATATATCATAACAGTGATCAAACAGAATTTTATTAAATTATTAAACTCGTTAACATTAATTTAACACTATTTAAAAGTTTTAAATAGATAGCATCATACAAAAAATTAAAATTTACAACCACGTATAAAATATTACATAAACTTTTTCTTCAAATATGCTTGTCTAATATCTTAAGGAATTATGATTAACTCAAATATTAGTAAGCTTATTTTTGTTTTTCATATTGAAATACAATTAAATGTAAATAAGCTCAAAATCAGTTTTCATTTTTTTTTCAGAACTACTAAACATATTTATATTCATAAATAATATTATTCAAATCATACTTACTCATTCACATATTTTCACGCAAGTTATTTACCAAAATTTGCTGACGTTGTTAAACTTATTATTTGCGTTTTGAATTTTTCAAAAATACCTCTTAAACCAACAAAATCAAAATAGAATAAAACTAAAGTGATTAACAATGGCAATAAAAGAATATTCTAAATTAAAGGTAGCCGAACTTCGTGAAGAATTGTCTAAAAGAGGAATTAAAGCAACAGGAACAAAGAGCGAAATGATAGCGACTTTACGATTGAATAATGAATCTAAAATTTCTTCATGTATATCTGGACCTGAAAATCCTTCTACAAATATCAATACTGTGGAAAGTAATAATACTAAGGATGATTTGCCCCAATTGCAAATCGAAACAGACGAAAAACCTATTAATAATGAAAGTGATAATTCAGAAGTTGCTCTAACCGAACCTTTACCTTCCTTTAATGCTACGGTCGATCTTATTGTGGATGAAACAGAACCTCAGAAAAGTATATTAGAAGATAAGACAAAGGAGGTTCTTGCCGAGTTAAAAAAACGTTTAGAACGCAGTAGAAGATTTGAAAAAAACAATACTGAAGAAATTGAGAAGTCAATTGCTCGTATTGAGAAATTTGGTCTAGTCAGTACACATCATGCAAATGTCATTTTGGGAATAAAAGGGCCTAAAAGAAATCACACACACAGAGGATCTCATCCACAACGACGGAATTTTCAAAGAAACAGCGGGAGGGTTCATAAGAATTATAACAGCAAAACAGAATAAATTTATTCTTTAAATGCTCAAATATTTTTTTAAAAATAATACTTGGATAATCTGTTTTTAGTGCTCAATATTAACACTCTCAAATATATTTAGGGATGTTTGTATCTAAGAATTAATTCTAAATTTGATTACCAAGAGCCTAGCTTAAAAAATTATTATATTATATTATATTTTTTCGAGAGGGCCATGGTTTTTTTTCTTTGAATAATAAATATAATAAATATAATAAATATAATAAATATAATAAATATAATAAATATAATAAATATAATAAATATAAATGGCTTAACTGATTAGTTTAAACATTTTTCAAGCTTAGTTGCGTATTGATACCACTAATTTTTACATACACACTGACTGGAATACTTAGGTTTGGTTAACTTGAGACTAATTATTATTTTAAATTCTGTGAATTAATTAAAATATTTAGATTAAATGTAAATCAATATCTACAACCAACATCAATATCAACGATTTTTATCTAATTTTCTTTGAATAAAAATTCTTTTCCAAAAACCAACGGAATAGTTTATTACAATCTGTTTACTGTTATGATGCTTCAAAACTTGATGAACACTATCTCAAAAGTTAAAATAAAATAAAATAAAATATACGAGACCCTTTATATATTTTTTTTATGAATATGTGATAAAACTATTTTTAAGATCATAGTAGTTATATCTTGATACATAATGCTACTGGGTTTCGTCATCTATCATGTTATCAACCTGAAAATCAGTTTGTTGTTGATAAACATCTTCGAAATCTAGATTATCTCTCAGAAGTGCTTCAGTCACCAATGAAGCATTTTTTTTAAACCCAGCAGAAATCATTTCAGAGATTTCTTCATTTTTGTGAGGGAGTAATGTGAGAACATATGATAAATGATCCCACATTAGAGGAGTTTCACATTTTTCAAGCCGTTTTGCTAATTTTTCAGAAAGTTGCTTGATATATTTTTCTTTATCGACCAACGAAACCAAGAATTTAAGAATCCTGTGGAGAGCCTCTTTGGTCAAAGGTTCAAAAGATTCATAGTCTTCAGCGTCATTACAATTATGAATTTGTTCATCTGCATCAATATCAATCATACTATCTTCCATATATTTTCCATAAGATTGATATGCGATACTATGATTAATATCAGAACGGCGACTACTTCGTCGCAAAGTATTGTTGTCTACTCTAATTGAAGTATGACTTACACTGTATTCAACATCATCTGGATCATCACCTTCTCTTTTAGCAATTTCTTCAGACTTTTTAGTATAACTGACAAGAGAGTTGAACATGTCAATAAAATTATTGTAAATGGCATTGTCTTTTGCCGCTAATTCCAAGAAAAAAATATGTGCTAAGTTTGCAATTGTTTCATCATTATCTTCTAAGCATCGAGCCATCTGACCTAGTAATTGTTGATCTTTTGCTTTAACCTGTCCTGCTAAAATCAAAAAAGTAAGGGTCAAAAGAGTTGTTCGTTGAACCATTTTAGTGTGATCACGTAGACGTTTATAAACAAACTGCATATTATCTTCTAACTCATGGTTAAACTGTACAGCTAAATCACCCATGCCTAAAACTATGTTAGATCTAACGATTGCTGCTGTATTATAATCGTCAATTTCTTCAAAATCAATGGTCTCATTATTGGAACAATCTTCACCGTTATTATTTTTGGAAATGCTGTCAAGTGAGATATTACATTCATCGTTTTCAATTTCACATTTAGATTGAATCACTGGTTTTATCAACTTGCTAGTGTGTTCTAAAATAGTCACTAATATAGAAAGGTTGTTTGAACAAAATTCTGATGAAACGCACATCATTTTTATCAATGATAAAGTAGCCGATACAACAAGCATTTTAGAATGGCGCCTTTTGAGAGAACTGTATTGTGTAAATTGTGAATCTACACCAAGTTTTACCTGTGCAGTTCTTTTCCAATGTGCATTAGCTTCACTATACTCTTGGTTTTGAATATCACGAATAATCTCAAGACAAAGTGTAGATATCAAAGGACCAAATCTCGATAAAAGAGACTGTTGTCCAAATATCAACTCAGTTTCTCGAATATAAACTAAATTTTCAGAAAAGTCATCCTCTGTTGTTCCTCCTCCGATTAAGTTAAATTCTTGCTCTTGAGTCATTTCTTCTTGGTGCATGCCTTTTCTAGACGTTTTAGAACCTGTGGAAGATATAGAACTTTTAGACTCCATTGCTTCAACACGTTCTCGTTCTGATTCTATCTTTCTTCTTTTAAATTGCCCTTCAAGACTTTCCAAGTATACCAGTGTTTTAAGGGAAGTATGGCCAACAATAAACAAAAGTTGGGCAAGTAAACTGTTTCCATCTGAATTCTCAATAATATTTTGGTAATTTAATCCAAGTTCGGTATGTTCAATTTCTAAACTTGGATGCTTTGGGGAGAATACTTGCTTAGTCTTTAAACGTATGAGATGCGAAAGTACGATATCTGGTGCATCACAAATAGCATAAATGGCATTAATCGCCTCTTCACAAAGAGAAAACCATTCCATAGACACTGATGGAAGAATAATGAAACTTGCTAAGCGTCGAATAACATCGTGATTGGCGCAAAATTTTTTCTCAGAATTTAAAGGATCAGGAACTTTTTTAGAACTTTTCAATCGAAAATTATTAGAATTGTTGACCATTCGTTGCAGGGCAATACACGAATACCTTGCCAGTTTAAAGTCTATACGCCCCAAATCACCAAGACCAATTCGAAGCAATAACTCTAACCCGACCGAATTTATTACAGATGACTTCTCTTTAGCTAACATTCCTAAAATTATTATGGCACCTCGACGTTGGCTTTTTGCCATTGACTGATTGTATCCATATATTTTCCAAAGAACCTTAACCACATCATCAGAAATCATACAAGTTGTAGGTATTGCTTGATTTGCCAATTCAGCGATTGAGAGGTCAGTTTCAATAGTATCTTGCTTTACTTGAGTTATTGATGCTTTTTGAGTAGAGGCAACAAGTGAAGATGGCTCCATCGCAAATGATAATAATCTTTCAAGAGAAGCAGCTTCAGATATAGTAGCACCATAAGTAAGGGAAATCAAGGAACGTGCCACAATATTATTTGCTTCTGCAGGGGAAACGTCTGCTGGTGGATCAAAAAAAAGAGATTTATAACATGAAAGTAAATGCTTTTGAATAGCAAGCGCTTCATCATTATTACCACCACCTTTTGCCCACACTAAATGGATCATGAGACGAACTCCAAAACGTGCTGTCTCAACACCATAAGCATCCGCTAGAACAAAAAGATCCATAGATTCAATTGTTTCTGTTTTATTTTTTGAATTTAAAAGTTTGACAGCAACAGCAAGACCTTCATGAACTTTCTTAATGAACTGGACTGCTTCGGTGTGATAAGTTAAAGCTAACTGAAGCTTTGGAGAAGCAGATATCTCATTTATTGGATTTTCAAGTGAACAAGATCCGGAAATTCTGGAGCTCTCCAATGAAGTTTTCTCTGCCGTATTTTCATCTTTAGACTGGTTCAAAAATTCAGAATTTTCTGCTGCTTCATTTGAAGTAATTATGCTCGAATTACTATCCAATTTTTCAAGTTCTAATTTAACTGCTTGGAGTTTTTCCTCCCAGTGAGAAAGATTTAACCGACCATCTTCATTAAGATAATTGAATGGATGTGTCGAAATCAAGCGAGATAGCAAGCGAAGAGCGTTTCTTCGAACTAAGCTAGATTTGTCTTGTAAAGCTTGAACAGCTAATTCTGTCATTCGAGGTCGACGCTTATTAAACTTTGTATTTAGCTCAGTAAGATTAGTTAGTGCTTGAATGGCACGAATTCGAGTATATGGATTTATGTCTAAAACACGCTCTTCTAAAAGATCAAATAGCGATTTTATATCTAAAAGATTTTTATCTGAATCAGAATTAGAAGAATATAATCCTTGTTCTCTTTCTTCTTCAGGGGTGGATGAATTTGTTTTTAATGTAACCGCATTTTTGCATAAATCGTAAAGAACGATTCCGGCAGCTTCGACAATTGCACTTCGAAGTGTATAATGTTTACTGTCAAGTAAACGGCATATTTCTCTAAATTGTTTCAATACTAACTCCGGTGATAAATGTACCAATTTGCCTATCAACAAAGCAACTGCCTTAGGACCTTTATTATCGTTGGGATTGAACTCGCGCGAAATAATATACCGTATCATTTCCTCATAAAGCCCCATGTTTTTATATTTATAATAAAGAATAAATAATAGATCACCAAGCGGTTCTGCAATATGTTCAAAGTAAAATAAAAGTTGGCCTAAACATGACTGCACATTTTGGATTTCATCAAATTCCACAACTGCAAGACACAAAATGTCAAACAATTTATCATGAGAATCTTTTAGTATAACTTCACTTTCCATTAAACGATAAACTGGTTTAAGAAGCATCCCTATAAATGTACTGCATTCTACACGAGTAGAAAAAATCCGATTAATAAGTTTTGATTTTTGAGGTGGTAGTAGATGCGAAAAAGATATTAGTCCCTGGTAAATAGAAACAAGCGAAATTCCTAACAATTTCAAAATAAAAGCTAATGCTTCTGGTTTTTTATGAGCTGACCGGCGAGAACCTTGAGTTAAAGCAGTAGCCTTTTTAACTTCGTTTTGGCACGAATCTTCAAGTTGATTTATTAAGAAATAAATAAGAAAGCCGTATCGAGAGATACGCTGCTTGACCTCACCAATTACACTAGCCGAATTAAATTCTATTGCTTCAAAATGGTTTTCTTCTTCAATCGATAAACTCATATCACTGGTGTTATGAAGTGAATTAAATTCATTGCGCTCTTGAATCTGAGCTTGAAGAGCATTTGCAGTTTCTTCTTCTTCAGTTAAAACTTCCGATGCTCTATTTATCTGATTGTTAAATATAGATGTAAATAAATCAACAATTCTCTCTTTACATTCCCTGTCAAATTCGTTAAAGCGACTACATTAAAAACACAAATATTAATATCAAAGAAAATTTAATAACATCAAATAATTACCTTATAAGAACTAAGGATCCACCAAAAATGCTTCCCTCAGTAATAGAATCTGCAGAAACAGCGAGGTAATCGGTTATTTCATTTAGTAATGAAACAATTTCGCTTTCACGAATGCTTAACGAGCAGTAATTCTCTAGTACATCTGATGGATTTTTTTGAAACTCAGATAATATTTCAGAAAGAATAAACGTGTCACTGTGCATTATTTTATAAATTTAATGAGAAAACGATACTATCAACTAAAACTTTTAGAATAAATCTTAACTTTTTGTGGATATCTTGGATGACGATTATTTGTGGCACAAGAGTAATGGATATTAAAGTTTAAACCCAAACATTCATATCATATCATACAACACAACATAATTTGTTATGTTAAAATTAGTTACCTTACCGTACGGTAAGCCTAATTAACTAATTAGAGCATTTTTTAACTAAATTACATAATCTATTAATTTCTGCCCTATTTCTACTGTACAACAAAATAAATTACAAACATTAAGTTTTTCATATTTTATTATGCCAGCTGTAAAGGCGCGTTGTTACTGGTGTTCGTTTTGGAGTTGGTTATTGAATTGCCAAAACTAGGCAAAAGTAAAAAAACTTAAACGTGGAGCAAATCCCAGTGGCAACTTGACTTCTAATATATTTTGATTATCAAGTCTTTAATTCTGGAAGATCTGTGAGATTATGTCATAAGAGTAGTATGTGAAAAGGTAAAGGGTTTCCAGGGCGGAAGGTATCTATTATGAAATCATTACATGCCCATGCTATTATAATGTGCTTAGGGATTTCTGATTTAGATCTACAAACAGTGCATTTGTCTTGTATGTCGTCTTTGTTCTCGGTGCGATCAGCAATATATTTGGCGAACCTGACGTGTCTTGTTTTCAGCTCTAATTTGAGTATTTTAACCTAAAAACTCTTACAGTACATGAAAGTATCGTTTTCAAATAACTAGTCCATGGTTTAGGTTCAAAAAACTGACAACATTCAAGGTAAACAATTTAACCCTGATTTGTTTTCAAATCACCATACATTCTTAGTTATGTATATCCTTTAACCGCAACCCAAAATGAGTAGAACATCTAACATTGATAAATTAAATAGATCTATAAAACAATGCCTTGGTAACTTATACCATCTATTTTGTTCGAATACACTGAATTTTTTTGTTATGAGGACTTCATTTGTTTCTGTGCATACTATTTTTTTTTAAATCACAATTTAGAGATGAAGGTAATCTTATAAGCTATTGAATTTCTTATAGGAAACTCGATGGTTCTTTGTATTGATATCCCAGATATCCCCTATTTCTTTTCGTTGAATCTAGTGCAATTTATTAGCTTTTCGCTTAACGCCACCCAAAATTTATTTCATATATAATATGGTGAAACCTATTGTGAAAACATTCTCGTTTCCGTTGAGTATAAAAGAATCACTTATCTTATTATTGCTACGATACTCTTCGTTAAAAAGCAAGGATTTGCCATGGTAAATTGGCCGCTTGCTTTTGACAAGATTCACGGTGATTATGACTCATAGTTTGGTCAGGAGATAAGGAACAGTTGTGGAGTAATATTAACGTGATTTTTTTATTCAAATAGATGAGTTACATATTATTACGATGTTATTGTACGAAAAGAATCTATAATCATATATGGTTCTTAACATTTTTGTATTTGTTGATGGAACGTACACAAATCTTAAGTCGAATACTTTCAGCCAGCATCTTATAGTAGTTATACAAATTCACATGGTGTCTAATATCAAGGGATAGCTGGATCGGATGACTTAATAATTGGAGTCGATGAATCATTTTTAAGAAGTAACAATGATGTGAATATTTTACAAATCACTCATCTTGAAGATTTACTAAAGAAATTGTTTATAACGATGAAAATTTCTATGTATATGGCAATACAGGTCACTCCGATCATGGGCAACTTACTGCTTAATACGAGGGATTACATATTTTGAATGAGGAGCGAGGACAGTTAAACAATAGCATGTATTCCGAATAACAGCCTGATTGCACAATTTTAGAATTTGTATTAGGTAAACTTCAACATTTGCTTCGATTATCAATTAGAAACTCTCAATATTCTTCTAATATTGAGTTTCAAATTGCAGAAATCCCAGTTGTAGAGTTACAAGGATATACTAATACTTTGAATAAACGTTTCAGTGGCCTTAGCCGTTCTTAATAAAATCGGTCAGATATAATATTAAAATGAGTGCTAATACATAATAATATATAGGTCAAAATTCAAATATATTATAGCCTGTATTAATAATTTGTGTTTAATAAACGTTACTAAATGGATCAAGATTTCTTAGAATATCCTTTCAATATAGCATTTAAAACTCCAGCTCGTTGATGTTCTAGTGCCAGTATTAAATCACGAACAACTAATCCTTGCTCTTCCCTAACTTCTCTGTATCTTACAGTTCCATCTGATCTTAACCCTGCGCCAGAGCCTCTTATATTTAAAGCTGAACCTGCCGCGTTCGTCGCATTCCCAACTCCACCAGTATTGGTACCCTCAGTAAGCCAGCTGTATTTTCTTTTTGAGCCAGAGGTCATCATCTGTACTGTAGCATTTGCAGCTGAATAATTAATTTCATCAGATTGGGTTCCACGTCCTCTTCCACGCGCTTTAGTTCCTTCTTCATTTGTATTACTATCATCTGCATTATTTCGTTCTTTCTTGCTTAAACCAGATCCACTTCCATTCCCAGATGCCCCTTTCCCTTCGCCATTTTCGTCATTTTCACCAATTTTTTGAGCTTTTCGAACTAATCGCTTTTCTTCATCCTCTTTTTCTTTTTGGGCAATATTTCGAAGAGCACGGGAAACTTCAGAATGAACATTGTTTCTTGAACGACGGCGATGTCTAGAAATAACTAACGAACTGGTTATTATATCTGAAAGCCATTCCTGACAAGAATATGAAATTAATGTAAGCATTGCATCTACTTCACGAATATCCTTTGATAAAGATAAACCCATATCATGTGCATGACTATTAAATATATACTGTAATCGACCAGGATCTAAAAAGGGGGTTTGGTTTCGACGTTGTTGGTATTCGTAAATTCGTTCCAAAAGAGGAGGAAGAACTGGAGCACTAACTCCATATGATTCTTTTAAAATATGACCATTAATACCACCATCGTTAAAAGATGTACCCCCAGATCCAACACCGGAAGTTATGCTAGTAGAATATTTAGATCCAGAGCTAGTACCAGAGCCATATAAAGATCGAGATAATAGGCTTTCCTCTTCTTTAATATCCACACCAGCAGATAACAAAGCATCTGATAACATCTCTGGATCTAAAGAGCTTGATGATGGAGCATTACCAGTCCCAGGGATTATTGGCCCGTGACTGGAGTTTATTATAGATGGTGAGCTGGATTCATTTGAAACTTTAACTCGCTTTGGAACAGGCTGCGATGCAGGAGCTGGAGAGGTTCTTTTCGAGGAATATGCAGAAGCTGATTGGTTATCTGACATCAAAGAAATGTTGGTGGCCTTGCTTTAAAATTTAATGGTTAAGTTCTTGTATAAATTTTTTCGCCTGTCGTTTATCTAAAATTCTAGTTCTGAATACAGTTAAAGTTTAGGTTAATTAACTTATAACTTAAGCGTTAGCCCCCAAATTAGGGGAATATAATACTAGAAACAGTGGTTAAGCCCCCTGGGGCTCCTTAATTAATTGTTGTTACAACATGACTAATATTTAAAGTAACTTATAAGTTACCCAAATTGGTAAGACATTAATTATATAGTACCTTGAAAGCTGAGCATACAGAACATAATGTTATTTCTACAAAATCAGTTTCTTGATAGTTATTCCATTTATATATATTATAGTCAAAACCAGGACCCTGAACAATCTTAATGATCCTTTAATAAAATTAATTCTTAAAGAAAAATGGCTCTAAAATTTTCTTTTTATCTAGCCAAGCACAACCATAGAGAGCTTATTAACAAAAATAAGATAAAATAAGATAAAATAAGATAAAATAAGATAAAATAAGATAAAATAAGATAAAATAAGATAAAATAAGATAAAATAAGATAAAATAAGATAAAATAAGATAAAATAAGATAAAATAAGTTAAAATAAGTTAAAATAAGTTAAAATAAGTTAAACAAATTTATATAAATTTATATAAATTTGTTTTATATAATCTTAAGAAAACTTTTGAATGATCAAAGCACGGTCAACACACAAGCAAAAAATGGGTACAATTTTTGTTTTTGAAAAATAATTCTGTTATTTTTAAAAGATACCTAGATATGTTGACCACCTTAAAAAATTTAAAATTTAACCATAGTTTATTTGTTCTTATTTTTCTTAGTTAACATGTAAAAGCCACACAAGTGATAATGAACTTAAAAATAGTTACAGCAAGAAATGTAACAAAAAAATTACATAAGCGATACAATTTTTTTTTTTTTTTTCAAATTTAAATCACTTGAAAAATTAAAACCATCGTCATAAAAATAACATAAAATAGATCTAACATATGCTATTTCATTTTCATTTTCATTTTCATTTTCATTTTATTTTATTTTATTTTATTTTATTTTATTTTTATTTTTAGCTATTAACTATAAATTAAGACTCGAACAGTAAACAAAATGTCGGTATTCACTGATAAAAAAAAGGGATTCATAACTTTTGAAGGGTCTCAAGATTTTAGACTTCGTATTGTTTTGGCCACTCTCAGTGGCCAGGCTATCGAAATTCAAGGAATTCACAAAAACGACAGTTCTATCGGAATTAAAGGTATGATACTATTTGAATTATAATTTTTTTTTACATTAACCATGGCCAAAAAAAGATTACGAAATGACGTTCTTAAGAATTCTCGAGTCGGTCACAAATGGCTCATTTATACAGATAAATTATACTGGTACAGTTGTTCGATATAAACCCGGTCTTATTGTTGGAGGAACCCATACATTTAAAGTACCAAAATCTCGAGGAATGGGCTATTTTTTAGAACCTTTACTTCTCCTTGCACCTTTTGGGAAAAAGCCTCTTTCGATTACTTTAACTGATGGTATCACATCAGTTCCTAGTTTTTTACCAAGTTCTATTAAAAATAATGATAAATCAGGTACCAATCGTGAGGATATTTCAGATGTAGTTGATGGATCCGGTGATATTGGTGTGGACACAATTCGTACAGGTCTTTTTCCTATTCTTCAAAAGTTTGGCATTGATAGGGAAGAGCTTCGAATTACAAAGCGTGGTGCACCCCCTAATGGTGGTGGTGAGGTACAATTATATATGCCACATTTAATTTTGCAACCAAAGACCGTTCATCAAACTTCTACGCCTAATATAGACAGAATAAGAGGTATAGCATATAGCACGAGGGTTTCGCCTGCTTCGGTTAACAGAATTGTAGAAGCAGCTAGGACAGTACTTAAACCAACTGGATGCGAAACATTCATTTATACCGATGTTGCAGTAAGTACTGAGAGTGGATTATCTCCAGGGTTTGGTTGCACAATAGTTGCAGAAACTAAGTCAGGATGGGTATATGTAGCTGAAGAAGTTGCACGACCTGGCGATACACCTGAAGACTTGGGTTCTCAAACAGCTGCCAAACTATTAGAAAACATTTCTTTTGGTGGAGTCGTCAATCGTGGTGCTGCATTAAGGCTAACATTAATTTTGATGGCTCTCGGAAAAGAAGATATCGGGCGCATTATGTTAGGAAAGAGTCTTATTGATGATGAATTTGTTAGGTTTTTACGAACCCTGAAAATTTTTTTGGGAGTGGAAGTTGTTTTAAAAGATCAAGATTTTAAATCAAATGAAGTTTTATGCTTGATCAAAGGGATTGGGTTTGTAAATTCGAATAAAAAAATAGCATAAGTGCTTAAATAAACAAATAGTTATATATTCAATTAAACTGCAGCAAAGGTGCTATTGTGTGCTCCACGTTTCCAAGCATTTGTCATGTAAACCTTTTACTAATTAAATAATTAAGAAAGAGGGAGTTCTGTGACAATATCATGTGTCAAAGCTGTCCAATTATCTGATTGCGATTCAGCAAATTTAACAGCACTATTTGACCAGTCACTGAGCAATTTTGCAATAAGATATTGAGTACGCTGGTGCAAATCAAGTTCTTCAGTAATGGTTTGCCGAATAAGCCAAGATCTATTTTTTTGGTAATCTATAGCCCGTTTATCTGATTCTATCATTTTTAAAATCTTGTCTCGTTCTGAAGCCCTAACATCATTTCCAACAGAACCATTAAGCCTAGCTTCATTATGTTGAATCCGGCGCTCTAACTGTGGAATTGCATTGCCACCGATTCTCTCATATCTTATAAAAATTTCAAGGACAGAAACAACAGTGTCTCTAAGAACTTTCACATCTTCAAGTAGTCCCGAATCAAGAGAGTTACTCTCTTCAAGTAAAAGATCCGAAGAGGTCGTAAGATAATTTGAAACATTTTTAACTGTTTCAGTAATAACAGGTAAATCACCCGCAGTAGATTGATCACTTCCTTTATATAGTAAAGGGATGGTTTGATTAAAAGCACTTAAAACGCCAGAAATTTTGTTGTAGTCTATAGCCATGGCATTGTTACGCCTTGCAATTCGATCAGCAAGGACACAAAATTGAGTTAGAGTATCACGAGCAGCTTCTGCGGCATGTTTGACGTCACGCCAATGTTCCATCCGAATGTGCTCATCCCATAGATTGACGAAATCTGGTGAAATAATACGATTATGATATTCTTCATGCAATTCTAAAGTAGATCCTGAAGATTTCCATACACTTAACTCAGTTTCGACAGACAAAAATATAGCAACAAGCTTTTCATTTTTAAGAAGTGGATGCTTCATAAGTAAATTGATAAACCTTTGTAAACCTTTTCTTCTTCGCTCAAGAAATTGGTCATCAGATGAAAGATAACGGCCGTCTACTAGAATCAATAGTATTACATAATGTTAGAAAAATCTAAAAAACAAGGAAATAAGACATACCAGACAAACGTTTAGGGGGCAAAATCGGTAGTAATCGAAATGGGTATTTTTTTTGCAGAGACTCGAGAAGCCAATAGAAATCAGAATATCTACGAACAACTTTAAATTTTGAAGTGGATAAGGATGAAAATCCTGAAGATTGGGCACTAGATAACGATTCGCTGTTAGAAGTACTAGTAGTGGGATTAATAGAAGCCAGTAACGATGATGGAACAAAACCTTCCACAATATAATTGACGTGTCTGAAAAAAAAGGCTCCTTCACGTTTAGAGACAAGTGAGACTGATATAGTGTTTTTAGATAGAGGATTATAATTTGAAGGATTTATGTTTGATTGCCATACTTGGCTTTGCTGAGGTGCATTCTTATGTAAATTGTTATCTGGAATACCAGTTTGAACATTTAATGTTTGGTCATGGCCATTAGAAAAAGATAAACCAGGGAGAGAATTGCGGGAAAAATCAACAAGATTAAGAGATAAGTTATCTTCGCTTGTACCTTTTTGTACAAATGCTGCAAGTGCAAAAGCAACATTACAAGTTCCTCTGTCTATAAGTGCATTGCTGGCGATAGGATTAACTTCGATATTGATAAGTGAGTAAATTTTCTTTCGTACAGGGATTGGAAATTCAAGACGATCAAAAAATTTTTCAAGTGCAAAAACAGGAACTTCATCTTTTAATTGTTCTGAACCATTGGGGGAATTTTCTTTTAATAAATCGTTAAAAGACGAGTTATATATATCAGGTATAGGGGCTCCTTGAAGTAATGTCGGTACAGAAAACGGAAGCCCAGTAGAATTAGAACTCCAAGGGTCATTATGGTCTTGTGATGTAATTGTACCCGAACCAAATAAATCAGCAGAATGATGGCTTATATCGTCCCCAAACAATGACGACATTTTTTTTATGTTTTTATTTTTTCAAATAAAGAAGAAAAAAATGTTAAGGTAAAGAAAGACGTAATTACGCATTATAATCTTTTCTTGATAAACCCATGCTTATTCAGTATTAAGAAACATTTATTATTAATAGATTATATAATCTAAGTTATATTGAAGTGATGTGAATGTTTTGATTAAGCATACTAATTTTGATTTTTTGAGTTTTTATTCTGATATGTTCAAAATAAACCCGTTAACACTATTACGATAGTGATTGTTAAAATCTTGAACTTTTATAGAATTTATACAAAATTTCCAAAATTGGAATAGGTATTAAAAACTTGAAAAGATCACATCATTTTCTGAAAATTTACTGTTTATAATCATTATATTTAACTAAGTATATTATCATTTTATCTTTGTTTATAACTTTTCATCTTAGAAAACAAGGTAATCGTTTCAATTAAACATTTTTGAAAATATTTTTTTACAAATTTTTTTTTGATAGTGCATTCGCCCTGCTAATAAATGCCTTTATCATAATGTTTGCAATTGTAGGCCCAAAGCTTTTTGAAACAGAATTATACAGAGCTGACTTGAACAAAAACTTAAGCTCAAAAGAAACCGCACATTTATTTGGTTGATTGGGAATAGGTTGAACTGACCATTTTGTATATAGCGTTTGAAACATTGTATTATCTGAAGCTTCTGCAATAACAATAGTATTTTCTGAATCATATGTTAAAAAGCTTTCGAACTTTTCGTTAAAATCTCCCCATCCTATATCTAATGTTGCTTTAGCCGGCTTTTTGGTTATAGGATCATACGAAATTATATAGGATTTGCGACAGTAAGGAAGAAATTGGTCATATTCATTTACATCAGCAATAGCTGTGTAAAATGTTTTTTGAGAATATCTGGATTTATAAGTTTATGTTAAATGAAAACTAATAAAAAAAATCGCCATACCCAAGAACCCGTTTAATATGGTAATTTTGAACGTTTTGCCGGGAAGAAGTTAGCGCTTTATTTAGAAATGATCGAGCAAAGACTTTTCTAAAATTTATTTTTCCATGACTCATAAAATGGTTAAATGGTTTGGTTTTTAATAGTTTATTTGAATTAAACAGTATCATGATCCAAAATTATTCTATACAACAAAATTTAATATAACATCAATAAACATAATAAATAACTAAATATTTATTTATTGATTTAGGTGTGTTCAGAAAGCCGTATTTCAATTGCCTTCCGTAATCCCACATTTTACTTTTGAACTGGCTTATTTTAAAATTTAATGTATATGGTGGGTGACTATCACAAGAAAATTTTGAAGACAGAAACACTGAGAAATAATAGGGGGAGGGATATTTTAGTTTGTGTATTTAACAGATCAAGTTTAGGGTTAAAAATTAAGTCCATATATTGGTCTTTATGGGGCGATGGAAGTAAATGAGTGAAAAGATAGAAAAACTACTTTTTTCACAAACAAAAATATCTTGTCTCAGTGATTTTGAAACTTTTCTACAGCCTGACTACCACAAATATTGGGTTTGTTGTTTATTCATAGTTCTTTCAATAATATTTTATTTTATTGGGGTTTCCAATTCTTGTTTAAATAAAATATTATACTATAGTTAGCTTCAGTATTTATATTTATAAATTGTAATGTTTTCTATCTTAAATTTAAGTCATTTAATAAATGATAATGATAGAAATCCTAATGCATATTTTGCAATAAAATTAAAAGAGATATTTTAACTAAATTATTATATGTATTATCAAGTTGAGAGACGTTCAGCTCCGCTAAGACGAACTGCAGCCCCATATTTTTGCAATTTAGTGAGTAATGCGTCGCCTTGTTTCACAAACTCCTGGTATTGAGCATTTTTGTTGTCTGGTCTGTTTGTGACAATAATGCCATTAACTCTATCAATGACACAGTTCAATTTCTTGCTAGGGATGAATTTAGCTAAATCGTTATCCAAAAAAGAAACGGATATGCCAAATGCATCAGCCATGCTTCGAATACTAAGGGTTTTATATGATTCCAGAAGTTGAGCATAAGCTTTTCTTCTCATTTCACGGATATAAAAAAGTGAATGTGAAGCAAGATATCTTGACGTTTTAAGAACTTCAACTTCAACGGTTGCCAAAGCTTTAAAATATGAATCATATTCGCAAGTATAAAGAGAATTGGTCATAACCGTGATAGGCTCGAGAGATGGAGTGGTAGGAACAAGTGACAAAACTTCTGGTGAATCAACAACCTTACGTTTAAGGTTAACTCTATCAAGAGCAAAAGCACCCGAAAGAACAGCATATTTAACAATTTCTTCATAAGAAGTGATTTCAGTTGAAGTAAATGTTGATAAAGAGTCAATAAGAAGATTTGCTGCCTCTTCAAACTGCCGGATAGATAAAAGATAAAGACCTTGATAAGTTTTAAATCTATTTCGACGTTCCCAGTCACCACCACGATCAATAAGAAGCTTGACAGATTCAAGTTCTTTTTTGACAAAAGCTTTATCATCATAAAATAAACCAATTCTAATAATTGTCAACATTATATCAATTTTGTTTCCTGTTCCTGAAGATAAATCTTGAGCATGTCGAAGTGTTGATATAGCCTTATCCTTGTTTCCAATTTTAGCATAATAATTCCCCAATTTATTCCAGCTTTCAGAAATTGAAAGCTCTTCTTCTTCTTCTTCAGCTTTTTTAATGGCGTCCTTTAATTCAATCAAATGCTTCTCATTTTGAAGAAAAATATCATTGTATAAAGATTCATCCCATGGTAATAAGTTGGCCGTTTCTGATGAATTGTGTATAAAATAGTAAAGGGGTGCAAGCTTTTGTTCTTTGATAGCCGTGAAAAGAGCGCTGCTAGCTGATTGAAAAGCTTGGGAATCTCTGGCTGTTGTCTTAAGAACAAATATAAGATCAGCAAGTTTGTAATCTGGAATAGCGTCGACAAAAGTAGAAGCAGAATCTTCTTGTTCAATTTTCTTTATATCTGACATATTTTATTGAATTTATTTTTATTCTTATTTATAATTTCGTATTTTTTCTTTGAATCTTGTGAACAAAAAAGGTTATGAAATTAGTTATATAAATCACTAAGCAGGCTGGATAGACCAGATAAATATGTCGTTAAATCTATTTAAGTGTGGCAAAAATAGTTTAAGGCTTAGGGTAAATCATGTGATTATCTTTCTTAGGTTTAAAAGTATTAGTACTATCCCATCTACACTACATAGTCAAAACATAAAACAACAAACTACAACTCAAGAGAGCCATAGGAGGTCCCAGATGCATTTTATCTGGTACCATCTAATTAAAAACAATATTCACCAAATGGATTGTAGAACGAAACGAAAACGAAGAAGCCAAATAACACATCAGCTCAAGTGTCTTTCAGATTACAAAACTTGAAAACCAAAATATATTATTTGAGACGCCGAAATACCGGTAGGATATCCCCCTTACCTAAAAAATATGTATTAATCAAACTATGGGAGACACAACCTGATAGTAAATTACAAAAGTGTTTATTTTTTATTTTGCCACATTAGACATGTTTTATTATTGTGTATTGTGATAGAATAAATTATTTACGTAGATAATAAAAATAATTTTGTAGTGCTACAAGTTGTAACTGGATTTGTAATTACAAAACAACAGCACATATATTATGTTACATAATAGGGAAAAGTTAACAGAGTATTTATCTTAAATAATTATTTTGATTACATAATCATCTAAAAATGATATTTCTTTTATCTCTCGTCGCAATCAAGACTTAATGCGATACTTTAACTTTTACCAATACACTACCAAGCTATTTGTTCAATTCTATATACATAGATAAATATCTATCCTTTTTTTGTCTTTTATATTGGTCTTCTAAAATGGTCAATCTTGGTCCTCGCAAGCCTCCTTCTCGTAAGGTACGTAATGAATATTCAACTCAATAGCAATCATTAGCTAATGGCTTTTAAATTTAGGGCTCTATGGCTGATGTTCCGAAAGACCTCCTTCATACGATATCAATTCTCGAAAAAAAATTCACTGTTGACAAAGAAATGTTAAAAAAAATTACTGACCACTTTGTCGAAGAACTTCGTAAAGGTCTTTCTAAAGAAGGTGGAAGCATTCCAATGAATGTTACTTGGGTTATGGATTGGCCAACCGGAAAAGAAAAAGGTGCTTATTTGGCGCTAGATATGGGTGGCACTAATTTTAGAGTAGCTGAAATTACTCTTGATGGTAATAGAGGTTTTGACGTAACCCAATCCAAATATTTGATGCCCAAAAATCTTAAAGTTGGCTCCAAAGATGACTTGTTCGATTATATTGCAGATTGTGTCGGGAAGTTTCTGTCCTCATCACATCCTGGGGAAACCATTAAAAACATTTCACTCGGGTTCACTTTTTCTTATCCTTGTACTCAACCTGCCATTAATAGGGGGATACTACAAACATGGACTAAAGGTTTTGATATTGACGATGTTGAAGGCCATGATGTAGCGCCAATGTTAGAATCAGCTCTTCGCAAAAAGGGATTGCCGATTTCTGTTACAGCTCTTATTAACGACACTACTGGAACACTTGTTGCTTCAAACTATGTAGACCCTCAAACCAAAATGGGTCTTATTTTTGGAACAGGATGTAATGCTGCCTATTATGAGCGCTTTTGCAATATACCCAAGCTTGAAGGGCTTCTTCCAAATGACCAGAATATTTCACCTAATGATTATATGGCAATTAATTGTGAATGGGGAGCTTTTGATAATGAACACAAAATACTTCCCCGTACTGAATGGGATATTTCAATAGACAATGAATCACCACGACCTGGTCAACAATGTTTTGAAAAAATGATATCTGGTTATTATTTAGGCGAAATTTTACGGAAAGTTTTGTGCGATCTTTATGATGAAGAAACAATATTTGAAGGAAGAAATATTGAATCTTTGAGAAAACCTTATTCTCTTGATGCATCGTTTTTATCACAAATTGAAGAAGATCCTTGGGAAAATCTTACTGAAGTTGAATCTCTTTTCCTTAACAAACTTGGAATTTTTGTTACAGAATCTGAACGAAAACTAATTCGTCGTCTTGCCGAACTCATTGGTACACGTTCTGCTCGTCTTTCCGCTTGTGGTGTAGCTGCCATTATTAAACAAATCGATATGCAATCTGGCCATTGTGGTGCAGATGGCTCTGTTTTCAACAAATATCCACATTTTAAAGCCCGCATGGCTGAAGCTCTATCAGAAATCTTTGAATGGTCATCTAAGTCTTATAAATCACATCCAATCACTGTTATTCCTGCGGAAGATGGCTCTGGTGTGGGTGCTGCTCTCATTGCTGCTTTAACAGTAAATCGTATTGAGCAAGGGAAGTACATTGGTCAACGTGAAGTTTAGGGTTGAATTAAAGTTGTCTTGTTAAATTTTTACAACTATTATTTTTTAATTTTTATATAATTGAATTGAGAAGCACCTGTTTATGAAAATGTACCATAAAATGGCAGACTTCTTTAAAGGAACATGGACGTACACTTGTATATTGAAATAAAAGCTACTTGGAAAAAGCCAGAAACTTGGTGTTTCTGGCTCCGTTGACGTCTTTGTCAGCAGAGATTTCACATAAGTCACAAGGGTAGATACCATTACCCAGAGATAGATTTACATTTACAGTCCAGCAATTGGTACCAATCTTGCTGATGTACTCTTCACTCATCTTAGAGAACCTCGTGTCTGTCAATTGGAACCTGAAGTAAAATCGATGGTAAGATTTGTAGTGCGAACTCACCATCAAAATTTTGTTCATCTCCCTGTTTCTACTAATCCCAACCAATTTTAGGGTTTTGAATTGCGGCGCTATGATTAAATATTCCAAAAGATTTTTTCATTTAGTCACTTCAGTATTCAAAGGCTCAATTCATAAAAAAAAATATAGACTCTGGCAAACCTGAATCGCACTCATTTGTGGCGACGTAAGTTTTTATAATTTATGTTTGTGAACTGTCACTAAATGATAAAAAGGGAGAGGAATAAAATGGAGATATATCCGACACTCGAACAAAAGATAATACTTTAGAAGTGGATGGATGTTTCCCGTCGTATGTATAACAAAACAGACAGCAACATTAACTCCAATGAATCAAGTTCCTAGATGAGGTTAAGAGATGACCATGTAACAAAGACATCTTACAAGTCTGATAAATGCAACAAAAAGACACAGGGTAAACCATGTCAGCGGGCTAGTCACAACTGAAACAATTAACAATGACACTATTGAAAAAGTCCGAATTTGATGTACCAAAAGAAATAAGACTATTGGCTATGAAACAAACAAACAAACAAACAAACAAACAAACAAGAACTTTAAAAGTGCCTTCACTAACTTAAGGAAATGAAATATAGAAAAGTTTAGAAATTGGTTTCCAAAGCCAAAAGAGACAATACAAATATTTGTCAGTGTTACAGAATATATAGGTTAGGGTTACCTATTCCTTAAATACCATCACAAGTGTCATTTATTACTCTATGAACGCCAATGACTTTTCAAATTTAAAATTTGATTTATAATTGAGATATCATTTTTACGGTTTCCAAATTAAAAAAGAGAATATTTTATTGGATTTCATTTTAATTTAAATAATATATTTCGTGCGAAAAAATTCAGCTATGGTACTATCTGAAAAAATTATTGTTTTTGGAGTTTTGAATTCACAAAAGGATTATTCAGATGCTATTTTAAAAGCAAATAAAATAAATTCCACCAGGGGACCTTTTTCAGCTCTTATTCTTTTTGTGACGTCTGTCGATTTTTGTTCAAATTTTGTTACTCCAGATATTCAAACGTATATTTTGGTAGATAGAACTAATGTCTTTAACAAACATTCTAAGGCTCTAGAAGAAAAAACTACCTTACTTATTCACGAAAATGTTACAATTTTAGATACCAATTTTGGAGTTTTAAAAACTAAGCAAGGAATTAATCTGGCATGGTTTCAAGGAGCTGACAATGATGTATCTATTAATGAAGCAATAGAATCATTTAAAAAGTTCGCTCCTATTGACATTTTTTTATCTAAATATTATCCTAAAGACATTTTTAAAGGTGTTAGAGATATTGATGAAGATGGGAAAAAGTTCTTCTATTGTCATGATACAGAAATGGTTACAAAAGCCATAACTCCAAGATACCATTTTGTATCACATATAAAAGATCGTAATAACTTGGGAAAAATTTTGAAAAATATATCTACATTTTGTGAACGACCTCCATATTATTCATCGCCATCATTTTTTTCAAATTACCAAGAATCGGATTTAACTAAAAAAGATAGTTTTATTATTTGCAGATTTGTTTCTTTAGCACCTTTTTCTTTATTGTCAAATTTACAAAAATCACTCTCTCGATTTCATTACTCATTTGTTTTGCGACTTCCTTACACTAATGACCTGTGTTCAAAGGAATCAATCATTGATAAAAATAGTGATTTATTTATCACACAGTCTCCTTTTATCAACGGGAAAAGAAACTCTCCAGATGATGATTTAAATTTTTCCAATAAAAGGATGAGAGTTTTTAAAGATGTCAATAAACGAATTGATGTACAACCCCAGGATTGTTTTTTATGTTTAGCCAATCCAGATGTAACAACTCATCTAATTGTTTCAATTTCTGAGAATACTTATTTAACTTTGGCTCGTGGCCCTTTGCTAACACCGGGTGGTAGACATGTTTTAATAGCTCCACTTTTTCATGTTGCTAAATTGGAAAATATTAAGGGAAATTTAAATACAAACGAGGAAATCTTAAAGTGCAATGTACTTAATGAGCAGAAGAAATACGTTTCATCGTTATTAAATACTTATTTTAGTGAAACTGTTTTGAGCTCACAGTTGGTTGTAGCATTTGAATTTTCTCGAGAGAAAAACATACATATACACATGCAAGTGGTTGCGCTTCCAAATGGAGATACAAATACGTTGAAGAATCTTTTCATTAAGTCAGCAAAAAACTTAAATTACCCAGATTTTCAAATATTGAACGAGAACAATAATAAAGATTTTCATGAAAGTGATTATTTGAGTGTTAAAATATATTCAAAAAGTAACTTTAATCAAAAGAACACTGATCCTGCAGTTGACATGATATTAGAGATTACTAAAAAGTTTTCCAATTTTGATTTACAATTTCCAAGAAAAATCCTTGCTGAATATATTACAAGCTTAGAGGATCAAAACATTGATATTTCTAATTGGAAAAAATGCGTTCAATCTCAAAAAAAAGAAAAGCAAGATTCTGATGCATTTAAAATTTTGTTTTCTGAAAAAGAAATTAAAAACTAAATATTTGTTAAGTTCTATTTTATTTTTCTGTTAAGCGAAACTTATTTTGAGTTAAAAACAAAAATTTTCATATATCTTTTTGAACATTAATTCATGATCTTTTTCTCGGTTTCAGGTTTTGAGAATGTTTTGATTATATAATACATCGAGAAAAAATTAGGTTTAAAAAATTGGGTCAAAAATTTTGTTTGGATTTTATGTGTTAATTTTTTCTACTAACAAATTTAGTATGAGAATTGTTTAACAGTATATTTCTGTTATCATATATTATGGTTTAAGTGTAATTTTAAACTATTGAAACACAAACCGAAAGCTAGCAGAAAAAAAACATCAGAATTTTTTTAAAGAAACGGAAGAAAACGGCATACATATTTCAAAGTTAAGAAAAGAGAATAAATTAAACTTACTAACTTTATGGATATAAAAAAGCACCGGGTTCGGTATTTAAGAAAAGACTTTTCCAAATAAGTTTGTTATGAATTTAAAACCAATCAATTTCAACATATACTTTGAAAGACTCTGTTTTACCAAATTCTTTTAAAAGCTTTTTAAATTTTTTTTCTAAGTTATTTATCCGATTTCGAACCATTGGAGCAGCAGTTTGAGGTGAAGATTTACTTGCTCGAATTCTAATCAAAATTTCTTCAATGTATTCAGTGTCACTAGTTTTTTTTAAGCCTGATCTCGAGTTCTTGTTACCATCAAAATTCATTTTAATATCATGAGGTTTATTTGAAAAAGATGCATTAATAGAAAAAATTTCATTGTGTGAAATATCATCATGAATGGTTCCACCAGGGTAGACTCCTCCAACTACATGCATTATGTGACCACAGTAAAGTGCCCACCAAGCAAGTTTGCGAGTAGAAAGAATAGATATCATATTTTCCCGTAAAACAGGATCAGGAAGTTCACCGCCCCACCTTTGACATAAAGCTAGTCCTAATAATATACGTACTTCATGTGATAAGCCATGGGTGTCAGATAGGGCTCCTAAAATAGCAATGTTCAATGCAGAAAGTGGTTGAAGCTCTTTAGGAAAGGAAGAGTGAGCAAATGCAGTATTGACAAGAGCTGGTAATAATCGTGAGTGGATAACATGGGGGACAAGAACCTCAGAATTTTGGTCGTCAACGGGAATTGATTTTTTTAAAAGTTCCAAATAAAGCTGTGAACTTTTGGGTCTTAGTAATCGAGTTGCAACTATTAAAGGGTCTTGCATACGGATATCCTTAGAAAGTCTCTGAAAAAGTACACCTTCACGAATTCCGTCTTGAGAAAAAAGAACTTTTCGTATAGGAGGAAATGAATTTAAAAGTGCTTTTACTAAAAGAATCACTGAAGGAAGTTGGTTGGCCCGTCGTTCAGAAACTTTAAATGCTTTGGTTTTTCCTCCAGCTGATGACCCATGTTCAAATATAGATAAATTGCTGTTATTACGAGCAAAGTCTAAAACTGAATAATGTGAATTTAAAGGGTTGAATTGGTCAATGAGACGAAGTAAAGGTTTGCATGTACAAGCATATCCATTTATGATAGGGATTGGATAGGAATATGGGGAGGAGTGAGCTGGTATAGTTGTTGAATTAAATTCTTCTCTGGATAATAATAAACTTCCAAGACCGCGGTACCCACCCCCAGATACATACAACTTAAACCCCCCAGAATCAATAGCAGAATTAAAAATGTCTTCGGGAATGTTAATAGAGCTGATAGCTTCTCGAAAATGAATTTTTATTTCATTCAAAATATCATTTACACTTTCTGTTGGCAATTCGTTTGATGTGGGTGAAGAACATCTATTTAAGCGGCGAGTAAGAGCTGCAGAGCCGTATGGTAATGAAACAGGGTTATCAGAAATTTTAAGATCACCGTCTATGCAAGAAATCCAAGAGATCTGAGTAGATCCACCTCCTAAATCCATTATCAAGCCTTGAACTGCATTAAAAGAAGAAGCCACACCATAAGCTTTTAACATAGCTTCTTCTGATTTACTAACAATGGAAATTTCCCAACCAGTAGCATTTGTTATAGTTCGACAAAAATCTGATAAATTTGAAGCATCATAGATAGCCTCAGTTGCAACAATGCAAATATTTTCTTTAGGAACCTTGAAATCTTTGCATACGGATTTAAAACGAAGCAAAGCATAGACAACATCATGGATAATAGTTTCAGAAATAGAATTTTTATTTCCAATCACTTTAAAGTCCTTTGAATCATCATGGGTTATCGAATTAGGGGCTTTTGAAGGGTTAACTAAATTCTTGATATTTGTGTTATTCGGAAATTGAGAAACGTTTTTTATATCTGAATTTTCATCATATTCTTCAGAAGGTTTTTTGAGATTCTTCTTTAAATTGTCGGATATCCGAGAGGTGGTTGAAATTTGTTCTAAAGATTGATTTTGGGTGTCAAATAATGAAATTGCAGCCCTATCCTTATAACGGCAGGGAAGAATGCGTGCGTGGATATCACTTGTAGATGATACTGAAAACCTTATACCATTTAAACCTATATCGACAATTGCTGTTAAATCGTAATTAAATTCATTTTCGTTAAAGGTATCAGAAGAATATTTATCTGAGACTCCTTCAAGATGAAATGACATTTATAAATGTAAATAAAAATAAATGAAATTAATAACAATAGATTATGTGTTCAAAACTTATAATAACAGCGAATATATTCAAAAAAAAAAAAAAAAAAAAAAAAAAAGAAGAAGAAGAAGGAACAGTACAGGGTAACCGTTAATAATTACTTCCATTCTAGTCGAAACCCGCCTCCGCAATAACTATCTCTAATATTCATTCTTAGCCTAGTCCTAATAGAGTGATTACAAAATGGAACATTAAATTTTAAGTGTTAACAACCTTTAACAGCTTTCAATATTTCCTCTTTATAATTGTTTAATCGGAAGTTATGCTTAGGTAAAGTCTTAAGTTTATTTTCGATATATTTTGTATTTATTCATCTCGCATTTTTTATTTACAAAAGGGGGTATAAGGTCTCCAGTTTATTCAAATTGTTCAGAAACATCTTGCAGTTGACGATCAATACCTGCCCAGTAGCTTAGCTTCCTAGTCAGTTCAGTAGCCAGACTTAAATCATCCGACTTAAATGCAAGATCTAATTCCTCTTCAATGATAGACATACGCTGTTTATTTTCTTCAACTAGCGCCTTTAGTTCTTCTGGCGAAGAAACTTCATCTGCAGCCTCACGAGCCATTAAAACGTCCATCAAAAAGTCTTCGTCGGTAATTATACTGGAGCTATCAACCTCTTTTTCGGCTCGAGCTTCAGCTGCTTCTTGTTGAGATCGACCTGCATCTTCAGATAAAGGATCTGCAATTCCTTCCCGACAAGCAACTATGTGCTGTGCGCGTCTTAACGGAGATAGTAATGTATGATATGCTACACTTAATTGAGCTGAGCGATTTTCGGCTTTTGTGCGTTGTTCATCAGTGGCAGTCGGTCCTAGTCTATCTGGATGCGCGGTAGCCTGTAGTTGTAGATATTCCTTGCGAAGAGCATTGACTGGTACTTTAAACGGTCCAGAAGGTGGTGGCCCATTTGGAAATGTCTTAGGGAAAAGTGAATAATATGTTTGAGCTTTAGATTTTGTTGAATTCAAACGGTGGCATGGTAAATGAAGTGGTTTAAAACAAGGAGAAATGTTAACGATGGCCAATGTGACCCTTCGATAGGTAAATAAACCGGTTCTGTTCATAATATTCGATGGTCTTAAAATTGTCATAAGTTTGCAATGTTGGTCAACTCAAATAATTAAAGATAGCAACTTGAAAATATTAATGTCAGGTTATTAACACTTGTGTTGAATAATCTTTCAGTTGCCCTAAATATTATAATAATAATTAGCAAAAGCAAGCAAATACCAACAGTTTTTTCAAGATACAGTAGTACTAATTATTACAATTACATGTAACAGAAATTATTGAGATAACACTTGAAGTAACTATTATAGTAATGCTTTAACTATTGTTTGCTTTGTTTTTATTTAACTAAAACCAAAAGAGTACGTCTGCAAATAGCGTCACACAAAATTGATCATATTTTTATTTATAATTAAAATATTTAAAATACTTAAAATATTTAACTGGTTTATTGATTAAGATGATTACAATTCATGTTATTGCCCCCATGTTAATGTTAAAATAATTCATCAGAAAACTTCTATCATTTTACAAATTTACTCTATCTTTTTTTAATTTTAGTTTTTGTTTCAATTCTCTAGAACACTAAAGGTTTAAATTTAACAATTTGAATCATGACTGATGCCAAAGTCACATCTGTTACATCCTTGGTTTCGTTAAAAACTTCTAATCAAGACTTTGGCAAAGCACCAATATCTGCCCGTTCTGTCGTTAAATGGGCTGATTACATGGACAATCGCCATTGTGGTTATTGCAATGGAACTTCAACTAGCTCTAAATCAACAGAACGCCAGGGAACCTCTCTTTATTCAATTAATATCGACGACGAGCCTGTTTTATCGTCCGACCGGCTTATGAAGGATTCAAATGTTTCGGCTGTTCCTGTAGAGGTTTACTCAGAGATGCTTAATCGGGGTTTTAGAAGATCAGGAAACACGTTTTATAAAATTGATCAGCGTAATAGCTGCTGCCCACAATACACGATGCGTTTGATTGTTTCCAAATTTAAACCATCAAAAGACCATAGAAAAGCTCTTAATCGTTTTAATAGATGGGTTTTGGGAGAATCAGAAACAAATTTATTGAGTATATCAAGTTCACTTTATCAAAATGATAGTCATGACGGATTTAAAGTGAACCTTCAAAACAATAAAAATGAAAAAATTTACTTTAAAAAAAATAAAAAAAAGTTGGCTGAATACAATCTTCCATATAACGTTCATCGTGTTGATGCAGATTTCGATCATCTTCAATCACAAAGTAGAGATCCAGGTCTTTATCTCACACCAAATGATTTTTCTTTTGAGACTGTGATTAGCAAACAGCAAAAAGAAATAGCCCAAACAAAAAATTCTATTGAATTTAAATCTATTTTGTATACCTGTCGGCCACAATTTGAAGTATTTTTAAAGATTCCAATGGCAACACAAGAAAAGTTTGAACTATATCGCAAGTACCAGGTTGCAATACATAAAGATTCTTTTGATGAGGTAACTATGTCATCTTTTGATCGATTTCTTTGTCGTTCACCTTTGAATTCAAATAAATATCCATCAGATAAAGTTCTTACTCTACAGGATATAAAAGATTTGGGAGGAGGAACATTCCATCATGAATATCGGTATATGGGCAAGCTAATAGCTTTTGGAGTTTTAGATATTTTACCTGGCAATTGTTTATCATCTGTCTATCTTGTTTGGGATTCAGACTATTCTGATTTAGAACTTGGAAAGATTTCAGTATTACGCGAGGTTGTCTTAACCCAAGATTTACAATTACCTTATTATTGTCTGGGATTATATGTTCCATCGTGTCCTAAAATGCTTTATAAATCATCTTTTCATCCTACAGAGCTTTTAGATCCCATGGCAATTCCACCAAGCATGTTGGGCTGTCAAGACAGTTCAAGTCACAATAAAAAAGATACCATTTGGTCAACTTCTGGGGAAGACATACGGTGGATTCCATTTGAAGAATTTTCGACTCGCTGGAACGTTGATGGTACTCATACAGATTGGTATGTATCAGTTTTAGAAAAAAAAGGTCTTCTCCCTCAGAATGCACTGTATAAACCCCCAGACCTTCTTTGTGAACCTGAACGCGTTACAAATATATTAGGAGCAGAAAGCTACCCCCAATTTTACATTGAACGTACTCCTGTTTTTGATGTTTGTATGCCTGGAATAATTCCTTTTGATAGTCTTGTTCTATCTCTTAAAAATTGCTTTGACATGTTTTCAGAAATTAATGTATGTTTTAAAGCAATCACTAATGGAACTTCTTCTGAATTTATACAAATTACGTTAAAGCAACTATTGGATTATAGTTTTAAGCCTGAAATAGTTGAAATTGTTCTTGAATTTATTGCTGCGATAGGGTTAGATTTAGGACCATATTTTGCATTTCGATTGAATTAATGACTTAATAAAATAAATATCTATAGAATAGTTAGGGTAATAAAATGGTGTATCTGTCATGTTTTTTTCTTAATTCACAGATCATTTTTGATAGAAGAAATTTTAATTATTTCGCCAGGTTTGAAAGGAGGAAGGCCAAGATATGGGCAACTGTCACAACGGAAAGCATCACCAAGAGCACAAGAGCCACAAGAGCCAACGGGTTTTCCAACAGCAACAGTGAAATCAATAGCATAATCATCGTCCTTATTATCTCCATCAAGATTAAGAATAACAGCATTTTGGTTTTTGCGGTGTTCTTCTTCTTCTTGAATTTCAAGTTCGCGTAAACCACAAGTGCAATCTCTGCATGCTTTGCGACGGCGTTTTCCAGGACCCGGGTCGCATCTGGGAGGAAGAACAATAGGTTTAGATAAAGTTTTTGCTGCTTCTATTAATAATGCGTTTTCGTCAATAAGACCGTCATCCATACTATCATCATTATCATCAAAATCATCACTTAATGTCAGCTTCACAACTCCGGAAGAAATATGATCAGTATTATGAGGTAAAGATGAAATAGCTCCTTTTTCAGATATGTCCGTTTGTTTCCGTTTAAAAATAGGAAGCTTCTTTTTAGAATTAATTGTTGTATTTTCCACCGATTCTTCAGGCTGTTTTTTGGATCGTCGATTTAAAAGAGTAGCAGCTGCAGTTGATTCTACCAACTGGTGAGGTTTAATAAATGAAAGTTTGTCTTCTGATTGCAAAAAACCAGCAACAATGGCTGAAGTAATCATTTTGGGTGTGATTACAGGGATGTCCTGAGAAGAATCTGAAGAAAGTAATATGGTTTGTAAGGTGCCATTGACTTCAATAGCTTCAAAAAGAGAACTCAATACACTTTGAGTGGCAAACAAATCTTCTTGCTCCTGAAAAGAGCTGGGTAGATAGTAAACTGTAGAAAAATAACAGCTTGGAAGTTTCGCTGCACCATTTGAGATTCGATCAATAACATGGCGGTGAATTTCGTTTGAGGTTATATTTTGCTTGAATTTATTTGTGATTGACTCAACAAGCGATGGACTCTTAACAGTGTCAGAAGTCAAAAGTAATAAAATTCTGTTAACAGGGGTCGTTAGAATGTTGGAAGTTGGTTCAGGCATAATTTATAATGTCTTCTTTTTGTTGTTTTATATCTAATATTTAAAGAGGGGAACTCGTGTCTTATATAGAAATATATAAGAATAAAACAGAAAAAAAATTTTTTTTTTAATTAGTAATGAATAATAAATGAGCCTGGTTAAGACTTGTTAAATTTCAAATACTGAGGTAAGATTTGACTAAATACGAGTGTAATATGAGTTGCAATTTTAGTTTAACTTAAATTTTAAAAATATGTTATGTACTTTTTGAGCCAATTAAATATAGGTGTTTGTAATTAGGACTTACAACTAAAACATTACGCTTCATTTACATCTATAGAACATTAAGTTAAATATGCTTAACACCCCCTCATTCCCCCTCCCAGGCAATGGAACTGAAAACGTCATAGATTAATATAGTAATCTATATTAAGTCTTCAGGACCATGGCTAGGTGGCTCGTCTAATTCCCTAACTGGCTGGGATGCATACGGGCGGAGGGGGTGTCAAGCCTATATATATTAGTCAACAACTTGCAATCCAAATTTTCTAACATTTAATGAATATTTTTTTTTCCCTCATAGACCTAAACATGAAAATATAATACCTGTATATTAAAGAATGAAGGGCAATGGTGCTAGCCCAATAACTGTTGCTTTACAAAAAAGCAATAGTTATTTTTTTAACGGAATTACATAATCTATTAAGTTCTGCCTTATTTCTATTGTACAACAAAATATTTTTCATAATTTAATCGGCATTTGCCTTGTATGTTATTTTCGCTCTTGGTGTACTCAGTAATGTACTTGGCGAACTTTCCATGTCCTGTTTTCAACTGAATGGTACCAGACAGAATGAATATAGGGCCTTCCGTAGATTTTTGGTGTTGTAATTTGTCATTGTCGGTTTCTAATTTATTGTTTGGGTATGTACCATTGTACCAGGGTTAGTGGAAACCTTTTGATGCCTTATAAAGCATGAAAATGCTGTCATTTAATATAGTCATTGCGTTTTGAGAATAGAGTTGCGCCGATTTTGATAGAGCCTGATAATGTGGTTAACTTTATTCAATCTCTTGTTAGCTTCGGTGGCAAAGCTTCCAGCCAGAAGTTGGATTTTGGCTGGGTTGTCACTGTATGTTTTCATGAGGCCGTAAAGGCAAAGGATCGCTCTTCGAGCTAGGTGTGTAGCGAGAGGACACTTGTTTTTCTATGAGGGATGAAAATTGTTGTGGTGTGAAGCATTCTTCGTATAGCTATGTTTTGTATTAACTGGATAGAGTTGCCCCATTTTTTTAACGCATGACATTGGGGCTATGCCCCCATCAACTTTAGTTAAATCGAGTGATTAAAAGAGGGGAAGTATCAAAGTCACACGACCCCATTTGACCTGAAGTCGATAACAACACTAATTGTGGGGTTGCGCAAGAAAAACTATAAAAGCATGAAAAAAGTCCACTTTTCAATTTTTAAACATTCCTATTAACATACGATTCAATTTTTTTAAACCCTCACCGCTTTATTTATTATTAAACTTCTTTTAAATATTTCCAAATCTATATCTTCAATATGACTAGAACTGTTCGCACTTATTCTAACTCATCCGACGAGCCTCGCTATTTTGCTAAGGCGGGCCACTCTGACCAAAACCCCAATTCAGTGAAGAAGAACGGTCATGGTCGTTGCAATTGGGGTGCTCCTGGGGATGAGGTTGAAGATGTTGCACTTTCTGGAGAATTTAACTTTTCCAATGCCCGTCGTCGCTCTAATTCTATGTCACGTTCTCAACAAGCCAAAGAAATTAGGCCGCCACAGTTTGAGTCTACAATGGCAGAAGAAGAAGAAGAACTAGAGGCTTTCATTGAAGCTTCGAAAAATACGGATGAAGCCCAGTCCACGACTTTGGTTTCGAGCCCAAACAAAAAATCTTTGGAAGAGGAATCTTTTGAAGAGGAATGACTGACGATAGATTCTTTTAATGAGTAATGACTGAAATGTAACTTGTATTATAATATATTTGAATGAACGTTGATAATCACTGATGCTTTTAATTCCAATATAGACTGCAAGAAGGATGTGAAAAGTCATAAAAGAAAAAATATTAGTTTTTGATCCTAGAATTTAGCATTTGACATGTTGCTCACCAGATGGCGAAGTATTTCCTTTGTCCTCTCTACAGAGAGAAAATCATGAGGTTGAAGAAGAATATTGCAGAAATTCCTCATGCGAGAAAGGCCAAACAATGTCTTAAGCATTGTGGGGAGAGAATCTAACATAGTGATAAACAATCATTAACAAATCATTCACAATACAAATTTTACCAACACTTTTCCTTCAAGTGCTAATTGACAGAAACAAGTCTCTCTATGATGAGTGAAGAGCACCCTAGTAAGGCATGCACTAGACGTGGAGCAGTGAAACCCAAGTTGTTTCTGCGTGAGCACATCTACCATTATGACTCTGGTAAAATCTCCGTTGACATCTCTGTCAACGGATCCAAAAACTTCCTAATCAATTGTCTGGATTCATCCAAATAGAATTTATTTTAAAACAGAGAAATACGTTTGTGTTGCTTTAAAAAAGTCAATGCCATTTTATGGCTCATTTTCATGAATATTCATAATACCATTAATGGTTTTTTTTTTTTTTGGATCGGACTATCGTTTAAAAAATAACACATTTCAGCCGTACAATAATGAAAAGTCATAATTAAGCATATAAATTTTGATTGAATTAAAACAAAATGAAACGTAGGTTTAGATATAAAAAATATTTACAGAGTAGTAAGTGTCAAAATTAAATGACTAAAAAAGACAAATAAGAGCCTTCAGTATGGTTGTTTGTTGGAGAAATATTTGAATGTTAAAAAGATGACTGAGAAAAGCGAACAAAAATGGCAGTTTTTAACCAAACAGGAACGTTAGCCAGGTTTTAAAGGAATTTCTGTACTATTCATTCATCATTTTTGCACCCAAAAAACTTCAAATCATCAAAATGAAATGATTGTGTTTTATTTTTGATGGTAGTCATTACCCTAATATTTGTTCCTCTTCTTCAAACTCCTTCCCCTCAGAGCTTTTAATATTAATGTCTGGATTGAGTGTCTCAACAATTACCATTGATAAAACACCTGAAGGCAATGCATGCATCAAGCGAATATGTAAGCCTTTCACCATGGCCCTAAACAAACCTACCTCTTTAATAAGATTTTTAGCCACAGTTATAACGCCTTTTGCATCATCGGGACGAATGTTTTTTATTTCGTCTGAAACAGCAAGTTGTTGACGTGTTTTAACAACATCTAAAAAGTTTGCTGCAGTAGCGGCACTTACAGTGCCTACAACACTTGCGCAGGCGATTAAACCTGGAGATAAATCAGCATATGTTGAATTAGGTGGTAACATATTGTTCACAAGAAAAGTTTTGGCCTTTTCATAGGTGGCCCACCAAACAATAGAATGGGGAACAAAAACCGCGATTCCAATCCAATAACCACGAAAAAACCCCTTTATACCTTCGGTAGCATATATCGACTTTAAAAGCTTGAATGTTGATGTTCCTGATTTTGAAATTTGCATTCGTCCCTTTACTACCTCCATTGGTGTCCAAATAAAACTACTGGCTAACTCAGCATTTGTCCCGCTGATAATATAGTTCGTCATGGAATCAGACCCAAAATATGGTGTGAGCTCGCGTTTTGACTGTCTATACGCAACCATATATGTTGTAAAAGCAGGTGTGGTTAGTGCGACAGAAGCCCCTAGACCACTCCAGTATCGACGTAGAGGAAGTCTATAGGAAAAATTGGTCGATGTTTGTTGAAGAGTTCGAATAGTATCAACTGAGTCATAAAATGAGAGAATTATATATTAGAAATGTCATTTAAAATGAAGGTTCCCACTTACGAGGATGGAAAACAATTTTGCTTCCAACTGCACCTGCACTAGAAAAATCTGTCAGCAAAATAAAAAAAAAATGTTTAATGATATAGAAAAGATAGTAAAATAGGTATGTTCTTTAAATGCTGAAATTTAAAAAATAAAGTAATATAAATTAAAAAAAAATGAAAATAAAAATACGTACACGGATGCCAATATTGTTTCAAAATCCATATTGATAAGTCAACTGAATATAAGATGATTGAAATATAAAAGGAGCCCTGAAGAATGGTATTGATCTCTAATCCTTAATAACCTACCATAAAAAATTCCGCTATTAGTCATCTTTATATAATTTTTTGGTGAAAATATTCTCAACAATTTCTTTGAATAAAAAAAAATTACGATCTACCGAGCATTATCCTAATTATGATAGAAAAACTTTTATAAGTTCTGGTGGTTATTAATGAAAATAATCATATAGCGCCAGTTGTCCAGTTAAGAACTTAGGGGAAACTCTGTGTTTGAATAAGATTTACACAACAAATGAAAACTAATTACAAAATAATAAGTTCTGCGCAACTTACAGAATGAGGAAAACGAGGAGAGTCGGCTATTTAGCTCCCATAAATTTTCTGCTACCTTATTCTTTATTTTCTTTTTCTTAAATTAGCCCGATGGCACTCAAGCGCCCTTTTAATTAACAACACTTGTCTTTAGCCATAGAAACAAATAATAACAATTGCCAATAATATAATTACTTTCTCATACAATGTCCGATACTGAAACTTCTGCAAACACTATTGAAATCATTGTGAAGTAAGTCAATAATATGAAGCGAAGATGTTTTTTTTACTAATGCTTTTTAAGGTCTTCAAGTGACAAGAAGTATAATGTTGAAATTTCTCTAGATTCTACTGTTTTGGATTTGAAAAATATTGTTGCTGAACAATCTTCTATTCCAGCAGAACGCCAAAGAATAATTTATTCTGGTCGTGTTCTTAAAGATCATGAAACTATTGGAACTTACAAAATTAAAAATGGTCAAACAGTACACCTTATTCGTGGTGCAGCACCTCAATCAACACCCGCGACATCTTCTTCATCACCTTCTGTCACTTCTTCCACTACCCCTAATGTCCCCACTTCCTTTTCGACTGGTGGAACTGTTGGTAATCCCCTTGCTGATTTGACAGGTGCTCGTTATGCTGGCTTTGCTAACCTTCCAAGTGCATCCATGTTTGGACCGGATGGTGGAATGGGAAGTATCCCTAATCCAGATGAACTAGCTAATTTATTGTCTCAGCCTGGCGTTCGCGAACAGATGAATGCTATGCTCAGCAACCCCAGTATGATTGAAATGTTGATAAACTCTAATCCTCAATTACAAAACATGGCTCCAATGTTTCGTTCTATGATGGGCAACGAAAGTTTTCGCAACATGTTGACAAATCCTGAAGCTATCAGATCTATGATGCAGATGCAACAGGCAATGAACCCTGCTCGTACGAATACATTTCCTGCTCCTGGGGTAGCTGAGAATATATCAGAGACTGAAACAAGAGCATCTGAAAACAATACTTCTAATTCTGGTGCCACATCTTCCCCTTCTATTGATCCTACCGCTTCATTGTTGTCGCAAATGCTAGGTAATTCAAACCAGTCGGCTAATCCCTTTGCGGATCTTCAACAAAATCTTCAATCTCTCTCACAGGCTTTGGGAACTAATAGAGGAGCATCTGAATCTGGATATGAAAATTCTTCTGCAGATAATCCATTTTCCGCTTTGTTAAACCCTGAGATAATTCAACAGCAAACTCAATATCTTCAATCACTTAATCAAGCAATGGAAGCTTCTAGAAACGCAACTAATGCAGCTGATCAAGCTGATAATCGTCCTCCAGAAGAAAAATATGAGTCACAATTGCGCCAATTGAATGAACTTGGTTTTTACGATTTTGATCGTAACGTTCGAGCTCTGAGACGTAGTGGTGGCCATGTTCAAGGCGCTATTGAAGCTTTATTGGATAACTTGATCTAATTATCTTTATTGTACCTATTTTCAGTAAGTAACAGTTATTACTAGCGGTTACCCTGAAATTAAGTCCAAAATGCTCAGTGCACTATTTAATTTACCAAGAAAAGTTATTTGAAAATTTTTATATTGGACATATTACAACTTTTTTTTTCTTTTTTTTAATTTATTTATCTAAAGCCAAAGCTATCATTGAGGATATAATTTTTTTTATATTTTAGACTAGTAATAAATAAATTAGAAATTAAATCACGATCTTTTGAAAAGTATTTGGGTTTAAAATAAAATGATATCTACCTACCGCAAATTAGCACCACAAAGATCAATTGATATTGTTTTGAAGACGAGAAGAACCCAAACTTCTTATGTACAGAGAAATTTATCATCAATTAGTCAAGCTAGCCTTTATGGTACCCCTACCCCAAACCCTATTGCCACCAAATTTATCAATCCTTCAACTTTTAACCCACCACACAACAGAATAATAAACAAATCAATTCAAAAAAAACCCTATCACCAATCTCGTCAATATTGTTCTAAGCATTCCTCTTTCTTGTCTAGCTTTCATCATTACCCTTCTCAAATGTGTTATTCAGCTGATGGTGCCTCTGCGTAAGTAATTGTTTTTTTTTAATTTAACCATTATCTTTTTTCAGCTCCCAAATTATAAAATTATAAAATTGATCACATTGATCCTAATTCTGTTTTTATTTTAAATTTTGGCATTTCTCCAATGATTCTTTTCATTAAAAATCTCTAATCCCAATGATTCTTTTTAATAAAAATTCCTAATTCCAATGATTCTTTTCGTTACAAATTCCTAATTCCTAATTATTTGCGTTTTAACGAAACCACTAAATTATGCCATTGTTTAAGTTATTTGTAACTAAACTCATAATAATTTGTTGCACTTTTTAGACATGCAGCCCTCAATTTCCTTTTTGATAAAATCAATCAAAAATACTCTCACTTCTACCTACGTACAACAACTATTTAACTGCGTTTCCCTAAGATCCCACAACAACATTTCTTCTTTTTATCTTTCTTTAACTCTTGGTTAATTCCTCATTAAATAATATATATTTTTTTTTCATTTGCATTAATTCTTCTATTTCATAAATTTCACTTCAATATTTTTTTTGGAGGGGTTTTCAGTAATGCCTAAAATTTCTTGGAAGTTAGGAATCGCCATTTTTTTTTTAATTGGCCTTATAACAAACATTACCATCTACCAATCTAATGTTGTTCCTAACAAAATATTAAAATCCCTTGGAAAAAATCTGATTTTTGATAAGCAAGCTAACCAATACCCATTTTCTAGTTCAAGCAAAATTCCTGAAAGACAATTGCTTCCTACTAATGTTAAGCCTACAAATTATAATTTAACCCTTAACCCAAATTTTGAAACTTTCAAGTTTGACGGAAATGTCGTTATTAGGTATGAATTTTTTTTAATTTGCTGTCTAGGAAAATACTGACTTAAATAGCCTTGATATTCAAGAAACTTCATCTTCTATTACAATCAATAGCTTGGAAATTGATGTAATCAAGTCGACACTTAAAGTTGATGATGGTGCCCCTGTTGAACCTGTCACCACAACATTTAATAAAGATGACACTACTGTCACTTTTGAATTTAAGGATGAATTTAAAAAGGGGTCAAAAGCAGTTCTCGATATTGAATACGTTGGACTCCTTAACGATAAGCTTGCTGGCTTCTATAGAAGCAAGTATACTGACGATAATGGTGTTACCAAATATCTAGCTACAACCCAAATGGAGCCTGCTGATGCCCGTCGTGCTTTTCCTGGTTTCGATGAGCCTGCTCTTAAAGCGACTTATGATATTACTCTTATTCATGACAAAAATTTAACTGCGCTCTCTAATATGGATGTCAAAGAGACTAGACCTCTTGACAATGATAAAGTTGCTACTGTCTTTAACACTACTCCCGTTATGTCTTCCTATCTTGTTGCATTCATTGTTGGTGAATTTAATTATGTTGAATCTAATTTATTCAGAGTTCCTGTTAGAGTCTACACCACTCCTGGATTAGAATCTAGAGCACAATTTTCTGCTGACCTTGGAGCCAAAACCCTTGCTTTCTTTGAAAAAACTTTTGATGTTAAATACCCTCTTCCTAAAATGGACATGATTGGCATTCATGATTTTTCTGCGGGTGCTATGGAAAACTGGGGTCTCGTTACCTATCGCGTTGTTGACCTACTTTTTGATGAAAAAAACGATAGTGCTGCAACTAAACAACGTGTGGCTGAAGTTGTTCAACACGAATTGGCTCATCAATGGTTCGGCGACTTAGTTACTATGGAATGGTGGGATGGTCTTTGGCTTAATGAAGGTTTTGCCACCTGGATGTCTTGGTTTTCTTGTAACGAATTTTACCCTGACTGGCGTGTTTGGGAAACCTATGTTGGTGATACATTGCAATCTTCTCTTGGTCTTGATGCTCTTCGTTCATCCCACCCAATTGAAGTGCCTGTTAGCAAAGCCGATGAGATTAACCAGATTTTTGATGCTATCTCATATTCCAAGGGGTCCTCGGTCTTAAAGATGCTTGCTAATTATCTTGGAGAAGATAATTTTATTAAAGGAATATCTGATTATCTCAAACTTCACAAGTACAGTAACACTAAAACTGAAGATCTTTGGAATGCTCTTGAAAATGCATCGGGCAAAAATGTTTCAGCCGTTATGAATACTTGGACTAAAAAGGTTGGTTTTCCTGTTGTTTCTGTTGAAGAAGATGGTGATAAAATCACTGTCACTCAAAACAGATTTCTTAACACTGGTGATCCAACTCCCGCCGAAGATGAAACCATTTATCCTATCAACCTTGCTTTACGTACCAAGGATGGAATTGATGAAACCATTTTGCTTGAAAATAGAACGGCAACTATTACCGTTAAAGATCCTTCATTTTTTAAACTTAACGGAGATCAGGCGGGTATTTATCGTGTAAAATATTCGCCTGAGCGTGTTTCAAAGCTTGCAAAATCTGCTGATCTTCTTTCAGTTGAAGATCGTATGGGTCTTGTTGCTGATGCCCGTGCTCTAGCTTCTAGTGGCTATTCTAAGACAAGTGCGTTCTTGGAGTTAATTAACGGATGGAAGAATGAATCGGAACCTAATGTTTGGGACAGTGTTTTGGGAAATTATGCTAGTGTGAAACGTGCTTGGCTTTTCCAACCCAAAGATATTAATGAAGCTCTTAAAAAACTTCAAGCTAGTCTCGTTGAAAACAAGTCCTTAGAACTTGGTTGGGAAATCAAGCCACAAGATGGACTTCTTCTTCAGCAACTGAAGGCTAATTTGTATAGTGCAGCTGTTGGAGCTGAGATTCCCTCTTTTATTGATGATGCATTGGCAAAGTTTAAGAATTATTCTGCTGGAAATGAAAACGCAATTGACCCTAATCTGCGTGGCGCTGTTTTTAGAGCCGCTGGCAAGTACGGTGGTAAAGAAGCATTTGACAAGCTCTTAAGTATTTACCATAAAAAATCTTCTGTTGAGGGCCTTACTGCTGTCCGTTCTCTTGGCTATAGCACTGATAAGGATCTTCGTGCTAAAGCCTTAAATTTTACTCTTGATGGTACCATTCGTACACAAGATGTTTCTTACATTTTTGCTCCATTTTCTACAACTACAGAATCTATTGAACAAGTCTGGAGCTGGTTCAAGGAAAACTGGGATAAGTTAAGTGAGATCTACCCTGCCAGCTTAGGTCTTCTTGCTCGTGTCGTTGGTGGTGCTAGTGCAGGCTTTAGCACTAAGGAGCAGCTTGCTGATTTTGAGGCCTTCTTCAAGGATAAGGATACTAAAGGCTACGACCAAACTCTAGCCAATACTAAAGATCGACTTCATGCATATATTTCATGGACCGAACGTGACTCTAAAGATGTCGAAGCTTGGCTTACTTCTAGAGGCTACCTTGAAAGAGATGCTAAGTTGTAAATAATATATTACTTAAAGTTGATTCACATACTAAATGATAATGAATAATAAGTTTATAATAAATGTTACTTTAAGCTAGTAAAAATCTGATTATAAACACGTACGATGTAAAGATTTCAATGACTGTGTTTTTAGTGAATTTATCTCGTATTAATTGAAGTTTTAATATGCCTTAATGTCTAGTAATAATTTCTTATCATTTTTTTCTAGAATTTCCTTCCTCATCCTCCCCTTCCTCGTCCTCCATTTCTTCAACCTCATCAAAAATCTTTTCTAATTCACCAAAAAAGTAACGCTGCTTTGGAATCTCTCCAATTTTTATATGCATTCCATCAAAGGCAAATGCAAATACAGGTAATTCTTTTATTTTTTCAGTAGCTTCAGAATCTTCATTAAGATTTTGTAACCCGTCCATATTTGGTAGTTTCGGATAACGCTGAGAAAAATGAGTCAGAATTGTATACTTAGCTTTCATGCTACGGGCTACTCCAATAGCCTCAGATATTGTAGAGTGTTTCTTTTTGAAAGCTTCAGCTTCTAAACCATTATCATGAGTAGCTTCGTGAATTAAAAGATCCGATCCAAAACCAACCCGTTTAGCAAAAAATTCAGTTGGTCTAGTATCTCCAGAATATGAAACTTGAAATGTCTGTTTGGATGAATTTGGTGAATGTGATCTTGAAGGAGAACGTGATGGTGAAGATGGTCTGTGATTGTTTTCTTCAACATTGTCAAGCGAGAAGTTGAATGAAACGCAGTAAGCAAGCTCACAATGTATAGCTTTGCAAGTACGAACAGATGTAAGTCCCATATCTTGTTTCATTTCCTGGATATAAGAATATCTAGAAAAATTGGGTGATGTTTTGTCACAAAAACCCCAACCAACAATCGCAGATTCATTATCAACAAACCGTAGTCTACCTATCTCGACTTCAGATTCTAATTGGGACCACTCTTTCAAAAAATCAAAATACTTCCAGGGTCCCATAATGTATAAAGGCCGCTGAATTCGGTCCTGCGAATTTGCCAACTTTAGCCAGTATGTGATAAATGAAATAGCACCGAGATGATGATCAGCGTGCAGATGAGAAAGATAGAAAATACCGATATTAGAAACGACCTCTTTAAGTTTTTCAGGGCCATATATTCTTTTCATATTTCCTAAGGTATTTTCGCCACAGTCAAATAAAATAGAGCGGGTATTTCGAGAGCTGGGAATATTAACAAGGGTTGCAACTACATTACGGTATTTATTGGGCATCGCACTACCGGTTCCCAATGTCACTATTTCAATATCCTTAAGGTGTTTCTCAACTATTTTGTCGCTTTCAATGCATGCTTTAAATTTAGATTTGTTATCATTTCTAAGTGCTTGATCGGTACCACTTTTTTCTATTTCGCTGTCTAACTGAGCTTCCAAAGAGTCCCAATCCACACGTCCACCAGATTTTTCAAAGGTAGTTTGGTAAATGATATCCTGTTCTAATGAAATACTAGCCATTGTAAGCATTGGAAAGAGTTTATTCTGGGTCTTCTCTAAGCTAGGGAAGTTCAATGGTGCATCAGCAGTATATAGTCGCTTGAAATTATCTGGAAAAATTTTCCGAAGTTTCATATTTAACAATGCAGCAGACTCTAATGAAATACCATCGGGGGCATAAAATGGATGTGTGATAAAATGCATACATTCCGGTGAAAACACAGTAGAATCTTGTTGAGTTATCCAATCAAAATATGGACCATCAAATGGGTTTACAGATTCTCCTAACATATGAAAAGCTACAGTTACTGGTTCAGAATACCCATGACATGGATCAATAAAATTATTCTCAAGATCAGACTGAGCTCTTCGTCGTTTAGAATCAGGAGGTATGTCTGGGTTATTGTTGCTATTGGTAGGATTGTTAACGCTAGAATTGTTAGAATGACTGCCTAAATCAGGTGATAAGTTTTCGCGCCAATCATGACCATTGATAAGATCTTTAACATAATCATTAGTGGGACAGTCAATGACAAGAACACGGCCGTTGATATTAGGAGGTTCTAAAACTTCATGAGGATGAACAGTTTTCCCATCAGGTGTAATAATAGATTCACCGTCAGCTAATTTTGCAAACATTTCTCCGCGGGGGACACCTAAACTAATGGCTTTTTGAGGGATGAATTTACCACGACTAGGACGAATTTGAATCATGTAACAAGAAACTCGAGAGTCACGCAAAACTGCAGGAAGAGCAGCGTTTGACACAGGTCCGAGCTTGTAGTCGTTTCCTTCTTGTTTGGTAATAGTTTGTTTTGAAAAAAGTCTGTTTAAAATACTGAGAGATTCACGATCAACTTCTTCTTGATCAATATTTCTGTTTAAATAATCGTTTTCAGTGATCGTTTCGGGATATATATGTACTCCCTTAACACAAATATATTTATCTGAGTAAATTTCCTTACTAGCGTTTTTAATTTGAAAATCAAGATTTCCTCTAAGAACAAAATTGCGCCAAGTTGCACATGCCCAAGGTAAATTATCAACAGCTGAATGCAAAGTCATCTTTTTTACCCCCTGGTCAGCTAGTGTAAGAATTATTCCAGGAAGACCTCCTAATGAAGACCAATCAAGAGGGCCAGAAATAAAAACATTTTTTAGTTTTCCAAATTTTACGCGATTTTGATTGATTGACCGTTGCAAACCTTCTCCAAAGCGACCAAATAGGTGACGATCGCCTTTTGCAGTTTTCAGAATAAGTGAAGGTGATTGGCAATCCGATGTTCCATGAGAAAGAATTTGAACAGTAGTTTTCATTTCGGCAGATATATTACGTAACAATTGCTGCTGCTGTTGTTGTTTTTCTCTTTGAATTTGTTGTGATTTATTTGCATATTTTTTTTCCTTCTTTTTTTTGTTTCTTGATCCATCCAGAGGTTGTGGAATGGAACCAAGAGGACCAATGAATGACGGTCTTTTTTGGCCATCAAAAGTGTTGTGGAACTCAATAGTCATCTTATTTTTGCCAAAAGTGGAATAAAACGAAGATATGTGAGAAAAGTAAAAAAATGGAATTTGATGATTCGATGATGATCTTAATAAACAGGACTGATCGAATGTCAGCAGCCACTTTGTGCTGTGACAAACCAGTGTATTTTTTAGTAGAGGTGCAATCGCTGATATTTAAAAAAAAATAGAAAGTAATAAACAAGTAAGCATATATTATATATATAGATATATATTTACAATATGCAGATCATTGATATCTGTGAATTACAAGTGAATCTGTCTGTATTGGAGAGACAACTGGGATCGGTTTAAAAAAAAAAAAAAAAAAAAAGAAAAAATTTAAAGCCATGAAAAAATTTCACCCTAACCCTATAAAAAAATTAAAAAAATTTCATCGTTATATAGTTACTCGTTGTAACTCTAATGAGTGCTAATCGTAGGCTTCCTAAAAAGAATGTAATGTTGAAGCTAAAATTTTTAAAAAAAAAAGGTCATGATATCTCTTGAATAGAAATAACATCAGTATCATTACCGTTTACGGTATTTTTTTATTAAAGTCATTTTTTTTAAGTTCTGTAGTACGTAGTAATGCTTAATAAAATAATGAAAAACTTAGTTTTACTTAAAGTAAATCGCGAAAAAAAACGTGCCTATTATCATTCCAGATAAACTGAGATTTATGGGCTAGACATTTACTTACTAATTGGCCAACCACATTTTTATTTAACTAATTTAACACCAAACCCTATTTTCTATTAATTCCCAAGCCAATATCATTCAATACATATATATAAAATGGCTGCTAAAAAAATCAATTCTCTTCTTTTAGATATTGAGGGAACAGTCTGTCCTATTTCTTATGTTAAGGATGTTCTTTTCCCATACGCCAAAAATGCTGCTGCGGAAAAAATCCCTCCTCTCACTCAATATTTTCCTCTTCCTGATAATGTAAAGGATCTTGATCTTGGTGCTTCTACTGGCACCGTCGTTTCATCTGACGATACCGAACTTTTAGGTTATTTGTGTGCATTCCCCCAAGCTGCACGACAAAGTCCTGTATCACTACTTGGGCATATTGACGGTCTAATTGATAACGATGTTAAGGACCCAGCTTTGAAGGCCTTACAGGGATATTTGTGGCATTCTGGTTATGTAAGTGGAGAAGTGACGGCCCCTGTTTACCCCGATGCTGTGAAGGCTATTAAGAAATATTCTAAAGAACTTCCTAGTGGGGTCTCTATATATTCTTCTGGTAGCGTTAAGGCCCAGATTTTGCTTTTCAAGCACACCACCGATGACGGTGATCTGACGCCTTATTTGTCAGATTACTTTGACACAATTAATGCAGGACCTAAAACTGTTAAGGAATCTTACGAAACCATTTCCAATCTACTTGGTGTTCAAAACGATACCATTTTGTTTTTGTCAGACAACCCTAAAGAAGTTGAAGCTGCTGTAGCTGCTGGGTTCAATTCTTACATTGTTGTTCGTCCCGGGAATGCGCCACTTCCCGAAGATGCTAAAACCAAGTACAAAGTGATTACAACTTTAGATGATATTATTTAAAATATTTTTTATGAAAATAGAAACTTAGATTATTATTTAAATAAATAAGCCTAAAATAAAGTCTGAGAATAGCAAACATCAGCAATGTTAACAGTAGTTTTAATGTTATTTGGCTATTTGATATTTTGGTATTTTTAAGATAAGATTGAATTATTGAATTATTGTATTATATATATATAAATATAATTGTAAAGAAACACCATAATATTCTTACAACCCCATCCATTTTAACATCATAAGTTTTTTCTTCTTAGCTTTGATAAAAATAAGTCCATTACCGAAATTTGTTAACCAAAACCTATTAAACTCTTTATATTATTAACATTTTTTTTTTTTTTTTTTCAAATTTGCTAAGCTATATAAGCTATAGATTAGCCTAAATAGCTTTAATCTTCAAAACCATGGTCAAACAAATAGTTTGCAGCCAGTTCCTCATTTTTATCACAAGCAAAGTATGCTTGGGCAGCCAATGTTCTGTCAAATCCCAAATCAACCAGTCTCTGAATAGCTTCGTTTTCCTCAGGTGTGATTCTAATAGTTCCAGGGGGAAGCTGACCACCTTCAACATCACCTTCGGTACCATCTTCGTAGTCATCACCTTCTAAGTCACCAAGATCGATTCCAAAAGTCTCTTGAATAATGCGAGAAAAACTGATTGGGTCAGATGCTGCGAGGACCTGGAGCTCAGGATACGACATGACAAGTTGCTGAATAATTGTTTGGAGCATTTCGGGTCTTTCGCGCACAACTTCACGCATTTGCTCAAACTCAGGAGTGCTACGGAATTCTTCAAACATGGCCGACATGCTGCTCTGAGCATCCTGATTGCGATTCTGAGCAGCAGCGGCAGCAGCAAACAAATCAACCTCACCCTCGGTTGCCTCAGTGGTGTTATCTCTAGCTTCAGTAGCAGTAGTAGTTGGGGTTTCGGCAGAAGGTTGTTGTGAAGTAGTTTGGGTGGGCTGCTCTTGAGGCTGTTGTAAAGAGTCAGGGATACCCGTCAGTAGATATTCAACGGCTCTATCAGGATTGTTGAAAGCGGCACGCATAGCGTGTTGGACCTGTTCCCGAGTGTAGCCCATTTCGACCATGCTGTTAATAGCAACTTCTCTTACAGAGCCAGTTGTAAAAGCTGATGGGTCATTAAAGACGGGTGTAGTAGAAGTGGTTTCAGCGACAGCGGGTGTATTGGCAGTTGCTTGAGTCTCATTAGCAGGAGTAGTTGTTGTAGAGGATGTTGGATTTTGGTTAGTAGGCTCAATTGCAGCAGTGGCCGTAGTTGGTTGTGTTTCAATAGTAGTTGAGGGGGAAGGTTGAGAAGGGGCTGGTGAGCTTGCTGGCTTCGGGGCTTTAGCCTTAGGAACCATACAGACCACAAAGCCTGACTCTGTAAGCTTGTAGGACTCTAGAGTTTTATCATCTTGCAAAATTTGACCTATTCAAATATTTGATTAGCATAAAAAATCAAGAAGAATCAATAAAATAAATATTTATAGGAAATTTCAGAAAACATACCAGAAAAGATTAACTTTTGTTCTTCCACAGACCAGCCGTTTTGCTCTCCGTTGAGTTTTTTTAATTCAAGAACCTGTTTGAAACTATTAGTTCATCAAAAATAAATAAATAAAAATGTATTTAATAAATAAGCAAACAAGGTATTGCCCATTATACTCACAGTTTGAGTTGGATCAATTTCAATTGTCCACGATTTCTTTTGAAAATTTTTAAGAGTAACCTTCATTGCGGTGGCAAATTTACTAAAATGGTATGTATATATAAAGGTATGTATATATCAATAAGGTAATTATCAAAGATAGCTACTTTTTTTTTTTTTTTTTTAATTAAACAAGGCTTTAGATAAAATATTTTTAAAAAAAATTGTAGATTTTGTAAAGAAGAAAAAAAAAATAACAATAAAAAATTTCAAGGTGATGTGGGTAATGGGTTGATTACAAGTGACTGACCAAAAAAAATAACAACAAAAACAATTATTAAATTAAAACGGACCAAACTTTTAGATTATTTTGTTTTAATCCAAATACGTGTATTAACAAAATGCCTACTTCTATTTAAACTACAGCTTTTTCTACAATTACAGATAATAATTGTTTCATTTAGGACATTTCAATTTTTTAAATCTCTATTTACGAATATATTGAAAACTGTAACTTGAGGTGGCGTTGAAAAAAGTTTTAAGTAATTTAAAGTGGCGTTTTTGTTGAACTTAAAGCTTTTTACTTAATCTGTAATTTAGACCAGAAGTTAATCAATTTAAACTTATAAGTTTGAATTTATTTAAATTAAATTATATTTAATTTAATTAATTTAATTAACAATAGTTAACAATGTCACGTTATTTAAATAAAGTGGCAAAATATGAGTAATCATTTGTCATGAAAAAAAAAAAACATAACTGAATTTCCAAGTTTAATATTAAAATATTAAAATATTATGGATAATAAGCCTCAACATGTCGCTTAACTATTATTAGTGTTATATTGCTATTTAGTTTATATTTGAATTTCCTGTCTTGTCTTGAGACAATTCCTCCAAAACCCTAAATAAGGAAATTCAATAATCGTATCAATATTTGATTTACCAAGTCAAAAAAAAAAAAGATATTAGTAGAATTTAAAAATTTTAGAATCTAAAAACAACTTTTTTTTTTTTTTTTTCACTCTATCAAATAGATTAGGTGATTTTTAAAATGTATTATGACTCAGGATTTTAATGAATAATAAAATAAACAATAAAGAAAAAAGAAAAAAAAGAATTTCTCTTAATGAACCTAAAGAAAGTATATAGGATCTTAATTAAGAAACTTTTCAATCTTGGCTTTGGTACAAAAACCTTAGTAGTAGTTTGATATTTACATACTAGGAACATTATTGAGTTAAAGTTAACATTTATTTTAACTCATAATATATCAAAAAAAAAAATTTTTTTTTTTATTTTAATATCGCCACCGACATATGCCATATATATATATATATATATATATATATATATATATATATATATATATATATATATATATATAAAATATAAATATAAATATAAATATATATTATTTTTAATTTTTAATTTCTAAATATCGATAAAGTTATTTTTGGTAATTTTTGGTTATTTTTTTTCTCGGACTTCAAAATAGCTGCTAAGCTTCCAACAATTTTTTTTTTTTTTTTTTTTTCCTTTTCCCTTTCCCTTTCCCTTTCTTAATCACTATTTACTATCACTACCACCACCACAACTATCATCATCTTACCTTTGGCTTTCACAGCTCTCTTTTTTTTTTTTCTTCGTCATCCTCCTTTTCATTCACCCTGTGTTTCTTATGTCCCGAAAACTCCGACGGACCTCGTTTTTACAGCTTTGTGATCTCAGCCACACACCTTTTAAACAAGCGTACCCTTATACTCAAACTTTTACCTGCCTTTCTTTTCACCCTTTTAAAAGATCCAACCACTTATTCGCTCCTACGCTACCCCCATCCATTTGCTCCTGCCGCAAAGCCTATTTAAAAGGCGGTAGCTTCTTTCCTTAAACTTAACATTTGTATATAAATGTCCTTCATATCTAAGCTCCGCCCAAAATCTCACGGCAGCCCCCGTGAAGATTATCTTGCGACAGTTGCAGACGGCACTCAACAACCACAACAACAACAACAGCCTCAACACAACCATCATCCTAACGTTCTTCTTCACGGCCACCATAGTCATCACCATTCAATATCGTCACCTATTTGTCTTCAGTCTTCTTCATCTGCAGTACCTGTGCCATCTTCAGCCATTCCCATCCCTTACTCACACTCAACTTCATCATCACCACCACCAGTAACATCTCCAGGTCACATTTTACTTTCTCCCCCACAATCATCATTCAGTAGTTTGCTTACCCGCCCCAGACTTTACATGTCTCACTCAAGTTCTGCTGTGACAACAACATCTTCCAATGGCCATCTTGGGAGTCATCATCATAGCGGCCATCATTCGAATCTTCAACAAAGCACTGCAGCTTCTGATATTCCAACTTCTTCATCTCTACAGCGTATCAGTCACCTTGCAAATCAATCCTCTTCTCCCCCAGTACAAAGTTACTTTTCTTCTTTATCTGCAAACAACAACTTTTCAGAAAACCACATTTTTGGGGTTCCTCTTGAAACATCCATTAAATATGCTAGCTCCAATATTATTCTTAAAGATAAAGCTGGGAAAGAATATGTCTATGGCCAGATTCCAATCATTGTTTCTAAATGCTCTTACTTTCTCAAAAAAAATGCTGCTAACACTGAGGGAATTTTTCGTCTAAGCGGCTCTGCTCGACGCATCAAGGAGCTTCAAGCTATTTTTTCTGATCCTCCGGCTTACGGGAAATCTCTTGATTGGGTGGGTTTCAATGTCCATGATGCTGCCAATGTTTTACGCAGATATCTCAATAACCTTCCTGAGCCAATCGTCCCTTTGGATCAATATGACCAATTTCGTAAGCCTTTATCTCAGTATCCTGTCATAATCGAACATTTACAGGGAAATCAATCAATATCAGCCACTTCGCCTGGGTTTATTAGCCCCTCAACAAACCCTCTTGTTACTGTTTCTGCTGTGCCTGAGTCTAATCTTGAGACAGTCTCTCCCTTGACAAATACCGCAACTGATATGACAACAATAACATCTACATCTATATCAACAGAAATAGTAGACACAAAGACCAACAGAGATATTAATGGCAATAATGATGTCAATAATTTAAAGACTGCAACCACTACTCCCCAACTACTTTCTGGTTTGTCCGATGTTTTATCAATACCAGAGGCTGTGAATATCTGCAGTAATAATAATAGCACTGGAAACATTAGTTTTCATGGCAGTTTAAACAGTTCGACAGGAAGTAGTAGTGACACATCTGAAGTCACTCCACGAACAGAAGATACTGTTTCTCCCACAACTCCCACAACTCCTATGACAACCACAAAAGATCTTAAAGATAAACTTTCTTCGGGTACTGTTCTACCACAGCCCCCTTCTTCTTCCACACAAAATTTATCATCAACATCGTCTCTTTTACTTCCGTCCACGTCTACTTCGCCCTCATTGTCGTCTCCAATTACATCCTATTCTCAACAACCTCAGGCCCAATCCTCAACTCCTATAATTTCATCCAAACCTTCTGCCTTGAAGTCAGACAATGACAATGAGAAACTTCAAGAAGAAACAGTGGACGCCATAGAGCTATATAAACAGCTCCTTGAAACTTTACCCCCACTAAATCGTCAACTGTTATTATATATTTTAGACTTGTTGGCCTTTTTTGCAAAACACTGGCAGTTTAATCTCATGCCTGCAGTAAATTTAGCTGCAATTTTTCAACCCAGTTTGCTTTCACATCCTAGCCATAGCATGATTCCTAGCGAGTACCATCTGTCTCGTGCTGTTGTACAGTTTTTGATTGAGCATTTTCATTCTCTTGTTCCAGTCGATCTGGACCCTGATAAAGCAAAAACCTCAAACACAACTAAAGATCCACGACCTCGTCATCATTTTCGTCGTCATAGTAAGTCTATGAGCAGTGTTAATATTCCTTCGCAAGTGACGTCATATCTCGAATCTTCAAAGACCACAAACTCTAGTAATACGACTGTGCTGGATTCCGAAGTAGTTCTAGAGCAAAGTTCTGCAATCAACTCATCATCATTATCACCACCATCATCATCATCATCTGCAGTTTTGCCTTCTTCACACACTAATTCATTTGCAACTAGTATCAGTAACCTTGCAAAACGGTCAGTATCTCCTGTTCAGACGGCCTTAACTGGGCATATTAAAAATAGAGCAACAGATAACGCTTCGAATTCAACTGGGAGTAATTATAATGCCTTTGCATCGACATCTGAAGTGACAGCACCCGCCTCTTCAATGAGATCACGCGCTTTATCTCCATCTAGACATTCTGTCAGTGCTCCTATTAGTCCACATAATCCTCCTGGATCTCCGCCATTACATTCTAGTATTCCTCTAGCAACCCCAGCAGTGGCAACCACTGGAATATTTTCTGCACTTAAACGTGCATCAAGCATAACGCGACGTAAGCGTGCTCCGTCTACTTCTGCAAATTCCAATAATCTTGCTAATAATCTTAACTCATCTACTGTTTTAAGCTCTGCTGCTTCTACACCTACAATTAATACATCATCCCGCCAACCCACCATATCAACACCAAGTTTTATGAACCAAACATCAACTCCGAATTCTGTACTCAATAGCTCTGAGCAGAGTTCATCAACAAGTTCTAAGCTTTTAACAGAAACCGTTCCTAGTTTGTTTTCAACTACCACAGCAGTTTCAACACCAACTGTACCCACAACCACTTATGCACCGACCTCTATGCTTATTCCTGATACAGAATCTACACATGTCTTACAGCCTGATTTGGGGCCTACTTCTATGTCATCTTCTTCAACAATATCGAATTCTATTTCTAATTCAACCTTATCTAAAGCTCTCGCAAAGAAATCGATACCGTCATCTATGCTAATTCCAGAATCATTACCTTCTCCTATCTCTTCACCATCCGAGCATCCTGATCCTGGAAATGCACATTTTAGTTCCGCCGCGATGTCGTCGTCTTCCTCACTCACAGCATCTGCATCTGCATTAAGTTATGGCTCAACAAGTTCTGCAGCGGCAATAATTACTGCTACTAGCACTGCAACTGTAAAGAAGTCATCTAGCGATGATAAAATTTGTCTTAAAAATAGTGATTCATGCTCTACATTTACTACTAATCAATTAGATTATGCCAATTTTAGAAGTGAGTCTACTCCGACTCGTACGCTTGCTACATCTACTCCGCTTGATTCAAGTGATTTTTCTTTGGGAACCCCTATTGATTACAACCATAGCAATAATGGTGGTAATGTTGTTGCTCCAGAATCAGCACTAAAAATCCCTGAGATCACTACTAGCAAAGTAGATGATTTGAAATCTGAAGAGACTGATACTGTGAAACGATCGAAAATTTCGACAAGTTTAGCTAGATCTATAAATCTACAACCACCAAACACAACATTGAACCCGAATTTCGGAGCAGTTGGTGGATTCTCTTCTGGGTCTTCTTCAGATGAAGCGGAGCCTGTTAATACTGTCACTGCATCTACTCAGACTGAATTTGATGTTTTACCAGGACCTCCCATACTACAGTTACCCCTATCTTCAAACAATGCCAGCAATGAAACTATTGGAACAGAGTCTGGACGCAGTAAGTTTCGACGTCATCGCAAGCGTATGTCTCAATCTCTTTCTAATATGTCTAATCGACTTACTCGTCGATCTCTCTCTCCTTTGGCCAAAGTGGAAGGTGGTAATACAAGTTGTGGAGAACTAGGCTATCGCAATATTACACCAAGTTCACTGGCTGGAAATAATTTTTATGGCAATATCTCATCAGGGGGGTCGTCACCTTTGAGTCTTGCGGCGTCTTCATCTGTTCAGTCACTACAACAGCAAACTGATTCAAGGGAGCAACAGTCTCTTGATAACGCAATTGCTTCAATGTCTTTATCTGGTCCATCTTGGCCTCGTAACAATTCTACTGAAAGCGGAAATTGTGCGTTTTCTAGTGAATCTTCTATAGATTGCGAATCTGATGGAGATTATGATGAATCTAATAGTAGCCTTGTTTATCAAAATACTTCTACTGTTTCTCCAGTCGCGATTGATTCGTCAAATTCGTCAAATTCGTCAACTGGATTCGTCAATACTTCGGGCTTTAACAACAATAATATTTCTATCAGCTCTTCTGACACTGGCTCGCTACCAACATCAAATAAACCGAACGTATCTTTATGGCGTCGTTCTCTCATTGCTATCAATATACCAGTGACAACATCTTCTTCATCGGCACCTGCATCGGCCACTACGACTTCTCTTTCAATTTGCGATCAAGAAACTGATAGTATTAATCTATCTAAAAGTTCCCAACTTTCGCCCCGAACTTCCCCAATTAACGATGATAATACTAGCATTATGACTGCACCCACATTAGGATCGAGTCCTAATAGTCGACAGGGTTGGCTGCATAGACCTTTTAAAGTGACATCGCGTAATAATAGCCGGTCCCAACTTAATTCAGATGATGAACGTGCTCCAATTTGAATTTTTTTGCAGTGGTATTTTTGACAGGAATCAATATACTAAAATTCATTATCATTAATTACATGGTTTTTCAGTAAAAAAATTATATATAAAAGGTAAAATGCAATACTTTGTTTTATTTTTTTCTTGTTGGGGAAAACAGTGCCAGGAATGTAAATAAATAACCTTGAGCATAAAGTAAGGATTCTTGTGAGTCCCCGGACCAACATAAGAATTGTACTAGGTCAAAACTGATGCGATGATTCCAAAATACCCTCCAGTTTTGCTGCAAGTAGTGCTGTGGCCGTTGTGTCCGATAGTCAAAAACAAAAAGGTAGGCTCAACAACTAAGAGGAGTGGAAAAATAAAAGTGGACCTTACGGTGAGCATGATCATGACTCATAGGTAGCATGGTGCTGAAAAAGTCATCCAAGTAAAAAGAAGCCCACCACTTCACTCCATTTATGGTCGGAAAAATACGCGGCTGTGAGTCCGAAAGCTTTTGTTTTAATATTTCACAAGTGGTTTGGTGTTTATTGTCTTGTATAGAAGAAGAGTCCACGATATTGATACCAATGGCATGAGGCTCTTTATAAGCCTAAGAGATGATCATGTAACCTGAAAGTCTCATAAGTGATATATACGCAAGGAAAAACGCAGTGGTAAAGACACAACTGAAACAAACAACACTATTGATGAGTTTGAGTGTGACGTACTAGCACAAATAAGAGTGTCTTCTATGACGGAAGTATAACAAAACTTCGAGAGTGCTTTCGCTAATAAAAACAATGGAAATATAATGAAGTTTAGGCTTGCTTTCAAGAGCAAAAGGAGATAGTCCAGTCAGTCTATTGGGTTTGCAAAATCCTTGTATATAACAAAAGAGATCGCTTCTGCAAGATATTGTCTGGTATATCAAAACAAACGCAATTCAAGAAAGGAAAAAGACAAGGGAAGTCATTTATCGCAAAACATGATCTCAAGTTGTACAATAAACTCACTAAGAAATTATATCCCTTAATTTCAATAGCATTCAAGGAAGAGGTGAGGAGTAGTCAAAAAAAGAGTATTATAACTCATGATATTTCGTTTATCGTTTTACAGAGAAAATCAAGAAATTGAAAAAATATTGCAGAGATCCGGTCTGCAGGAAAGACCCGAAAGTGTCCTAAACACCATAAAAAAAATTAACCAACATAGCGGTTGATGATTACTACCAAATCATTAAACATCTTATTACTATTGACAAAAATATAGTACTGCCGCCATTCGAAACTCAGAAATTGGTTGGTATTAGTAGAAAAATGGGGATGAACCAAAATTTGATATTGATTTCACACTACAAAATTTTTCCGGTGCCTTTCCTTCAAGTGCAAATTGACAGAAATGAGACTCTCTAGGATGAGTGAAGAGTAAACCAGTAAGACATGTATCAGTTGCGGACCAGTGGAACCTAATGGATCTTTCAGTGATCTTAAGTACCATTGTGACTCGTGTAGAATCTCTGTTGACAGAGACGTCATCAAATGTCTGTCTTCCTCCAGATAAACACATTAAATTCATGATCCTTTAAACTTAGTTGATTAAATCAATGCCATTTTATGGTATATTTCCATGAAGAGATATTAAATAAATTTATTAATACATCCAATACCCATGTTCGCCCTTTAGCAATAATAATAGTTATTTGAATAGGATTTTTTCTATTTTTATTTTATATATATTTTTATTTCTCTTACAACCAAAGCTTGCCTTCCTCAACAAGCAGGTCAGTGAGAAACTCAACCTCAGAGCGCTTACGACCTTCGGAAAGCCAATCAGAAGCAAGACGCTTGGGCCAGCCCTTAAGGGTATTGACTTCGGCCACGGCATCAGTAGTGCGCCCCTCAGAAAGAGCAGTGTTTGCACGAGCAAGGATAGCCTCAACATCATCGCCAGTAGGATTACCTTCCTTCTTCCAAAGAAGTTTAGAGAAGACAAGTGATCCAATATGGCCAGCTATACCAGCGTTAGGTGGTAACAGAGACGCTTTACGAATTTCAGGTTCCAAAAGGTGGAAGCGCGCAGCAAGTTGAGCTGGCGACAAAACACCTTGCTCCAGCGCCTCTTGGGGTACGGCAGCCACAACAGCACCCAATAGCGTATCTTTAGAGTTTGTTTCGTCAATTGTCAGCTTTTCTACTGCAGCAAAGTATGGAGCCAAAGGCACGGGCTCATCTTGAGCAAGAGCGAGCCGCAGTTTAGTGATGGAAAATTGAAGTTTGGCCGCACGGTCGGCATCAGAAACGGCTTTGTCAGTCTTAGCAACAAGTTCTTGTACATTAGAAACCTCAGCAGCAAGCTCCTTCAAGTTAGACAGGCGGCCTTCACGCTCAGTTTCAACACGTTCAACAACTTGCTTTGCAAACTCACGTTCACGTGCAGCATGCACTGCCAATAACTGATTATTAGCATGAGCAAAAATAACACGATTAGCAGCATTGACTTCGTTTTGTAAGCGCTCGTTGTAAGCTTGTGCAAGACGTTTGGTCTCATCATGGAATTCACGAGCCCATTTTTCCTCTTGAGCACTGACAGCAGTCTTAAGCTCATTAATACTCGATTCAAGACGATGCTCAGACTTTGCAATATCAGTAGCAGCAAGCTTTTTGGCTTCAGCAGCAGTAGTTGCCTTAATCGAATCAATTGAGGTGGAAAGAGCATGGAGTTCATTGGAAATAGCTTCAACATCGGCTGAGCTTGCCTTTGCCTCGTTGACGACTTCAATGAAGGCATTAAGACGCTCAATAGACTTTGAAACAGCAGGGTCGGCACCAGAAGGAACACTAATCAAAGGGAGAGAAGGCTTAACCGCAGATGAAGATAAGGAAGAGGAAGGAGTCGAAGCACTGGTAGCTTCTGTGGGAGCTGAGGCAATTGAAGACGTTTCGGAAGACGCGGGCTTTTGTTGCTGCTTGTTGTTAGCATTTTTAAGAATGCTAGCAGCGCCGGGAGCAACATCGTGGTCATCAACAGGGGGCTTCCAAGTAGTTGAAGCACCAGAAGCGCGAGACTGAGTTGCCGTAGTTTTACTGGAAGTAATTGAAGAGGGGGAAGAATCGGAAGAAGATGGGAAAGATGCAATTGTGGGAAGTGAATTGGAAAAGCGTCTCTTGAAGCGTTGTTCCTCAAGGAAGTAAATAATGTCCTCAGCAAAGGGAACATTCTCAGTGAATAAATCACGGAAAGCATCGTCATCCAATGAGTAGTAAACAGCACCACCATAAGCAATAGTAGTTAAGCCTAAAGTATAGAGAATGAAATTTCGGAAACGGTGGGTCTTTTTGGGAGGCTTGACCTGGGGAGGAGGAGGAGGAGGAGGAGCAGCAGATGATTGTGACTTTGCTTCCTCTTTAGGTTGCTTGGGCTCTTTAATTGGTCTTCCCTCAAAGACCATTGGGGGCAGGTCGCCGGCACCTGGAGGTTTGCTAATATATCTGGCAGCCTAAAATTTTATTAGCTATAATTTAAAACTAATTATGTGCTATAACTTACAGAGCCAGAAAGAGCTCGAGTAGAAGAAAAAGATTTAGCAGCTAATTGCTTAGCAACAGCGCCAGATCTTGTGACAGTAGCGATACTTCCCAACATTTTAAATGATAGAGGGAGGTCAGAGCACAGGTCGTGTTTTGACGGTTAATGATAGTGATGATGGTGATATTTGAGGAGGATTTGAAGAGGTTTGTTTGTGGGAAGAAAGTGCTGGTCATTGGTGGAGCACATTACGCTTCAAAAAATTTGAAGGCAAATAGCCAATCAGTATCTATAAAAAGAAAATAATTTATAAGCACTGACTAATCATGACATGTCATTTAAGTTGCACGATAATAGTAATCGAAATAAACTCGAGAAAGATCTAGCTGTTTTTTTTTTTAAGGATTATTGTCAGATGATATACTTTTACCAATATATATATATACGGATCCTTTTCCTAGAAAATTCCAAGTTATTATAATAGGATGATAGAAGTTGTTAGTAAAGTATAAATAGAAGAGGTTTTCATGTAGAAAAAGAAAAAGAAAAAGAAAAAGAAAAACAATAAACAATAAACACCAATTTAATTGATAAACAAATTCAACAGCCAAAACAATTTTATGACAATGGCTTTAAATACTGAGCTTTTTGGCGGTGCCATAAAAGTAAACCTTCCACAAGGATTTATAGATGCAAGTCTTTTCCGTCAAGTGCCTGATACACAAGAAGTTTTTGTTCATCAAACTGTGGATGACTCAATGATGTTTGACTTGCTTGAACGTCTAGACTCTCCTACAGATTTTCACGCTCTCAAAGAACATTTAGATGAGATTTCCCGAATTAATGATACAGACCCTAATTCGCAGTTAATACAGCTTTATACTGAAACTCACCCACTTAGAAAAAAATCTATTAGTTCTAAAGCCTCACCAGCATATATCACAGTGGCTATTGAGCCCGCCAAAAAATGGGGACGAACTACAAAATTGAACAATGAACCAGAATCAGCCAATGACAACGTTCTTGAAGAACCAATTTTGGTGCTAATTCTTGTTTTGATTCGGATAAAAGATGTAGAAACTGATTTTATTGTGTCTTACAACACCCCAATTACCAAGATAAGTGAGCTCAAGGCTTTACAAGAAATATTTGATCAAAACGAAGATTATTCGACCTCATCATTAGAAAAACTTCCTTCGCGGGTTCAAGAAGGCGTAAAGAACATTAAAGAAGTTCTTAATTCTTTAGAAGTCGAAGATTGGACACTGTTCGCGTAATTTTTTTTTTCTTTTTGATAAATTATACATTTTTGAAATATAAAAATATATCAAAAAAAATCTAATTGAATGAAAATTCTCAATCATTCATATATTTAAGCTACGTATCTATTAGCATTTGATGAGTGAAACAGAGTTTTTTTGTTTGCGTAAACTCCATTCTAAATTTTTTTGTTCTAAAAAAAACCTTATAACGACTTGTGTACTAATGAACACCTCACACATTATTTACTTATTAGGCCCTTGCCGCCCTGATAACACCTTAAAAACAACATTAAATATATTCACTAAGGTGGCCTTTGATAAATTCTTTTTTGATTAAGACCTTAAGAACTTGGACAAATGCATTTTGATTGAAGCCTATTATAAGAATTCAACTTGATTAAAACAAGAAACAGATAATAGCTTTATGATAACTTACTTTCTTACAGTTTTTATTTGTGCAGTTTAACTTTGTCTAAGATTCAAGACTCCTGTTCTCCTTGGAAGAAAAAAAAAATCAAAAAATAAGAACAGCCTTTCTCCCCCTTTATTCTACTTTTTCACTTCCCCTACTTTTAACTTGTTTTTCCTACTTTACTTTTGGGATTACATAGATTAAAGTCCTAGTTTTTTTCACTGTTTCTTTCATTCCTTTTTTCTTAAAGAAATGCTAATGCTGACATATCGTCGGGCTGTGCTCACCACGGGCCTTGTGCTCGTGCTTTTTTTCCTTTTCTTTGGTGGCTCAAGCAACCTTTCACCAAAGTCTTTTTTTCAAAACACAGATCTTGAACAATCAATCAGGAGAGTGAAAGAAGATTCAGAAAACATTTTACGCGAGTTTCAGCGAACTGCTAGAGAGCAAGCCGAGCTCCAAGATAAGAAGCTTGAAGCTTTTGAACAAGAACGCAAACTCCTCGACAAACAACTGCAACAATTACGCCGACTTCCTTCAGACACACCAGTTCGGACACAACTGGCTTATCAATTTCCCTACGATGTTTCTTCCCGTTTTCCCGCCTATATTTGGCAAACTTGGAAACAATCTCTTGATGATCCTAAATTTGATGGCAAGTTTCGAGAAAATGTTAACTCATGGCGAGACAAAAACTCAGGATTTGTCCATGAAGTCATGTCTGATGATATGGCACACGCAATCATTCAACATCTTTACATGAACGTTCCTCAAGTGATTGAAGCATTTCAAGCTATGCCTGAAAATATTCTTCGAGCAGATTTTTTCCGTTATTTAATTCTTCTTGCTCGGGGTGGCATTTACTCAGACGTTGATACACAGGCTCTGAAACCAGTTCCTAACTGGATCCCAGAAAATGTAGACCCTCAAAAACTTGGTCTCGTTATAGGAATTGAAGCTGATCCCGATCGGCCTGATTGGGCCGAGTGGTATGCTCGACGAATCCAATTTTGTCAATGGACTATTCAGTCTAAACCAGGCCATCCAGTACTTCGAGATATTGTCGCTAAAATCACTGAAGAAACTCTTCACCGAAAACACCATGGAACTCTTCCACTTCCTAATTCCAAAGATCGAGGCTCTCAAATTATGGACTGGACCGGTCCTGGTATTTGGACCGATTCTATTTTTGAATATTTTAATGATCCTCTTAAAAGTGGACTTCATTATCAGGTGAGCTGGCAGAATTTTACTGGAATTGATACTCCAGTTGTTTTATCAGACGTTCTAATTCTCCCAATTACTTCTTTTTCACCTGGTATTGGTACAATGGGCGCACAATCTGAGTCTCATCCATTGGCATATGTCAAGCACCATTTTGAAGGCAGCTGGAAACCTGCTAATGAAAGGATGAACGGATGAAAAACGAATAAAAAATATGAAGCATTTTCTCTTTTTAATGTACCATAGCATAATGATTATTTCGACTTTTTTAACTTAGAGTAAATGTATAGTTTTAATACATAACGTTATCTGGAATGAACAATAAAGTTGACTTAAATGATAAATAAAGGAACAAAAAAAATTAAAATAAAAACAAGATGAAAAAATGAATGGAAGATTAATAATGAAAAAAACTTTTTCTTAATACTAACCACAACTTCAAAATAATATCAAGAAACTTCTTAAATTAGCTTGTCAAGGGTAAATTTAATTAAGCACTATAGTCAAGCCATTCTATTAAAAAATAATTCACAAAAACTCCGTTTTAAGATATTGTTAAGACTGAAATTAAGACTGCAGTCAAATTAAATAGGTTGAGCATAAGCATATGTTTGGATCGTGATCGTGATCGTGATCGTGATCGTGATCGTGATCGTGATTGTAATTGTGATCGTGATACATATTATAAATTAGTTTATTTTTCGAAAAATATTTTAAATAAATAACTAGTAGCAACTGTTCATTTGCCGGCTAACGGAATACTTTTTTTTTAGCATATGAAGGAATCGTATTTAATAATATGACTTTTATGGATTTATCGTATTATCACCACATAATCACAAAATAATAAATTACATAATGACTAAAATTAGGACGAATCAAGAATACACTAGGATAGCCATATTACAATTTGCGTTTATTCTAGTATTCATCATACAAATTAATTTGCAATAAAGGTCTAGATAAAAGCTGAACTTTTCAATATTAATCATCATATTTCACCATATTCTACATTTCGAGTCAGAGAACTGTACTTGATAACTAACAGACGACGTAGCAACCTCAACTTATTCAATCTAAACAAATATTCTTGGCTCTAGTATTAATTATTTCTTAAAATAGGATGACATTAGGTTAAAAATGACACTGCTACTGGTATTAAGTATTAGAATTATCATGGGCTTAATTTGTAATGTAAATTTTTTAGTGAGGTGTGCCGCAATATATGTAAGCTTAGCTCAATGCAAGCATTATTCTAGCTAAGCTATTTATTTGACCAGGTTAGGGTTTTATTTTTTACTTTCTTAATTTTCTTAATTTTCAATAAAATATATTGATTGATTCAAATCATTGCTAACATTATATGAAAATAATCGAAAACTCGTTTAAAATCAATTTTATTAAATAAAAAAATGAATGTTTCCACATCAACTATTGAACAACCTCGACGGAAGCCAAATCAAAGTATAACTGACTCTGAAGACGCGTCTATATTAAATCTTGGCCGTGAATTTGACGTCAATCAAATTGGACATGATGGCAATGTTTCGAAACTAATCACTTTAAACTTATCTGAAACTCGTATATTGATTAATGCAGTACTCAAGCAGCGAAGGAAAGAGGAATCAGGGAAACATTTCAATGATGGTGATATTAATGATAATGAAGACGAAGAAGATTTTTCAAATTCAAATGAGTATGTCATATCAACAATAAAAAAAATAAGTTAACTTACCGAAAATAATTTTTTATTATAGAGTATTAAGAAAAACTCAAGAATATCTATCAATTTTTGCAAGGTTTAGAAATGAAGAAACTGTTAAAGCTGTTGAAAATCTTCTAAACTCAGCCGAGAATGCGGATCTCCATCCATTTGAAGTAGCTCAATTGGGATCACTTGCTTTTGAAGAAGCTGATGAAGCTAAAACTTTGATCCCCAGTTTAGCTAAAAAGAAGACTGATGATGAACTCCAGTTGATTTTAAGTCAGGTAAGCATATTTATTTATCTATTTAAAATATTAATCTGTTCTAATTTTTGTTTCTTTTAGCTCAACAAATTAGGTTAGCTGTTCAATTCATTAACGTTCATTTACATTTAATGAAATATATAGTTTTATTAATTTTGTTATTTACATTAGTAAAAGCTCATCATGATATTTATATAGAAAATGTCGCCCCCCATGTAACCACCACTTAGGAAGGCATGAAAAAGGTTGAAAGTCAATATTGCTTGCTGGGTTTTCATCGCAATAGCATCTACCAGAAGAATATGATGCTTCATCATGTGGACATCGATAGTAAGGAGGGTGCTTATAACCTATGTCAGCAAAATGATGAATTTCGGAGCGGTTGAGCATCATCGTAAGTGCTATGGTATGAACAGGAGCATCACCCCAACGCTCGTAGAAAAATCCTCCACGCTTGTCAAGAAAATCAAAATATTTCAGATACAATTCTGATCTAAAAAAATTGAGATTTCCTATTTCAAAATTACTCCAAAAATGACAAAGGTTATACTTTGATTTCGATTGTACGTAATAGTCATCAGGTCGTACGGTTGATTTATCTAAAATGAACTGAGCAGCATTATTTGATGCTAGAAAATTTTTATTTGCATTAAAAAATTCTTCTGCTGTGTCCCATAAAGTAGGTATAGTGTCTTCATACTCTGGAATCGAAATAACAAAACCATATGTTTTATTGTTTTCGCGCATAAACGTGAATGGATCGTAGTTTTGATCACAATAGAATCGAGTTCCCGGTTCCACTCTCCAATACCACTCATACTTAAGCATAAGTTCATGGCGAAAAAAAAAGCCAGAGTTGAAGCGGCACATATGCCTATACGAAATAGAACCACCATATATAACACCCCGCCTTTCATAATCGTTTCGGGCTTCCTCAAACACATTTTCATCAATAAAATCAGGAATGGACCAAAAATTGGTAGGAATAAGCCCATACTCAGTTTTTCCAGACGCAATGCCCGTCGTTAGCCGTTTAAATTCTTCTGTAAATGGTACATCATTTAGAAAGGTCCAAGGATACCGATATTGCTTGTTAAATCTATCCTCTATTTCTCGCATTATTTTAAGGGTTTCTTGGAGTTCACTATTACGAACCAAAATATAAAATGTAGCGTTTTCATTTCCAATTTGTGTACGGTTTTTAGTATGGTATATTCCTGTATCTGGCAAAAAAGAAAGATCGGAAATTGTTAACACCTCATCATCGATATTATTCATTTCAGTATCTGAAATACTTTTGGCTTCAGATTTAATATTTGGTATTATATTGGAGCTGCCTAAAAAATCATATGAGCTACTAGAAATAAAAACACTAACTATTAAGCAAAGAATTCCCCCAACAATCATTAATGTAAAAGATAATTTTAAAAGGTTGTCAGTTTTTTTGCTTTCGCCATTTTTTTCTCCATTGTTCGGCGTGGAAGAAAATACTTTTTTGGTATTATCAGCCATGTTTAAAACCAATTTAAAAGTTTCAATCTTAAAATAAAACCGTTATCAGTATTAATCTATAAATATTCCGAGACTTAAGTTACTTCAAAAGTAACAAATAGATTTAATCCCCCCCTTTTTTTTTAAAAAAGATGATCCTTTAATATCGTTAAAATATCTTATAAGATATTAGATTATCATAATTATGATAATCTATGAAATTCACTGTTGAAAAAATTAGTCAGCAGAATAAAAAAATCTTGAATATTTTAAACCTCATAATGACTTTGGAATTTAACGTCTTTCAACTTGGTAGTATTGAAAAAAGAATCACGTGTTTTAGAGAAAAAAAACTGCAGGCCAGTTTTTTTGCAAATGCTTGATGCTTGGTCTATCCTGCGAAAAATATTCTGAAATTGTTATTAACTAATTAGTTTAGTTATAACTAAACCACGGTCTATTACTACGACTTTTATTTTTATATTTTAAAAATTAGCTAAAATATAACTTATTTTAAAGTGCAACTAAGCCCTGCTTCATTTTTTTATGTTTTTTCTTAAACAGCTTAAATCCAGTGTGGTGGCTTCACAAAGGTTTACCAGCGGATCCTCATGCATTTTTCGTTTACCAGCTTCTAAATCACGATTTAACCGATTATTTTTGACAACTAGATTTCAATCATCGTTAAAAATTAACCCTAGGAATGTAACCAGGAGAACTCGTAATGGCGTCGAGATACCTCCGTTTCCAAAAAAAAACACCCGAACTCAAAATATTTTAGCTGCCTTTGCACTGTCTCTTGCTTTTGGTACCGTTGCCTACAATCTTCATGATCCTTTTAAGGATATTGTTGATGGAATTTATTTTTCAAGTAAACGAATCGGGGTGGTCACTGTCGCTTCGGTACAGGGGTTTTTAATTTATAAATCTCTTCTTTCTAAAAAATTTGATTCAGAGGAAGATCGAGATAAAGCATATTCAGAGGCTCATCTACAAGCTGCTTTGATCACCCGCAATGCACTGGAAAGAAATGCTGGAATCTTTATAAAAATGGGTCAACATATAGCAGCATTAACATATCTATTCCCCCCTGAGTGGACTGAGACAATGATACCGTTGCAAGATAAATGTCCTATTTCTTCGATTGAAAGTATTCATTCCATGATCGAAAATGATCTTAATGTTAAATTTAGTGACATTTTTGAGGATTTTGACACAGCACCTATTGGCACTGCTTCTCTTGCTCAAGTTCACAAAGCACATTTGAAAGAAACGGGTGAACTTGTTGCAGTAAAAGTACAACATCCAACTCTTCAACAATTTGTTCCTCTTGATATCCTTATGACCAGAACGGTTTTTGCTATGCTTGACTACGTTTTTCCCGAGTATCCACTTACATGGTTAAGCGAAGAGCTTCAGTCTTCTATTTACGTCGAACTTGACTTTACTAACGAGGCTAAAAACTCTCAAAAAACTGCTGAGTATTTTAAGGATTATTATGATGTCACAGCCCTTCGTGTTCCCGAAGTTCGTTGGGCAAATAAACGTGTTTTGACAATGGAATATCTCTCAGGGGGGCGCCCTGACGATATCCAATTTTTAAAAGACCACAACATTTCCCGAGCCGATTTAACAGCTTGTTTGGCGCATGTTTTTAACAATATGATTTTCACTCCTAATGTAGGTTTACATTGTGATCCTCATGCTGGAAACATTGCAATTAGGCCTATTGAAAATGCTAATGAGGGTTCTGGAATCTGGCGACTTCTTCAAAAAACGTTTGCACCTTGGGCAGCTCCAAGAAATTTTGAAATTATTCTATACGACCATGGCCTTTATCGAGATGTTCCAACACCTTTGAGACGTGCTTATGCTCACTTTTGGCTTGCACTAATTGACAAAAATGTTGATTCAATGAGAAAATATGCTAAGGAATTTGCTGGAATTAATGATGAACAGTTTCGTTTGTTTGCTGCCGCAATCACTGGTCGGGATTTTGATAATGCCGTACAAAATGTTATGTCAAAGCGTTCTGCTGATGAGATCCAACGAATGACCCATGCTGTTGCACACGAGGGGCTGTTAAGTGATGTGATGCGTCTTTTACACAAACTTCCACGTGTTGTTCTACTTATTTTAAAAACCAATGACTTGACCCGCTATTTAGACGAAAAGCTTGACAGTCCTCTGGGACCCGAAAGAACTTTTTTGATTATGGCCACCTATTGTGCTCGTACAGTTTATGAGGAAGATCGAGAAGGCATCTTGAGCAAATATCGAAGGTTTGGTATAACTCGTTATACCAAGCTTTTTCTTAACTGGTGGACGTATTTTAAACGACAAAGTCAGTTAAGTATATATGATTTCTATGTTTCATTCAAAGATCTTTCTCATGACTGACCCTACTGTTCAACTTATATTAAAAAAAATCTGGGGTGGTAATATCAGAAAGTTAGATGAGAATTATTAAAAAACTTTACATATTTTTAATAATTTAGTAAACCCGTGTAAAAACTAGGTCTACAACGCAAATACTATCAATGAATTGTATGCCGATTCTTGTTGATTTGAAAATTTAGAAACTTTAGAAACTTTAGTGTCAACAAAATGACATCAAAAGAAGAAATATGCAAATTAATGATCAGTAATTTACCAATTACCTACAGAAATTTGATATTATACTTATGGAATGGTTCATATAAATCAAAAGGGACATTGGTTCTGGATTTTTTGTTCTAGCCACCTGTTGAGTTGTCCTGTTTTTTGAATAAAGGGTATTTCTAAATTTTAATTTCAATCTGATCCTAAGAAACAGATAAAAAGGTTCAACAAAAGAAATTTTCACCATGCAGAAATTAACGGTTTTGTTTAGGAGGGTTATTACGTGAACAAACAAATAGTGCAGTATCAGTATAAAAATGAAGAAGAAATTAATCTTTTAATTTCTGAAAAAAAAAATTAAACAGAATAACTCAACATATGGTGAGAACCAAATAGTTTAAAGAATGCCTACCAGAATCCTCTGTGGTCTGGAACTTCATCAGTTCACCTTGTTAAACGTTGGCCTTAAGATGGACTGGGTTTTCTCCTCAGTAATATTTTGATATGCTGTGCTAATGGTGGTTATCCAACATACACCGTGATCTTACTTAAATATTATGGTAATGTATAAGAATTATTTAACTTTTGTAATTTTTTTGTGATTCATTTTGTAGTACAGTAGAAATAGTGCAGTAATGAATCGATTATATAATTCTGTTAAAAAAAGACATAATAATATATTACACTATAAAGCTAGTTTATTAATATTTTATTAATATTTTATTAATATTTTATTAATGTTTTATTAATGTTTTATTAATGTTTACTAATAAATTTATTAAATAATTGTTTCTTATACCAAGTAGCTTCTTCCATAAAAGTCAAAGAAAATCAGTTTGTAACGGTAAACCGTTACAATCATATCTAATTCATTTGATAAACTTATTCAACAACACCTATGATTTTTGATATCATATAATTTTCAAATGGATAATTTTGATACCTACGAAAAATGCCTATTAGTAAAAAAGGGATCACAGACAGACGCTGAATTCATCAAGCTTCTTCAAGATGAGATAAAAAAAGCTTATGAAGAAATTAAAAAACTGAAGTTCGAACTACATGAGAAAACGAAAAGTTGCAATGCCTACAAAAAATCAGTGAAAATACTTAAAGCCAAGCGGATTGAAGATAAGGAAAGACTACGTGCTTGGCATGAGAGAATCGCTTTGATGGCTCATTCCGATACTGATATCGAAGCTTCACCTTTTGTGAGAATTTCAAATGATGTTGATTTAAGTTATTTAAGTAAATATGATCAAACGATGGGTGACCAGGAGTTTCGATTAGTAGTTGATGAATCAGATAGACAAAATTTGAGGTATGTTCAATCAGACGAAGTAGTCATAAAAAAAGGAACAAAAAATCAGTTGCCAAACAATGTAAAAGAAACATCTTTTTTAAATGATAGAAGCAAAGAGGGGTTAAAGCGAACGTTTGAAAATGAATCCAAACATTCTTTCATAAACATACCGGATCCTTTATTTTCCGACATAAACCAAGATAATAAAGATAGTAAGACCAAAATCTCTAAGTCAAAGTACAATGGTAACATCTTCTTTGGAGACATTGATGATGACCTTAGAAAATTTCATGATAAATCAATGTTGGTGAATTCTAAAAAAAGCTTGCAATTTGGCTCTGATCTTTTACCACAATCTGATCTCAGTGCTACGGATTATCTCATTACTGAAAACAAAAATATTTCATACCAGTTAACAGAAAATTTAAATCGGATACCAAAATCCTCCTCCGTAAAATCCAATTCTGGGGCTAATCTTGACAAATGGCTTTTTTCCAAAAATATCTCCAACAACAGTAATAGCAGGAATAAATGCATTGATGTTTCAGAAAAAAACGCGGATTTTCACCCTCCAAAAAAGCCGAAACAATTAGAGCAACCAATAGTTTTAAACAGACGATATGAATCTAAAGATAGTTTTGTAACTAATAAAAAAATTGAAAAAAAACAAACTAGTTTTGATAAAGAAATAGGACAAGCCCCAATTAATTCAGAAAAAATAAAAATTGACAACGATATTACTTCCTACATAAAATTTGATGACTTATCGGATGCTGATTTTTTTGAATAGTGAGTAGCAGGTTACGTTAAATGTAACTATTGATTTCACAAATCTCAATTAATTTTAACAATTTAGTATTTTAAATTATCAATGGAAACCTGATGATTTCATCTTAAATCCTGATTTTTCGGAAGATTTCGATTTAGATTTTAAATCTGTTTTTAACGGAAAAGAGTGCAATTTAGAGAAGAAATGCACATTTTGTGAAAAGGTAGGATAGTGCTTAAATTAAAGATCTTAAGTATTAACTCTTTTTCTTTAGTTTGACCAAATTAAAATGAGATTATATGAATCAAATAAATTATCAAAATTCGAAAATATCGAGTCTACTAATCAAAAAATATCTACGGAATATTTTTCTTTAAAGAAAAATATATCTCAACAAAACCATGGGCCATTCAGACCAAAATCCCCAGAAGGATTTTGGCGGACAGATTTTCCTACAACTCAAGAAGTTTTAAAAGAACGAGAAGAGGCTGAGCGAACGCGTCAAAAAGTTGCATATTATCGTCTTAAAGAAGCTGTTATCAACTCTGAAAAAAAAATAAATAATGATAAAAGTTGTTATGGTAGATTCATTTTTCGGGATATAAGTTTACGAGAAAGATTTTCAAAAATAAACACATTTCATAAGTAAATAAAAAATAACTTGTTTTCACTTTGCCACGTTCAAATCTATGGTTTGGTATTTTCATCTGGAATAAATAAATGTAACATTGTTATCTAAAACTAATTAATTTTATTACATTATTATAATGTAATTTTACTTAAATTACTTTAAACCTTTATTAAATTTACACGTGATATATTAGCAAGATTACAGTTTTAACTAAGAATATTTTAAATATTAATTTTCTTGTAATAGTTAAGGTATTACAGGAGAGGTTTATGGTGGTAGTGAAGAAAAAAATTCTAACCATCATTCTTTTTGGTTTTTCCTAACTAAAAGTGTCTTTTCTGATACAACACACACACATAAGGTATGATATCATAGGTTTTATTTTTATTTTTTTTATTTTTATTATTATTATTTTTATTTTACTTCGCCCTGGGATAATCACTCTATCCACACGTTCTATTTAATCATTTAAATATCTTTTATCGAAACAAGTAATGAAAAGTTTACTTCAATTATTTATAGTAGCATGATATAATCATCCTGATTATATCGGAGATCTTTGAATATTTTACCATTCAACACAATTCAAAAAATTGGAATAAAAATGAAACGATAGTAAAAATTGGAACTAATTTAGAAATAAATAAAAATTGACTAAAAGAACTGGGGGTTGACTTTAGAATATTTTCTTTCGTATAGAGATATTTGAATATGCGTTTACATACCCTTAATTTTCCAAAATTATTTCAACGATTAGATCAGTTTTTAACATGTTTTTACTTATCGTCTAGGTTAATATTCAAGTTACTTTTTTTTCTCATTACTCCTGTTTTCATTTCAATATTCAATATACAATTAATGAAAGGGTGCCTTTCGAACATGCAAAATCAACTTCTGTAACTTCTACTGTTAATGAGCAATTTCTTTAAAAACCGCCATCTTCTTTTTTTGAATAATATGATTCCGTCAACAGTCCCCCAAAAAAAAGAAACAGCAGTTTCTTTGTCCCAGACATCTGATGCGAAGAGTCTTCTTGAAATGGAACCTAATCCATTTGAAATGTCGTTCAAGGAACGCGAATCCTCTGTTGCTGCTGCAGCAGCAGCAGCTGTGGCAATAACACAAAATAAAAATTCATTGACTAATCAAAATGGGATAGCTACCTCTTCATTATCCAAACCGGTTTCTTCAGCTGTCCCTTTAACAAATACTACGAGTAGTACTTCTAGTCAAACTAATGTTATATCGCCGACTTTATTTTCAGGTTCTCAATTTTTAACTCCGGGTGGTAGACGAATGCTGCCTCCAATGTCTGCCATTTCATCTCCATCCTCGTTGCTTCCTAATGGCACTATAAGTCCTGTTTGGACTGAATCACTGCGTTCTGGCCCCCTTTCTCCTGCAATGCTTCAAGGCCCTCAACACCAACAGCAAATTCAACATATTCAATCGCAACCACAGCCACAACCACAACCGCAACCACAACCGCAACCGCAACCAAATCCACAACCACAACCGCAAACGCAACCGCAAACGCAACCGCAAACGCAAACGCAACCTCAACCTCAAACTCAACCGCAGTCGCAGTCGCAACCGCAACCGCAACCGCAACGACAAAATAATTCTCAACATCATTTGAAATCTACATCCAATTCTTCTGCCACATCGTCTTTATCATTACTTAGTTTGGCCAATGCTACTAGCGTTGCTGCTCCGGCATCTTCTGCTCCCATTAATTCTTCTTTTCAATCGACATCAAGTTCTCGCCCTGGCCCTCTTTCACCATTCCCTAATAGCTTATCTAATTCGCTTCTTCAAACGGATGTCCCGCTTTTTTCTACCCCAGGCCCGGCCACAGCAGCCATTCTCTCCTCTCTTGGAGGTGATATAATTAACGGGTCGACCGGTGTTACTCCCCTTGGTTTCAAGGTTTCTACTGGAGGTGCATCGGGTGGGGCTTCTATGATTCCGACTCTGTTACCCACAGGTTCTCAACCTATTCCAAATGGCGTGAACAATAAGCCAACATCTGTTGCTCCATCTATAGCGCTTCCTAGTTCTTCGACAACTACTACAGAAAACATTTTTTCAAATCCAGCTACAACTAACATTGATACCATTACCGGAAATAATGTTGCTCAGTTACCTGTACCACATATTCATTCTTCTTATAATGGATCTGTGGATGCTGCTAACTCTTTGTATTTGATGAGTAAGAGTGGTGTGATACCTTCTCAACCGTCTCAAACTAAGCTTAATTCGCATCAACAATCACAAACAACTCAAGGACTTTCTAGTGACTTTATTTCTATTCATCCAGCTTCCCAAGAGCAAACAAAAAAACAATTTACTCCAATTTCAGCGTCCAAAACTATTACCTCGCCTATATTAAACCAACAAGCAATTAATAACTCTCAATTAACAACTAACTTATCCGACAGCATTAAAGGAAATAATGCTAATGATATCAAAGTAGAACCGTCCGTTTCAGATGTTATTACATCTCCTGCTTTGAATCCTCAAAATCCTAAAAAAAATAATTCAAAAAGCACTAATCGATCTAAGAGGAAGCGAAGCAATAGCTCCGATTTTCCTTTGACTGATCAAGCCCATAATGTTAAAAAAGAATGTTTTGAGACTTTGCCTATACCTGAAAATAAATCAGACCTGGAAAAGTCAAAGATATTTGATGACAGTTTATCTGCTTCACCTCCATCCTTATCACCTTCAAATACCAAACATGAAAAAAAGAAAATGTCTGCAGAAGAAAAAAGAAAATCGTTTTTAGAACGCAATAGAATTGCAGCACTAAAGTGTCGTCAGCGGAAAAAGCAATGGATGGAAGATTTGCAAGAGAAAGTTGAAACTTATACAATAGAGAATAACAGTTTAAAAAAACAGCTTAATTCTGCTTTTGATGAAATAAGAAATCTTAGAACATTGCTTCTTCAGCATAAGGATTGTTCGTTAGGTCTTTCCCCAGAACTGTTATCAAAATTGCTTGCCCCAATCACCTCTTCAATTGAAGATAGTAGCAAAAAAAATATTGAAAATTCTAATAAACCTCCTTTAAAAGCGGGAACAGAGTCTCAAAATTCTGTTTCAAGTTATACACAAGACCGCTCTCATGGGATCTCTCAACAGTCAAAGGCCATACATGCAACTGAAAATCCTATTGGTATAAATTTATCCGGTATTATACCAACCCAAAGCATCGCATCTGGAATTCAGCAACCTCATCCACATTCAAACCAACAAGGTTATCGGTTTTAGAACATTCTATCAAAATAATGTTTGAATTTATTTTATAATCTTTAGCACTTAATTATATGGAATTGGACCAGTTATGAAATTATGAAATGTTTTTATGCGAACTCATAAATTTCGTGATCTCCCCAATATTCAGGGTAGTGTGGGGTAAAAAACAGCATCAAGACCTAGTCCTGCTGTTGCCCTTGCAAGAAAAATAAAAGGAGACACCATACCAGCCTGCTATTTTTTGGCTAAGAGAAGACGATGTTACTCTGAATACCAGTTGACTCAAAAATCTTTTACCAACCAAGTACTCAATTACCGTTCTATTTATCTGCCTCAATTTATAAAAACAAGCCCACTTTTTTTTATCCATCCAAAATCTTTTGTTTTTTTAAATTCTTCATACATTTATTTATTAATTCGTATTCAGTTTATCTTTCCTTAATTAAATTTTATTATATTTTCAATTATCTTGTAAGTAAATACCATATTACGTCAAAGTCAAAAATGCCCCTTGATCTTCTTGATATCTTTTTATTTAATGACTTGCAACCACTGATTTTTTGTAGATAGAGATGTTAACTCGACTATTACGATTTATAAAAAATAGACATCCTAATTTATTATTGATATTTTCCTACATAACCAACCCATTTACTTTTACCCTTAATTTCCATTATCGCTTCAGGAATTAACTTCAAGAAAAGGAAAAAGTTTTAAAACCATTTTGGAATGCAGCATACAAAGACATATCGGAACCATTGTGGTTGCCTACAGAGGCTCTTTGTACAAATTTAGATTTGAGCTCGTTGAACAGGCCAACCAACTTTCTGAATGAAGGGCCCTTATCGGTTTATCGGTGACAATTTCGTTGAACGCAAGCAGGTAAATAATTTTCCTATCCTATCATACTCAAGAAAAGTTTCGAATCATTTAAAAATGGAGAAAAGAATCCCCATAATACCGATCTGGAATCTAATTATAAATGATATTTAAAAAAAACAAAAAACAAAAAAACTATTATATCTTTTGCCAGATTTCCCTCTTTATAAAAAGTGGTTTATTATCAAACCCAAGTTACTATTCTTTGAACATTTTAATTTCAGCGTTTATCTTGGTCCTATGAAAACCCAAGTTTTTAATAACAGGTTCATTGGGAGGGAGTATTATCTTTTGGTGTAAAATGAAAACTTCTTCTAACAATACTAGCGAAAAGGCCGATAATACAAGCAGATAATACGAGCATAATTGAGTTTGTTAAAAAGTTTGAAGCCCACAATGAATTAATTTCTGATATTATATTTTTACCATTATTACTAGAGTCGATGTAAGTAAAACAATAAGAAAATCGAAGTTATAATCTTTGACATGATCAACATTTTTGAGCTTCATTAACAAGCTCGCTCACTATATTTGTTAATCATCTAATAGTTCATCCCTGATCCAAGGCGGTAATTTAGGTGGCGATGGAACAGGTGGAGAGAGCATGGGTGCAAAAGAAACTGGAAATCTGTATTTTTAGAATTAATTTGATTACCCTGGTTCTATTAGATTTGATATGCCATTTCGCTTAAATAAGGCTAATTCTGGTCTTAATTCCCATGGTTCTCAATTTTAACTGCAGAGGCGCCGTGGTTAGAAAAAAAATACACAATTCTGGGTCAATTAGATTATTCTGATGCTATTATATCTTTAAAAACAAGCAAAGAAGATAAGCCGACAAACCTTTCCATAATATCCATTAACATTGAATAATAACTCATTCTTCTTTTTTGTTATGTTGTTATGTTAACTCAATTTATTATATTTATAAATACATAAGTTAAAACAATTATTAGATCTTAAACATTACTAAAAATGACTAAATTATTATAAATGATTATACTACATTTTTTATCAAATTTTTATTAGGTTTTAATTAGATTTTAATAAGATTTTTATTACATTTCTATTACATTTCTATTACATTTCTTTAAGATTAGTCAATAATTTATTTCTTTTCTTATCTGATAAATCATGGTTCACTCCTATCTTTCCCCCTCGTTTTTGTGTTGTATATCGTTTTAATTAGCATATTCATTAAGTTTTTATTTTCATTTAATATTATTTTATTCTAAGGTATTTTCATTTAAAATGGCTTATTCATCATCATCATCATCTTCTTCTTCTTCTTCTTCTGGTAAGCACAACCCTTCAAGTCTTAAAGCTGCAGCAATTGTAAAAACCCTCAAAGGTCCTAAGTATGACGACTGGGAAGACGTTGATAAGTATAGTCCAGACCTTCCGTTCAACCCTAAATTTACACCTGAAAATTACACGGAAAAATTCCTTCATTTTATGAACACTTCTCCGACTGCTTATCATGCAGTTGACTATCTGGCTAAAGAATTGGAGGCGAATGGGTTTAAATATCTTTCGGAACGAGAATCATGGTCTGAAGCTCTTAATTATAAAGGTAAATATTATACCACTCGAAATGGTTCCTCTCTTTGTGCATTCGTCGTTGGTAAAAATTGGCTTCCTGGTAATGGAATTGGCTTAATTGGCGCTCACATTGATGCCCTCGCCGCAAAGCTTAAGCCCGTTTCTAAAAAAGACCCTGTTGAAGGTTATCTCCAACTAGGCGTTGCTCCATATGCCAATTCATTTGCTGGTCCTACATGGTGGGACCGAGATTTAGGAATTGGTGGTAAAATAATTGTCAGAGAAGGAAATTCTGTGACATCAAAGCTTGTACATGTTCCTTATCCTATTGCGCGAATCCCCACATTAGCGCCACATTTTGGAGCACCTTCTGTTGGACCATTCAATGCTGAAACCCAAATGACACCTATCATAGGTTTAGTAGGTGAAGATGAAAAAGAAGATCCCACTGATGATGAAAAACTATGTCCTCTTTACGGTAAACATGACATTAAACTTTTACGTGTGATCGCAAAAAATGCTGGAGTTGAAGTAAAAGATCTACTTCAGTTTGATCTAGAATTATTTGATACTCAATTTGGTACTGTTGGAGGTTTGCAAAAAGACTTTTTGTTCTGTCCTAGAATTGACGATAAGATATGCTCTTATTGCGCTATTCATGCATTATTGGATTCTCTAGAAGACCCTTTCAGTTTTCCAAATGACAGTTTGCATATGGTTGCTCTTTTTGATAATGAGGAAGTAGGATCATTATCTAGACAAGGAGCAAGAGGTGGTCTTTTAGAAACAGTTGTTGATCGAATTTTAGCTTATCACTCATCTGATGATGAACTTAAACGTCTCACGTATGCAAACTCTTTCCTCATATCGGCTGACGTGATCCATGCTGTGAACCCCAATTTTGCAAATGTTTATCTTGATCATCATAAACCCAAGCTTAATGTGGGAATTTCGTTAACTTGTGATCCTAATGGCAACATGGCTACTAATTCAGTTTCTATAGCTTTTTTGGAAGAAATTGCTCGTCAAACTGGAAACACTTTGCAAGTATTTCATATTCGAAATGATTCCCGCTCGGGAGGCACTATTGGTCCTGCTTTATCTTCGGCTACTGGAATTAGAGCAGTGGATTGTGGAGTTCCTCAGCTTGCCATGCACTCCATCAGAGCTACTACTGGATCAAAAGATGTTTGGCTTGGGGTTAAAATGTTCAAAGCATTTTTCGAAAAATGGAAAGAAGTGGATGTTCAATTTAAACTTGGTGATTTATAGATATATTAAATCCAAATTTACTTCGTCTTTAAAATAATGATGATTGGGAAATGGTAGAATTTTTTAATCATTTCAATATTTTTATTGCAAACTGTGCAGTTGGTTAAATTTGTCGTCTCAACACCTTTTTTTTTGTCACAAAATGACTTTGCTACACTTGTAAAAAAAAACCAAAATCCCTTAATTAAATAAAAAACGATCTAAATGAATAAACCTCGGCAAAATTTGACAGCCCCACTTTACTAGCTATTATAAGAGGGGAAGAGATAAAAGCTTTGGACAAATCTTAAGATGATGACATTTAAGAGGCCTATTTGTACTGTTTTTTTTTTCTTGCAACAAACTAAAAATACCAAATAATCATATAAAGCTTAGCTACTATTTTAATTGAACTAATATCGTTCTCATCTTATTTAAATTGTTTACACTCAAAGATTCTTTTTTAGAAATATATTTTTTTCTCTGGCTTTTCGACTATAATCCAAATGGCAAAAAATTATTTAAGCGAGTCATATTCTTCAGTTCCATCTAGTTTAAAGACAGCTCTGGTTACTGGGGCTTCTTCAGGAATTGGAAAAGCCCTAGCAAGGGAATTGTTTGTCAAAGGTATGCTAATTCTTGTACAAAAGTATTATTCTAATTCATGATTTACAAAAGGTTACGCCGTATTTGCTGGTGCACGCAGAGTAGAGGAAATGTCTGATTTATCAAACCTTGGAATAACCACTGTGAGCTTAGATGTCACGAATAAAGAGAGCATAGAAAATGTTATTAATTTAATTAAAGAACAAACAGGTCGACTTGATATTTTATTTAACAATGCCGGCACCTCCTGCACTTTTCCAGTGACAGATTTAAAGCTTGAAGATGCAAAATCTTGCTTTGATGTTAATTTTTTTGGCGTTATTCAAGTAACCCAAGCAGCAATCCCTTTGTTGAAAGAAACTAAAGGAACTATTGTTCAAACTGGTTCTGTGGCTGCAATACTTCCTTTTCCTTTTGGTTCTATTTACGCTTCATCGAAGGCTGCTTTGCAACAGTTTTCAAATGTACTTCGAATAGAATTAAAACCATTTGATATTAAAGTTGTCGTTTTAACTGTTGCTGCTGTCAATACAAATATTGCTGATACAAGACCACTTCCACAAAACTCATGGTATTATGAAATTGAAGAGGGAATCCAATCTCGTCGTTCTATGGCTAAAGATAATGCGCCTATGGAGCCTGATGTTTTTGCGCGAAAAGTTGTTCCTCAGATTATTTGTTCCAATCCAAAGCGGACTATCTGGAGTGGCAGGCATGCTTGGTTACTTTGGCTTCTTTCTCTTTTTCCTCGTTTCTTTGTAGAACTTATATTTTACTATAAGTTTCAACTTGCTAAACTTCATTCATACAAAAATAAGAAAAACTTATCATTGTAAATTAATGAATAAAATATAAAAGTCAATCAACGCTAAAATTATAATAAATGAATTGTTTTTAATCTCTAAGGTATATAAAAAAATTATAATCTCTAAAACCCTTTCTTTTTCTGTGTAGTGATATGTTGACGTAAAACTTTTTGCTTTTCTTTCAGGCTTCGTTTTGCCTTACCTTGGACATCTTTTTTATGAATCATCATCATAATGTTCTTCTTTCTGGCCTTTTCTTTATTTGTTGTAGATCGTGCATTTTCACGCTTGCCCTTTCTAGATCCAAATTCTCGTCGACCTTCACGCCCTTCCTCAACATGAGCCAAGCGCTCTTTTTTATTTTGCTTATATTTTTTAGAGCCAATGAGGTTGTCTGCTTCAACAGTCTCCTCGTTAAGCCCCATAGATTTGCGTACACTTTTGCCCATGATTTTTTCAAGTCCTGCCTGTGTTCGAAGCTCTTCTAATTTTTGAAAATCGGCAGGAGTAAGAACACGAGTAGAAGCTAATTTAATGAATGCCTCTTCTTCCGCCTTGGTTCTTTCCAAAATTAGCTCTTCCCTTGTGAGCTTTCGCTTTTTATTATTTTGTTCATCTTCATTATCGTCATTTTCTTGATCTTCATCCATATCATTTTTATTATTCCTCTTCAATTTCTTGTTTCGATTTCTCTTATTTTCAACATCATCATCTTCGCTGTCTGAAACACTGTACTCTTTATCACTTTCCATATTGATCCAATCTCCTTCATCACTGTCATCCTCGCTTTCTTCGCTAGCAATCTCCCAACCATCTTCCTCTTCACTATCTTCCCCACCAGCCTCTCGGTTTTCTTGCCACTTTTGTAATAAATCAATGCCTTGAATTCCAGTAACGACATTTGACTCAATTCCATAACGTAGTTCTCTTTTTTCACCATGTTGCATTTCAATAGAAGCTGTTTTTCCTCTATCTTTTCTGGCTAACATTTCAGGTGCAATCTCTCTGTAAAGACCTAGTAAACTTCGGGCAGCCATCGTTACAGATTTGGATTTAGAACCCTTATATGTAACCAAGTCTTGTAGTAAAGTTTCGTCAATGGAAAGTGGTGCACGTGCCAAAATTTCACGGATAGTGTTTAACCCTGCAGCCGCAACCTCAGATGAAACACCATCACTGACAAATTCATCCGCAATTTTACGAATTAAAGGAGAGATGACATCTGGAGGCACTAGATCGTGTGAAGCTTGAGCAGCAGCAGCCATGAATTGGGTCACATTTTCTTGTTTAGGTGTCATTAATTTTTCTAAAAATGAGTAAATACCAAGAACATGAAGCTTGTGAGTGCCGATTAGTCTTGAAACTAAATTTGTTATTAAAATGCGCTGCTGTATGTCAAGTTTTCTTGAATTCTTAGAGGTTAAGTATTTGTCAAACAGGGCGTCCGCAAAGCCTTGAGGGTCACGAAGTAAATGAATAGCTGAAAAGTTAAGATATGTGGCAGAATGACGATTACTTCCTTTCTTTTTCAACTGCTTAAGTGCAGATTCCATCTTTTTCCCTCGGCGACCAGTTTTTTTGTTGATTTGCATTTTATGACGTAATGCATTGATATCTAAGTCATCTTCATCACCAGATTGATTTTCTGTAGTTTCATCTCTTTCTTTATCAGCACCCAAAAAAAATCTGACAGCAGAAGATGAAACCTTTAAGTTATCATTAAGAGCAGCTTGAACCATCAGTTCAACAGTTCGCGAATCATCCCAAATACCACGTTTCCATAGTTCACGAGTCAGTTTTGTTGCCCATAATCCATTTGCTTCAGACTCATCAAGCAAATTAAATAAAAGTGCTTGCATCGTACGATTAAGCTTTTGATTTTTGGCACCATGGTTAGCTGCTTTTAACAAAGATACAATAGCTGAGTAGATTTGAGCCCTAGTAAACTTTGCTGTAGTCTCTACAAGTACCGGGAAAAGAACTTGAATGAGAGTATCAGGTGTAATAACATCTTTATTTCTTAGCAGCACTAAACTTTGAATTAATTTTTCCCTTACATCGGGAGGAAGTTGATGGTGCTGAGTGCGTAAGATATGGGATAATTCTTCGGGGAATTTAGCGGTTTCTGTAGGAAAATTCGAGCAAACGTTGGCAATAAACCCGACGGAATTTAAAAAACTTTCAGTCTCGCAGCCATCTCCTGCAGGATTAAGTAAGAATAAGTTCCGTTGAGATTCATAATGTTGGTATTGTTCCGTGAATTCTTTGGCATATGCTGAAGGATCTCTTTTGACAAGATTTTGAAGTAAAGCTGTATTCTCAGGAAGAAGAGCTGATCTTTTACGTTTAGCCATTATATATTAATTTTTTTAAAAAATGGTAGAAGATGTAGGGATGTTTGAAATAATTAAAATTTACTTAAAAATTTTTAAGACGACTTTTCAGAAAAAAATTTTTCGATTACATAATTATTTTTTTTATATCTAACATAAGTTATCAAAACAGGTTAAGTTACTCAAGTGATTTGGTAAAGTTGGATAATAAGCTTACCAACCGGTTTCCAGAAACATATCAGGGGTAAAACAAATAAGGTTCTTAAAAATACAAAATGAAAAACAAAATATTTTGTTAAATTCAATCCAAATTTGGATTTCAATAAGCTTATGCTTGATAAATTATGTTGCTACTTAAAAAATAAAATTTCAAAATTTATGGTTTTGCTTAATAAGATCCATAGTCATAAATAGGCAATCAAGAAGACCATATATTATTTAAAAAAAATAGATAAGTCTTAAGTACTTGAATTCTTGAAGATACTAAATAGATCTACTAAATTTTTAAAATAAAAATTAGTATCTATTATATGGTAATCTTAAAAAAAAAAAAAAGGAATTTCATAATTTATGCTGACACTATGCCAAGGCAAATTTGAAAGCATTAAATTGATAAATTAACGCATTTATCACGAACTACAATGCTGGTAAAATGTTATAACTTCTTAAATTTTATATTAAAATAAACTATTAGCAATTATAATCGAGTAAGATTATTATTATATATTTGAGTGCATGAAATTGGGAAATAATAAATAAAGAAATAATGCAACTGATCAGGATCTTTGGTTTTTTTTTTCCGATGTTTAAATAAAAATTGAAATCATGTATTTAAATAGTAAAAATTTAAAAACCATTATAAATACTTTGATTTCTTTTAGCAAAAGAAAAGTAATTTCCATTATATATATCTATATATGATTCCTGATAGAAAAATGAAGTCGAAAGTTTTTAAAGCTACAATAATGAATGTTTTGTTATTTTTATTAAGTATTGTATTTCCTGTGATATATGGAGCTCCTTCAGATTCTTTTAGTAGTAGCTCCACCGGTGTCATTCAATTTGAAACGATTCAAAATTTTCGACAAGTTGAAAGTGTAAAAGATCTGGTCAAACGAAGCACAGAATTTAACGGTACAATAGATTTAAAAAACTATTTATCTTATTATACAATTGATTTTAAAGCTGGAACCCCTTTTCAAAATGTTTCAACTGTTTTGGACACAGGGTCAAGTGATTTGTGGTTTTACGATAAATCTAGTGGGCATAATCCATATTTTGATTCAAAATCATCTTCAACATATTTTTATAAAGATTCAACATTATTTATATCATACGGGTCAGGTCCTGTAAAAGGAGATTGGGGAACAGAAGTATTACAGTTTGGTAATGCAATATTAAATAACTCTACTATTGGACTTGTAACACGAGATTCATTAAGAGGTGCACCAATACCAGGAATTTTGGGATTAGGAAAAATCAGTAACGAAGCAACAACTAACAAGTATGATAATGTTCCTGCAAGACTCAAAAATGAAGGTCATATTAAGCGAAACTCTTTTTCAATCTATCTCAATAGCTTAAATTCTGGGGTTGGATCTATTTTATTTGGAGGTGTTGATTCCTCAAGATATATAGAACCTCTTTATGAAATACCAATGGCCAATGAATCCCATTTATCTGTTGAGTTAAGTAGTGTTTCTTTAAAATTACATGGTGAAACACAACTTATCAATAATACAAATTCTCGTGCAGCTCTTTTAGACACAGGAACATCTTTCACATACCTTCCTGATTCAGCATTTAATGCGATTGTAAAAGCCTTGGGGGCAACATACAACCCCTATTTTGGTGTTTATTTTGTATCTAATATTACTGAAAAAACACCCAGTCTAGCTTTTAATTTTAGTGGCGCCGAAATTGTTGTTCCCGCAGTTGAATACATTCTTCCAGTACGCCTATTCACTACAGAACCAACGCCAGCTCCTTATATTCTCAGTATTTTTAGATCCTCAGAAATTCGAGGTCTTACGATTTTAGGAGCTAATTTTCTACGATCTTCTTATACCGTTTTTGATGTTACAGGAAATAAGATCGCTCTTGCACAAGCAAAATATGATGTCTCTAGTACATCTGTTCAACAGATAATTTCAGAAATCCCGGGGGCTACCTCTGCTCCTGCTATAAAAGTATTTTAGAAGTAACTTTTAAATTAAAGTGTATTATAATAATGATTAATATTTTCAATATTTTTTTAATATCTTTTAGTGTTTTTTAATATCTTTTAGTGTTTTTTAATATCTTTTAATGTTTTTTTAATATTTTTTAATGTTTTTTTAATATTTTTTAAATATATCGGTATATATATATTTCCCGGAACATTAAAAACGGTATAAGGAGTTCGTAAAAAATTTGTTGCTAAATTGTAAGACCTCGAATTTTTGAAGATCTAAAATACTGAGAATATAAGGAGCTGGCGTTGGTTCTGTAGTGAATAGGCGTACTGGAAGAATGTATTCAACTGCGGGAACAACAATTTCGGCGCCATTAAAATTAAAGGCCAGTGTGTATGTTTTTTCATATACTTAAATCATAAATAGGTTTCATTTAAAGTTTTAAATTTTACTTTTCAAGGTAATTCTTAGTAGCGATAAGACTCAAAAAAAAAAAAACAATATTGTTTTTTGATTAATCAAAAATAGCTTTGAATATTGTACCTGAATATAAATTTCTTATGATTCTCACTGACTCACTTTACAAAAAATCATTTGACTTTTACTCAATCGTTCATGTTTTTAGAGATGTTCATATGACTTTCACAAGTTTCTGTCACCCCACAAGTTTGTTACAAACTAAATTTATGACTTTAAGGATAACCTTACGTGAAGTTGAATGAGTATTTAGCCTAGTTATTAATTAATAACTAACTTATAGGTTAGATAACTAATTAGTTATTTATGTTATCATAATTATGTCTTGGCAAAACTTTGATGGATTGAAAAAAAACTGGTTTTATTGGATGAACCAAAGCATACCTACCATAATCTAGCCGTACAAATCTTTTTACAAATATGTAAATACATACATGCAATAAGTTTTAATAGGAATAAATAGAAAATCTATCAAAAATTACTTACAGATAGAGTTCTCAAATTGATGATAATTAATTTATGAAAATAGCAATACTTTTTTGTGTTCTTTTGCTTTGTCTTTCGCTTATTGCACAACATTTGAATTACAGATAATTTCAAATTTTTTTATTTATCGTACTTGATGTCAACATTAATTAATTATTAATTATTAGAATTGTTTGTACCTTGCTTAAATGGGGCGTTTGATTCCATCTAAAGAACTACATCTTGGTAAAAAGGAGTTTTAACTAGTTAAAATTGAAACCGAAGTAGCATTGAGATCTTAAAAGCGGTAATACTTGCTGCGTCATAAATGACTGTTTTAGTTTGATTTCATCTTGTGTTGCTAACTCATTTTTTAAATTTAGTGGAATTTATTAAGAGTAAATAAATTATTATCTGTACAACTGAAAAGTTCATTATTGAAACTTTTTAATTATTGAAATTTTTAAATTTTTTAAAAAAACTTCATATATTACATTTTAATTTTTTTAAATCATATCATGCTGGTAAATTTTCTTCTTTAAAATTTTATTGATTGTCGTTTTAAATAAAAATCATCATTTTGAACTATTTGGTTTATTACCCCTTAAAAAAGGAGTAATAAAAACTTAGTGTCAAATTTTTTCATAAAAACTAAAAGAAAACATTCCACTGAAGTGTGGGAATATTAGTCGAAAGTCGAAAGCTTCACAAACCAAATATAAAATAAATAAAAAATAAATTTAAAATAGGTTAAATTTTTTAATGACTGGGTATATTTTATTTATAAGGTTACCCAGGCACCTAATTAGTTGTAGAAAATCATCTGAAAGTAGTAACCGTTTCTCATAAACGGAGACATAACTAGGTAATTAGTCTAAAAATATTTCCAAAAATGGAATCGAGATTTGAATCAAATAAACCTAAAATAAATTTTGTACCTTAAAACTGTTAACTTTTATGATATATCAGGAATACTCTTTCGGCTAAGAATACTTGTTAAAGAAAAAGATGGCAAAAGTTTTGAGGAAGTATTTATTTTAGTATTTTGACTACATAAAAAATGTTCCAAAACAAAATATTGAAAGTTGGCGACCCCAAATATATAAAATTGTTACAATTAATAGACCAATAAATTAATATTATAGCTTAAATAATACACGGAAACGAACTTTTATTTTAAAAAAAAAAACATAAAAGTAAATAAAAGGGCTTAAAAAGACTTAAACGTAAATAAAATATTGTTGTTGTTAAATCTAAAATATCTATATAGATATTTTAAGGATATATCCCTAAGAAAATATACCCCAAGTTTGGATTCGATACTTAACTTTAGATCAAGCGACAGAAATATTATTTGACCAAAAAACCAGGAGATAAATATGTAAACAAGCAATTTCTTTCATTAAAAACTAACAAACACGTATTAACTGGTACCAGTTAATTATTCATAAATAGATACGAATTTTTTGTTATATATAAATATAGACATCCAGTTCCAATATTTCTTTCGAAATTTTTAAACAAGCAAATACATTCGTTAATTTTATCCATAAAACTGCTTCTAAAACAAAAAAAATTGATTCTGGCTCCAATCATTAAAATATTGCACTTATTTTTTTTAAATATTTTCTAATAGTTATATCAACTTAAAAAAATTTTAAATTCATGTTCAAATAATTTTATTTTTGAAATATACCTTAACGTTTAATTTGAGACGTATTATATCTTGTAAGGACTAGTTTTTTTTAAGTTTTTCATAAATGGTTATACTAACAACACTTTAGAATGAATCTTTTAAAAGTCATCTTTCTATTGGGATTCATAGGAAGTGGTCTGTGTGCTGACCTTGCTGTAAGAGCAGAATCGGCTGCAGCATGCACCTATGGTCCATCAATGACTCAATGTGAACAAAACTGTGCAAAGGCTCTCAACCTTTCTACAATTCTCTCAACAGTGTTAGGTAGCTTGGTATGTGGATTGCTTGACACTGTCCAAGATGCTGTGATCGACTGTTTGCTTTGTAACGCTTTGTATGGTACCATTAGTAGTATCACTTCTGAAATCATCCAACTTTTAGAATCCACTTTACTCGGTTGTGATGTCACAACCTCTGAAGTCACAACATGCACCGATTATTGTGATGTTGAAGAAACTACAGTTCCTGATTCTCAAAGCTGCTCTGATTTGTGTGATGAGGTTCAAAGCGATCTTATTTACTTTGGAGGTTTGACTACTCTGGTTGGATGTACTATTCTTAACGATGTTGTTAAAAACAAGATCTTGGCCTGTCTTGTGTGTGGCCCTATATTCGACCTTGTGGGAGGAATTATTGACACAGTGACAGGATTGTTAGCTGGCGATTGTTTGGACGAGCTAAAGTCTAGTACAGAAATCTGTGTTTCGACAACTTCTGCATCTGCGTCAGAAATTTCAAGTAGCGAGACTTCGTCATCTGATGAAATTTTCACTAGTTCCGAGACATCTGTTTCAGAATCGTCATCATTGGAGTCTTCAACTGTTGAGTCGTCTTCTACCGTTGAGTCCTCCTCTGCCGTTGAGTCGTCATCTGCCGTTGAGTCGTCTTCTGCCGTTGAGTCGTCTTCTACCGTTGAGTCGTCTTCTACCGTTGAATCGTCTTCTGCCGTTGAGTCGTCTTCTGCCGTTGAGTCCTCCTCTGGCGTTGAGTCGTCTTCTGGCGTTGAGTCGTCTTCTGCTGTTGAATCGTCTTCTGCTGCTGGGTCTTCTTCTGCCGTTGAGTCTTCTTCTGATGTTGAATCTTCTTCTGATGTTGAATCTTCTTCTGCCGTTGAGTCGTCTTCAGCCGTTAAGTCCTCCTCTGCCGTTGAGTCGTCTTCTGCTGTTGAATCGTCTTCTGCCGTTGAGTCGTCTTCTGCTGCTGGGTCTTCTTCCGGGGTTGAGTCTTCTTCTGATGTTGAATCTTCTTCTGTTGAATCTTCTTCTGTTGTTGAATCCACGGAATCATCAACCGAGTCGAACGTTCCTTCATCCACTGAAACGGCTGCAACATGCACCTATGGTCCATCAATGACTCAATGTGAACAAAACTGTGCAAAGGCTCTCAACCTTTCCACAATTCTCTCAACAGTGTTAGGTAGCTTGGTATGTGGATTGCTTGACACTGTCCAAGATGCTGTGATCGACTGTTTGCTTTGTAACGCTTTGTATGGTACCATTAGTAGTATCACTTCTGAAATCATCCAACTTTTAGAATCCACTTTACTCGGTTGTGATGTCACAACCTCTGAAGTCACAACATGCACCGATTATTGTGATGTTGAAGAAACTACAGTTCCTGATTCTCAAAGCTGCTCTGATTTGTGTGATGAGGTTCAAAGCGATCTTATTTACTTTGGAGGTTTGACTACTCTGGTTGGATGTACTATTCTTAACGATGTTGTTAAAAACAAGATCTTGGCCTGTCTTGTGTGTGGCCCTATATTCGACCTTGTGGGAGGAATTATTGACACAGTGACAGGATTGTTAGCTGGCGATTGTTTGGACGAGCTAAAGTCTAGTACAGAAATCTGTGTTTCGACAACTTCTGCATCTGCGTCAGAAATTTCGAGTAGCGAGACTTCGTCATCTGATGAAATTTTCACTAGTTCCGAGACATCTGTTTCAGAATCGTCGTCATTGGAGTCTTCAACTGTTGAGTCGTCTTCTACCATTGAGTCCTCCTCTGCCGTTGAGTCGTCATCTGCCGTTGAGTCGTCTTCTGCTGTTGAGTCGTCTTCTGCCGTTGAGTCGTCATCTGCCGTTGAGTCCTCCTCTGCCGTTGAGTCGTCTTCTGCTGTTGAATCGTCTTCTGCTGTTGAATCGTCTTCTGCCGTTGAGTCGTCATCTGCTGCTGGGTCTTCTTCTGCCGTTGAGTCGTCTTCTGCCGTTGAGTCGTCTTCAACTGTTGAATCGTTCTCTGCCGTTGAGTCGTCTTCTGCCGTTGAGTCGTCTTCTGCCGTTGAGTCGTCTTCTGCTGTTGAATCGTCTTCTGCTGCTGGGTCTTCTTCTGGGGTTGAGTCTTCTTCTGATGTTGAATCGTCTTCTGCCGTTGAGTCGTCATCTGCCGTTGAGTCCTCCTCTGCCGTTGAGTCGTCTTCTACCGTTGAGTCCTCCTCTGCCGTTGAGTCGTCATCTGCCGTTGAGTCGTCTTCTGCTGCTGGGTCTTCTTCCGGGGTTGAGTCTTCTTCTGATGTTGAATCTTCTTCTGTTGAATCTTCTTCTGTTGTTGAATCCACGGAATCATCAACCGAGTCGAACGTTCCTTCATCCACTGAAACGGCTGCAACATGCACCTATGGTCCATCAATGACTCAATGTGAACAAAACTGTGCAAAGGCTCTCAACCTTTCTACAATTCTCTCAACAGTGTTAGGTAGCTTGGTATGTGGATTGCTTGACACTGTCCAAGATGCTGTGATCGACTGTTTGCTTTGTAACGCTTTGTATGGTACCATTAGTAGTATCACTTCTGAAATCATCCAACTTTTAGAATCCACTTTACTCGGTTGTGATGTCACAACCTCTGAAGTCACAACATGCACCGATTATTGTGATGTTGAAGAAACTACAGTTCCTGATTCTCAAAGCTGCTCTGATTTGTGTGATGAGGTTCAAAGCGATCTTATTTACTTTGGAGGTTTGACTACTCTGGTTGGATGTACTATTCTTAACGATGTTGTTAAAAACAAGATCTTGGCCTGTCTTGTGTGTGGCCCTATATTCGACCTTGTGGGAGGAATTATTGACACAGTGACAGGATTGTTAGCTGGCGATTGTTTGGACGAGCTAAAGTCTAGTACAGAAATCTGTGTTTCGACAACTTCTGCATCTGCGTCAGAAATTTCAAGTAGCGAGACTTCGTCATCTGATGAAATTTTCACTAGTTCCGAGACATCTGTTTCAGAATCGTCATCATTGGAGTCTTCAACTGTTGAGTCGTCTTCTACCGTTGAGTCCTCCTCTGCCGTTGAGTCGTCATCTGCCGTTGAGTCGTCTTCTGCCGTTGAGTCATCTTCTACCGTTGAGTCGTCTTCTACCGTTGAATCGTCTTCTGCCGTTGAATCGTCTTCTGCCGTTGAGTCCTCCTCTGCCGTTGAGTCGTCTTCTGCCGTTGAGTCATCTTCAGCCGTTGAGTCGTCTTCTACCGTTGAATCGTCTTCTGCCGTTGAATCGTCTTCTACCGTTGAATCGTCTTCTGCCGTTGAATCGTCTTCTGCCGTTGAGTCGTCTTCTGCCGTTGAGTCGTCTTCTGCTGTTGAATCGTCTTCTGCTGCTGGGTCTTCTTCTGGGGTTGAGTCTTCTTCTGATGTTGAATCTTCTTCTGATGTTGAATCTTCTTCTGATGTTGAATCTTCTTCTGATGTTGAATCTTCTTCTGCCGTTGAGTCGTCTTCAGCCGTTAAGTCCTCCTCTGCCGTTGAGTCGTCTTCTGCCGTTGAATCGTCTTCTGCCGTTGAATCGTCTTCTGCCGTTGAATCGTCTTCTGCCATTGAATCGTCTTCTGCCGTTGAATCATCTTCTGCTGCTGGGTCTTCTTCTGCAGTTGAGTCGTCTTCTGATCTCGAATCTTCCTCTGTTGTTGAATCCACGGAATCATTAACCGAGTCGAACGTTCCTTCATCCACTGAAACGGCTGCAACATGCACCTATGGTCCATCAATGACTCAATGTGAACAAAACTGTGCAAAGGCTCTCAACCTTTCTACAATTCTCTCAACAGTGTTAGGTAGCTTGGTATGTGGATTGCTTGACACTGTCCAAGATGCTGTGATCGACTGTTTGCTTTGTAACGCTTTGTATGGTACCATTAGTAGTATCACTTCTGAAATCATCCAACTTTTAGAATCCACTTTACTCGGTTGTGATGTCACAACCTCGGAAGTCACAACATGCACCGATTATTGTGATGTTGAAGAAACTACAGTTCCTGATTCTCAAAGCTGCTCTGATTTGTGTGATGAGGTTCAAAGTGATCTTATTTACTTTGGAGGTTTGACTACTCTGGTTGGATGTACTATTCTTAACGATGTTGTTAAAAACAAGATCTTGGCCTGTCTTGTGTGTGGCCCTATATTCGACCTTGTGGGAGGAATTATTGACACAGTGACAGGATTGTTAGCTGGCGATTGTTTGGACGAGTTAAAGTCTAGTACAGAAATCTGTGTTTCGACAACTTCTGCATCTGCGTCAGAAATTTCGAGTAGCGAGACTTCGTCATCTGATGAAATTTTCACTAGTTCCGAGACATTTGTTTCAGAATCGTCGTCATTGGAGTCTTCTGCCGTTGAATCGTCTTCTGCCGTTGAGTCGTCATCTGCCGTTGAGTCGTCTTCTGCCGTTGAGTCATCTTCTACCGTTGAGTCGTCTTCTACCGTTGAATCGTCTTCTGCCGTTGAATCGTCTTCTGCCGTTGAGTCCTCCTCTGCCGTTGAGTCGTCTTCTGCTGTTGAGTCTTCTTCAGCTGTTGAATCGTCTTCAGTTGTTGAATCGTCGTCTGGCATTGAGTCATCTTCTGTTGTTGAATCCTCTACTGTTGAATCTTCTGCCGTTGAGTCCTCTTCGGTTGTTGAATCGTCCTCTGCTCTTGAATCTTCTTCTGCTCTTGAATCTTCTGATGTTGAGTCCTCGTCTACTGTTGAATCTTCTACTGTTGAGTCTTCTGCCGTTGAGTCCTCTCCGGTTACTGAGTCTTCGTCCTCTGTTGAATCCTCGTCTGTCACTGAAGTTTCTTCTGCTGTTGAATCTTTGCCTGCCGTTGAGTCTTCCTCAGTCATTGAGTTTTCCTCTGCCGTTGAGTCTTCTCCGGTTACCGAGTTTTCTTCTGTTTCTGAGTCTTCATCTGCTGTTGAATCTTTATCTGTTTCTGAGCTTTCTTCTGCTGCTGGGTCTTCCTCTGCTATTGAGTCTTATTCTACTACAATGTCTTTCTCTGTCGTTGAATCTTCGTTTGCAGAATCAGTTTCGAAGTCCGAGTTTTATTCTCTTTCTGTATCTTCTTTGGAGTCTTCTTCTGAATCGGTCACAGAATTTTCAGAAACTGAATTTGCTTCCCAGATTGGTTCTGCTTCTGAGACTAATTCTGCTTCTCAAACCGGTTCTGCCTCTGAGACTGGCTCCGCTTCTAATACTGGATCTGCTTCTCAAACCGGTTCTGCCTCTGAGACTGGCTCCGCTTCTAATACTGGCTCCGCTTCTAATACTGGTTCTGCTTCTCAAACTGGTTCCGCCTCTAACACTGGCTCTGCTTCTAATACTGGTTCTGCTTCTCAAACTGGTTCCGCCTCTAACACTGGCTCTGCTTCTCAAACCGGTTCCGCCTCTGAGACTGGCTCCGCTTCTAATACTGGCTCTGCTTCTCAAACCGGTTCCGCCTCTGAGACTGGCTCCGCTTCTAATACTGGTTCTGCTTCTCAAACTGGTTCCGCCTCTAATACTGGCTCTGCTTCTCAAACCGGTTCCGCCTCTGAGACTGGCTCCGCTTCTAATACTGGTTCTGCTTCTCAAACTGGTTCCGCCTCTAACACTGGCTCTGCTTCTAATACTGGTTCTGCTTCTCAAACTGGTTCCGCCTCTAATACTGGCTCTGCTTCTCAAACCGGTTCCGCCTCTGAGACTGGCTCCGCTTCTAATACTGGCTCTGCTTCTCAAACTGGTTCCGCCTCTAACACTGGCTCTGCTTCTCAAACCGGTTCCGCCTCTGAGACTGGCTCCGCTTCTAATACTGGCTCTGCTTCTCAAACCGGTTCCGCCTCTGAGACTGGCTCCGCCTCTAATACTGGTTCTGCTTCTCAAACTGGTTCTGCCTCTGAGACTGGCTCCGCTTCTAATACTGGATCTGCTTCTCAAACCGGTTCTGCCTCTGAGACTGGCTCCGCTTCTAATACTGGTTCTGCTTCTCAAACTGGTTCCGCCTCTAACACTGGCTCTGCTTCTCAAACCGGTTCCGCCTCTGAGACTGGCTCCGCTTCTAATACTGGCTCTGCTTCTCAAACCGGTTCCGCCTCTGAGACTGGCTCCGCTTCTAATACTGGTTCTGCTTCTCAAACTGGTTCCGCCTCTAATACTGGCTCTGCTTCTCAAACCGGTTCCGCCTCTGAGACTGGCTCCGCTTCTAATACTGGTTCTGCTTCTCAAACTGGTTCCGCCTCTAACACTGGCTCTGCTTCTAATACTGGTTCTGCTTCTCAAACTGGTTCCGCCTCTAATACTGGCTCTGCTTCTCAAACCGGTTCCGCCTCTGAGACTGGCTCCGCTTCTAATACTGGTTCTGCTTCTCAAACTGGTTCCGCCTCTAACACTGGCTCTGCTTCTAATACTGGTTCTGCTTCTCAAACTGGTTCCGCCTCTAATACTGGATCTGCTTCTCAAACCGGTTCTGCCTCTGAGACTGGCTCCGCCTCTAATACTGGTTCTGCTTCTCAAACTGGTTCTGCCTCTGAGACTGGCTCCGCTTCTAATACTGGTTCTGCTTCTCAAACTGGTTCCGCCTCTAACACTGGCTCTGCTTCTAATACTGGTTCCGCTTCTCAAACTGGCTCCGCCTCTGAGACTGGTTCTGCTTCTCAAACTGGATCTGCCTCTAATACCGGCTTTGATTCTCAAACTGGCTCCGCCTCTGAGACTGGCTCCGCATCTAATACTGGTTCTGTTTCTCAGACTTCTGCATTGGAATTCCCCTCAGTTTCATCAGCTGAATCATCATCGCAAGGTAGTTCGCCTTCTAAATCTGCATCTATGTCATTGAGTGAATCTTCTCAAGCATCTCAGAGTGTCTCTGCAACTCCATCTCAAGATAACAATACTCTTCCTTCAAACCAAAGCACAGCCTCTCAAAGTGAATCTATGAATGGACCTACTTCTCAAGCTAGTGCCAACACTCAGAACACCTCGCCTTCTGAGCAACAGGAGCAAACCTCCAACCTCATCTCCTCATCACCATCAGCAACCCAGTCGGTATCAGAGAATTGCCCTGGCTGCTACACCACCTTAGAAACGGAGGAAATTACCACAACTCTTACCACAACTCTGCAAGGCACAATTGAAACCACAATTACAACCGCCATCCAATCCACCATTACGTTGGTTCATTCTCCTGTGGTTTCAAGTGATTCAACTATCACCTACATTTCATATACTGCATCAGCACCACCATTATCAAGCGGCGGCGTTAATACAAATTCTGGTGCTTCTGCTGAAGAAACTTCTGTTACTGCTGCTCAGACCACTCCAATTTATGAAGGCGGTGACAGAAACAACTCAACTGCAAGCATTTCGAGTACACTTAACACTACGTTTGTGCCCTCTCCATCTACTGAGCAAAGTAATGGTTCAGCTGCCAGCATTTCGGCAGGTATTCTTGTTCCACTCTTTGTTTCCTGTATTTCTATTCTCATGGCCATTTAATGAGTGAAGGTTTCATTAGTTACCTTTTTTTTTTTTTAACGGAACATTTTCATTATTATTTTTTTTGTTAAATTAGGATATTAAAATTTGTTATTTTTGTTATATTGATGTTATTTTTTTTTATGTTATATATGTACTATTTTGTTATAATAATTAATTATTGGTGATTTAATTTTTTTTTTTTTTGCAACTTAAATGGGGTATTTTTAAATAGATATAAAAATAAATTAGTAGTTAAAGTTATTTGCATCTTATTTTCGGTTCACTGACTCAGATAACTTAGATTTATTTAAGAAAAAAAAAATTTGATGAGTGAAACAGTGTTTTTTTTTTTTGTTTGCGTAAACTCCATTCTATACATTTCCCATTTCCCTCCCATATATTTTCAACAGTGTAAGGTGTTAGAAAAAAAAAAAAAAAAATTTTTTTTTGATCCATCAAGATATTCACCAATTGCTGGATACTAAATACCAATCTGTCTCTGTCTCTGTCTCTGAGTGATTATGTCTACCATTATAACTTGTGTAGAAATCTCTGTTGACAGAGTAGATAAAACTGAACTAGAAATATTTTTCTAATCAAATGTTTTTATTTCCTCCTCCAAAGTAGTGTTTATTTCAAAACAACTGGTGATAAGTTTATGTTTTTTCTAAGATAAAGAAGTTTTATCATTTTAAGATCTTGATGCATTTTTTTTTTTCGTTTTTTTCTTTTTTTTTTTTTTTTTTTTTTTTCATAAACGGAATCTCGAGGGAATTTTTTCAAAAGTTTAATTTTAATGATGTATCTACCCGGTTATTGCAACATAAAGATAAGTAACAATGGGATTAAAAAAAAATTTTAATGAAAATGATCATAATCATGATCATGATGATAATGATGATGATGATGATGATTTTTTTTTTTTCTCAAGAAAAATTCTTTAGAATCAACATGATTGGTTTTGAAATATTAAAGAGCAAGCAATTGTCCCATGAATCATGCAATTTATTCTATTAAATGGTCTCTTTTTTTTTTTTTTTTTTTTTTCTTCCTTTCTTTGTCTGGAAAGTGCAAATCATTTGGACTTGTGACCTTCCCCCCTCTCTTTCTCTCTCTCTCTTTTTAAGTGGAATACCCAAAAAAAAAATAATAATAATTTAATTACTTTTGAAAGTAATTCTCTTTTTCATATCTCCTTCAATTTACCTATTTTAAAGGGTATACTTATATATACCATTCTTAAGTATATATATGTGTTTCAATGTTTTGTTCTATTGATATAAAAAAAAAGAAAGGTACTTTTCCAGGTAAAGTTGTGGGCATTATTAGGAACTTGGAAAAGAAATGTAGAATTTAAAAGATCCTAGTCTATCTTTTTTTTTTTTTTTTTTTTTTTTGTAAAAGAACAAGTGGACCATAATAATCATACCATATTACAAGATAGTGAGCTATTTTTTTTTTTTTTAAAAAAGAAAATCATTAAATTAATTATTAATACAATAAAATGCTAAAAGACAAAAAAACAAAAACTCTATAAAAAAATTGCAAGGCATTCATAAATTTTTTTTTTTTTTTTGAATAATCATAAGGTTCTTTTTTAGAAAGTCATGTGTGTACTTCCAAATGCAAAAAAAAAAAAAAAACGTTTTAGTAGCCATTATAAGCGTACTTACTTTTGGCTCTGATGCGTGCACCATAAAAGAAGAAAAGATATGGAATGGCGCAACATCCAAGTGAGATAAATGCCATAATAGAAACACCCCACTGGTAACTCATGTGCATGAGTTGAACAGTGAATAGGACGACACCAGCACCAGCCAATGAACGGGCACAAGTCTTTGCAGCCAAAGCTGAAGCGGCGTAATGCTGGTACGAGTCAACAAGATAGTTGTTTGCAGCATTGTAAAGAAGTAAAAAGCCAAACCCGCAGGGGAAACCAGCAAGAGTGGGACCAACCCAACTAAGTCTTGGGTAGGAAGTCCAGGCAAAAATAAAGAGACCAACGGGGACAAACCAGCATCCAACCATCATGGGGTAAAGACGGAGTTCAGCTGGAGGAATTTCACCACGATCAGTGTAGGCCTTTGCACGGCGGTTATAATCTTTATTAATCCAAGGTGCAAGGACTGAGGAAAGAATGACACCCACAGCAATTGGAATAAAAGTGAGGCCGGTTTTTCCTGCACTCCAACCTTTTCCTTCCATAAAGACGACTGGGTAGGCAAAGAAGAACATGTAAAGAAGAGCGTAAATGACCGACATGTAGACTGAAATCAAAAAGACAATGAGTTCGACGAAAAGTTGGAAAGGTCTAAAGAGAGCCACCTTCATCATTGAAGTAAGTTTAACAGGAGCCAAGTCATACTTGGTCTTGTACTTTGTATCGCCAGTAAGCTTAATGAGCTTCTTTGCACGACGGCGTAAAAGAGTAACGTGGTGAGTTTCCGGAACAAGAAGGACAGCCAAAACGTAAATGACACCAGAGTAGATGAGCATAACCCAATAAATCCAGCGCCAGCCAGCATGGTCGCCAATGTAACCACCAATGAGGGGGCCCATGACGGGACCCAAGAAGGGTGCAGCAGAAAAGACAGCCATTGCGACACCACGTTCTTCAGTTTTCCAGATATCAGATAATGAGCCGCCGATAAGAGTCATTGGAGCAGAAAAGGCGATACCTGAAATTAAACGACTGACAAGAAGGGTACCAATATTTTGAGCCACGGCACCAGGGATGATAAAAATGACAGCAATAAGAAGGGTTGAATTGTAAATGACTTGTCTACCCCATTCTTCAGAGAAGGGAGCAAAAACAAGTGGACCGATACCAAATCCGACGACGAAAAGGGTGACTGTAAGGATAACGACTTCTTGGGAGACGTTGAAACGTTTTTCGGGACCCACCATATCACCGGTAATGACACCGGAGGCAAAAGCGACGGTGAAGCAGACGATACCTAGGGCAATTGTGAGGAACCATTTACGGCCGTTAGACCAATTCATGGGGTTTTCTGGGTCACAGTCGAGCCATTCAACTAGACGGTAGCCAGTTTCTGAGTCTATCAGGTATTTCCATTCGTCAGCGTCATTGACTTCCATATGTTTTGGGTCTGGACGACTTTGAATTCGGGAGATTGCTTCTGCAAGTTCAGGGTCTTCATAAGCATAGTCAATAGCAGATCTAAAAAGGGAACAAAGGTTAGTTGAGATTTAAAGATAAAGATAAAAGAAAAGAAAAGAAAAGAAAAGAAAAGAAAAGAAAAGAAAAGAAAAGAAAAGAAAAGAAAAGAAAAGAAAAAGGAAGATGATTAACATACGTGATTCTTCGGGGTTCATTAAGAGAACGGCCAGTTGATGTTCTGTTTATTTCAGCAGAAGAGAGATCATCGTCCTTATTATAAGGACGAGGACTATTTTCAAGGTCACTCATGGGTGTGAAAGTTGTAAGATGAGATGATATATATGTATAGATGTATAGATGTATAGATTTATTAAATCGAGATAATTAATAATTTAAATTTTTGATTGTAAGACAAAATACCAAAAGGTAAATGGTGTTGATGATGATGAGAAAGAAAGAAAGAAAGAAAGAAAGAAAAAAAAAATTATATAAAGAGAGGTATTGAAGAAGTATTTATATATTTTTTTTTTTTTTTTATTATGGCTTGTGGCATATGATTTTAATTTTTTTTTTTTGAATTGAATTGAATTGAATTTAAAATGGATAAAAATGGAAACAAAAGATTTAATTTAATTTAATTATTCGGTTTGGCCTATCCGAAAAAAAAATAAAATAAAATAAAATAAAATAAAAAGAAAAATAGACTTTACACAGCCGCACTTTTTTTTTGTATGAGAGAAACCTTAAAATCGGGTACATATTGCACGGATACCACAATAGTACTCTTTTCAAAGAAGAAGAAGATGATGATTGATGATGAAGTAATGAGGTACTTGTTGTTGTTTTTTTTTTTGAAACAATCATCTTTTTTTTTTTTTTTGTATTTTATATAATTCTCTTGACAGGTTGTATTAAAGAAGGTACATTTTTATTTTCTTTTTATTTTCTTTTATTTTCTTTTATTTTCTTTTATTTTCTTTTATTTTAACATCAAAATAAAAATAAAAATAATTAAAATGGGCCATTTATTATTATTAAAATGATACAGAGTAAAAATTTTGATATTGGTATAAACAACAATCTCTCATACAATTAAAACGTTTTCTTCTTATTCTTATTATTTTTCTTCAAAAAAAATTTTATTTTTTTTTATTTCAACTACTGGCTAGAATTCCTGTTTAGTCAAAGTACCCGAAGACCCGGGGACTTTCGACCGTTTCAAAGTAGGGGGAGGGGGAGGAGTGGTTTTTTATTTTTTTATTTTTTTATTTTTTTATTTTTTTATTTTTTTATTTTTTTATTTTTTTTTTTTCAAGAATATTATTATTACAATTTTATTATTATATTTTGCAAATTTCTATTAATTTATTGTTATATTTATACGGAAACTACGGCAGGCACCGGTGCGCGTGGACAGACCTTTATATCACTGTTAAAATTGATTATGAGTAAAAATCAAAATTTCTCATACATATATATGTGTGGTGGTGGTGGGGGGGTGGTAGAAGAAAAAGCTCAATAAGTTTATAAAAAAAAAAAAAAAAAAAAAAAAAAAAAAAAAAAAGTTCGGAGGACTAGTCAAGTGTCTCCGAGATGATTGTGTCAGCACTGAGTCATATAATCAGCCGTGCATAATAAAAATTTAATTTTCTTTTTTTTCTTTTTTTTCTTTTTTTTTCTTTTAAAAAATATAAATTTAATCAAATTTAATTATTTAATTGTTTAATGAATTGAGTTTATATAAAAAATTATTATTATTATTATTATTATTATTATTATTATTATTATTATGATAAAGAAATCTTAAAAGAATTTGAAAGAATCAAATAAATTAAAATTTTTTTCTCTTTAATTGTTTTTTTGGAACTACCAGAATAATTATTTGTAAACCTGTCAGAAGATCTCTCTGTCCGCGGCGATACCATTTTGATCAAAAGATTTATTCTGATAGAAAAAAAAATAAAAAAAATAAAAAAAAAGGCTAGCCGGAAAAATCTGCAAGGGGTTTTTTTTTTTATTTTATTTTTTTTTTCTGTCTTTCTCATGATTTTAATTATTTAAGCCTTTTTTTTTTTTTTTTTTGTTGTTAATTAATCCCGTGGTGATCTTTAAAAAAAAAATAATTTATTTTTATTTTTATTTTTATTTTTTAATTTTTTTAATTTTTTTAATTTTTTTAATTTTTTTATTAAACAAAACTTTCAGGGTAATTTTTATTTAAATTTTAATTCTCCGATATTTCGCCGAACTTTAAGTATCTGTGTTCCGTGTCACATGATCAACTATAATTGCTTAAAGTCCCGTATTCATTGAGTCACCATCAAACAGATATATTCATATATATATATATATATTACCAAAAACATGAAAAGAATCACTACAATTATCTATCTATATATATATATATATATATATATAGAATCTACTCATAAATTTTCATACTAATAATTCAAAATACTATAACTAAACTATTAAAGAAAATACCCGAATTACAACACCCGGTTAAGTTTACCGGTATTGGAAGGAAATAATAATACAAATGCACCGGGTAGCTGGCTAGTCTGTTTTTGTGGCACAGCTTGCCGCAGACTTCCATCGGATGGTGTGCGCCGTTAAGAATTAGTCAATGATTTGTCATTTAAACAACTCAAATTTTTTTTTCTTTCTTTCTTTCTTTCTTTCTTTTCTTTCAGTACCGTTACAGCCCAGCGTTTTTTTTTTTATTTATTTTATTTTATTTTATTTTATTTTATTTTTTGAGGCTGCTACTCCGCGGATATCTTAGATGCAAGAGAAAGAAAAAAAAAAAAAAAAAAAAAAAAAGGGAAAGCCATTTGGTCTTGACATCTCTTCCCCTCGACTAAATATATAATTACTTAAAACCTTTCCCCATAGAGTAATTTCAATTGAGTTTAGAAATTTCTGCTTTAAAAAAGGAACTTTCTTTTTTTTTTTTTTCTTTTTTCTTTTTCTTTCTTTTTAATTTGGTTTGGCATTTTTTATGGGCATGTTACAGTGCATCTATAAAGTTATATTGAAAAAAAAAAAAAAAAAAAAAAAAAAAGGTATTTCTATCCCCCCCCTCGGAATTGGGTTACTCAAATTGTTGTGTAATTTTAAATTACTTAAAATAACTTAAAATTACTCAAAATAACTTAAAATTACTTAACATTACTTAACATTACTCCAAATAACTTAAACCCTTCCCACCTAGAACTTAACAATATTTTGTCCAAATCAAACAACCAGCCCTTCCTCCAATGCAACCGCTACCAAACTTGGGCCAAACAGACATTGCTCATCCATCGGACCCAAATATCGACCAAACTACCATCAACAAAAACAATGACATTGTCATTAAAAATGTCATTAAAAATGACTTTGAAAATGACTTTAATGACGACTTTGATGACGACTTTGATGACGACTTTGATGACGACTTTTCAGAATTTGAGCCTGCCGAGTTTGGAGAGTTTGGCAAGTACATGACTGCAAAAAGGTCCAAACTTGAACGCCAGGCCCTCGAAACAATGCGAGCTCAAACCGGTGGTCGCCTGCTCTCACACATCTTTATAGGATGTACAATCTATATCAATGGTTACACGGGTCCAGAACGTTCAGATGAACAACTAAGACGACTCATAGTTGCCCATGGAGGACGTGCCATCCAACACATGTCGCGCAAGGGGAATGTCACTCATATTGTGGCTACAGGACTTACGGCAAGTAAAAAGATCGAGTACAAAAATATGGCCGTTGTAGTTCCACGATGGGTCGACGCATGTATCGAAGCCGGGAAGCTTCTTGATTGGAAAGAATATAGAACAATTCCTGTTGACTTGACTCGTGGTCAAACAACCTTGGTTCCGTTAAAAAATAACAATATCCAACAGCAACAGCAACAGCAACAGCAACAACAACAGCAACAACAAAAACAAAAACAACAAAATGATGGCATCCCTAGTATAGCTGACCCAGCTTTTATATCTCACTTTTACTCTCACTCACGCCTCCATCACCTTAGCATGTGGAAGGCTGCTCTACGTCATAAATACCTGGCAGCAGCTGCAGCCGAGTTGGCCAAAATACCCTCAGCTTGTGCCCCCCTTGAGGACCCCTCTCGGCGTGTTATTTTGCACATTGACTATGACTGTTTCTTTGCTGCCGTCTCGTCACTTAAATGCAACCCCCCAGTTCCACCAGCTGTTCCGGCAGCAGTGACATCCGGATCGCATGCAAAATCAGATATTGCATCGGCAAACTATGCAGCTCGTAAACACGGCGTGCGTAATGGCATGCTACTTCAAACAGCACGCGCCATGTGCCCAGACCTTTATGTATTGCAATATGATTTCCCGGCTTATGCAGAAGCCAGTGCAGCAATGTACGAAACACTGAGCGCTGCGCGGGCAGGTCCCGTGTGCCCGATATCTGTTGATGAAGCACTTCTTGACGCGACTGAATGGGTCGCCGCTCAAATACCCATTAGTGTTGCTACCCAAAAAGAAGAAGAAATTGAACGCCTTGCAACCACTTTGGCAAATACCCTGCGCGCACAAATCCGCACTAAAACAGGTCTCGAAACTTCGGTTGGAATCGGACCTAGTGGGTTGTTGGCCCGTGCAGCTTTGGCCCAAGCAAAACCCTCAGGGGTACGGTGTGTGGTATGGTCCTCCAGAATCGCTTGTTTGGCAGGAACCTTGCCTGGGTTTACCCCCATCTCACTGAACGACCTACCTGGGCTGGGCCCCAATATTGTATCAAGACTGCGAGCTGATCCATTGCGCATAAAGTCATATGCTGCACTCTCTAGGTTTGCGCGTGGTCTGCCTCCTGAAGAGAAATCCTTGGATGCTACAAGTGATCCCAAAGCTGCAGCCAGGGCGTGCGACGCGTTAACTTGTATTTTCGGACCCAAACTCGGACGTAGGTTGTGGGAATATGGTCATGCTGAAGATGTCACTGACTTTGCACGGCACGTTGAAACCGCACTTGCACGCAAGTCGGTAGGTGCGGAAATCTCGTGGGGAGTACGTGCAACATGTCGTGAGGACGTGGAAGCATTTGTGCGTAACCTATGTGCAGAAGTTGCTAAGAGACTTGCATGTGGAGGACTAATGGAATCTCCTGAAGATTCAGGGGAGGGGAATGGGGGGGAGCAGGGAGGAAGTGGCGTGTTGCAACAACATCAGAAGCCTGGCCCACTTGTTGGGACCAGTGTGAGTGTGCGTGTTTATATAGCCAAACTCAATGCCGACCCGATGCGTTCCAAGGCCATGGGCCATGGACAGTGTGACGTTGTGAGCCGTACACGACAGGTTCCTGGAGGTATTCCGACACGGGATGCTCAAGTGCTTGCACAAGTTGCACAGGCTGCACTAGATGATACGCCATGCACGCCCAGCAGGCTACGCGGGGTTGGCGTGACTGTAACACAGTTGGTAGAAGAGGGTAGTGTGATAAAAAGGAAACGGTCTGGGCCTATGCTTCGGTTTGTAGACAAGGGCAAACAGAAACGCAAAGTGCACATTGAGGAGGAGACCCTGGGGAAGATTGAGAAAGAAGCTCAAGAAATATCAAATGAAGAAGGTGGGGATGACCAGAAAACAACAACAACAACAACAACAACAACAATAACGATCAAAACTCCAACAAAGGACCCGGAAATTGATTGGAATACATACTATGAGCTTCCAGAAGATGTGCGCGCAGCAGTGCGTGCTGAATATGCGTTAGCTGCAACCCCGCGCGGACTCAGCCGGAAGCCAGGTGCATTATCCTCAGTGCCTTATACTCGGGAAACCCAGTCGGCGCCTCCCCCGGATACTCAGTCGAGTGCAATTTTACCTGGTGTGGTCCAACCTGGTGCAGTCCAACCTGGTGCAGTCAGGCCAGATGCGGCCCGGTCAGACGCGGCCCGGTCAGATGCGGTTCGTGCGCCGCCCCGGGTAGTTCTTGGGCCACTGCTAAAGCGCGGGAAACATACACGTTTTCAGGTACAGTCTGCAAGTGTACCGCAACACCATGACATTCTCGCACACCCATCGCTACTGGACCCCGTAACACTTGGCGAGCTTCCGGACCATATTGCTGCCGAACTACATGCTGCAGTTTCTGCACATAAACAACACAAACAACAACAAAAACAATATAAACACACATTTGGGCAACCACAAAAGTACCCACCACCACCACCACCACCACCACTACATGAAATTGATTTGGACCTGCGACGACCTGAGGCATACCGTGTTCGCGCGCCCGTATTAGACATTGACGCGCGTGGTGTGCCACTGGTTCGTATTGGTGAGGTATGTAGAGCAGTACGTGAATGGATTGTAGCTTGCGTGAGGTTAGGTCCAGGGAATGAGGCACCACACCCAGCGGATGCGCAACTGCTGTGCAACTATGTGGATGCATTATTAAGGGACCCTCTACGGTGGCCGCATGCGTCACGGCTCGCATTGTGGATAAAGTCAGAGACGCAGGTATTAAACGCAGGCCCGGAATGGCAGCAATTGTCGCATAACCTTAGCCAGCACATTGTGTCAACAGCATGGACAATATACCATAGAAAAATAGTTATATAAATAAAAAAAAATTAAATAAATAAAAATTAACCCCATTATATTATATATATATATATTTCGTAAACCAAATTTATTTTTATATGTCATTATTATTATTATTATTATTATTATTATTATCATCATCATTTAAAAACAACCCAAAATGCGAAGAGTATTAGTATGGCCAAGACCGCCAGTCCAGCCCTGAATAGCCACAACGACATCGCCACGGTTCAAAATTCCAAGCTCGACAGCAGAGTCCATGCCCCACTTGAGACGCTCCTCGACATCACGTTGCCAGTCAGCAGGAGTTTCAGCACGGGGTTGGGGGTAGATAAAGGGGTACACGCCACGGTACAAGTGGGAGAAACGGGCCACCTTTTCATTGCGAGTCACCATAAGAATGGGGCAATTAGGGCGATACTTGGACAAGAGACGAGCAGTGGCACCTGAGGTAGACAAAACAATGATAGCCTTTGCTTGTTGTTCAAAGGAAGCAGCAACGGCAGAAATGGCAATGGTTTCGCCAGTTTCGGTTGGTCGTGGAACAAGGGAGCGCAATTCCTGGAAAAGGGGTTGGTAGGCAATGGCCTTTTCAGCAATCAAACAAGTCTCGTGCATCATATTGACGGCATTGATGGGGTAGTCACCCTTGGCAGTTTCTCCTGAAAGCATGACACAGTCAGCGCCATCCAAAATGGCATTGCCCACGTCCGAGACTTCGGCACGGGTAGGGCGAGGGTTATAAGTCATTGATTCAAGCATTTGGGTAGCACAAATGACGGGCTTACCAGCCAAGTTACACTTTGCAATGAGTTGTTTTTGGACAATAAAGACTTGACTTGCAGGGATTTCGATACCCAAGTCACCACGGGCCACCATGACACCGTCAGTGACTTTTAAAATTTCATCAAAGTTGTTGACACCTTGTTCCGATTCAATTTTGGAGACAATTTGAATGGACTTGCCTTCCTCGCCAAGCACCTCGCGAATGGCCAGCACGTCAGCGGCAGTGCGGATGAATGAAGCAAAGATAATGTCGACTTTATTCTTAACGCCAAACTTAATGTCGGCCTTGTCCTTTTCCGAGAGGGCGGGCAAGTCAACGTCAGTTTTAGGGAGGTTGACACCCTTGTGGGAAGAGATTTTGCCATTATTCAAGGCGCGGACCTTAAGAGTTTTTTCATCGGGGATTTCAAGGACTTCAAAGGAGAGGACACCATCGTCGACATAAATGGTGCGGCCGGGTTGGATAACCTTGGTGATATTTTTATAGTCAATGTACATGGTATTTGAGTCGCATTTTTTGGAATACTCGTCATCAGTGGTGAAAATCATTTCATGGCCCTTTTCCACAGGGTAGTCAGTGTTGCCAATGGTAGTGCCTGTGCGGATTTCTGGGCCCTTAGTATCGAGAGCAATTGCAATGGGACGTCCAGAAAAGTGTTCTTCAGAAGCGCGAGCGTTATCAACAACGGACTGATGGTATTCATAATCACCATGGGAGAAGTTCATACGGACAATGTTTAATCCAGCTAAAGAGAGTTAGAAGTGGGGAAATTTATTAAATAACAATAAAAATATAATAAAAATATAAATAAAAGCATACCTTTTCTAAGGTTGGTAATCATTTCAACAGAGTTTGTTTTAGGGCCAATGGTACCAATGATGGAAGACCTACGATAGTTTCTGCTGGGTAGATTCTGGACATCGAGGGTTGTAAGCCACTGAAGGTTTGAAGTTGGAAGATCAGAGGTATAGAACATTGTGAGAAAGAGAGAGAGAAAAGGATGGATAGATTGTTGGAAATGTTAATTTGAAGAGCTACTAAGATAATTGATGATGGGTATTAGTAGAGAGAGTTTTTTTTTTTTTTTTTTTTTTTGAATGGTAATAATTGATAAATTATGGAGAAAAAAAAAAAAGGAAGGTGATGGGAAGAAATGGGGGGATATTTATATCTTTTTTGAGTGGTTTTTTTTTTTTTTTTTTTGGTGGTGGTGGTGGTGGTGGTGGTAATGAATTGTTTGTTGGCAGACTATTTTTATTATTATTAAATACATTATATAAAAGAGTTAAAAGATAGTGTTGGTGGTAGCAGCAGCAGCAGCACCAACAACAGTGAGAGAAGCAGTGAGAGCAGCACTACAAACGGCAAACGACAAACACGCGCAGTAACGACAAAAACCAATTGAGCCATTGAAAGTTATTTTTTTTTTTTTTTTTTTTGAATATTAATTGATTTAGATTTAGATTTAGATTTAGATTTAATTGTTTTATTCATGCCAATTGATAAATTTCTTACTTATAAAAATTTTCTAAATAAATTTATAAACCTTTTGTTGAATCGGAGAAGTTTTTTTTTTTTGTTTTTTTATTTTTTTTTTTTTATGGAAGACTCTGCACCGAGCTTTTAAAAGAGAAAACTCGCATTGAAGATTTTATTGTTAAAGGAGGGGAAAAAAACGAAGAAGAAGAAGAAGAAGAGGGGCATTTTGTCTTTTTTTAAAAAAAAAAATAAAAGAAATAAAAGATTTAATGAAAGATTTCTTTGATTTCTAAACAATGGCTTATTTGTTTTTTTTATATAATTTATATATATATATTGTCAATTGGGTTTTTTTTTTTTTTTTTTTTTTTTTTTAAAAATTTTAAAGATGGGTTATTTTTTTTTATATATATATATAAAGTCGGATCCTACTTATTTTTTATATTTATTTAAATGATCATTTTAACAATATTTTTATTTTTTATTTTTTATTTTTTAAATTCATTTAAGAATTATTGTAAATCAATTCTATTTTATTCTATTTTCAAATTCCTTGTATTTTTATTTTTTTAAAAAAGATTTAAAAAAAAAAAAATTTTGATTTTCTATAAGGCTGACTGGCTGCCCAGCTTATCAGCTTATCACAAAAAAAAAAAAAAACTTTTTGCCATTAAAGAATTTTTGTTTATGACAGTAAAATATATAACATATATATATATATATATATAATCATTTTAAACGCCTTAAAGAAAGCTGTTTTAATATATATATATATATATTTAATTTATTTATCATTTTTTTTTTATAAATATATAAATATAAACAACTGATTTTTTATTTTTATTTATTTATTCATTTAATTAATTAATTAAAAAAAATAAATAAATAAATAAAGAAAGAAAGAAAGAAAAAAAAAAAACACCAATTGAGTTCTTTTTAGCTGGGCGTGGCTGGTAATGAATGAATGGCCTGACGATCTTATCTTTTTTTTTTTTTTTTTTTTTTTTTAAAATAAATAAATAAATAAAATATAAATTTAAAATAATTGTAAATATACAAATACAAATACAAATATTGTAATGTACGTACTAAAAGGTTTTTTTTTTTTTTTTTTTTTTTTTTTTTTGCTGTCAAAAACTTTCATTTTTTAGCAACGGATGAATTTTTAAACTAAAATAAAAAAAAATAAAAAAATAAAAATAAAAATTTGAGCCGCAGCAGTTGAATTTTTTTTATTTTTTTTTTTATTTTTGAAACGTTCAAAAAATCAAGGCACGTGTTTTAAACAACAGGGTAACTTTAATAATAAATTATTTGGTTTTTTTTTATTTTTTTTTATTTTTAATAATTGTAATAACAAAATAATTGTAACACAAAAGATTGTAACGAAAAAAAAAAAAAAAAAAAAAAAAAGAAGTTACCAAAGTATATAATATAAATGTAACATAAATGTAACATAAATGTAACATAAGTGTAACAAATATATATATATATATATATATTTTTTTTTTTTTTTTTTTTTGCAACAACAACAACAACAACAACCACCACACTCACACCTTCCATCAATCGTCTTGTGGCTGGGAACCCCCCCCCCCCCCTTAAACTAGTAAGCAAGAACAGCACAAAAAAAAAAAAAAAAAAATTCAAAACCTTCCAATGAAATCTCAAAGCGCTCTTTTTTTTTTTTTTTTTTTTTATTAGAATTCCAAAACCTTCTCTACTCTGAAAAATAAAAATAAAAAAAAATAAAAAAAAAACTTTTTTTTTTCCCTTCCTTTTTTTCCCTCTTCTTCTTTTCTCTTCTTCTTTAGAATTTTTCACTTCTCTCAAAAAAAACCCATCCCCCCAAAAAAAAACCCTCTAAAATTTAACAATGGCTGACGAAAGAACCTTTATTGCTATCAAGGTAAATATATATATAAATCTATTTTTTTTTTTTTTTTTTTAATTTTCTATTGTATCCAATTCTCAATTGACTCAATCTAACCACTTTTTTTCTTTTTAAAAATATAGCCCGATGGTGTCCAGCGTGGTCTCATCTCCCCCATCATTGGCCGTTTCGAACAGCGCGGTTTCAAGCTTGTTGCCATCAAGCTTACCCAACCCTCTGAGGCCCTTCTCCGTCAACACTACGAGGACCTCCAGGAGAAGCCCTTCTTCCCTGGTCTTCTTAAGTACATGACCTCTGGCCCTGTCCTTGCTACCGTCTGGGAGGGTAAGGATGTCGTCAAGCAGGGTCGTGCCATTCTTGGTGCCACCAACCCCCTCCAGTCTGCTCCTGGTACCATCCGTGGTGACTACGCCATTGACGTTGGTCGCAACGTTGCCCACGGCTCTGACTCTGTTGAGTCCGCCAAGAAGGAGATTGCTCTTTGGTTCAAGAAGGAGGAGCTTGTTGAGTACAAGCCTGCCTACTTCTCTTGGATCTACGAGTAAATTTGTGTAAATAATTCTCTCTTTTTTTAAAAAAAAAAAAAAAATTAAATTTTTATTCAATTGTTAAATTATATTATTCAACTCCATTTTGAATCAATTTCATTTTTTTTATTATTATTTTTATTTCCATTTATTTATTTATTTTTTTTTTTTTTAATATCTAGACCTCCGCTTAGCCTTTTTCAATGCTGCTCGTTTGGCCCGAACCTGCATGCTTTCTTCTGGCTGCTGCTGCTGGTTGTTGTTACTATTGTCATTCTGTAAAGACTCTTGCTCCAATTTGTTGTTTACAACTAATGACTCCGTCTCAGCTCGCCGCCGTGTTAACCGTCTTACAAGAACAACGGGACTATCATATACCATCTCCTTTTCTTCAACTTTCTTTGGTTCGCTGCTTACTGCAGTTGCAGTTGCTGCTTGACTTGTTGAATTGACCGGAGCACTGTTGTGCTGCTGCTGTTGTTGCTGTTGTTGCTGTAGCTGCTGTTGCTGTTGCTTAGATTTAACATTTTTTGTACTTGTATTTGCACTCGCTCCATAGTACCACACTCGAGCTACCCTTACAGGGTAAACAAGAGCGTCGCCTAATAAAAACGCAATTGTCATCACCCCAAGCAACACCACCTGAACAAAAATAATGCTCATGGCAAGACCAACGCACGCCCAGTCAACAGTCGCTTGCAAAACGGCCCGCCCTGCTGCTCGCGCAACAGGTGCAACCTGCGCAACACCACGAGCTCCCTCACCAGCCCGCGCAACCTGCGCAACAACTGCATCCCTCAACCCTTCAATAACATCCTTTGGTGGAAGCAATGCAGAACCATTATTTTCAGTTTCTTTATTTTCAAATTCTTCCTCTGGGCTTGTGTGGGATCGTGGCCACAATTCTTCACGAACTGCAGCTCCATTCGACACCGTGGCCCACACAAATTGAACAAGATCAATCACAGCAGATGGAGATTTGTATGCAGTCATCCATGTGCGCATCATCTCTCCAGTCATTCGCCACGACAATACAGTCCCCCCAATGTTCCCAGGTCGTTGTGGACCCATCACAGGAGTCCCATCTTCTTGTAATTTTGATGATGATGATGATCCATCGTTATTCCCACTGCCGGACCTGCCAAACAGTGATGACGACTTCTCCTGTGCCTCGACCAGCGACCCAAACTCTTCCAAGTGCTCCATCCGTCGTAGTCGCTCAAGATCTGAAGCTGAAATAATATAAAACCCCTCAGGAACTGTACTTGTGGCTTCACCCTCGCAAATCTCTAAAGAGTCCTTGGGTCGTTGAAACCCATACGAATTATGGTGGCTATTGTAATGGTAACTATGACGAGCAAACCTCCGATTAACAGATGGCGAAGCTGGTGGTGATGGAGAAAACATCCCGCTACTCGTACCACTCTCTGACAACACACTACTTGTGCGTGCACCGGCAACACCTGATGGTAAAAACATGCTCCCGCAACTGCTTGCAGAGCTGCTTCGACGACTAAAACTTCGAGCCGTTGAAGTTGGGAATTCGTCAGCCGCGTTTAGCGACGCTAACGCAGCGGCGCGTGCAGCGGCACGCGGCGACATGGGTCGGTAGATGTTGTTGTTGTTGTTGTTGTTGGCGATGGTATTGTTATTATAAACGTTTGAGTAATTATTCATGGCAGCAGGCAACATGGGGAATCCAGAAGCAACTGCGGAAGAGAGGCTGCTGGGGCCTCCCAAGGATTGGGTTGCAGTTGCGGTGGAGTAAGATGGTGCAGGTGCAGGTGCAGGTGGAGATGCTGACATGTCTGGGGCTCGGTTGTTTGTAGTGTTGTAATAGGATTGTAGAGACAAATGTCTATAGTGGGTGTTTTGAGAACCACTTGGAATAATAACCTTGGGACCAACTGGGACTGGACCCCCCGTGGTTGCCGCGTTTGGGCTAGATTGAAAACTGGATCGGGGGCTAGTGCCAACTGAAGAAGATGAGTAAGACGAGACTAAAGGTGAGGAGAGAAGAGAAGCTGCTGCTGAAGAAGCACTCGAGGTAGTAGTATTTGTATTTGTATTTGCATTTGCATTTGCATTTGTATTTGTTGTTGTGTTATTAGATATAGTTCCATCATTTAAACGGGCATTTTCAGAGCGAGCCAATTCCTGAAGCTTTTCCTGAAGCAGCCGCTCTTGTTCCGTTAAAAATGGGGTCGAGGGATGTGAAATACCCAAGGATGAGTTACGGCGGTGGTGCAGATGCAAAGGTCGAGGAGAGGAAAGGCCATTATGCGAGTCCATAATAACTGAAGAAGACCAACGTTTGGAGGCTGGTGTTGCTGTTGTTGTTATACCACCCGTTGAAGAAGAGTTGGAAGAAGCATGAAGAGAACGGGTGCGGCCAAGAGAAGAACGTTTTTCTACAACGGTTGAAGTGGAAGAAACAGATGAATTTGTTGAGTTTGTTGAAGAGGGCAGCGAGGTCATGCTGGGGTTTGTACTGTTGGTTAAGGACGACGAAGCGGACAAGTTGTATAAAGAGTCCGGAGTGCGGGATCGCTGGCCAGCCAACATTAATGAGTTGATTCTACGGTGGTAATAGGGGGTGGAGTTAATTCCAGGGGTAGGTACTCCTGAAGCAGCAACAGCAGAAGTAGAAGCAGAAGTAAGATTGCTATTAGAAGTGGAATGTCCCAAAAGTCCATCAATCGACTCTTGCTGGAAAAATGCCGAAGTAGAAATGGGTGATGTTCTTCCTGAAGAAGAAGAAGAAGAAGAAGAAGGAGAAGACAAAAATGGTGACGACGCTGAATGGTCATCAAAGTCCAAGGACGAAGTTGGATGGGAAGCCACAGGGGCATATACCAAGTCAGGACCAGATGATTGCAATGTATGAGTTATGGTCGAGAGAGGAAGAGGAGGAGGAGGAGCAGCAGCAGCAGCTGAAGGAGTGATTGACCATGAGCGTCGCTTAGCCTGACGCTGGAGCAGATCGTTCTGCTGAGCATCAGATAGCGTAGCTGACATTACAAGACCAAGAAAACAATGGTAAAGGCAGTCACAGGTATTGTTGTATATATATATGTATATATAAAGATTGGATAACTACCTTATTAGAATACAACAAGGTTTATAAAATATATTTTTTTTTTTTTTTTTCGAAATTAGCAAGATTAAAGGTTGATTTGATTTTAAAAAGATGGAAAAAAAAAAAGAGAATAGATGGAAAGAAGAAGAAGAAGAAGAAGGAAAAAAAAGATATTAAAAAAAAAGGAGAAAGAAAGAAAAGAAAATCGCGGGTTTTTTTTTTTTTTTTTTTTTTTCTGTTAAATTAATATAAAAAAATTCCCAAAAAAAAAGAAAAAAAAGAAAAAAATTTGGATGTGACGAGGTCGTGGGGCTGGTTGGCTGGTTAGCTAGTGGTGGTGGTGGTGGCATACTATTATATATTATATATATATATATATATATAAGACTTATAAGTCTTGACTATGATGATAATAATAATATGAATTACTCAAAATTTCCCAAAATAAGAAAAAAAAAATGCTTCACCGTTTTGTACGGCCACATAGTAAATACACATAAATATACATATAAATATACATATATATATAACCTGCATACCAGTCAGTCTTAGTAAAGGGGGGGGGAAAGAGAGAAGAGGAGAGGGGAGGATTAGAAAAAAAAAAAAAAAAAAATGAAAAATGAAAAAAAAAAAAAAAAATGTCAGGAATGCACACAAAAGGAGGTTTGTCTCTTTGGCATTTTCATTTTTAAAATAGAAAATGTGAACGTGGCTATTGTTTTTTTTTTTTTTTAATTTTTATAAAATTTGTGGAGAATCGCGATTTATATATATATATATATATATATATATATGGACATAATAGAATAGTGGGGAAAATAAAATAAAATAAAAAACAACAAATTTCAAGTTGAATAAAACGCGATAATTTTAAGTCTTCAATAAATTTTTTTTTTTTTTTTTAATTTGTTTATTTTTCAATTTAAATTATTATTCTGTAGAGGTTTTAATGAATTTTAATGAATTTTAATGAATTTTAATTTTTTTTTTCTTTCTCTCTTTTCCCTTTCAGAAATTATTTGAGAAATCAACAAAATCCCACTTTGGAGACTTTATAATAACTCTATGTGAAGAATAAATAAATAAATAAATAAATAAATAAATAAATAAATAAATAAATAAAATTATAATATTTCACAATACCCAAAGGTTTTTTATTTTTATTTTTATCGCCCCTGAAAGTTGAAAATCTATTGGAACGACAAAGTTGGTTATTTTATTTTATTTTATTTTTAAAGAAAATAAATAATAATAATAATAATGATAAAAAAAACACATTACCATTCTAGGAATTATATCTTGTTAACAGATGGAAAATAAAATAAAATAAAATCATCAAAACCCCCCCATTTAAACTTGTGATATCATTTTTATTTTTATTTTTTTATATATTTCTCGTTGAATTTTTCACTTTTCCTAAATAAATCAAAATCTATCTTTTCACTACACCACCCACCCATCCCCCCCTTACTCCTTTGTCATTGCCACGTTGAAACTAATCAAAATATGCTTAATATGTTTATCATTAAAAAAAAAAAAATTATATAAAAGCCTTCCATGTGGAGTCCACCATTGCAGTCCCATTTAACTTTTTTTTTTTTTTTTTTTTTCTCTTCCCCCCCAATATCCATCTTCCATCTTCCATCTCCCATTCCTCTTTTTTCTTTACTACTTTTTATATATATATATTTTTTTTATTTTAAAAATCTTACACTGTGATCATTTCATCTAAATCTCCACATAGATATTTTAGTATACGTTGATTGTCCTTTTTTTTTTTTTTTTCTACCTAATTGTTCCATGCGTTTGGACATTTGAGGCAGCCAAAAACGGACAAATTAAATTTCAAAATCGAAGGCCATATTTACAAATATTTTGATATTTATTTATCTCTCTCTCTCTCTATATATATATATATATATATATAAATATCCTAAAGATCTATATATAATAAGATATTTCAAAGAAGGAAAAAAAAAAAACCTCAATTCTGCTATTGTGACTATCAGATTATCCTAAAATTATACAATTGCGTTTTTTTAGTAAACCTTTTAGTCCCAGGTATCTGGATAAAAAGAATAAAAAGAAAAAAAAAAGAAAAAAAAAACAATCTTAATATTATTGGCAACAACCGGTCCAAAATATTTTCATCATCCTTTTACTCTAAATTTTCTAAATTTTCTAAATATTTTAAATATTTTAAATATTTTAAAAATTCTAAATTATTTTTTTATCAATCAATTCTTCTCCTTCCCTGGGGAAGACAATAAATAGTAAACAAAAACTCTTATTTAGGAATGAAAAAAAAAAAAAATAAATATAATACAGCCGTATGTCGCCCAAAAGAAACTAGAAAAAGACGCGTTGGAATTTAAGACTTTGAACATGCTACTGTACTATACTTTTTCAAATTAAATCCTGCTATTATTATCATTAATATTATTATTATTATATACTAGACCTACCTTTGTAACCCTTGCAAGACTAAATAATCATTCTCAAATTCTCAAATTCTCAAATTCTCAAATTCTCAAACACTTCAAAAGCTCTTCATCAAAAAAAAAAAAAAATCAAATTAAATAAAAGTATATAAATCAAGGTAAATCAACATCTAGTAATAACATTTCGTATCCTTTAAACTTCACTCAAACAAACATAAGCAAAATAAAGGAAAATAAGTGAAGAGTTGCACCAACACTCATAACCATACCATTATTGGCCTGACTAAAAAGTGAAGATGTTGCTGATGCAGAACCTACTGCGCTAGTCGAAGCCTTTGAAGTGGCCAGCGTGGTCTTGGTCGACCCACCACCAGCAGCACCACCATTGTTCACTGTTGTTTTAGTAAACATTGTAACCGTGCCAGAAACAATTGGAGATTCAACTGCAACAATTGTAGTCGTGCATGGCTCAGTCACAGTAACAACAGAACCACCACTTGTCTTTGCATAGGTCGTCAACCCAGTGCTTGTTGTAACAACTGTCTTACAAACCGTGCAAGGCTTAGTCACTGTCGTAACCTTGAGAGTCGACTGAGAAACCGATACAAAGCTAGTTACTCCGCTGGTAACAATCGGTGATTCCACTTCAGTAATCGTGGTTGTGCACGGCTCAGTAACTGTAACCACGCTTCCTCCAGATGTTCTTGTGACTGTAGTCAGCCCGGTACTAGTAGTCACCTTGGTTTTGCATACATTGCAAGAAATGACAACCGTCGAGGTGATGATTTCATTAAATCCAGGATCCTTTTCTTCGCTTGAACTCTCCGTCTCAGTTTCCTTGCCATTGTTCGGCTCAGATTCGGAATTGGTCGGTGGCTCAGTGACTGATTCAGAAACTACGGACTCAGTAGTGGTGGAAGACTCGCTGTTGACAGGTTCAGTAGTGGTGGAAGACTCGGTGTCGACAGGTTCAGTAGTGGTGGAAGACTCGGTGTCGACAGGTTCAGTAGTAGTGGAAGACTCGGTGTCAACAGGTTCAGTAGTGGAGGAAGACTCGGTGTCAACAGGTTCAGTAGTGGTGGAAGACTCGGTGTTGACAGGTTCAGTAGTGGTGGAAGACTCGCTGTTGACAGGTTCAGTAGTGGAGGAAGACTCGGTGTCAACAGGTTCGGTAGTGGAGGAAGACTCGGTGTCAACAGGTTCAGTAGTGGAGGAAGACTCGGTGTCAACAGGTTCAGTAGTGGAGGAAGACTCGGTGTCAACAGGTTCAGTAGTGGAGGAAGACTCGCTGTTGACAGGTTCAGTAGTGGAGGAAGACTCGGTGTCAACAGGTTCAGTAGTGGAGGAAGACTCGGTGTCAACAGGTTCAGTAGTGGTGGAAGACTCGGTGTCAACAGGTTCAGTAGTGGTGGAAGACTCAGTGTCAACAGGTTCGGTAGTGGAGGAAGACTCGGTGTCAACAGGTTCAGTAGTGGAGGAAGACTCGGTGTCAACAGGTTCGGTAGTGGAGGAAGACTCGGTGTCAACAGGTTCAGTAGTGGAGGAAGACTCGGTGTCAACAGGTTCGGTAGTGGAGGAAGACTCGGTGTCAATAGGCTCAGAAGAAGATGAAGAGTCACCACTGTTACAAAAGTTATAAGAAGGCACTGAATATCCGCAAGTAGTCAAGGCACCTTCAAACATAGTCACGCTGTCTTCAGAAAGAAACACTTCATTTGTGTAAAACTTTGTGCATCGAAGACAGTGACCAGTGATGGACTCAACATTGGCAACAGAAGTACATAATTCATTGGTCGATCCGCCGTTATTTTGAAACGCTGTGTAGAGATTGGAAACTTCAGATTCCAGAGGGAATAACGCACCACAAGTGTCAATACATGTTTGAAGCTCAAGAGGAGTGACACAGTCATTTTGACCAAGAGCTGTTTTTAAAGTGAATAATATGGAGAATAAACAGTATTTTTTCATTTGGAGAAGATAATTGACCAGATATTAGTATTAGAATAAAAAGGATTTTTTCTTTTTTTTTGGGGGGGGAATAATAACTTGTTGAAGAAAAATAAAATAAAATAAAATGAATGAGAAAAACTTGTAGAATTTATATCTTTATAAATATTCTATTTAACATTTGATTTTACCTATTTTTTGATTTTATTTTTATTTTTATTTTTAGACCATTTCTAGTTGAATGCGCTGTAGTCAAGATCTAGAGACTAAGAGCACTGTAACAAACGTTTTGAATTCAAAAATAAACAATCGCAGTTAATTATACATTTGATGGATTTTAGTTTTTTAAATAAAACTATTTGGATTTCTATATTATATTTATTGAGTACTAATTGATATTATAAAAGATTTTAATTTGAATTTGAATTTGAATTTTAGATATTTTTATAGACAGATGAACCCCCCCCCCCTTCCCAGAATACTTAAATACCCTACTTCACGATAATTGCGGTAGTTTGACTGATTTTACCAATTAAAATTGAAAATAAAGTTTATTTTAAGCCTCCCATTAAACAACTGACAAGGCCCACTCCCCGCTTTAAACAATGGCTTTCTTACTTATTTTATTTTTTCAATTTTTTTTTTAAATGTTAGCCTCTTATATAGAGAGGAGGCTGAGAAAAATAAAATATAAATAAAATATAAATAAAATATAAATAAAATAATAAAATAAAAAAAAACTTGCAAATAAAAATAGGATAGTAGTAACACATGGTTTGAAAACTATGAAAGCTCTATTTTTAATCTTCGTTTTAAACTGTTAGTTAATTTTCTTTAAACTTTTTTTTTTTTTTTTTTTAATAATTCCAAAGTCTGTCTAGTACAAATAATATTTTTTTTTTTGTCTTCTTATTTGTATTTATTTAATAGTTTATTTTAGAAAATAAAAAAAAAAAATGAAAATGTTTTAAAACCTCAGAACCTCAAAAAAAAAAAAAAAAAATCATTAAACTGCATGTAATTCACAAACACTTTATAAATTGCTGTTAAATATCACAGACTTTTGTTACTATAAATTAAAGTAAAATTTAAAGCTTCAAAAGTCCGAACTTTAACCTAAATGTTTGTTAAATAAATAAATAAATAAATTAAATAATAAATAAATAAATAGTTACGAGACAATTAACAAAATCAAGCCATTCTTTTAGTTGCTATCTATGTGGAAACCATTTTCATCTCCAAATTCACCCAAGAGAGCTTTCTAATTGGCTTTTCCGGGTTAGTATATGTTGCGCTTAAGATAAGAGGCGTAATAAAAGTTATGGAGGTAGCAAGACCTTCCCCGGCTGTCAACATCAATGTTTATGTTATACATGAATTTCACAGCTTGGAAATCATCAATATCGACACCATGATTCTTAAATAAGTGAAGGATAGATGTTATGGAACCAGAGTCAAAAAAAAGAAAATCAATATTAAAAGGCTCAGTTCTACTCGTTGTGTCTTGTTTGCGATTGATTTTTTTTTTTTTTTTTTTTTTTTTTTTTTTTTTTTCAAATATCAGAGTTGCAAGCGAGAACAATGTGGCTAACCAAATCGTCATAAGGTTCAATGTTATTAATGATAATTTAAGCGCATTTTTTACGTCTTTTGATCGACATTGACTTGAATAGAGCAGTTTCTGTAGTCTCCGCTTGGCATTCTAAGATGGAAGCCCTGTCGGACCCTCAGTGGTGGTTAGAGTCATCAGGGTTTTTGCACTTGTAATTACGGTTGCTGTTACGGCAGGAAAGCTTTCGGTTGTGATTGTTATTGTTATTGTTACTGTTATTGTCATTGTCATTGCCAGGTAGCCCTGCCCATTCTTTAGCAAAGCTGTGGTTATGTAATTGATAGAGTTACAAAAACTATCAAGTTCCCCACTTTCGATGCTGCTATGGTTGTCGAGAAGGTAAATACTGTTTGTTAAACTTGGACTTGTGGGCAACAAAAGTATCACATTTCTGTATGGACATTGTTAATTTAGCTGCTTCAAACCCTCCTTTCCTTATTAGTGGAACACTTGTTCATGTTTCTGAAATATTTAATTGCCAAGTTCATGATTTTTTTCAAACAAGGAATCAGGTGACATGGATTTCTGATAAATTTTCCAAATTTTGTAATGTTAACCTTTTCGGTAGTAAGTCAGTGTAGAATTGATTATCGAACTTATTAATTACAATGTTTATGAAAAAAAAGTTCATGACTTATAGTCGACATTTGCTGTGAGAGGTTCAATAGATGGGAGATGGCTTCTATAACTAACCGGGACAACAAGAAAATTGAGGTTGCTAGGTGGTTTGATAAGGTGGTTAAAGCCTGGAAGGTTTAGGGGGGACCGAGAAGTTTTTGATTCCAAACTTAATGATGATGATCTTAAGAATTTCACTGCACCTTGCCAATTGTACGCTAGCAAAATGAAATCCTTATTAAGCATTTCACAAACTCTTAATAACGGTTTTTTCTTCATTTTCAACACGTTAATAAGCGTTTGTACAATCTTTAACAAAAAGAGTCCTAAATGCTTAAATCATAGTATTTAATGTATTATTATGATACTTAAACACTTTATTAACAATCATAAAGGCTACTATTGGCATGGAGGTGGGCTGGAAAATATTAACAAGTCTGAAAAAAAAAGTGAGCTTTTTGGTACAAATTATATAAATATTCGTATATACGAACTAATTTTTACCATATATGGTAAAAAAAACACTTTTTTTTTTTGTTAGGACACAATTGGCAAAGTGGTAGTGGGAGTTGAAAGTTTCTTGGTTTTCCATGATATGAATGATAATTATTAAATTATAATTTTTTCTTGATCAATGAATGGGCTTGGCATCTGTGCATATATTTTTCAAAAGACTCAACTGAAAAAAGTTCTTCCGTTTCGTAGACAAACTTCACTGGTTCCTGTGCGTTTGTGAATACGTATTCTTATGCCAGAGTCGTAACTCTACCACCATTCACTATGCGGTTAGGGCACCGAAGACAAGAAAAAGCAACACTAGAACATTATGGTATGTGTAATGCTCTTTTTACTGTGATTAGCAGCATGGTGGAAAATACTCATAACACCTAGTTATAGCGATGTGTTTTAGTCGAAATACGCTATTTCCACACATATATTAAACTACCAAGATTTAAATATTTTTTTTAAATTTATTTTGTAGTTGTAGAGTAGAAAGAAGGAGTTTATATATATATATATATATTTATGCACCTGGAATTTAACCAAAAAAAAAAAAACAAAAACAAAGGTAAAAGAAGTCATCGATGAAACGGCTTTTGCAAGGTTTATGGTGAAGGGCACGGCAGAGACATCCTTTTATTCTTTACCACGGTACGTTAAAGCCTTTTAAAAAAAGTAGAGCTATTCTTTGGTTTGTGCAGAAGGTCGGATTTGATATTCCGCTGTTCTTCCAGCTCTTAAAAGAGATCTACATAGCGGATAAAAAAATCTAACAATTGAACCTTGTAAAGACCCAAATATATATTAAAACACACATAGAAACTTTAATATACCTATATAATATAATTGAAGAATGGGGGTTTAGACGAGATCGGCAAACCTTGAAAGAAAATAATAGACTTTGTAGAAAAGGAGGAAAAAGATGTTTTTGATTGGAATGAAAAAAAAAAAAATAAAAATAAAAGAAAAAAAAAAGAGAAGGACGACAAATAATTTGAAAAAAAGTATCATGACTAAACGTAGTCTACCCAAACGGAATGGTGTGAAAAAGTGTAGAAAAAAAAAAGAATCATCCAATATTTGATAAAAATAAACAGACCTAACTAGTCAATTGTTAGTAATATCTATCTAATTTTAAAAAAAAAAAATCGAGCTTTAAACCAAGATGATCTTGATTGTGTTAGAATATACTCGAATGTTGGTTGAAAATGTTATAATTTTAATAACAAATTGTGCTTTTAAAAAAGCGTTAAGTCTGCCCACCAAAAAAATAAAAAAATAAAAAATGGGCGAAAATGATAACAATATTGTTTGTAAAGATGTTAAAGAAACAAACAAACTCTATTAGATACTTTTTTTTTTTTTTTTATATATATTTATCTTCATATCTTCATATCTTCATAAAAAAAAAAAGTACCGAGATTTCTCACATGAGCGGAACAAGTTCATTCTCATATATATATATATTCGGATACGTATGATATACCACTAAAATATTATTGAGTTCTCACAAGCGGACCTAATTACTCTGATTGGCCTTGACACAGGCTTGTCTTAAAACGCTCTAAACAAACCTTACAAAGAAAATATCGTCATGGGTTCCTATATATATATATGAATATAGTCTTCTTTCGTGTTTCAATTCTCTAGAAGAAGAAAGGAAATAAATAAATAAATAAATCAAAAATTCTGAATTCGTCTTTGTTCTTCTTGGACTTTCCATCACATTTCATCTCACACCCAGCACCCCACAAATAAATTTATTAAAAATCACTCCACCTTTCTTCTCCGCGGGTCCACTTAGACTATAAAAATACACACAAAGGGTCTCTTTCTCTCTTCTTAATCAACAACTTTTTCCCTTTCAACTTCTTCAACTTCTTCTTCCTTTTATTTTATTTTATTTTAAAAAAAAATACACAATCTGCCTCTACTTTCAATCGGTATTATTAAATAATATTTCCTTTTAATAAATAAATAAAATATATATATCCCTCAGTTTTATAAAACAATGTCTGAAAAAATACATAATCCTGTTCTTGATTCAGTTCCTGGCCAAAAATCAAAGGCACATGACATTGACGCTGAAATCAATGACTTGAACCACAGTATTGCCACAGCAATCATGCTCCTTAAAACAACTCTACCGGACCGTCTTCGCTCGCTTAGTGCTCCCGACGCTCTCCATGATGCAACCTCCAATAAGGAAACACACGTCGCAAAATACCAGCGTCATTTGAAGGATGCCCGCAACTCAATTGACCCTAAGGACCTTGTTTTAAGCTACGTCGATACTACCATTGGCTACCTTGACCAAAAACTTGATCTTTTTAAACGCCGCCATCAATTATTTGCAAACCACAATTCCTACGTCCATGAATCCCCAGAGTTTACTCATAACCCTGCCTCCCACTTTATAGATAGCGTTTCTTCTCTCCCTGAAAAGGACTTTTTCCGTCTTTTCCGCGTCAAGCCTTCCACCTTTAAGGTCCTGGTTGCTTGGCTCCAAAGCAATACTTCCATCCAATCTGGTAAGGAGCACATCCTCACTCCTGAGCTCAAGGTCGCCCTCTTCCTCTACATTGTCGGCCATAATGCTACTTATCACCAAGTCCATGAACTCTTCCCTTTGGCTCTGTCCACAATTGAGACAGCCTACCATCATGTTACTGAATGCCTCCTAGAAGTTGCCCCATCTCTTATCACACCAGAAGACTACTCTCCCGGTAACATGTTTGACTCTTACCGCAGCGACCCTAATTTTTACCCATATTTTCAAAACTGTGTGGGTACAATAATTACTCGCTACATTAAAAGTCCCCTAAAGGCTACCAAGGCCCTCTACGTCCTTGATCTCGAAAACCGTGTTGTCTTTTTGCACCTTGACGCAGACTTGGATAAGCCTTCTCTTACCATTTATCAAGAAGCAATCAACTCTGGCAAGCTTGTCATTCCTCCTGGGAAGTATCTTCTTGGCCCCCACAATTTCCGTTGCACAAACGGCGTTTTGTCCCCATACCTTAGTGTAACTCCTTCTCGAGAAAGTCATATTGAGCAAGAAAGTAGCCCTGCTTTTGAGACTGAAAGAGAGCTCTTTAATCACATTTCTGAAAAGTTTTTGGAAAAGCGTGCCTTATTTGACACTCTGCTCATCCACCGCTTCCACATTTTGCGCGCAGGTGCCTTGCGTCAAACCACTCTTGACGAGGATTCCCTTTTCACTGTCATCTTGGCTCTCAATAATATTATCCACCACTACGATTTGCCTCTGCTACAACTTGGCCAGTGGATCTCTGAGGAAGAGGGTATCCGCACTGTTGAGGCTGCTCCTGTTGAAAAAGATACTGATGGGGACGCTGAGATGGAAGATGACGAATCCTCTATCCCCGTTTATGAAATCACTGAATTTGCTGCTCCTGATGCTGAATATAGTCTTTGGGCATTGAGAAAGCACATTGCTGATACTATGTGGCGCGAATATCTTGCCGAGACTGCGTAATTTTTTATTTTCTTTTTGTATCTTTTTGTATAAAATGCCTCTAATTTGGTTTTTTTTTTTTTTTTGTAATGTTGTATTTATGGTGTAAAATTTAATAATTTGTAAACATTTGCGTTAATTATAATTAACTAATTAGTTTAATATTTACGTTAATTTAAATATGGGTTTGGGTTTGTCGTGTGACATTACACTGTTCAAATATCTCTGTAACTTATAATTTTTTTTTTTTATTTTTTTTTATTTTATTTTTTTTTTTTCAAAAATTAAGTCTGAAAAAAAAAAAAAAAAAAAAAACCTCACTCTCTCTCGGCAGACAAAAGTCGTCGTCCACTCTTCTTTCCCTTTATTCCGGCCTTTACTCTATTTCTTCATATTCACATTTTTCATATATAAACGGACCCATATCCGTCTCATAATCCGGAGCATTTCTACCTATTCTTAATTCTTATCTTTTCATTTGCCCCGGATTCCCCTCCTTCATAGTCCCTCTCATTGTTCCCCTTCGTTTTCCCACGTATTCATCTTACTTTTTCATCCCTACTCTCATTTTAGCTTGCACTCCAACTTTGCGCGCGCAAGCCACCCTCAACTACCCACAAGTCCCTTTTCTATTCCAAGATTCTGCCCCAAGATACCCCGCCGGTGTCGCATGAGCCTGCGACTACCGTTGCGATCCATCGCATGGCCACTTCACCTCTCTCTACCCTGGCCCCTAAGGATCGTTTCTATGCTCACCTTACTGATTCGCAAATCAACGCGGCTGCCGGTGCCGTTGCTGGTGTCTTTTCCGCGCTTGCAGTTTGTCCACTAGATGTGGCCAAAACAAAACTCCAGGCTCAAGGTGGTATGCTTTCGCTCCAGAAACATTACGCCGGCACTCCTCCGGAATCAGCTTCTTTATCACCCCAAAACACACCAAACGCTCAAACTCCTATTCCCCAGCGACATTTGTCAGCAACCTCAGTAGCAGCAAAAGCAGCAGCAAAAGCAGCAACAGCAACAACTGCACCTAAAGCTACATACCCTGCACCTTATGTCCCCAAGTATCACGGAATTCTGGGGACTCTTTCCACAATTGTACGCGAAGAAGGAGTCGCTGGACTGTATCGTGGTGTCGTTCCCATCACTATCGGCTATTTACCAACATGGGCAATCTATTTTGTTGTCTACGAAGACGTCAAAAAGCTCACAGAAAAGCCACTGGCCAACTACCCATTTTTTGCACATATGGTTTCTGCTTTATCAGCAGGATCTTCTTCAACACTGGTCACTAACCCCATCTGGGTCGTTAAAACACGACTTATGACCCAGTCTAAGGGCCACAATAAGTATAAGGGCACCATTGATACCTTCCACAAAATGTTTATGGAAGAAGGTATTCTTTCATTCTACGCTGGCCTGGGCCCCGCGCTTCTTGGTCTGTTGCATGTCATGGTCCATTTCCCTCTTTACGAAGAGCTCAAAAAGGTTTTCCACGTTGACGACAATGTTCCCAAATTGCATCAAGCTCCGCAGATTCTATGTGCATCTGTCATATCCAAAATTTGCGCTTCCACTTTGACCTACCCCCACGAAGTTATTCGCACCCGCGTGCAAATCCAGCCCACCATCATAGAGGAAAGTGGCGCGCCGGGTTGCTCCTCATCTTCCGATTCGGGAAAATTCATGAAGAAACGTAATACGTCTCTTATGAAGTATCATGGCATCATTCAAACCACAAAAACAATTTGGCGTGAAGAGGGATGGCGTGCGTTTTATTCTGGTCTGGGAATCAATATGTTCCGTACTGTCCCTGCTAGTGCTTTGACTCTTTTGACCTATGAAGTCGTTGCAAGTTATTTAAAGGACAAACGCAACCATATTATCAGGAGTCTATGATGTACGAGTCTGTGATGTGTCTTAAAATATTCTTTTTTTTTGTGTGTTTTTATTTATATAAAATGGTTTTAATTGATAGACGTTTATTAGCAAAGAAATTCTAAATTTTTTTTTCAGTGTGGCACGAGAGTATCGAATACTGGACATATACTGAAGTAAGGTTAAAATAAATTTTCCCAAAATAGTTTCAAATATAAAGTAGATGAGTGGATAAAAAGATGAATCTTTCTCGAGGAATTTCAAATTTTTTTTTCTTGAGCAAATATTAACGTTGCAATATTGCTAAAATCACTTTTAAAGTTGCTCAAGAAAGTTTTTTTTGGAACCGCTCACCCTTCAAAGCTTCAAACTGTGGTGATGCGTATGTAATCTTAGGCAGTGTCAGAATCTCAGTCAATCTTCCATACTGCATAGTCCCGACACGAGTTACTGGTCGCAGCCCGACCAAATCAATTGCACCTGGATCTTCCTTATTATCCACTAGGTCGGCGCGTGCGTGCACCCGCACAACTTCTAGAAGAAATACGTCTCCAGATTCACGTGTCGGGTCGGCGCGGCTTTGAATCGGAATTGCAGTGTGAACACGGGTTTCAAAAGACACAGCGCTTTCGAGAACGTGGGGGGCTTTAACTAATTCACTAGGGACTTGCGTGAGTCCCGCAAGAGGCCATTCGGAAACTTCTTCGGGGGCATTTGTGCTCGAGGCATTTGCAGCCCTATGTTGGGAAATGAGAAAGAAAAAAGTTAAAATTGAGAATATTAATAAAAAAAAAAAGACTTCCATAACTTTGGCAAATTCAGCATTTGACTCTAATGCTATTTTTGAGGGCTTTATTCTTACTTACTCCACAAACCATTCCGAAATAATGTTGACGGTTGCTTCGCCAGTTTCAAGTAAGTTACGGGCAGTGTTTTTGTACTTGCCCGTGCTTTTAGTGGTTCCAACAACAAGCATAAGCGGGTCATAGCCCACAACACCAAAATAGCTATACGGTGCGAGGTTATGGTTTCCACTCTTGGAAACCGTTGCCATCAAACCAATCTGCGGCTGTTAGTGACAATGTTTATGGAACCCCATTTTAAAGGGAAGGAGGGGTATGGGATGTTTGTGTTTTACACATAATAATGGAGACACAAAAAGTTAAAAAAAATGAAAAGCCGCACCAAACTAATACTCACGGGCTTAGGGGCTAGAGCTGTCACTGTCAACAGATAATTGTTGATCGGGTTACGACCAGCACCATAAGGATCAAAAGATATTTTTTTGTGCTCATCCCAAGGTGCTGAAAATTCTGGAGTTTCATTTACAGCACCATCACCTAGTTTCCATTCCGGATGTGGGGTTTCATATTCAGTCAATCTTTCTTCGGACTTAAATTTGAGCAAAGTTTTTCCGGAGTTTGAGAACGACGAGGTGGAAGAAGATTTAGTAGACATGGTGCGTGAAAAAAATAAAGATCCTCTTTTAAATAAATAAATTTGTTTCATTTTTTTCAGATTTTCTTGATTTACCAAATACCAACAAAAAATATATATTCATTAAAAAAACCAATGTGATTTTTTACCCTTATTATATTTGATCATATCAATCTCCGGATCGATTGATTAATCACATTTTTGAAAAAAATCTAAAAAAAATTATGTTTATCTGAATCTTTATCCGAAGTTGGTAACGGCCGTTAAAATTATTTTTAAAGACCCTTTGGTGGAACATCTTTCAAATTAAACCGAAATTCTTCAATGTCAGGATTATTCTTATGGGTAGCTTCGGATCGTAAAAGCTTAGACATCGGATAGTAGCCATTAGTATGGGTTAAATTTTAACCATTATGTAATAAGAGCAATATCTTATGTAATATATATATAAATATTTCAAAATCCAAACGCTAAATCATGCATATTTCCTGTATTTTTAACGAAAGTATTTCAAGTCAGCGATCCAGAAAGAGTGGTCAAATAACAGCCAAAATGCCAAAAACTATTTGAAATCTCATCCATTAATTACACTTTTGAATTTTTAATCTCTACTTGACAACAATACGAGCGTCTTTCTAATGTTTTCTAATATAACCATTAAAACAACAAAAAATGTCATTCAGGACGATTTTCAAATAGATTTCTATTGATTCTAGTTTTCCATCCGTAGAAATATTTGAGTTAAAAAATCCAAGTTATTGATATCATTAAATAAGGTTACTTTAAGTCAAAAATAAATCAGAAATCTTTAATAAAAACCCCCAATTAAACTATTTTTAAATCTTTATGTACAAACCATAAGTGAAAATTCCACAAGCTTTTGTATTCCATGACTTTTCCTCAGAAGCTTTGAAATCCTACAGTTTTTTAGTTACTTAAATTCAAAAAAAATCAAACAGGAAATACAAAAACTGAAAGTAATTTTCTTTTAATTGTCTGATAATCTTTTCGGTATTTAAAAAAATATGATAATCAGCGAATGGCCTAAAAAAGTTATCAAAAAAAAAAATTAAACCAAACAGAAAATGCTACATTTGAAGCATAAGTTCTAATTATGGTTATGGACTCCATAATATGGAGAAAAAAAATGAAATTGAATAAACGTCCTTATATTGAAAATAAGCCTATTGCTTTAATTTCTTTTAACCCTAACCTTCTTTGCCTTCGTTCCCTAAACATGGCTTGTTCGCATAAAGTGTAGAGACATCAGCATAACTCTTACTTTAGTATTAAATATGATCTTATAAGATAAAGTCAATTCTAGTATTAACCATTAATCGATCTTCAGATTTTTTATGATATAATTGAAACGTTTCCTATTCCCTCTTTTAAAAAATAATTGGTCATAAAGAAGTATATCAATCAAAGGGTTAGGGTTTGCTTTTTTTTTTTTTTTTTTTCAACACCTCCAAAAACTTTTTTTTTCACAATTCTTTTCACTAACTAAATTATTTTCCAAAAAATTTTCTAAAAAGAAAACGCGTTTTATTTATTAACTTCTACAATATAATGTCTGAACAAATTCAATCTTTTGCTGAGACTCAGCAAATAACTTCGGCTCCTGAGATTGCTTCTGTCCCTGTTACTGAGGCTGCCACAGATATTGTTATGGATTCTGATAAGAAAGTACGTATTGCCACAGACTTTTATGATTGTTTGTTTTCTAACAGTTATTCCCAGGAAGAAGAAGATGTCGATTTGATGAAAGCCCGATTGAAAGAGCTTGAAGTTGAGGCCGAACGGCTACAAGCTATGCAAGCTGAACTTCAGAAAGAGAGCCAGGATCTTGCCGCTGAGGATAAGAAAGACATCGATGCTCGCAGTATCTATGTTGGAAATGTTGATTACGGCACTACTCCCGAAGAGCTCCAAGCCCATTTTCAGTCCTGTGGTACTATTAACCGCGTCACCATTGTTTGTGATAAGTTCTCGGGTCACCCTAAGGGTTTTGCTTACATTGAGTTTGCTGAACCTGCACTTGTCCCTCAAGCACTTGTTCTCAACGACTCAGTTTTCCGCGGCAGACCTTTAAAGATTGTTCCCAAAAGAACTAATTTGCCATCATTCATGCTTAGAGGCCGTGGCGGCTTTGGACCGCGTGGTCGTGGTGGTCGTGGTGGCTACTTTGGTCGGGGTGGCGGCTACCGAGGTGGCTTTCGCGGCAGAGGCAGAGGCATGAGTCCTTATTAAAAGAAATAAAAGCAGCTACAAGCGACAACGACGTTATGAAGTGAGATTCAACACTCATAAATCTACAACCATGTTATTTATGAGTCGACATCCACGACCTACTCAATTAATGACCAAAAATTCAATAATGATTTACTCTATTTCTTAAAAAGATAAGAAAAAAGAAGAAAAGAAGAGAATGAAAAGAAAAAAGTTAAATAATGAAGATTAAAAAGAAAAAAAAATAAGAAAAAAATAAGAAAAAAAACAATGATAGAAAAAAAAAGAAAAAAGCTAATGATTGATGATTAATGATTAAGAAAAGATAACTGATAGAATTAGGATTTATTTCCTTTTGTTATTTTTTTAAAAAAAGAAAAAAAAAAACATGTTGACGAATGTAACGTAAATGAGATTGACTACCCGTTCATGAAAGTCTACCATAAAATGGCGGATTCCTTCAAAGGAACATGGATTTACACCTGTGTTTTGAAATGAACGCTACTTGAAGGAAGCCAGACACTTGATTAGGATGTCTCTGGCTCCGTTGATGTCACTACCCCCAGTATTCGAGATTGGTTGTGCGTTTAAGGTGCCCGGTCATCATCCAACCTTTTTCACCAAGGAATTCGCGTCGCCATGAAAAGCTAAATTTTCCAGTTCCAACAGATTGCCTTGCAGGAGGAGTGCTGGCACTTTGTCGGGGAGCCGGTGATGCAGGAGGTGGTGGAAATGAGGATGGAAGTCGACTCAAAAGTTCTGCATGCGCATTCGTATTTGAGCTTTTTGCAGCTTCATTTTTTGCAAAAAAATCTGGGTCATGCTGAACAAGGTATGCAAATTGCCAGATTTCCTTCGGCATAAGTGCCGGAGAATCCATGTTTGTTAAGTACAAACTCACATTGGAATCTTGTAACGTTGAATAGACTTGGTCTTCCTCGTCGTCTTCAAATGCATCGTGTACCTCTTCGTTTGGCACTTCGAGAGGTCGTGAAATCCATCCTGCGGGTGCTACAAACTCCGCAGTTTCGATGGTAACAGTAGTGTCAGTCGCATTTTCCACTCGTGTTTCTAGTAGGTAAGTGTCGTGAGCAACAGATGTTATTTTAGTGCCCACGTTAAACCCTGCAGCTGTAGTGAATCTGTAATTTTTTGTATATGTGATTGGTGCCGCCAATGCAACGGCCACCAGCCCTGAACCATGTTTAGGAGCTGAAGAAGTTGTTCCTTCACCAACCGAATTGTCGACCTTTTCGTCTTCGGGTAGTTGGATTGGAGTGTAGGTGACTGAGGCAGAAATAGTGTGAACGCCAACATCAGCTGTTTCAAATTCAACAATATACTGTTTGTTCCCTCCAGGAACTAACACAAATGTAGAATCCGGATGAGTAGGATGAATCAGTGAAACAGACTGTTCACGAGTAGGGGTGGTTACCGAAACAGATACTGTTACCGAAAGATTTGGGCTTTCGGCTACGTTTGCTGGTACTTCAGAGTGAAGCGATAGAATTGCTCGAAATGTCTCGCCCACGTAAAGATTGCCAAAGTTTGCAGGAAGCGTTAACAAAGGAGACACATCAGGAAAACTTGGAGATGCTTCATTTACACTGAAAGAAAGTTCACCAAGATCTTGGTCAATAGTCTCAAGCCCTCCATTTCCTAGATCAATAGGCAAGCGTGGTTGATTAATTCGAGGTCGAGAAAGCCGCAGGATCTAAAGCAAAGTTAGAATGTTTGCAAATAACTCAAAAATCAATTTACAAATTTACCTTTAAAGAGACCAAATGAGATCTAGGAGCATATGGAATAGAACCAGAAACACCACCAGAGTGGCTCATACTCAATGGATAATTTTGCTGAGATGGAGTTGATTGTAGTGCGGCCATTATGTATATGGAGCAAAAATAATGAGTGAAACCAGAGAGGCAAGCTATCAAGGGTGGTAATCCCTAACCCAAGATTATACTAGAAACTATCATCATCACGTCACGTGGATTTGTCAATGTGTAATTTCCGCTCTTGAAGGTGGACAGAAAGTGGCGATCTCCAAAACCAACATCAGTAACTACGCGCCTTCACAACTGGCATAATAATGGCATCTTACGAAGGTATGATTCCCTAGTCCCCTAGATACTTTAAATTATATTTTTTTTATTTTTTCGAATTAACACTCTTGTAGAGGACCACAATATTTCTACTTCTTCGCAGACAACTTCTGCTAACTCTGCTCAATCAGCTCCACAGATAAACCCCAATTTTACTTCTTTTTTTAATTTAGATCGCGATGGCGATGACCACACAGAAGGTCGCCACCGTACACTTCAAAGTTTTCTTGAAGAAGAATCTGAAAACGGTTTAAATGATGAATCATACCGTATGCGTGTAATAAGCGCTTTAACTGGACTTGGACAAACATCTGATCTTGCTCAGCAACTTGCAGACCAACTCAGACAGGAAGCTGGTGGAAACACAATTCAACTACCACGTCAGGCATTGAATGGCGAAGATATACTAGCTCGTTTAAGTGCTTCTGTATCTCCGTTTGAAGAAGAATCTGGGGGTTCCCAAGGCGTAACCCAGGAATTTTTGGATCGTCTTGATCGAGTATCTAAAAAGTCTTTAAAACCAGATGATGCATGTCCAATTTGCACTTCAAAGTTTCTCGATGATAAATATCCTCTTGTTGTGAATCTACCATGTAACATTAAGCATCGATTTGATCTTGAATGCGTGGGTCCTTGGCTTAAGCTACATGCTACATGTCCTTTATGTCGAACGGACTTTTTGAAGAAAAAGGAACCCCCAGTTCCACAAGAAGATGACGAAGAAGAAGATTACGATGATTTTTATAGTTAATTTATATTCACTACAATTTGGACCCGGTCAGTCCCGCACGCTTGAGCGCTGCAATCTCGTTAACAAAACTGGTATTCAATGTTGACTTCTTGGCTCGTTCCATAAGTGTTTCATAAGGAAGACCATTATAATTTCCGAGAGCGGTGTTTAACTCATAATCAGTAAAGCCAAATGCATCTGTAAGCGCAATTACGTGGGGCGCAATTTGTTTAATTTCTTGTTGCAATGCATCCCGCAACGGTCTTATTGAATAAGCGTTGATGTGCGAAAACTCGAGAAGCGAAAGAGCAACATTATCATCTACCAAAAACTTATATGCCAAAATGCGAGCAAGACGCAAAACAATGTCACGAGTTGCTGGGTCGTTAATGTTGGCAGCGCCACGGATATATTGGGTAATGATAAACTGTTCACCAAACGCAAAACTAACAGCTGATCCCAAATGTGGGCGGTCTTTGGGATCAGTAGATCTTGTTGCCATTACAAAATCCGATACAAGCGACGTTGTACGCTTTTCAAAAAGCTCAATAATATATTCGTCATTTGCAAGCCATTCTTCTACTGTCTTTGGACTTGAAATACCTTGTGTGGCGCCAGGACCGTGCGATGCATCTAGACCCATACGATCGATATACTTGATCAAGAACTGTGAAGCTGGGAAAAGATTTTTTGCCGCTGCTTTCTTGCCATGCTCGAGAATGTAGACATATTGTTTTGCTAAAGCATTGGCTGTTTGTTGCGCGACAACATAATTTTCGCCTTCAAATGTTTGAGCAGGGAGTGCGTTTCCGTAAAGAGTTGAAAGCCCAGAATGGTATGAAAAGCCATGGCCACCCATAAGGATCTGACACTGTTCAATGGAACGGGTGCATTTCATTGAAATGACCCCCTTTATTGAAGATGTGATAACATGTACCTCTGGGAGTAACGCGTCACTACCTTGGCCCACCAGTTGATCCATCATTTTCAAGTAAGATGTTTGAACACCATCATAAATAAACCCAATAGAGTGTGCAAGAGCGACAAAAGGCACAAGACGAGAATAAACAGATGAGTACTTAACAACTTGAACTTCCTTGGTCTTATCATTATTGTCGTAGAATTGACGTCGAATTGTAAGGTATCGAGAAGCTATCGTAACGGCCTTGCAAAGTGGAAGCCCTAAACTGAAAGGATATCCTGCTCGTAAATTTGTCATAGACGCATACATAACTTTGGGATTACCAGTTAAAACGTAACGGGCACCTTTTGGATCAGTGGTATCAATTGAAGTGAATCTGCTAAGTAGATTAGAAGCTGGGATTCGGACATTGTCTAATGCTAAAAATCCATTGTCGATGATTGAAAATCCATTTGCAGCCTTGGGACCAATGTCACCAACAGTGACGCCAGGGAGAGGTTCACGTGTGGTTGGATTTCGGATAGGAACAATGAACATGTGTGGCCCTAAGTACTTGTACTTGGAGCGATCCGTAGACTGTGGATCGTCTTTGGGTGGGAAGTACAGACTGGCTTGAACAGCAGCATGGTCCGCTGTTACACCAAGACCACCGATCCACCACTTTCTTGCAGTCAATGGCTCACTTGAACACAAGACAACATGTTTAAGTTTCGGGTCGTAGAAGGCTTTGGTTTGTAAAGCACGTACGTTGGATCCATGGCCAAGTTCAGTTTGTGCATAACAACCAATGACTTCGTGAGTATCACACTTTGGCAACCATTCTTTGCCCTGTTCATCTGATCCAATTACCTTTATAACATATTTGAAAGCCGAGTTATGAAGCGAGGTAGGAAACTTGTCACCAAATATATTGGTCATCGTCCCATTAAGTTCCTGAAGAGTCCAGGAGTGCTTCTTCGATAACTCAAGAATCTTTGTAGTTACCCGGAAAGAGTAGCGGAACTGATCTTCTCTGGACAGTTCGCGGTACATGTACCGATCCTGTAAAATAGGCTCTTTTTCTAAAATCTTGACAATTTCATTGATACGTCTCCGAGGAATGTCGTGCTTGTAAAGATTGTTGGCAAGAATTTCTGGATCAAACAAGCCATTACTGGCCGCTCGTGCTTCTATTAATTCAAAAGACATTCTAATAAGGGAATTTTTGTAAAGATGAGGAGGGGTTGTTAGAAATAAAAAGAGTAGGCTCTTATTTGGTATTTATATATTTATATAAATAAAACAATAAAACAACATTTTCCTCGGCTCAAAAATACTGTGCGGGGAATATTTTTCTTTTTTTTATACACTATTTAAAGTTTTGACAGTGGTTTTGAAAGGCCTGCCTTTTTCAACTCTGCAATTTCGTTCTTAAAGCTGGTGCTATTTAAAGAGGATTTATTGGCACGCTCGACAAGTTTTTCATAAGGATTTCCGTCATAGTTTCCAAGTGCACTGTTTAGTTCATAGTCTGTGAGTGCAAAGGCATCTGTCAAAGCCACCACATGAGGAGCAATCTTTACAATCTCTTGTTCTAAAGCCTCGCGCAAAGGCCGGAGAGAATGTGCACCAAGGTGTGAAAACTCAATCAATGATAAGGCTGCATTATCATGGACAAGCATCTTCAAGGCAACAATGCGTGCCAAACGAGATGTGATATCGCGAGTGGAAGGATCGCGAATTTCGGCAGCCCCGCGAATATACTGGGTAACAATGTACTGTTCGCCAAATGCAAAACTTACAGCAGCCGAAATATGAGGGAGGTCTTTGGGGTCCTTAGTTTTAGCTTCAGAAACAAGTTGGCTAACTAAAGAAGCGGTACGCAATTCGTACAGTTTGATCAAGTACTCGTCATTGGAAACCCATTCTTGAGCCGTTTTAGGACTATTTGTTTTTGAATTTGTATCAACATTTATCAAGAACTGGGCAGCAGGGAAAAGCTTCTTGCGAGCAGCTTCTTTACCATTCTTGAGAGTGTAAAGGTACAACTTTGAAAGAGCACCAGCAGTTTGTTGGGCGACAACATAATTCTCGCCTTCAAATGTTTGTGAAGGTAAGGCATTGCCATAAAGTGTCGAAATACCTGAGTGGTAAGAAAACCCGTGGCCACCCATAAGTATTTGACACTGTTCGATTGCTTTGGTAAAATGCATGGATATTACACCCTTGATGGATGAGGTAATTATATGGACCTCAGGAAGAAGAGAATCATCGCCATTGTCAATAAGCTTTTGTAACATTTCAGTAAAGCCAGTTTGAACTGCATTTGAAACAAATCCAGAAGAGTGAGCTAGGGCCACAATAGGAACAAGGCGATTATAAACAGAGGAGTATTTGATAACTTGAGTCTCCTGTTCTGATGACTTTTCAGAAAATTGACGACGAATAGTCAGGTATCGAGATGCAATTGTCACAGCTTTAGTCAACGGTGATCCCAATGTCAAAGGATATCCTGCACGCAAATTCGTCATCGAAGCATACATTACTTTGGAGTTACCTAATAGTACATAACGTGCACCCTTTGGATCAGATGTATCGATCAGAGTAAATCTGTTGAGCATATAATTGACGGGAATTTGAACATTTTCCATTGCCAAAAATCCATTATCGGTCAATGAAAAGCCATTAGCAGCCTTAGGTCCAATATCACCTACAGTGATACCGGGGAACGGCTCCCGAGTCTTGGGATCTCTGATAGGGACAATGAAAATGTGCGGGCCCAAATAGGTGTATTTGGAGCGATCAGTACAATTTGGATCATTAGATGGAGGAAAATATAAATTGGCTTGAACAGCAGCATGGTCTGCCACAACGCCTAACCCTCCAATCCACCATTTGCGAGCCGTGATTGGGTCGTTGGAGCAAAGAACAATTTTTTTAAGCTGAGGGTCGTAGAAGGCCTTGGTTTGCAAGGCACGTACATTAGATCCGTGACCAAGTTCTGTCTGGGCGTAACAGCCAATTACTTCATGGGTATCACACTTTGGCAACCATTCTTTGCCCTGTTCATCTGATCCAATTACCTTTATAACGTATTTGAAAGCCGAATTGTGAAGGGTAGTGGGAAGATATTCACTATAGATAAGTCCCATTGCACTCATAAGCTCGTTTTCGTTCCATGAATGACGTCTTGCGAGTTCCAACATTTTGGCAGAAGCTTTAAATGCGTACCGAAACTGGTCAGGACGTGAAAGCTCACGAAACATGTAGCGATCCTGGAGTTCAGGTTCTTTTTCCATGATTGTAACCATCTCATCATAACGAGATCTGGAAATGCCTTGCTTATAAAGTATGTTTGTAAGTTCCTGTGGATCAAAAAGCCCCTTGCTGGCATTGCGAGCCTCAGTAAGTTCAATTGACATGTTTGTTAAAGATAAAGATAGAGATAAAAATAGAAATTAAAGTAAATTGGTTTTTAAATAGATGTTAATATTATCAAAAAGCATATATTTTAAAAGAAATTATGATGGGTTTTTATCTAAAATTAAAATTGCGGGGAAATTTTCTTTCAAAAGCTGGGGTACCATAATACTTTATAAAGTAACTTCTTTAACTAATTAGCTGAAAATCAGTCGGAAAGTCCTCGGATGGTTTGACTGTGAGGAGGTGGGGTATTTTTCACAAAATATCAATCCCACATTTTTTTTTATTCCGTCTTATCCTTCATAACCACTTTGGGCAGTTTTATATTTTGTTTTAGGCCCAGAAAGACTGGGAGGAGCCAGGATCTCGTCTTTACTTCCATCATTTCCTCTAGTCCCCGCACTGCCGCCAGCGCCAGCGTCACGGCCTCCATTACTTGCACGGTCCTTGAAGTCGCGTTGCCGCATGGCTTTTCTAACTATTTGGCCTAAACGTGAATGTTCAGCGTGGCTTGATCCTAGTAGCCTCGGCTTGGACCATGCAATTCGCAGTTTGCATCCATTAATTACAAGCTTGCCAGCTGGTGCAGGAACAGAGCTTGCAGCAGCTTCAGCGCCTGCGCGGTTAGCGAAATTTATAAACCCGCAGCGAGCTCTATGAATGCACACTATACTAGAAATGGCACCATATTTTGAAAAGTAGTCACGAATAGCATATTCCGGTAAATCATCTTCAATTCCCATAATGAAAAGAGAGGTAATAGAAGTATCTTTGGGGGGAATATTATTTCCATTAAGTGGCAGCTTGGATGCAATTTTACCCACATCTTGAACCAGCGCTTTGTTATTTACCGGTGCAGGATCCACATTCTGCTGCTTATGTTTTAAATGTCCCGGAGTATTTTCAAGTGATGGGTATTGTCTCTTGTAGTATGGCATTGCGGTAGCTAGGTGTTTTAGTAGATTTTTTGCGCCTTCTGATTCCTCCATTAAACGCCTTCGTTCCTCATCCTCCAAATCATCCGTAGTACTTCCATTGTTATATTCAAAATTCTGTGCAATATATTGCCTTATAATTGCATTTGACATATTGCTCGATGTATTCGTAGTTGAATCACCACTACTTGAAATCATCTTGAGCGCTGTATCACGAATGTGTAGCGGTAGTCCATACGTTAGATCGAGCATACACGACTGACAGCAGTTCTTTTGACGTGCGCAAGTCAAGCATATACTTGTCTTTTTGGGCTTTTTACTTCCGGCTGAACCTCCACCAGTCATGGATCCTTCTGGTTGCCACCGAAAAACAGTGTAAGGTCGAGCGCAGAGCTTACACTCCGCACCATAGCGCTCACGCGTCATACGAATATACGGGTTGGAACCGAGACATCGCTCACAAACAGCAGGAACTTCGGTGTCTTCCCAAGTGGCTTTATTAATATCAGCTCTTAAAAATATGTTAGACATGATGAAAAAGATGAAAACGTGTTTTTACTTACTTTGGAGGCATTGATGTGATGAAATCGATGGCGGTGGCCAAGAAATTAAATCGATCATTATTTTTTTTAAAAAAAAAAAAAAAAAATTAAAACCCTAACCACATTATAAACTTTTCTTTTTTTTAGGTGAGAATGAACGTCAACCTTGAACATTTTTAAATAATCTGAATTTCAATTTTAAAAACTTTTCTAATAAAATTACAGTCTACCTTAATAATTCAAAATATCACTCTTAGGGAAAGGAGTCACGGTGGGTACCACAATCTGAGGAATATAGTATACATTTCCTTCATCGTCGTAACGCTCTCTGTCACGCTCAGAAAGTACGAAGACTCTATCTGCGCAACCCACAAGCAACTCCATAATCTCAGAGTATGCTGTTTGAATAGTATAAGCATGGGTACGCATACTACGACGTAGTAGGCCGTCTATCAGGCGTACAGCATTGGGTTGCATTTCATGGAGACGATCAATAAGTCTTCCCATAGAGTTGACGAGGTATTCTTCCTCATAAATAGAGCCTTGTTTTCCACGCGCACGCTTGCGCTCCTCACGACGACGGTTTTTGGCAGTGCGCCTGGATGCACCAGTCTTTGCTGTAGAACCAGTCTTTCCAGTGTATTTCGTGAAGAATGATGGCGCTGTAGAAGTTTCAGATGCAGCAATAGACACATTGTCGGGAATATCAAGATCATTATGACCAGATCCATCAACATCGGCAAAGAAGGCATTGGGATCTTCAGCTTTTTTAGTGCGTAATTCATTGATTCGGTTAACCTGAGACTTGATCTGAGAGTTACAGTCTGCAAGAAGCTCTGAAATTTGGGCAAACCCTTCCAAAAGACCTGGATCAATAGTGGATTTGAAAAGGGGCCCAGAAGCTTCACCCTGACGCGAAACAATGCGAATGGCCTCATCATATAAAAAGCCAGTGCATAAAATTCTCGCAGCCTCCATTGGATTGTTAAGATACTCCAAATAGATCGTAGCAGCAGCCTGGTAGTTATGAGCCTCACTGGTTTTGTCGGCTAGCTCGTTGGCTACACGCAAAAGCTTTTCCTCTTCAAAAATATTTCCAGGATTAGATTCCACCACAGAAAGTGCTTGTTGCCAGCATCCACCGGTGAGGTATGCGTTAAGAGCACTTTCATAGTCTCGCAGCATTTCGTAGACAAGACCTGCTTGTTGGTGTTGATTTTTCAAGAGCATGAAGGCGGCCTGTAGCAACAAAATTTGGTCTTGCTTAGGAACTTCGTACTTGAAAATCTCAAGAGCTTCTTTGTAAAGGTCATGTTCAACAACATATTCTTGCAATTCATCAAAGACTGAGTCGCCAATTGCTGCAAGATGTTTAAGAGCCTTCGGGTATCTCTTGAGATACGTGTCAATTTCAAACTGACGACGAAGGGTATCTAAAGACTGTAGGTTTCGCAAAAATGGAAGGTACTCCTTAGGATCTTTGGTAGACTGCTGAGCAATCAAGAGGGTAAGAGGAAGATCATAGATGCCAAGGGCTGTATCGTAAAGTAGATTGACATCCTGTAAAAAGCAAAGATGCTGAATCGAGTCATTTGTAAGAACTGGGTTAGACTCTCTACCTTTGCCAACCATTTCAAGTGCGTCTTCAAGAGCGGGGGGGACCTTGCATGCATAAGCAGTAAGAATGCTCTGGCGATATTCAACCTTGTAGGAATCTTGAGATAATACTGAAAGAATAGCGTCGCAAATAGTATTAACTTTGCTTTTTTCTTCAACAGAAGACTTTGTAAGAGTAATGGGTTGGTAAATCTGAAGATTTTTCATACTGTCAATCAAACTTTCCGGAAGCTTGATTTCTTCAACAGTCTCTTTGTATTTTGTCTGGGCAACATTTGCTTCTTGAAGACCAGACAGAAACAAATCGATATAATTTGTAGACTGCATTTGACGCACAAACAGTTCCACATTATCAATAAACTGGTGGGGCTGGTAATCATAAAGTAAATTAAGATCGATTCTGTGAACACGGCAAGTGTTAAACGCCAGGTCATATCGCTTCTGTTTAATGTCTTGACGGACAAGCGTCAGAGTCATGATACGTGGATAAAAGGTCTCGAGATTACCACGAGGAGCCTGGAGAGTAAAAGCACTCTTTGACGGCATTGCTGTGACAATGAGTGATCCACGCTCAATAGCTCTGCAGCGTTCGTCATCGACTGAACTATCAGCAGGAACGGAAATTTGTTCCGGTTGAGTGAGATGAACAAATTTAAGGTAATGCTGAGCAGTAGTGAAAACAAGATATCTGTCGGTCATACATATGGAAGTTGCACCGGAAGCGATTTGCTTCTCATTAGCATACACTTTTCCGCTAGAGTGAAGACCGAATACAACAGGGATGGGCTGATCAAACTCATCCTCAGAAGACTCAGGGAAGTAAACTTCAATGGCTTCGCAGCGTCTAGGAAGTGTGCCAATGTTGATTACATCCGTAGTAACACTACGCAAACCTAGAACTGAGCCATTAATGGTTTGGAAAATGGCGCCTTGACCATCGGGAAGTGATTTCAGTAAAAACACTTGTTCTGGAATAGTGTTTGCAGCCAAAATTTCGTGTGTGATTGATCCCTCATCATTTTGAAAAAGCTGAATAGTGACAATATCCGAAGTTTCATCTTCGTTGTCAACAGCAAAAACAACCACGTCAGTACCAATCATGGCTACCTGTTTAGGTGCATCAATTCCTTGAATAGCCTCATCGAGTGGAATAACAGCCTTAATATGTGGGGAAACAATGTCACGGACACCCTTGTTAGAGGGGTCATTCACATTCCAATCAGCAATAATAAGCTCGAAACCAGAAAGAATGGCGAAGCGTGTGTTAGTGCTAGAAATAGCAACATGGGTCGGAGTTCGGGATGTTTTGAGAGTCCGGAAAGACATGGGAGGTGGGGTATTTGCAATAGCAAGTGGTGTGAGATTAATATTTTGGCCGTCAACGACAGCCACAAGGCCTATATCTGAAGGTGGGGCCGTGGTGCCTCTAGTAATATCCCATTGGAACTCACAAATGTGTATAGATCCATTATCAAAAGTGACTAAAAGTGTGTGCGACTTTTCAGGGTGCCATGTAAGTTTAGTTGGTGTAAGTCCTGTCGTGATTTCTTGCTTTAAGTACCAGTGGTAGTTTTTAGTTGTCCAAAGCTGAACACGGTCTGAAAGAGAAACAGCCAAGCAGTCTGAATCAGAGTTCCAAGAAAGACCAGTGACATGCTCAACAGGAGAGATCCGCAAAGAAAATTCACCACGACGCAGACCGTTACGCTCGAAAAAGACAACTTGAGAAGATTCGTTTAATTCGTCACGGCGTTGCACAGCGGCAATTAGATTTCCACTAGGTCTCCATGACACAAGACCAATAAGGCCATCGACAGGTTCAGAAACACTATCAAGAGTCCCGCTACGTGTGTAAACACGGACTGTTCGTCGCTCAATGGGGTCTGTGTCGACAGAAATGATGGAGACAACTTCGCCATCACCACGCCATGAGATTTCCACGTGAGTCAAGGTATCCTGTGCACTAAGGACACCAAGATCAACCTTTTCAGGCATTGTTGGATCGCGCTGGGCACGCGCGCCACGACCTTGAAATTGTGTTTCACGCTTACCCCAGCCTACAGAAACGTGTTTAGAAAGGGAATGGTCAGAAGGCAAAATTGGTGTTTCTGCAATAGGTTCAAAGATTCTGCTGAGAAGTACAAACTTGTCTGCCTTAGTAACAAGTGCAAGAATTTCTTCATCTGGACTCCATTTGGCAGCCGAAATGCCAACATCAATAGAACCCACAATATCAATAGAGGATGAGTTGGGAGAGTCCAAGTAAGAAATTGAACCGTTTGTTGGAGGTTCAGTAAGGGAAGAGTAATAAGCCGAAGGGTCGTCGATAAAGTCTGGAGGCTCATCAAAAAATGCGTTTGCATTGTTTCCGAAACCTGAAGAACCGCCGGATCCATCAGAAAGAGAAACAATGTCACCAGTTGAAAGAACTAAAATAATGTTGTTTGACGAGGAAAAGTATTGTGCATCAAGAACTTTGGGCAGTTCAGGGAGAGTCTCAGTATCGTCATCGTTAGACTCTGGAATCACAAATGAAGCAAAAGTGGAAATGTCACCAGATTTCTTGCAAATGGTTAGTAAAATGATTAATCCGATAGGGAGATTAGCAACTTACAGTGACTTTTTGGACTTCAATAGATTTAAAGTCTTCAGAGGGTCCGTAGACAAGGAAAGTGGATGATTCAACTGGATCAATGGCTGTAAAAACAAGCGGTAAATCAGGAACCTCGAGGGACGTCGAGGTAACTTTCTTACGTCCCGCCAGAATGAGGTTTCTCATAGTGCAAAAGTGGTGATTAATAAAGAGGTTTTGATATTTTGGTGTATTTTTTTTTTCTAAGTCTAAAATTTTTTTTTAAAAAAAAAAAGGCTCTGTTATGAATGTAACAGCCGCATCTGTTGTTGTAACAGAATAACCTCTGCCACCACCCCCCGAAAGCAACTAACACACCTGTATCGTCGCCACTATCACTAATAATCATATAACAGCTGAAAATGACAGATAATGTAAAGTCAGGGCAGCAGGATGTTCCCGATAGAAAGTAAGGTTTAAGAGTAATTATGGGAATTGTTTTTTGTACTAACTTTGGTTGTAGTATTAAACCACTAGAGCTCTTGTTGAGTCGCAGAGGACCCTTTACTTTTGAAGAATTTACCCCAGGCATTGAAGTTGCTCATAACCTAACCAAGATGAAGGTTTTGTAAGTATTTAAAATATTTTTATCAAGAATTAGTTTCTAATATTTGTAGGGTTATTGGTGCTGGTGGCTTGGGGTGCGAGATTCTTAAAAACCTGGCATTATCTGGTTTCCGCGATATTCATGTCATTGACTTAGATACAATTGACTTGTCGAACCTGAACCGCCAATTTCTTTTCCGTAAGACTGACATTGGAAAATCCAAAGCCATTGTTGCTGCCGAATTTGTGAACAAAAGAGTCAAAGGTGTAAAAGTGACACCGTATTTTGGCAAAATTCAAGACAAGGACATTAACTACTATATGCAGTTTCAGCTCGTAATTTGCGGGCTAGATAATATAGAGGCGCGACGATGGATAAATGCGACACTGGTGAGCATGGTAGATGAGAATAATCCAGACACATTAAAGCCCTTGATTGATGGTGGTACAGAGGGACTTCGTGGTCAGTCGCGTGTGATTATCCCTACAATTTCTTCTTGCTTTGAGTGTTCGCTAGATTTGCTAGGTCCACAAGTAACGTTTCCAATTTGCACTATTGCCAATACACCACGGCAACCTGAGCACTGTGTTGAATATGCATCGGTAATTGAATGGGATAAAGCTTTTCCTGGGCAGGCAATTGACGGAGACAATCCGGAACATATTTCGTGGCTGTTCGAGACGGCGAAGCGGCGGGCCGCCGAGTTTTCAATCACGGGCGTGACTTACGCCTTGACGCAGGGAATTGTGAAGCACATTATCCCAGCAGTAGCATCGACAAACGCTATCATTGCTGCGTCGTGTTGCAACGAGGCACTCAAGATTGCAACGTCTGCAAACCAGTATTTGAACAATTACATGATGTATGCCGGCGACTCGTCTGTGTACACATTTACATATGAGTACCATCGTAAACCGGACTGTGCAGTATGCGGGAATAATCTTAAACATATGACAGTTCCTGGAAGCAAAACTCTTGAGGAGTTTATCGAAATGCTGGGGGCTCATCCGGATATTAAAGCCAACAAGCCTTCGCTGCGAAGTGAGTCGATGAGCTTGTACTTTCAGCAACCACCGCAACTTGAGGAAATGACACGCAAGAACTTGAGTAAACGGTTGGATGAGCTGATACAAAACGGCGAACAGGTGACTGTATCAGATCGTAATTTGCCTTTCCCTGTGATTGTCAAGGTTCAGTTGTCATAATTATATGGTTATATGGTTATATATTTATCTTCATTAAAATACATGCGGAAATGTATATGCTCTATGGTGATGCGGCGTCAATGATTTTGTCGCCTGAAATAAGACCTGTTGTGGCTATTAAAATGTTGAAAACATCTGATCGCTCGGAAATGAAGCGCAAGGCTGCAATTTCGGCGTAAGTAATTCCACCAATATAAAAAACAATGATGTTTGCCTTGTGAGGCCCACTTCCTGGGGGGGTCGGGCTGTTGCGTGTTAGAATTTTGCGCAACTTGCCTTCACGCAAAAATAGCTCGTCGTGCTGGACCTCGTCAACACGCGGACCGGGAATGTTTTTAAGAATGGCCTCGGCACCTTTCCAGCCAACAGCCTTCCATGGAGCTGCTGCCGTTGGTGCCCCTCTTTTTGCCTTTGTACCAAAAAATAACGCGTCTTTGTCAATTGCTGCTTGAACAATTCTTACACTTAGTGGAGAGTAACCTGAGTATGTAAAGGCAATATCGCTAGGATCCATATCATCTTGTTGCTCAGAAATCAACGCCAATTGTTTTCTTGCCGATGGGAACCAGTTTGGTTTGCTTGGGTGGCGAGGGAATAGCAGGCCCAAAGTTTCAAGGTTCTCAAAAGTGGTAAGGTGTTGGTAGCCATAGGTTTGGAGAAATTCACGCTTAAAATGAAGTAGTTCTTTTTCCTTGATACCACCGTTGCAAACAGAGTCAATACAAAGAAGTCTCAGAACCATTGCTGGGTTGGATGCACGGTCAATGAGATCTTCAATCATGGTATGGATCTGTGTTAAATCAAGTGTATCAGCGACCAGGTTCTGTTGAATTTCAAGCCACTTGTTGAACTCTTCCTCGCGGAGTGTAGTCATGAGTTCTTCAGCAAGTGCTGTGTGAAAACGAAGAACTTGGTGCAATGACTGAAGTCCGCCTAGCTTACCGACAAATGCTTTGATTTGGTTGACAGTTTTTGCTTCGTGGCGCAACTCATAGTCCGACTGTAGCTGGCGAGCAACCTTGTTAAGAGTATGGCCGACGGTTGAAAAGTTTGTGTCTTTAATGGTAGCAAAGAGCTGGTCATTATCACTGCCCAGAGTAACTTTTTTGCTGTCAACTGTGAGGTTCTGGACCAGGTCCGGATGTTGTTCTGCAGAATCAGACGTGAGCACGAGCGGAGACGAATTTTGGTGAGCTTGTGGGGAGTCTTTATTTTGGGGAGGGGTAACAATGTGAATTGGTAACTCGACTTGGCCTGACTCTGTGACACCGTAAAACTCTTCAATGAGACCCTGGTATGTGAGCTGGGTAAGTAATGGAGTGAGAGGGTCGATCTGACGATCAATAACAACAAGCTGTTCAATATTTTTGCCGGAAAAGATGTTAGTGTACTGATGGTCAAAAATGTCATTGACGGATGGTGGTGGCCCTGTTTGCCGTGACACAGCCTCGCTAAGATTTGTTTGGTGCTCCTCGCGCTTGCGCAGCAAGATGTCGACGAGCTCCTGGGCTCCACGGCCCTTGCCAGTGATTCTTCCGACAAGGCCGTAGCGCTGTTGGATATCCTGAATGGCTGCTGCTGCATGGTGGACAGTGGAAGGTACGTTTGCAAGACACGCGTCGCGAAATCCACCTCCGCCAGGCATGTTAAGAGAAAGCAGGTCTGGAGCTAGTGGGACAAAGTAAATGGGCCATATGTGAAGAGAAATGTCACCAAGAACACCCGCATTTTCAAGCACGGCGACGAGATCTGGGGCGCGGTCTGGGGTTTGGATGACTGAGATGTCGTAGTATGGAGAAGTCGATGAGCCGTCAGTGCTGTTTGATTGATTAAGAAGCTGTTGAGCTGTAGAAGCAACAAGAGCTGCAGAGTGTGGTGAAGCTACAGAAGGGACAAGAAATGTGATATATTTAGGACCTGAGGTGGAAGAGGTGACTGCTGCAGAGATAAGTTGGACTAGAGATGGTGAGTCTAGCCAAAACATCTTCTCGACACCGTGTTCCTGAAGGGTTCCATAGGACGCGATGAGCGAAAGAGTAGATGCAAGAGAGCGGTCAATGACAAGACATTTTCTGCCACGAATAGCATCAAGAGTGGCCAAAAGCGAGTCCAGGGCTTCGTCTTTGAGAGCCTTAGTATCGACCGGGGCCATTGTGTATGTAGTAGGATGTTTAGAGATATCTAAATAATAATGGAAAAGGTCGTGACGGATAAAGAATTTTAAGAGAGTTTTGGAGGATTGAATATGATATTTTACATTTTTGATAAAATATATGATAGCAATTTAGCAAACATAAAAAACTAAGTTACATAAGTAGTCTTAACTTACCGCGCATGGATAAGTTATTCAAAATGGGGGGTGAATATTTTCAAGCTTAAAAAAAATGGCTTGATTTTTGTCTACGCATTTAAACATGAAATCACACAAGAAATGAAAACTTGAAGGGAAATCTAAAGCCTTGCTAGGCAGAGATAATACTGTTTTTTTGTTCTTTTTTTCATTTTTTTTTGTAAATTGATACGTAAGAATGGTGATCATAAGCAAGGATAGATAGATATAGATAGATATAGGTTGATATTAAGTTTTTTTTTTAAATTTTTTTTCTCATATTATTATCTATGACGTGAGAAAACGAGAGCCGGAATAAAAGGTAGTTAATATTGTGATTTAATGCCTGGAAAAATGTTCTGGGGAATTGTTTAATCGTCCTGGCCCTTGGTCTTCTCGTACTCGGCGTACCAGTTCTCACGCTGTTTAACGTAGCCGTTGTGAATGCTAGATAGAAGAAAAGTTAGTTTTCTATTGTTCAAATCGCTAAGAGGGACTCATAGCACGTACCCGTACCACCAGCCGGCGGCAAGAACGCCACCAACAATGAAGGAAACGGAGATGTCAGTAATGATCTTCTTCTTAAGGGTGCCAACGATGGGAGCGACCATTTTTGCGATGTTTTGTGATAGTGGGTTGTATAGAGGGGAAGGGGGTTGAGATGTGGTGATGGAGAGAGTAAAAAAAAAAAAAAAAGCGGGTTGAATATTTTTGGTGGTAGTTGTGTAGAATTAAAAAAAAAAAAAAAATCGGGATTAGGTTAACCAATCAAACATTGGTCAAAAATATTATGTAATAACATTTATTATGCTGACTAACTTACTGTGAGCAGAAAAGCCTGCCCGAAATACACACCTAACTCCCCCCCTCCCTCCTCGAACGAGCAGTTTTTGTTCAGATCTGTGAGAATATTATTGTCTCAATGAATATAAAAGGTCCCTAGTCTGCTGCTGGTTATTTGTAGATCTTTAGAAATTGCAGATTTCCCCAGTTTTTTTTCAATCTAAAAGTTTCCTTTTTCTTCAGGGTCAAAATTTGTTGATATCAAGGCTCTTTGCCGGGCTCTGCTGAACGGATTTCTCCTGCCCAATCACCTCGCCGCCAAAGGAAAGCGCCAGCAAAATACACACACACAGGAAAAAAATGTCACTCCACAAATATAAAAATCACCACTACCACCACTATTACAGTCACGTGATCTACCCAATGAGCGCACTGTGTCTTTTCGCCCTTTAAAAATTTTTTGTCTTCCATTCGACTGGGCCAAAAAAAAAAAAACCCACCAACAATACTTTTAAACCTCCTTTTTTTTTTTTATTCCCACACATCACCACCACTTACTCCCACCACCCATAAACCCACAATCTTCAACAATGTTGTCCAGAGCTGCCGTTAGAACCACCTCTCTCGTCTCCAGACGTGGCTTTTCCTCTTCTGCTATCTCCAAGGTCGAGCACCACTGGCCTGAGGGACCTTACACCAACATTCCTTTCAAGGTCCACAACAGAAAGATCCCCTACTTCTTTGTTCACTGGACTTTCTTCCGTATGTAAACATAACATTTCCATGATTATCACTGTTACTAATTTTTTTTAGTTGTCGGTCTTGGCTCTCCCTTTGCCATTTGCTACTACCAGCTCAAGAAGTCTTCTTAAATAATGTTGGCTCATTTTCTTTCAATTTCTAATAAAACTGTTATGACCTATTATTTCCACCCTTTCATCATCTTCTATTTTTGTTAATAAACTTTGAAAAATACTATTCTCCGAATTATGACTATTCTGATTATTTCAAAATATTTTACATTTTTTCAAAATTGATTTTATTTTTATTCTCGTATATATTAAAAAAATGGCTTTTGAATATCAAAGCCCACTCCGGAACCGTGATTATTTTTTTGTCTCAACACCCATTCGATCAAATCTTAAGTCTACAAATATATTTAACACACCATCCTATATCTCTTTACTAAATACCTATTAGGCACTTCTTTTTTATGTTTATCGCCGTTTGGGTGTGCTTGGAATTGATAACCGACTACTACTTGTGTTGCCATACCCTACATCTCCTTGATACACTGCTGCTGACGACGAGCCACGGCTGTACATGCGTTTAAAGGGACTTGCACTTTCTGCCCGAGCAATCTTATGCGCATGTACTACAGCTGCCGCTGCTGCTCGTGGATTCGTCTCAAACGTAGGATACCCACGATTTTTAGAGGACTCTCCGTTGTTGCCTTCTCTGCGTACCTGCCCTAACCCACTTTCGGTATGCTGAAAAACAGAAACATCAGTTAGATGGCTAGTTCCCCTATTCACCTCTATACCAACTCTTCCGCCACGGTTCCCATTTCCGTAGTTTTGTTGTTGCTGCTGCTTTTGTGTCTCAATATTTCCGTAGTATCCTCCTCCTCCACTTGGCCCGATATCAGTCCCGGCTACTCCCCGCCGCGTCGTAACGTTAGGATGCATCCCGTACCTCTGATCTCCGTTGTAGTCTTTCTTCTCTTGTAAGACAGTCGCTGAAATTCCTCCGTATCTATCCCCAACTCCTCGAGAACCATTATTAAACATTTGGCCACTCATAGCTATAGTACTACCAAAACCTCCTTGGGACAGCAATTGATTATCAGTCGGAGCTCGGCGATGAGGATAATACACTCTGTGTGATTGCAGAGGTTTTTTTTGCCCCACGTTATCCTTGGGTACACTTACAAACACATTCTCGGGACCCGGAACGTATTCGTATGATCCATGACCGCGGGGAGTCTCAGTAACCCTTTGCACTGGATTTGTCATTGCACTTCGTTGAACACTACTTACAAAGTCGCGCGGAGCTCGAGTTGATCCATCTAATCTTGCCCGCTTCGACGAGTGCCCATGCCCTGGAGGGGGCATATGAGCACCGGAAGATTGCTTGCTGCTTAGAGGTGTTGAAGTCTCTAATGGTACTGAATCACGCAAATGACTTTGAATTGTAGTAGCACTACTACCAGTAGTATTAACAGCAACTAATCGACTACGCAAATTTTCTAATTCATGTTCCAAAGCCACTATGCGCTCAACATTCTGCTTGCCTTTAGCTATTTCTTCATTGAGTTTCCTAAAAAAAAATCATTAGCCAGTGATCAAAATCAAATCAAATCAAACCAAAATTGAGAAAAAAAGCCAAAGCATTATTTCAACTTATGTTTTTTTTTTAGTCACACGTTTTGCAATCATTTGAATTGTCCATTTCTTCTCGCAACCGCTGTGCAAGTTCTTTATATTTTGCCGTCAGTTTTGCAATCGTCTTAATCTGTCTTTGGCATCGCACAACCAGCCCATCTGTTTGGAACTTTGCAACTGCATAAATTGACTCCAGAGATGAAATATACGGTCGGAAATAAGACTGCAACTCTACAGGCAGTGCCTCCTTAGTAAGTGGAACAACAGAAATGCCGGTTGCACTGCATACAGGACATATATGTGTTTTGGGGCTCTTGTTTGCTCCTGATTCGTTTTTTGACCTGGTTAATTGTGCTCCACCATTTGAAGGACCGCCTTCCCAAGTACCGGGCCCACCATTATCTAAACCTTTTGGAAACCGATCTGATCTAGAGTTGGATCTATCAGATAGTGATTCACCAGAAATACACTTCTTATGATGATGTGCGCAGAGTAGATGTGCGCAAGATGTCAAGTAAAAGGAGCCTTCATCCGAGTTGCACACTCCGCAATACACATAAAGCTGTTTAAACGAAACGTCTTTGTCATTGGACTGGGCCATTGTAAAAAAAAAAACAAAAAAACAAAATACTAAACTTAATGATTGATATTGATATTGATGTTGCTATTACTATTAATTAAACAAATTCTTAATATAGTCTCTTCGTTTTTGCGAATAGTTTTAAAGAAGTTTGTAAAGAGAGCTAGTGAAAAAAAAGTGGAGAGTTGGGAAAGCCCTAGTTACACAGATGTTACAATACTGATAAAGAATTGTAACAGCTCAAAAGCTCTCAATTTTTCAACGATTCCAGATGATTGACTTGATTTTCAGCAAACAACCCAGAAACCTTTCAATTAATTTTTTCTTGGTCTCATCAAGTATCGCCCATAAATTCCATAGGAGTATCAACTTGAAAATAAAAAAGGGTTGTAGTGCGCAATTCGAAACTGATGCTGCTCATGGGCAAAAACGTGGGATAACCTAAATCTTAATAATTTGGAGGTAGTTGTCCCAACTTTTTTTTTTTTTTTTTTTTTTTTTTGGTATATCCTCTAAACATGAAGCCCATTTTATCCAATTCTATTTTACTGCCCTTAGAAAATTACCTATCGCTATCATATTTATTCTGCTTTTCGTAAGATGCCACCAAAAAATGAAAACAGAGAACTTCTCATTGCTGAGGCCTTGAAGCTTGCAAACATGGGAACCCTGTCAATCAGAAAATCTGCACAAACTTTTGGATTATGCCCATCGACTTTAACTCGAAGGCATCACGGGGCGTCAACTTCCAAAAAATCCCATGCACGGTTTCAAAAGCTTGACCCGAAACAAGAAAATGAATTAGCCCAAAGAATACGTGCTAGGGCACGTATCGGTCAGCCCCTCATTAACTCGATTCTCCGACAATTGGCTTTCAACGCTCTGCATCAAAACTCCCCCAATGCTACTTTGGGGAACCACTGGACAGAATCCTTTTTGAGACGGTACCCTGACCTGAAAATCACTAAAGCAAAAGACTTTGAACCTACACTCAGAGACTCAGCGGACCCGGCTGCGGTCAGAAAGTTTCAGAACATGTATCTTTCTCGGAAAATTCAAAATATCAAACCTGAAAACATTTACAATGTTGATGAAACTAGCTTTGATGAGTCCAATTTTCAAAATTTACATGTTTTTATCCCTCAAGAAACTAAAAGCTATTTGAAAGTATATAGTGGTCGCAAGTGGATCACCGTAATTGAGTGTGTCCGTGCAGACGGTACTACCATACCTCCCTTTTTTATTTTTGCAGATGAAAATACTCCAGAATCTTGGATAGACAGCGTCTTCGATTCCAAAAAGCAAACAGAAACCTGGGGTGGTGGCTTCACTAAGAAGGGCTGGGTCGAACGAACTTCCTTCACAGAATGGGCTAAAACAATATTTTTCCCAAACACTGTGCCACTCAATCCTTCAGAGCCTCGCTTATTATTCTTAGACGGCCATCCAGCACACCGAAACCCAGAGTTTCTTAAACTTTGCTTTGATAATAATACATTTGTTTTGTTTTTACCTCCTCAATCTTCTCATTTTTTACAACCTCTTGACGTGGCAGGTTTCCCACACTTGAAAAAATTGTTGGCCCAAAATATTGAAATTAACCCTCCACTATTTAGCGAATCTTTGAAACAAAGAGCAGATTTTATTGACCGATACTGTGATGTTCGCCCTCAAGCATTTTCAAAGGAAATTGTAGACTTTGGTTGGTATCAAACTGGTTTATGGCCTTTTCAAAGAATCGATTTCCCTGAATGCGTGATGAGGCTTACTGAAATAAATAGCGATTACGAAAATGCAAAAAAAGGGGAAAACATGGAGTACACTTGGAAACCAGCACCTTTGCCACACTCTTTACCCGAGAAACCAACTCCTCAAACTACCTCTCAGGAGAGTCAAAATGAGCCGAGGTATATGGTACTTGGCGTTGAGCTGACTTATGCAAACTACTCAAACCCGCAGCAGCATGCTCAAGAGCTTGCGCAATACGTAGGACAAAAAAATGGGTACTCTTTCAATACAGAAACCTCTCTGAGGCATAGTGATTGCAATTGAATTATGGAAAGAGGTTACCATTTAGGCTTATCGACTTTTGAAATACGGTACTTTGTTTATCTATTTTTTTTACTGTTTTCCAGCATTTTATTAAATAAAGTTCATCGGAATAATCATAGCTTTCCTTGGCAACAAAATTTCCTGGTTAAAATCCTCGATTCTTTGTTTCGTTGTTAATATGATTCACTTTTACCTGGCTGACCTATACATTTCAACTGTATTTTATTGCTCCTAAATGCGGTCATTATTTTTTTTTCAGTTGAGCTAATATTGATAGTCTAATCATTGAGAAAGACAAAAGTTGGAATCAAGAACCTGTTTAAAGAAAATACAATTGATAAAGCCTTAGAAAATTGATATGCATATGATTTGTTTCTAAAGACAAACTTGGATCTTAAAAATAGCCCATATTAAAGAAGACATATTTATGAATCAAGAACCTGTTTGTTATCAAGCTTAAAGCTTACACCATTTCTGCCTGTTGCTCAAAATCTAGTACCTGCAATTTTACAGATTTTTAAAAAAATTGTTTCTACTGAAAACAACAAAATTTCAGGATTTAAATGAGTATGATTTATGACAAGAAAAAATGTCAATATATATATATATATTTAATTTGCACAAGAATCTTTGGTTTTATGGTTACCATGTTACAATGATTTGTTCAATAAGTTAAAGAATCGCAAACAGAGTTTAGGTATTTTGGAAATTGATGACAATATTTGGCATTTACAAAATTTGCCTAACATACGAAATTAAATCAAAATTATCTTTTTTAGGAATATACTTTTTGTTTTCATTGGTATCAGTTCCTTTATTTAAAATTAACTTGTGCTTTTTATATAACAAGACGTCTTTATTTAGAAAAAACTTACAGCCCTGTATTAAAAAAAATAAATCTTTTTTTTCATCATTTATTGATTTGTAGCACTTATGACATTTTGTGAGTTTTTTTTGTCGCTCAAAGTTTTTCGTATTGTATAAATCTTTTAATATTGAAGCTTTTGATTTTGTAAAAGTATAAAAGTATAAAACTATATTTAGTTCATAGAAAAACTATTTTAGTAGAAAAATTTGGCTGATACATTTGGTTTAGTAAATTTAAAAGTCCACTTTTTTTTTGGTAGTTATTTATTTAGGTTCGTGGTGTCAAATGAATATCGTTTCGGTTCCAATGTTTCGGTTCTATTTTTATCAAAATAATCGTATTAATGATAGCCTTTAAACTATATAGCAGTCACTATCTTTTTTTTTAACATTTTAGTTGAAAAATGCTGCCCTTTTTAAACTATTAGGAAAGATATTTGTTAATAGTATCGTCAATGATGCTTACAGAATAATTCTAGGCATGAATGATGAAATAGAAATCGTTTCTATACATTTTTAGAATTTAAGTTTAACCATTTTCAGAGGTGTTTAAATTCGCTTATTGAAACCATGTATTTGAACTGCCTAATTGACATCAAATTACTTAGTCAAAAAAAAAAAAAATGAGCGAAATTCTTCCAAATTTAACTCTTTCTTTATTGGTAGATCTTGGTAAATTGATAAACTGATAATTTTTTTAAATTCACTTTAGAAAAAAATAAATATCTCCTGAATACATTCATTTTCAAGTTGAATTCAATATATTGTAAGAATATTTTAATAAAAGCATTAATATATATATATATATATATAATTGTAAGAAAAAGGATATGGAAAAATTTACCGGAAAAATTGTATGCTCATAAGCATATAATTAATTACAAGCTAGAGTTTAGAAGTTAATATCAAGCTTACTAAGGAGGTTTATGCAAGTTTAACTCAGCAGCCTAATTGGGTATTTTAAGTATTATTCTTTCTAAAAAAGTGAAAGAGCTTACTTTCCCATTTCCCCTCCTTCATATACAAAAAGGGTTGTTTGGGAAATCAACTTCCTTAGTATTTTCAGTAATTAATTTTACGATAACAAAATGGTTATCCTATTTTATGTCGTTTTAACTCTCTCTAGATTTGACTAAATTGGCTAAAAAAATCCTACAAAATTCTTCTAAGCAATTCTTTTGGTTCAATTATTTTATTTTACAAATGCTAAACCACAAAAGTGTTTCTACCTTTTTATAACTCATTCAAGGTCATTAATGTTTCTCATATTGATATTGTTAAAATTGAGCACTCACCCCGACTCTGACTGAGCCTGATTTTGAGTCAGAACTGGCAATCCCCATATTTCTCATATACCTTTGTTGCAACGGCATCGTAACTGGTGGGTCGCCCATGAAGTTTGACAAAAACTGACGACGGACCATGAGCGATATCCCCGTATTGATCCCTACTAATTGGGACCCTTGTAACATTGAAATGGAGCGATTCACGAAAGAAAAATTTCGCATTTTTATCTTTAGAGCAATTTCATGTATATTAGTTAATTATAATAATGACTGGGAAACCTTTTAGTTTTTAAAGGTTTTAAAAGTAATTAAAAAGTGTGCTTTCTAAACTGTACCAAAATATTATAGTGGGTAATTTATTATCCCCCAAAAATGCTAAGACCTTTTCCATTCCACATTCTTTTTCAATTTTTTTCTCCATAAACTCATCCGAATTTAAAAGCTTGACGTTTGCATAGTAATTATATTGGGCATGGAATTTTTGAAGTGTTTCTGTGTCACAATAATAACTGGTATCACTTGGATGTTCTATTGAAAGAAACCCAAAAACCCCAATAATTTTTTTGATTATACACACACAGGGTGGCTTCTGAGAGACCTAAAGAACAATAGTAGCAAGGGCTTGGAAAATGATTGCCGCCATCTAGGTGATTGAAGAGAAGTTTCTAAAAACAAAAGTAAGGCCAGCCGTTATAATGACCGATTGTATAATATACCATCAGAGTTTTGCAAACGAAAAATGAATAGATTATAAAATTTTATACTTGTTTAATTTTTTTAAAAAATATTTTGATAGCCTCTTTAGCTGTTAAAGAAACCAATTGTTTACAGTTTACCAACTTTTCAAACTAAATATACATTATGACAGCTCTAAAATGTGCATACTCCGAGAGGGTATCTTGGTCAAGATTTGACGGGATGTATTTCATTTTTTTCAAAGTAGTTTTTTTAGGTATTTATTCCAGCTGGTAAAACTAAAGGGTCATGATTCTAATTTTTAGGTACTTGTTCAAGATTTTCATTCTAAAAATCTTGCTATTTTCGTTTGCATATTCTGATCCTTAGTAGTCACGGTCACCACAATCATCACTATCATAATTATCGTCGTCATAGCTATCCGAAACCTTCAAACAGTGGATGTCAAGAAACTCAGCATTTTTTGGTGCTAAAAGATAGTTAGAATAAGAAGAATTAAGGAATAATACTCATTAGTTACCACGATAGCGGTAGGATTTAAAAGGAGATATTATATAATATTTTGGTTTGTGCAGCTGTGAAAATTACTTTACTACTTTTTCATTCTTTTTCTCAAATTAAACTTTGGTTAATTACTATAATATATATATCATAGGTTTTAGAAGTTGATTGTCGCCAAAATATTTTACGTACCTGTCTATGGTTTGACTATTTTTTTCTTAATTGTTTTTGACCGAAGACTAGGTGTGTTGGCTTGCTGTACCAGGGGATTTAAAACTTGGGCATTATGAGATGATTTCAATAATTGCTTTTATAGTAGTTAATACTGACAACTTAAATTGTTTAAAAAAAGATATCTAACAATTATATTTTAAAAAGAACAGAAATATAAGAGAAACATAAAAAATAGAAATGAAAAGAATAACTTGTCAGGAATCCCTTCATTCTAGGCTTCCGTTTATTCATCTTGGTTTAAATAGGGGGGTGTAGCCGTACAGAGTGCGGCTTGAATGCGACTTTTGTGTATTATACCTGTCATGAGTAATTTAGTCATGTGACTTAATACTTGATACTTGAGAATGGTACTTTAATTTGAATATTCATTAATGTTTCTTGTAGGTATTTGATTTCGAGTTTTAACGGTGCCTGTGATTATAGTAATAAGGGTTTAAAATAATTTTAAAAAATAGTTTACAAAAAGGAGTACTACTCGAGATTAACTTTAACTTTTTTTTTTGTTTATTTTGACTATTTCAGACCCAATTATGAAAAATTTCCGAAGATTGTCCGTTTGGTCTTCGGCCCGCGGGTCATCATGATTTCTCAGAGCTACAAGTTTTTTTTTTTTTTTTTTTTTTTTTTTTAAAAGAGCTTAGTTCTGAAATTCATTAAATTTATCAGATCATATTTTATTTAAGAACTGAAACTGATCTTAATATTCCCCCTTTTCCTTTTGTAATGAAAACAAAAAGACCTCCGAGGTACTTCCATGTTGCAAGGCTAAATTGTTGCACTGACAGTGTTTTTTAAGACAAACAATGAGAAATGGTCATCATTTAGAAAGTTCGCGCATGGAGCGGCTTAAATTCGGAGCGGTTGAGTGTGGATCAAGTGTAAGGGGTATTTGAATTTGAATATAACAGACTTGGTGATAATAAAAGTAAATTTGAAGAAGACTGTTTAATAAGGATGGTGATTATGATAGCCGTAATGATGGATATTGACTGTTTTTGGGTTTTTTGGTTCATGAACCTCATGAACCTCATTAACGGAGTACAAAGTGCCGAACAAGTTTACCGAGGATTTTTATTTTGTCTTCATGGGCAGAGATTCTTATGTGTATGAAACCCAAGATAAATGTTGTAATGCAAAGAAATAAAAATAAAGGAAAATTAAATAATAAATAATAAATAAACAGTTTACCATATGTGTAAGAGATCCGCTTGCCCAGAAAGCGATATGTGTGTGTGGGAGTAGATTGCCGAATTCATGCCAGACGAAATGAATACGAGAGAATGAGAGGGTGGTTTTTTTTTTGAGTCATACAGGAAAAGAATGGTGAAACAAGATTCTCAATCACTCATGGTAGTTGTTTTGTTGTTTTGAAAGAATCTTTCAAGTTATTTATTTGTTGAGTTACAATATCTTTAT